TCCTCTTATCAGTTCACATCTCTTTGATAGGTTCTGACTTTTACATTCATGATTTTAATCTTTAAAAGAGATTTTTGATGGAAAACAGAAAAAAAAGACTCCAAATTAATAAACGATTACAGAGTATCTGAAAACTCGGGAAGAAAATTTGAGCAGAATAAGCCATCTGAAATTTCGAAGATTTGGAAAGAAGTACTCGCAAAGACCGATATGGGGACGCTCGATTTCTTTTTCACCATCCATTTCTGCGCAGCTGTTCCAGATGCAAAATAATGAAACTGAAAAAAGGTAATCAAACTATGTACGAATTTCTGAAAGAAAAAGTCCGACGCAGTCGTTTTTGAGTGAACTTAGATCCTATTCGTGCTCCGTCGAGCGATGTTTGTTCTTTTCCAGACAGTCCTAATGATGTCATACTGTGACAGACTACGAGAAGCTTTCGAGTATCAGAGCTTTCGATTCGAACAACAACGAAGAAGTTCATAGAAGGACAAAACGGAAATCGATATGGAAAGAAATGTTTACACCAGTTGAAAAATATTAGAGAAAAGATTTGTTGGAAAAAAACGGCGTTTTTCGCATGTTTTATAGGCATTCCGAAAAACCTCCATTAGAAAGATCAAACAGTTTGATTCGTTTCAAAAAACGAAAATAAATATAAAATAAAGGAATACCGCAAACGATAAACTTTGCCCAACATAATCTTTGAAAAAGAGCAACCGCTGAGTTAATAACAAGAATTATAGAAAATAAATTAACAAAAAAGCGGCATGCTGGAAAGTGCGCGCTGTGCGCACTCTTTTCTCGTGCGCACGTAAGGAAAATGCGCACTCTTTTTTCAAATTTTGTACAGGAAATTGCGCGCTCTTTTCTAACATCAGGAAAATGCGCACGGTTATCAAATTCCGCTCTTTTTCAAGATTGAAGTCCACATAAACCATCTCACTTTTTCTCTTTGTCATGAAGAAATCTTTCAGCTAAAGATGAATTGAACATCTTTTGATTATTTGATAATTTATGGAGAATATTTCTTATCAGGAAATGGTCTGCGGTCACTTCGGAATGAGACCAGGTGTATTTTTTTGCAAAAAGTGAGATGCTCTTTTTGAGACCAAGCTGATTCCAAGCTTGGTCTCAAAAAGCTGCCGCGAAAAATCTGCTAAAAAAAGTGAGATGCTCTCAAAATATACAGATCTTTTTCCATCTGATAACATTAAACAATACAGGGTGGAGGAATAATTACTGCGACAAAAGTTTTTTTAGCATTTGCTCTCGCCGACCCGAGCTCATTTTTTTGTTCCAGTCATTATTCCTACCTTCATCAAGCCTTCTTCTATAATATGATGACCGCCGTGCCACGCTGACTTTCGGAAAAAGTCGTTTCTGCCTTTTGGGCGTTTATGGCAAAAGCAGGCAGGCTTGGCTATGAAGGCCTGAAGCCCCCTAGCCCTTGATTTTTTTAATTTCGAAAAAAAGCGCGGGCTCGGGCCAGAGATTCAAGAAACTTTTTTTATTTCATTAAAAACATTTTTCACCGAAAAAAAATATTTTTTTACATGTTGAATCACATTTTTTTAATAACTCAATGAAGAAAAAAATAAGCAAAAAAACCCCGCTTTTTCTCGTTAAAACAGCTAAAAATTCGAAATGAAGAAAAATTTGAGCTTTTTTTGGGCCGGGCCGAACCACCAAAAAAATTTTTTTCAGTGATTTTTTTACAGCCAAGTACAACACTGGAAAAATCTTGACTCAAAGTTACTTCATTACGCATCAAGGCCGTATGAGAGGGAGTTTATTGCGACGTTCAGAAATTATTCGATAAGGTCGCCCTGAAGCTCAATTTGAACGTACTTTTAAGGTTTCGATTCTCGAAATTGATAACGATTCACGTCTATGTAAGCAATTAAAAGAAGTCGCAAAAAAAAATTGAAGGAATTGTTTTCCGAAAAATAGAGAAAAAAGGGTATCGCGAGACCCTCTGAGGCATATCGCAGGGTCTGAAGCCTATCGATGGTAACCCGAGTATACCTCTGAGGACTTTGAGCAAAATGAGATAGACTTGAGGGAGACTCTAAAGTACCTCCGAGATAGCTCCGATATAGCTAAAAGGTATGCTGGAGGTCTCACGATGGACACATTATGGGGCCTTCACGATCCATTTTTGAGAGGAATTTTTTTGTGGAAAAAAATAAAGGTGCCCTTCTGATTCGTCTGTGTTTGTACAGACAAAAAGTACATCATCGAAGCTCTCAAGAACGGTCAAAACCCCAGAGTATTTGCAGCAACACTCACTGTTGCTAATATTAATGATTGGGCTATTTTACTATTCTATCATCCGAAATACGCTATTTTGCTTGAAACTTCGTAAAACGGCAAAACTCAGCTTTTTCGAGTCTCTGTAAGAGATGAGGTCAACTCAGAGAGCAGTAAACAAAACAATTTGAAAGGTGTGTACCTTTTTTCTCAGTACCTTATGGGGTTTAGCAGATAGTATTGCCTGTTTTTAAGTACCCTTACTTACTAGGGAACTACTCGGACTCGGGTACGCGGATCGAGTTCAAACTTTAGTGGTTTATAGACCTAAGTGGGAACACTTGAAAACAAGTGAGAATATCTGCTAAACCCAATAGAGAACTGAGAAAAAGTTATTAGAAAATGTGAAAATTAGACCTGAAAATTTTCAGAATACTGCTTTTTACCTTATTTAATATTTTAATAAAATCGCCTTGAATGATCCGGCTATGATAAACACTAAAAAAACTTTTTTCCAGCCAAAAAGAAGGATGAAAGCAAAAAAATTTGATAGTTTTTCAAGCCTAAACTGTTCATTTTCAAAAAAAGCTTTTTTTCTCAGAAGCCTATAGGGTTTAGCATATAAACTCTCTTGTTTCCAAGTACTTTTACCCGGGTCTATAAGCCACCAAAGTTTTAACTCGATCCTTGAATGCGAGTTCGCGTAGTTCTCTAGTCAGCTCAAAGCCAATTTTCGAGTCCTTATCGTAAGGTCTTATCCGGTTAGAAGAATGGAGTCTTGTTCTTTTTTCTGTTATCCCATTGACTCCAAAAATTTTTTTGAGAAACTTCAATGTGCCTCTTGTAACAGTACACACCAGTTTGCCTACTGACTTTTTGGCCGTTCTGCTCAAAAAAACAAAAAAACTGATTTCGACCATCTGCGTACCGCAGTCAATTGGGTGCCACTACATTTTCGAGCGGCAGTTCATGTTAATTTTTTTGATTAAATCCCTGTAAAACTTTATAAAAAAATAATTGTGAGTTCCCGGTCTTTATTGACTATTGACAATTGACATATTGACAGCTCCTTCATTTTTGTCGCAGTAATAATTCATCACCCTGTAAATTTTTCTTCAGAAATATTTTTGAGCCTCGTAAGGTCCTTTCGATTTGTATTTCACATGTTTCCCTTTATAATATAGTTTGTCCATATTTTGAGTTTCAAGCAGCAATCTCTGCCCCAAACAAAGCCTGTGAGTGGCTCGTTCTCTGATTGGTTTGATCTACACATAAGAGGCGGAGTTCGACCGATGACTTGATATTCAAATTCTGAACAAACTATAAACGCCGACTTTGGCTTTCTTCGGAAAATAACATTACAAAATTTAAAAAAAAAACACATTATCACGTGAAGGGTAAATCAGTCTGACCAGTCTAGTGACCGCCTGGTATTATTATTGAAAAAGATGAATGCTGAAAAATCAGTTATATAAACTTCAAATAATCCGAAAGGACAAGATTTGATAACCGTGCGCATTTTCCTGTTGTTAGAAAGAGAGCGCAATTTCCTGTACAAAATTTGAAAAAAGAGTGCGCATTTTCCTTACGTGCGCACGAGAAAAGAGTGCGCACAGCGCGCACTTTCCAGCATGCCCAAAAAAGCTCATATTGAAAAAATTTAAAAAAAAAACTGAAAAGAAAGAACAGGCGTAAACTTCAATGTTTGCTGTTCTCTGTGTGTGTTAGCTCTTGATTACCGTACACCTGATCATTTCTGATCATCACCTCATTTTTCAAATGAGCTTTGTTAACAATAAAAAAATGTTGGAGAACTAAATTTAAAATATTTTAAACGGTACAAGAATTATAAATTAAACCTCTTGCCGGTTTTCGCAGTATCGTTTCGCTTTCTAGTTTGCCATTTAAGAAAGAATAAAAATAAAAAGTTATGAATCTTCAAAAACGAGCATACACATTAACGTAATGGTTAATGGCCTTGATTTGGAGTAAAAAAAAAACAAAAAAGAGAAAAATTATAGAAAGTATGAACAAAATGATAATATCAACAAAGATCAGCGAAAAAGCGAAAAAAGGCCAGAATTGGGTGATATCCGCGAAAAAGAACTATCACGAGAGGGGGAATTCGTCGTAGACGAGAGGGAGAGAGAAGCAGAGAAAAAGAGTGCATGCGCGAAGTGACGTCAGATCTGTGGGTGAGTCATTCCCTCGAGGCGTTACGAAACAATCCGTCCCAGGAACGCCAAAACGAAAAATAAGCCAGCAAACACTTCAGCTTTTTCGATGGCAACGTCAACTTCTTGATAGGGACATTATCGAAACAAAGAAAAAATAAATGGATGAGAAAATAGAAACAAAAGTTCAAAAAAAAAATTCAAGTTTCATTATTATTTTCGGCTTTGTGCAAAGCTTCACGCCTCAGTGTCTTTAAAATCGTTATGAGAAAATAAGGAAATCTTGAATCGGAGTCATAAAATGAAAAGAGTAAATGGTACGGAATCATCTCTCATCTCATTTTAGACTCGGCTCTAGTTTCTTTGTCTTCGGAATCGCTGAAATGAGACTATGAATCATCAATACTTGAAAGACGCACTGTACACAGCACAGTAAACAAAGAAATCGCGAATTAAACAACGAAAGTTCTTTTTTTTAATGTTTCAATCTTTGAACAAAAACATGGGATAGAAATAGAATAGGTGTTAAAAAGCGTGAAAATGACTGAGTTAGAGAGCCATTTTCAGATACGGATGACCGTGCAAAAGGAGTTGAATAATGAGCTTCGGGACAGGTTTTCCTTATTTTTTTTTTAAAACTATAATTGAATTCGCTGTTCATCAGGCATAAATTTTGAGAGCATTTTTTGAGTTTCTAGCTTTCTTTGAGTATTTTTTTCTCAGTTCAACTCAAAATGCGACCACTGAATTAACGACAGCCGCTTCGCCAATTTCGGAACGAGAAAAAACTGAAGACGATGTAAGTTTCCTTTTTTCAGCTCTTTTGCTAGAGACCGCAGAGCCACGCCCCTTTTTGCGGTGGTGAAATGCACTGGTTTTTTAGATTTCGTGTTTGATGTTTTCGTAAAAGCGCAATACTGAATCAAACACAGAGAAATTTGGTGGAAACATAGAGAAAACCTTCCTCTTCAATCTCATACTTTTCATCCGATTTTCAAAGCGTTTTAGCGGAGCGTCGTACAAAAAACCAAAACTACTTTTTTCTTCGGGTTTTTAACCTAGTTCCATGTCGTTGGCGCCTTTTTTTATTTTCGAATTCGATTCTTAAGTGAAAAACAAATCATTTAAGACTTAAAAAAATTAAAAATTTTTTTACGGTGCCTAATCTTTAAATTAAAAATTTTTTTACGGTGCCTAATCTTCGTGAGGCCGCGCAAAGTTGAAAATGTTGTACTCGCTTTCGAGAGCGTGTAAGTAAACAATTTTTTTATTTTTAACTTGTGGATTAAATTGTAACTAAAATTTTATTAATATAAAACTTATTCCGAAAAACTTTGTTTTTCTGAGAAAAAAAGACAGTGAAAATTTCGAAATTCATTTTAACATGGTCAGATGTCGTTGGCGCCTTTTTTTATTTCTTAAATATTAGCGTATCTCAATTTTTCAATCAATTAAAAAAAAATAAAATAAAAAAATTTTTAGCGGTGCCTAAAAAGTTTAATCAGTGTTAGTTTGAAGCCAACGTTAAAATAAGAAAAAAACACCGAAAACGGAAGCATTTTGAACTGAATCTCTATGAATAAATTATTTTTAGGTGCTCCGAACACACGTGACTAATAATTGTTCAACTATCATAATTTTTTTTAAACAAAACAGACGGTAAATGCTGTACTTTGAGGTGAAGTGGTGTATAGCGCGAACGCCTCTCATCCCCGAGGGATGGACGTGGAGCAGCGCAAGTGCCCTTGCATACAGTTTTGATATCGCGAGTTCAATCCTCGCAGCGGCCATTTTTTTTATTTTTCAAGAAAAAATAGCTTTTCTTTTCAAACTTGTGGTTTTATACTGTTTTAATGACTTATTACGACTTTGAAAACCAAACTAAACTACTAAAAAATTTAAATCCGATATGAAAACAAAATGAACCACCAAAAGTGTAAAATCTAAACTTTCAGTACTAAATTTCGCGACTTTTTTCACTACTGTTTTGACCATAACTTTTTTTTTTCTCAACCTTTTTCGAAAAACTGAACTGTTTTGAATAGTAAATTAGAGCAGCTATCCAACCATAGTAATATTGAAGTTCGAAAAATTTTTTGAAAATTCGTCTGCGGTCCCTATCTTTTGCACTCAAATTTTGTAGGTCGGCGATGAAATGCCGGATGTTCAAATTTGCGATGGAACGTGTAGAAAAAGTTTTCTTTTGATTTTTCTTTCTTTTTTGAAAATCTTTTTCGCAGTTTATTGATGAAAGAAACCTAATTCGAATGCCCTGCTGTCACAATTTCTGTGTGAGCTGCGCTAAAAAAGAGAAGCGAGGTATGTATTTGACAGTATTCTTTTTTTTTGATGAATCAAATGGATTTAGAGACTCACTTAAAGTGTTCCTACGTTTTGGGAGAGTCGCCGGAGAAGGCTGTGCCATCGCCGCCGGCCAAAGCTTCAAGAGATGGGGTAGAGGACCAGTTTTCATAAACGAAGCTTTATACAATTTTTACTGACTTCATTGCATTTTTCACAGATAAGCCGGAGTCCAGTACGAGGTGTCGGTTTGCCGCGGGAGTCTCTGGACTTTTCCAACAGAACACAATACTCAGTAACTTTTTAGAAAGTTCTCTTTATTCTTCGAATTCCAATTATTAGGCGACCCTACACCGAAGCTCTTCTTCGTCTGCGATTTCTCATAAAACGTGAGTCTACACAAGATTATTTTTTTCTGTATTCATTGTTTAGATGTAAACTTCAAAAAGCACAAGACAAGTGCAAAGTGTGGTACACGTTCGCCTACGGAGAGAAAAGAGCCGCCATCTGCGTCGATCAGACTTGCAATTATGGTTGTTTTTTCTCATATTTCATGAAATAGAAATAAAAGGGACAGGAGACTTGATGACGCGACTTGCAATGTACTTGGGAATCTCGCTCATCACCCATATAATCCGACTGCGTGCACGAGAATCTTCCAGCGATGAATCCAGCGGATCTTGTCTAGGGGTGAGCTGGCAAAAAAGTTTGGTGGTGCCTCATGCTGGAATCGAACCAGCGACCTTCTGTTTACTAGACAGACGCTCTGCCACTGAGCCAATGAGGCGCACGAGAGAGTTCTCTCACCGGCCACTGTGACTCTTGGCGGAGGCGCCCTTGTCTGCCTATCTCATACAATTCCGTTTCTTTTTTTGATTCAGGCACACATTGGAAACGTGCCAAACGAAAAAAGATTGACGGATCTGCATTTGCCGCGAGGAAGGCCTTTGATCGTTGAAGTGATTGAAAAACGGAATACCGTTGAAGTGAAGGCTCGAGCGTCGCCAAAGTGTGTGAGTTTCTCTCATGAGCTATACGATTTCAATTGAGACATTGAAAAAAAGAAGTATGAACGGACATTTTTAGGATGACTCTGAAGACCGCGAGTTTTGATCTTTTCTCTTGGCAGTGGTGTTTTCAATATTCACTTTCATCAAAAAGCCAATCGTCTAATCGCGTTTTTTATGTGTGCTGGAAATAAAGTTGATACAATATAAAAGTTCATTTTTCATTCTCTGCTAATTCAAACTAATTTGTTCACTTTATCGTAATGCCGTACGGCATCCATATGAAACTTTGGCGCCGTGGTCAAAGTGGCTCCGCGAAATTCAAAATAGACGTCAGAGAAAGAAAAAGATAATTAAATTTTGTTTTTGGAGAGTTTTTTGGAAAGTAAGAAACACATTACGGTGTGGTTTTTTCAGAATTTCACTGTGCAGTTTCGATATTGCGTGCATGTAAGAGCTGTTTGTAGGTTTACGGCAATTATTTTTTGATTGCAAATTTTTTCCTTTCACAATTGTTTAGTAAAGTTCTCTGGGTTTTGAAAATCATTGGTTTGAAAATAGCGAAACAGCATTCAGTTTTAGAAGCTTCATATGGATTCTAATCAGAACGTGTCAAGTATTTTGTCTAATTTATTTCTTTCCGCTTGGTGTGTTAAAATGATTCCGCGAAATTCAAAAAACCGTTTGACAGTGCATAAATCACTGAAGTTTGGAGATACACGAATATTCTAAATTTTGTGGAAATTACTTTTGAACACGTCGTGAAAACTGATATATCGTCGAAATAGTAATTTTTATTTCAGATGGAGGTGGACTTTGGTTTAACAGAATATATAAAAACTGGAGAGCCGGTTTCAACTCTTCTGAAAGAACTGTACAGCGACTTCATCGTTCAAGAAATATTAGGTAATCAGTATTGAATTTTGGATACAACCATCTTTCAGCCGACAAGACTGTCCTCCGCATAGCTTCTCCAGAAGAAGTAAGAGGTCAACTCACGGTGGTACAAGACGTCAAACCAGATGAAAGTGTTGAACTTCCGTCGAGCATTTCCGAAGAAGTTTTGAAAAATCTCAACGAGCTTGGTGTCAATGGAGACTTGAAAGAAGTTATCATTCCTGTGGAGGTTTAATGAAAAACTCTTTTTTGGATGGCTAAGAGGGAGTTCAGGGATTGGAAAAAGAAAGCCGAAAAGGAGTTCACGCGTTCATCAGAGCGAGGTTCAGGGGAAATCTCAACTCTGAAATGAAAGAAAATGGGATCCGTGTGACCGTTTTCAGCAAGAAAGATTTGTAAGCTTTGTTTATTTAAAAATGTTGTTTTTATCCCCAATTTTCAGAAAAAGGAAGCGTTGGGATCCGAATTTGCCGGAAGAATGCCATTTTACGTTGGCAAAGGAGAACAAAGAGACTTCTTACGCCTTGGGAATCGTTTCGAAATTCTTAAAGTGAACAATTTTTTTCGCCAAGCCCCCTTTTATGAGAATAATTTCAGTATAACTCCAAATTCTTTCCGAACGCATGGGATCAAAGACAAACGCGCTTTCACCGTCCAGAGAGTCAGTTGCAAAAGATTGGAGAAGGTTGATTTTTGGAAAACCCTGGCTGAAAACATGATATTCCTGTTTCAGGCGAAACTTCTCGGTTTGAACCCGCGAATTCGGGATATCCTCGTGTACGACGTCAGCTATCACACGAATCACGTTCAAATGGGCGCTCACTGGGGAAATCGCTTCAACATCGTTCTGAGGTTCTTGGATTCCTGTGAAAATCTGACGTTTTGAATCAGGAACATTTCTCTTGACGCCGAAGAAGGACTGAGAAGCAATTTGGAATCGTTCGAGAAAAACGGCTTCATCAACTACTTCGGTAATTTTTTGAGAAAAAAAAATTGGAAAGTTTATTCATTTTTTGAGGAACCCAGAGATTTGGTTCTTTCGGGACGAGTACAGCTTCCATTGGAAAACTGATTTTGAAACGCGACTGGGAAGGCGCCGTCCGACAGATTCTCCACAGGGGATCTTTGCCAGGTTCTTTGTTTTCTCTTTTCTCTTTGAAGTCGCGGTAAAAGTCATAGTGTCTCATAGTGTTAACTTTTCTTAATTTATCTCGTCCTCGCTAGATTGTCTTTAAATATCCTTGAAATTCTGAAGCATCCCTTTTTTTGTGATCTAATTTTGATCGTGTGTGGGTTTTTCTTCAGCTTTCATAATTTATTCAAATTTGTGTCTTCCGGGCAATATCCCAGTATGGTTCTTTGAAAAAAATATTTAAAAAAATATTGAAAAAAATTCTGAAGTATCTTTTTTTGTTGTCTGCAAAATTTTTTTCTAAAAAAATCCGTTTTTTTGAACTTTTTACTCTTGAACTCTGTGCGTATGAAAATTCGAAAAAAAGAAGTCAAAAAGAAAATTTTTTTAATTCCTGATTTTTCGAAATTAGCTCAAAAAAAGTCTCTGGGATTCGCGTTTTGAAAAATTCACCTGATGATTTTTGATCGCAGTCTGGGAAAGCAATTCAGTAATTGTATACGAACTTTCAAGTTTTCGGAGTTTTGAAGCACTTCTGGAACGCCTCAATTGAACAAAAAAAACTTAATTTGCGTGATTTGTATTAGATTTTGTCGATTTTCCAGTGTATTTGACGACAGGAACGGTCGGCGACGCCCTAAAATGCTGGGAAGAGACCGGCGACGCGAGCCAAGCTTTGAAGAAGCTGAAAGGAGCCCAGGCCTTCGCTTCCATCGAGGGAGTCGTCTTCAAGTGTCTTGCTCGAGGCGGAACTTGGCAGAAAGTAGAACTCCATTTTTCCTTGATTCGATCGATATTCGCTCTTTTCAGTGTATCACCGAAGCCGTCCCCGTCAATACGCGGAGTCTCTACGTCCACGCCTATCAGAGCTTGCTGTGGAATAGGGTAATCCTTTCCTCATAGTTCTTCAATCCACTTCAAAAAAATGAGAATAGGTTCTCCAGGCATTTTTTGAAAAAAATATAAAAAAATTTTTCACTTCATTTTATGTTTGATTAACAAAATCCGAGCCGTATTCACGATTCTTGCTTTTTTTCGGTAAATAGAACCAAGATAGTTATCAGTTATAACCTTTCCTTACTATTAGAGTCAAATAAAAAAAGATGAAAAAAATCCAAGAAAATCCGGACTTAAAAAAAAGTGTCATGGCTTTTTATTTTTTTCGCGATGTTTACAAGCAAAAAATCACTGAGTTTTGAAAGAACACATTTTGAAACCACGACCTTTTTTTGTTTAAAAATACTTTATTGAGGCTTTAAAAGGCCAAAGTAGAAGGCGCTTTGCCGTTTTCAGTTTTATTTCCGGAAAGCTTGTCAAAAAAACTCGAAACGGCAGAAAGAATACCAAAAAAAGAGCCTGCCGCGAGTGAATTGTAAAAAAAAAGTAGTTTACCAACTATTTAGTGTTTTTTTTTTTGACAGAATATCAATCAAGTATAATCGGATTTTAAGTTTTCCAGGCAGCATCAAGAAGGATGCTCGAAAGAGGAATCGCCGTGTCGACTGAAGATTGCGGCGCCGATGGAAAACCACTGAGCGAAGGAGCTTCTCAGTTCGAAATCCACATCCCGATCCCCGGAGAAAACGCGTCTTTTGCACAGAATTATGGTTCAGAAACCCTTCTTTCCAGAAAATTGATCTTTCTATTTCAAGTTTCAAAATGGTACGAAGAGATGATGGCGGCGGACGGCGTCTCCAACGACAGTTTCACTACTTTGAAAGAGTTTCGCCTCGAAAAAAACTTCCTTCAGTAACTTTTCCGGTTTCCAGTCGCTTCTCTCTTGGCGAATGCTCTAGACCGTTGTTCGTGCTTCCCGAAGACGTCAAATTCGAATTTATTCGGCACTCCGGTCTTCGCGATCATCTCCAGGTCCGGAAGCCCCTCATGAGTTCTCCTGGACCGTTCAGCTCCTTCAGGACACTATAAACACTCGTTCAATCCCGCTGGAACAACGAGTCGGAGACCTTCTGGCCCTGAAGGTCTGCTTCAATCTGCCTTCTGGCGCCTACGCCACTGTCGCTCTTCGAGAAATCACCAAGGCTGATATGGGAAAGGCCGCCATGAAGGTTGGTTCGAAGGGGAGAGCACTCTCAATTGTTCAAAAAATTGGGGTATAATCGAAAGGATCAAACTCGCGTTCTTCAGAGTCATCCTAAAAAAATTATAATTCTAAAAAAATTATATAAGTTATAATCCATTGATCCCAAAAGGGGTCATTAAAATATTAGTGGTCTAGTGACCTCTATAGTGAACATTAAGTTTCATCCATTGATCCCAAAAGGGGTCATTAAAATATTAGTGGTCTAGTGACCTCTATAGTGAACATTAAGTTTCAACCCCTTAAGTGACTACTAATTTGACTATTTTAGTGGCCACTAAAACGTCAAAACCCTATAGAGCCCACTAAAAATTTTCCCTGTATTTTGATGAACCATCCGTAATTGAAAACGAAGACGTGAATGTTTTTATTTTCGAAAAAATATCCATTTTCTTAAAAGAAAGTTGGATGAAATCTATACTAACACGTGTAAGGAGTGAAGTGTAGAACAAGTTAAAATAGGCGGGGTCCGAGAATCTGCGACGTTTGACCGAAGAGGCAAAGGAAAAGTTGGCCGAAGCTGTCGATGTTATCGACGAGGCGGCCGAAACCAAAGAAGAACTCGCCGATGTCGCCGTCAAAGAGGAAATGAGCGAGAAATCAGCTCTGAAAGAGGAAGCCCCCGAAAGTTTCGCCCTAGAAGGTGGCCTTGAGGCCGAACTTTGAACCTTTTTCGGTTCTCTTTGTTGTTGTTGTTGTTTTTGTTGACCTTGATATTTTGCATTGTTGAACGGTATGAGATTCTTGATTTGTACAATTTATTTACAAATTAAAGTTTTTTCTTTTCAAAATCTATTTTCCTGGCAAAGTGCTGCCCACAACGGCACCTTGAACGGCTCCAGTGATGGCTCCGGCGGCTGCTCCGACCGGGTCTGGAAAAACTTTTGTAAAAAAATAAAAAGAAATCCTTTCGATACAAGTTTCAAGGTTATGATATCAAAGTTCTTAGTAATCGCTCGAAAATCAAGTTCAAATTTCAAAATGTTTCCTTTTCTTCAATAATTACTTTCTGCAAGATTACGAGATTGTCTATTTTTTTGAAAAATCGATTTTAACCATTTTTAACGACAATAAACAGTCGATTTCTGATTTTTTTATCAATTCATGACGTTTTTTAGTTGAACTTTGGAAACGGAAGGAAAATAATTAAGCTTTTTTTGCAAAAATTATTTCAATATTTTTCAAAGTTACTTCCTGTGAGCATTTGCGCAAAAATAAATAAAAAGAACTTGAGACCAAAAACTCAAATTCGTGATATAAATCTGCAAAAATGATATCAAAGAAGACATGACTCACTGGGCACAACCGGATAGACGACTGGCGGGCCGTATAACTGAGCGAAGGCCTGGGAAGCGAAGAAGGCAACGAGAAGAAGGGCGAAAAGCGCTTGGGACAACATATTCAGAAAGTATTCCGTTAATTTGGAATGGTTTGTCTAGTTTAACTGCAGCATTTTATACCGCCCGGTTGTTTTCCGATGTTTACCCGTTGGACTGTTCAAAGAATCAACGTGCACGTCTTCAAGGAAAACAATGACATCATTCGCGAGTTTGCAACGGAAAGAATAGTCGATCACCAAAGTTTCTTATTTTCTTCCTTTCTCTAGTATGTTAGGAACTGATTTTTGTTGACCACCGCGACGGCCGGCTCGTTCTTCTTGTTGAAAACGTCGTTGTTCAGCGCGGCGAGCGTCTGAAAAAAGTGATTTTCTGAACCTTCTTTTCTTTTCTGCCATATAATGGTTTCCGGGATTTTTTTTTTTTCATGTTTGTGTTTCTCATTTTGATCAGAGCGGTTTGAGTATTTTCTTGTCCGATTCGAAATTTAAAATATTCTAAGGCTTTTCCATTTTACGGAAAATAACCTGCAGCGAGTCAAGTACAGAGTTCAGCCAAAAAAAAGTTTTTTTCCGAGTTATTTTGCAGCTTTCTAGAATATTCAGGCGAAAGGAATTCTAATAAAAATCATAAAACTAGTAGATTTTCTGTTAAAAAGAATCATTCAATGACCTGATAGTTGGGATCGTAGGTGCCGACCATTTGATGCTTTTCCGGCGCTTTGACCTGCGGAAGTCCTCCTCCGACTTCTGGTTTTTTTTCTTGGAAACAGTCGGGGTTCAGTCCGGCTAGAGTCTGAACTTGAACTTGATCTTATGTTTTGTTGATGAAACTAGCAAGGACGGTAAGTGTATGTGAAGTGCAAATTTTGGAGTTTTTCAAAGGTTTGCAAACGATTTGAAAGTTCAGTTAACCTGGTAATTCGGATCATATGTGCCAACCATGCCTCCTTTTTCAGGAGCTTTCGGAGCTGGAGGAAAACTCTGGAATGATAAAAATGTTCTCCCTCCCATACATTTAAAATTTGAACGATTCACCCCATTGGCGTTTTGGACAACGTCCGCTACAGCAAACGGATCAGCTGCCTTGTTTGGAGGGACAACGTTTTGAGATTTGTATCCGTCCTGATTCAGAGGACTTCTCTTCAAAAACAAAATAAATAAATGAAAGGGAGAAAATATCCTTACCGAAGTTGCTTTGCTTGCTTTTTTCTTGCGATGCTTTACGCTCTGGAAAAAAAAATTGACTGTTATAAGTGTTACATTTTATTTCATTGAATCCTCTCAAGTTATTGCGATGAATTACAATATTCTGTTTTTCGTATACCAATGAAGATTCAAAAGCAACACTTCTTAAAATTTAAAAAGGTTGAAACCTTCGTCACGGACGCCGACTCCGATAATGACGATGACTCCTTTTCCGCCGTCTTAAACTGAAGATTAGAAAAATTCCGGATTTTCACTACCTTCTTATTATTTGATGCGCATGATGGGATCAGAAAACCGACAAGAAGGACAAAAATCACATCCATCAACATCTAATCAATGATAAATCGAAGTCGTGAAACCAAAAATCATTCTAACCTTCTCTGGGATGAAAGGCTGATAATAAACCAATAAAAAAATTAAATGAAGTGGATCGACGAGACATCACGTTTTGATTAATTTATCATTATTTTTTTGATTCAGAGTTCTTAGGAATCCTTAAGAAATGAAACATCCACAACTATCTGATGATTTCGAGCCAATTTTCGGATTCTCACTTTTCAGAAAAATTTGAACTTTCTTGATCTACTTTTCCAGTTTAAACAGGATTTGAGTTTCAGACTTAAAAAAAGAAAAATCAATGGATCTTTTTCTCGATTAGTTGTAGAAAATAGCTGGTGGTTAGGCTGAAAAAGCAACTCTTACATAAAACTTAACTAAAAAGAAAAATAAAAACAATTTTTTCCCCAATAATGTCCAAGTTTCAAGGATTTTCCCTTTGAACATGAGAAAAAACCCAGAATAAAATGGACTTTACATCTTTTCAAAATCTCATGCTACTTTCAGTTTTCCCCTAAAATATATTCTTTAGAGTCGTTGTGGATGAGCCGTTTAACTCGAGCTCGCAAAACTCATTTTCGGGAAAAGTTTTTCCGGTGAGAGAAGGACACGAAATGAAGAGGTCCAGCGGGCTTCGCAAATTGAAACCTGTGGCCAGCGAATTTCCGAGTTGGTCCCGAAATGCTTCTGGTGTTGATCGCCTTGTTGACCGTGCCATGCCTGCAGATTGAACTCGGCCAAAGTCCTCGGAAATCCCTGATTCCGACTGAAAGACCCGTCCGCGAGGATGTCAATATCGCCGTTGTTTATCAGGTATCGTGGATTTGATAAAGATTTATAGCACGTTCAGGCTAATATTCGGAAGATAGATGCTATTTTGAAAAATAGCCTTTGTAAAAGTTTGGTCATAAGTTTTTTCGAAAGGAAAATATTTTTCGATATTTTAAATCAATACGGAAATAATGCTTTTATTGATTCTAACGGAAGCGAGAAGTTTTATTATGAAGGTTGAAAAAAGGCTCGATAGAAATGTTCCTTTAGGGTGGCAGAGGTTTCTTTTTTGCTGCCTTTTTGTGCCAGTTCATCGGCTCTTATGCACCATTTTTTCTGCCTCTCCTATTTTCCACCATTTCTTGAGCTTTTAGAATCCCAAAAAAAATTGAAGGCTCGATCTTTTTGCTGCCATTTGCTGCCTTTCTGCGGCTTTTCTCGAGCCCCTCCCTTTTAGCGGCCAATATCCACCATTCGGACCTTGCCCGAGAATATTGATCATCAATTATTTTCAACAAGGGCTTCATCTGCGTTTTTCAGCACTACGCTGGGAGGTCCAAGTCGTACGACAAAGCTTTCAAGGAAGTCATTCGGAAGATCAACGACGCCACGGCTGTTTCGTTAGCTTTATCGCCAAGAAAAAATAAAACAAAAATTCTAGGTCCCTGAGAAGACTGGCTCAGCGCTACACGTTCAGCGCCGTCGACTGCATCCTTCCCACCGGCGCTTTTTTTGTCCGTGAAGTGCTCGACTGTCTTTGCAACAACATCACTACCAATAATGTGGGGCTTCCGAGAAATAACACTGCTTCCGTGTCAACTCACTAAGAATGACTGCCGAGATGAAAGCGATGTCGGTGGCGGTACATTGTCTTCGCGTCGATCTCGCATTTTTCTCGGCTCGATTTGTTAAAAAATTTTAAAGCTTTTTTTTAGCTCGTGAGAAAAACGGAAGTTGCGATGTTGCGGCAAGAAAAAGCGAAAGAAATTTTTGAGATATTTGTAAAACAAGCTTCGGAATGTTCAGTGAGGAAAACTTGATTTTAAAAAACTTTATCAGGTTACGAGAAACAGGTTTGATGTGTTCATGATCCAGGTAGCCCTCATCATTTTCGTCACGGCTTCTGAGACTTACGACCAGACGACAGCCGCTGAACAGTATTTTCTGACCGCCGCTAGTTACACTGGGATCCCGATCATCGCCTGGAACGCCGACAACGCCGGGTTCACTTTCGAGAAGGTACAAGAGTCGGAGTGACAAAGAAAGTGTTCGAGGTGAACATCGGCAGATCTGTTCCAAGCTTCTGTGAAAACAAGGGGCTTAACTATTTTGAGCCTTACTCAATGCAAAAAATAACGTTCAACTTACTCTTCAGGACCTCAGCCCTTACCGCATCATCCAAATGGCTCCTCCTATCGAGCATCAGATTAGGTTTCATTTTTTTCTTAATTCTCGAATGTTCTCAAATTTACAGAGCAATGATTGCTCTTCTGCAACGGTACAACTGGCCCAAATTTGGTGTTGTGACGTCACGAATGGCCGGAAGCGAGGAATTCGTCCAGGCCGTCAAGGATCAACTAGAAGGCGTCGCTAATAAATCTGCCAAGTGAGGATTCAGAAAACAAGTCAAACTACAGAAATTTTTTTTACTGCTTTAACCAATTTTTGAGACTTTTTAAAAATTTTTTATAAGCAAGGAATTTCCAAATTTTCTTCAATTTTCTATATTTTGAGGTACGAAATGATATACCACTGCCGTATCGACACGAAAAACGAGACAGAAATCGATAACAAATTGGCTGAATTGAAGAAAAATCAAGCCAAAATTATTCTACTCTACGCGAATGCAGCCCAGGCTATCACTATTTTCGCGGTTTTTTATCGAAATTAAATTATCCGATTTCAAAGAAAACCCAATCAGAACGCGGAGAAACACGAACTTCTCGGGGAGAACTATCTCTGGATCGGCTCTCAATCCGTCAAAGGAACTCAAAATATCGTCAAAGGGGCCGCTCAACCCGGCATGCTTTGTGTCAACTTTCATACTGGTCATTTTTTTTTCATATCTTCTTTTTTTTTAAGTTTTTACAAATCTAATAATTAACTCACTTCGAAAAAAACCTAGATAACAATTTTCCGCTTCAAGACCTTCATGAATTTCGCATATGTTCCTTTAACCACCTCAACGAGGATTTTTGAACATTTCATTGAAAGAAAAGTATGGCTTTGGGGGGCTTTTTGCATTCAATATCACCGACATAGTGGTAGCTGATATATTCCAGAAAATTACTTGGGAGTTTCACATGAAATGAGGGAAGAATTACAGTATCCAACGCAATGTTCGCTCCAAGGGACGACATCCTACCGTTGATCATTCAGTTGGCTCCCAAGGTTTGAAAATGATGTACGAAATCTTCTGAGAGCTTTTCTAAACAATGTAATTCCAAAAAAGATCAATTTTTTTCATTCTACGTGACGCCGAAGAAAAAAGAAGAAAAAAAGTATTTTTTATACAAGTTAAACAATAACTTTTTTTTTGAAATTTTACTTGTAGGAAAATAAACGAAATACTTGTGTTAAGAAGATAGTTCAAGGTGAAGAACGAAGGCTAGGAAAAGGTGTTCCGAACTCACCAACAAGGAAGATCATTTCAGTTTTTGGTTGACGCTTTTCTGGAAATTGATCTGGTATGAGCCTTCTGACCAGTGTTCAGGTTATCAACCGTAAAGTGAAATTACCTTCCTACTACTGTACCTTCAAAAGAAGTTCGCTTAATTGAGTTGTTCGGAGCGGCGTTGCTCCAACTGCGAGCCAACGAATCGTTTCCGTTGCGGTCAACGGCCGCCTGTAAATCCGACGACGGACCGCCCATCTGGGACAACGGCGCCGTTCTCTATGAGTCAGTTGGTCTCTAGTTGAACTCACTGTTTTGAAACAAAATAACAGAGATCCAAAGAGGAGTCAATATAGTAGGGCTGTGTGAGATAGAAAAAGTATCCTTGGTTTCTTCAATTTTGAATATTTTTTGAAATATCTGTTGAAGAAGCCAAAAGGTTCCTCTTTCTAATTTCTCTGATTCATACCGTGGTTCGACATCCATGGTCGCAGGTTGTATGACCTAAAGCCTAAATGCTTCAGACCAAAAACGGCTTACGTTTGGCCAACAAAAATGAGGTTTTCATTTATCTACCTTTCATAGGTTGTCATATGATTTCCTGCTCCAATTCTGAATTTTTTTTTTCCAATAACTTCTCCAATCAGTGCGAGGAAATTTATAGACACATGAAGACGGCTTTCGTGAAAGGGAATCCGTTCCACGTCGACGACGGCCATGATTCTTTCTTCTACACCTTCGATAAAAATGGAAGATTGAAAAACTCCGTTCTTCAAATTTCCAACCTACGGACCAATTCCAAAGGAGAGAAACACTGGGAAAAGGTTGGTCATCTCGCCGTCGGTCCTGTGGTGTAGTGGTTATCACGTCTGCTTCACACGCAGAAGGTCGCCGGTTCGATCCCGGCCAGGACCTTTTTGCCTTTTTTTTTCAAGTTTGCAATGTGGTGGTTTTGAGGTTGGGATCTTTACCAACAACGAGTTGAAAATGGCCGATGTGCAATGGCCTGGCGAACGAGCGAATCCGCCACAAGGAACTGCTGATAAGTTTCATGTCAAGGTGACGAGAAGACTGATAGAGTTATTTATAGTTTAGAGCCGGGAAAATGATTTAGCACCCAATAAAATGTATTTGATGAACTGTTAACTTCGGTCAAGATTCGAAGGATCAGAGATTTTTCATGAAAGTGGTCTGGAAACTATTGTCTTTTTTAAAAATCCGTGCGACAAGCTAGAGGTGTTTCATTTCCAGAATAAAGAAATTTTGAACGTTTTCGAAATTTTTTTCTGCCTCCATTTTCTCTTGACCTTTCCCCCAATAAATGCAAGATGAAGAGTTGGACAAAATGAATATCAGATTTGAGGTCGTCACATTACACGAACCGCCCTTCATCACCGTTTCCGACGTGGATCCCGACACTCAAACTTGTCCGGGGAACCAGGTGAGGTTAGGAAGTCGTGAAAGATTGAAGAATACAGAGAAATCACTTTACAAAAAATTTAATTTAAAAAGGCCCAAAAACGCGAATCGACCTGCTCGGGCCTCCGTAACAGAAACCGGACGTTTTCGAGCACTTCTAGGGTCCACTTAAAAGTTTTGACGCTACTAAAGGGGTCACTAGAAATGCTCCGCCTCGGGTTACCAAGGTTCGAGAGGTTAGGAAAACTTTTTCTTGTTGTCCATGGAGCGCATAAGCTATTTTTCCCGTAGTTCATTTTGTTCCTTGTTTTTTTCACATTTTGATACAATCCGATTTCAATGGAAAAACCACTAGAAAGATCCCAAGTTAATTTTTCTGATAACGGAGCGAACCTTCCGCAGTTTTCCTTTTTTTTTCTTCTCACCTTCAAATCCCCACAAAAAAATAGCATAACTTCCTTAGGGCTCGATTTGCGACTGGGGAGACGAAGAGTACGAGCCGGAGCCTGGGATCAAAAAGTCAAGCAAAAACTGAAGATTTGAACTAAATAATTTTGGATTTTCTCAGGAACCGAACACTCTGGAAGTGTTGCTCAGGTTATTGTGTCGATCTACTGAATAAATTGGCCGGAGACATCGGCTTCACTTACACTCTGTACAAGGTCCGGGATGAGAAATGGGGATTGAAAACGGTGAAGAAAAAGAATTATTGAATAATTGGATGGGAGTAACAGGAAAACGGTTGGAATGGATTGATTGCGGATCTAACCAATAACAAGGCAGACATGTGTGTCACGTCTTTGAAGGTCTAATTTTCCTGAAAATTCAAAAAAAGAAAGTTTTTGACTTTCAGTTGAACTCGGAAAGAGCTCGTGATATCGATTTTTCCCTGCCTTTTCTGGACACCGGCATATCGATTATTGTGAAAATCCGCAGCGGAGTTCTCAGTCCAACGGCTTTTTTAGGTATTTAAGTATAAAAAGGAAAAGTTGTGAGACAATAAAAGTTCATTTTGGAATAAAAAATCTAAATGAGAAAGGGGGGAATCAAAGGAAGTTTGTTCAGTTGGAACATGAAAAAGTTGAACGAATTTTACTTTAGTAAAGTATCCTGTAAACCAAATCCAAGCCCCTTTGGGTTTTTTCTTTGAAACCCTTGAAAGGCTTTGTCGAAGTTATCGGAAAAGGGCCAAAAAATTGTGCATTTCTATAAAGTTTTGCCGAAGTTCTCACTCGATGATGGTCGATTGGCCCTGAAAGTCAAAAAAAACGGTCTCAATTTTTTTTTCACAGATTCATCTTGTCTATGAGTCTGCTTTGGGTTATATCAATTTCATGCCTTTGTTCTATAAGCTTCTGAATTTAATCTAGAATAGGTCTGAATGCTGCTCGTTAAGGCACCATTTGAGCGTTTCAGTGTCCAATGAATCATTGGCAATTTTATCTCATATCCCAATCTAGGGACCGCAGACGAATTTTCAAAAAATTTTTTTCAGCATTGAGTTTTGTATGGTTTGATAGCTGTTTCGATTTAAAACTCAGAACCGTTTAGTTTTTCAAAAAAGATTGAGGATGAAAAAAGTTATGACGAAAAATGTGGCGCGCCGCGCACCATTTTTTTAGTACTGAAATTTTGGTATTATCCATTTTTGACATTTTTCTCGATTTTTCTTCTAAACAAGTTTTGATACTGGTTTATTATGATGTAACAAATCATAATGGAGTGCTAAAATAATTGAAATTTGCTAGTTTGCCGAAAAAGTCGGTATTTTCCAGAAAACAAAAAAACTGACGCTTGCGGGCATCGAACTCGCGACCTCAAAATGAATGTTCGCAGCGCACGCGCTGCGCCAAGCTGTCAGGTCTTGCAAGGGGAGCCTCCATCCGCCATACCCTTGAGCCATTTAAATAGCACAGATTGCCTATTTCAAAAAAATAAAAAAACTTGAAGTAATTCAGCTATTTTTTTATCAGAATATGTTCGCAAATCTTCACTCAAACTTTCCGTGAAAATTCACTTCGAAAAAAAACTGTTTTTTTAGTGCTTTTTTTCCTCGTTTAACGATCGCTGCCTTAAAAACAGCCCCGTAAAATTTTTTTGGCAAAGACGAATTTTTTTATTTTATTCTTTTTAATTGAAAGATTTTTTTACTAATAAATGTATATAATCGTTTGAAAAAAACCTGCGTTCGATCGCTTTCTGTGTGATAAACGCCGCTAATTTTTATTCTCTAGTTTCAAGAGCATTTTTTTGCGTATTAAACAACTATTTCAAGCACAGATGCTGTGGAGAAATATTTAAGTAAGCCCATGGTCTAAATTTTTGAAAAAAAACTCGATTATATTCGCTTATTAACGATATTTTGAATTATGACTTTCGGCACTCCCTAAAAATTTTTTTGGCAAAGACGAATTTTTTTATTTTTATTTTTTTAAAAATTATCTTTACTTGAATCAAAAATCAATATTTCAAAAAAAGAAAGAGTGCGTTCGACCTGAAAACACATGAAAAAAAGCAAAAAATGACAAATTTTTTTAGTTCCATTCACGTTTTTGTACGACATTCCGCGAGAACGCATCAAAAAAGCGTGAAATATTTTTTAAACGAAAGAGGAAGCTTTTCTGTACATGTGTGTCAAAATTTATTATCCAGTTCTACATATTTTGCCACTACAACAAAATGAAAGTTGAAAACCAAAAAAAAGCCACTTTTTCTATCGCGAAAAGGGGCGTGGCTTTGCGGTCCCTATCCCAATCATTCGTTTTCAATGGAGATCTCAATTATCGATTCCGCACTTCAGAACCTTTCGAATACTCGACATGGGTCGTTATTTTATTCGTTTGTATCCACGTGGCCGCCATCTCGATTTTCGTTTTTGAATGGGTCTCGCCTTATTCTTTCAACATGCAGAAGTACCCGCCGCCAGGTGAAGCCATTTCTGCAAACGGAACACGAAAAACGGACTTTGATTTTGAAAAAAGGAAAACTTTTTTAAACCTTCAAATAGGCTTTTTTTGAATCAAAAAAGCTAGTTGCCCTTTGATTATGTCATGAATTGAATGAAAATTTTGGTAAATAAAAGTTTCATTTGCAGTTTTCCATTCGATCCTTGAGATGAAGTCGAAACTGAATTTGGAAAACTTTTGTCTCTCTTTGAACTCAGAGTTTGCAAAAAGAAGATTCTCATTATCTGCTCACGCAAATAAGAGAAAAAAGATAAAAAAGTCGAGAACCTTTTCTACGGTTTCAAGCCAAGCCTAAACTTCAACATATTTAAATGTGCTCATCTCACTTCTAATGTTGTGTAGCAACCTGTTCAGACCACAAGTTCTCCTTATTCCGATCCTACTGGCTCGTCTGGGCGACTCTATTCAGTGCCAGCGTCACCACTGGTTTTTTGTTCCCATCTGAATCTATTCCCCGAAGTTATTTGCAGACGTCCCGAAATCGACAGTTTCCCGGCTGATGGCCTTGGTTTGGGCCGCGTTCGGACTGACTTTTCTGGCGGTTTATACGGCCAACTTGGCGGCTTTTATGATCACCCGTGTGCAGTTCTACGATCTCAGTGGGATCCATGATCCGATGGTAGAAAATTTGATTTTTAGCAAGCCTTCGGAAAGGTACGGACTAGGTTGTCCAAAAAGTTCTTGCGGTTTTTTTTCCGACTTCAAACGATTTTTATTCAGATGAAAAAGTTTCCGAAACTACGAAAAATTTAATTAACTCGGTTTGAAATTAAACGGCTACACTACAAAACTAAATCAGACCAGATTCTTTGAAAAAATTTTAATCTTCACTAAGCCAGCTTAAAATTTCGTAAAAAAATCTTTTTCAAGTAGTTTTCTGATGAAAATATTCCCTAATGGTAGATTACCATAAAATAAATCGCTTTAGCTTAAAAGTGAGATCTAAAGGATTCCTACAAGGGTATTTTTCCGGAAGAAAGACAAAAAAGGGGTTTATTTTTAATCGTACCTCTATTTGGTTCAGCTCACCTATCCGCAAGATCAAAAGCCGCCATTCCGATTTGGCACCGTCGATGGCGGCAACACCCACGAAACGATGAAGCGCAACTGGCAGAAGTTGTCACTTTAGGGATGTTCTGAACACTTTCAATCTTTCAGTATGCATGAGTACGTGAAAAAGAATAAATTCTTTCGGATGAATATTTCCGCTGGAGTCGACGCCGTCAAAAATGAGTTTTTCATCAATTCATCGCGAAATTTCTTCATTTTCCTTTTTAGAGAGCTTGACGCCTTCATTTACGATGCTGTTGTTCTGGATTATTGGGCGGGAAAAGACGCCAACTGCGCTCTGATGACTGTGAGTTTCCCCTAGAGGGATTTGGCTCATTCAAGTTCGTCTCTGAGGTCGGGAAATGGGCCAGTATGACGGGTTACGGTATCGGCTTTCCGAAGAACTCACCGTACACTTCCGTCGTCAATCAGTACATGCTACAGTATCAGCAGAAAGGTTTTAGTAGATGAGGAGTGAACTTTTCTTGGAATCTCACAACGAAATTCAAAAAGAAAAAGAAATCAATGTTTGATCTTCAAAATCTTTAAAGTATAATACGTACCAATCTCAAGAATTTTTCTCTCTCATGCTTCTATCAGCTTCCAGGAGACCTCGAACGCCTCCAGAACTTCTGGCTGACTGGCGCCTGTTCTCCTGACAGCCACAGTCAAACTCATTCGGCGCCTCTAGGAATCGAGAATTTCCTCTCGGCTTTCGTTCTTCTGGCTGGTGGAAGTGTTCGTTTCTCACATGGAACTTTATTCAAACTTGGTGTAACGTTTTTAAAAATGCTCATTGTCTAACATTTGAAAAGATTCTGACCGAATCGAGGAACAGGCGCGAAATACTTCCCAATTAATTCCCAAAAACTGGGATGACTTCCGGAGTGGTCCCCGTGGGTGTTAGGGGAAATAGCCTCTATACACTGCGACCCATAATTATAGACCCACCCTAATTTCTCCGTTTTTAAGAAAGATTGAAGAACTTTCAGCCACCAAACTTTTTTTGTGATAAACCTTGTTGATAAGGAACATAATCATAATATAATTATCAATCACCCAGTTGAAAAGTTTTTTTCAAGATACGAGAAAAATCTGATTTTTTTGACCGACCCAGAATTATAGACCCACCCCAGAGTTTTTCCGAGTTTTTCGTTTTCAGGTAACACGTTTTTTTCCTGTTTTTTTCAGTGGTATATAAGAGAAAAAAAGTCCTCGTGTATCACTATAAGCTATAATGCCTAAATCTACTCAACTTGATAATACCGAAAAAGCGGTAATCGATGCTCTACTCAACAACGGCTTGTCCCATCGGGAAATCGCTCGTCAGACGGGTCGCTCAAGACGAACAATTGACCGTTATGCAAGGAATCCGCAAGAATACGGCACAGCAATACATTCTGGACGGCACAGGCTGCTATCGGTTCAAGCTGAACGAGACGTCTGTCGAAAAGCATCAAACTCTAAAAAGTCCGCCAACCAAATCAGATCCGAAATTCCTGAAAACGTCTTGAAGAACACCATCTTACGAACAATTCATCGGTCCTGTCGACTTGTGAATACTCCAATGAAGGCAGCAACTCGTCTACAGCAACGCCATATGAATGAACGGCTCCAGTTTGCACGCTCTAACATGGCCACGGATTGGAATAAGGTCTCCATTTTTTCTATCACCTTATGATAGGGACCGCAAAGCCACGCCCCTTTTCGCGATAGAAAAAGTGGCTTTTTTTTGGTTTTCAACTTTCATTTTGATGTAGTTGTAAAATATGTGGAACTGGCAAATAAAATTTGACACACTTGTACAGAAAAGCTTCCTCTTTCGTTTAAAAAATATTTCACGCTTTTTTGATGCGTTCGCGCGGAATGTCGTACAAAAAAACGTGAATGGAACTAAAAAAATTTTGTCATTTTTTTGCTTTTTTTCATGTGTTTTTCAGGTCGAACGCACTCTTTCTTTTTTTAAATAATGATTTTTGATTCAAGTAACGAAAAATTTTTAAAACAATAAAATAAAAAAATTCGTCTTTGCCAAAAAAATTTTTAGGGAGCGCCGAAAGTCATAATTCAAAATATCGTTAATAAGCGAATATAATCAAGTTTTTTTGTTTTTTTAAAAATTTAGATCATGGCCTTACTTAAATTTTTTTCTTCACAGTATCTGTGCTTGAAATAGTTGTTTAATACGCAAAAAAATGCTCTTGAAACTAGAGAATAAAATTAGCGGCGTTTATCACACAGAAAGCGGTCGAACGCAGGTTTTTTTAAACGATTATATACATTTATTAGTAAAAAAATCTTTCAATTAAAAAGAATAAAATAAAAAAATTCGTCTTTGCCAAAAAAATTTACGGGGCCGTTTTAATGCAGCGATCGTTAAACGAGGCAAAAAAAGCACTAAAAAAACAGTTTTTTTCGAAGTGAATTTCCACGAACCGTTTGAGTAAAGATTTGCAAACATATTCTGATAAAAAAATAGCTAAATTACTTCAAGTTTTTTTCTTTTTGAAATAGACAATCTGTGCTATTCAAACGGCTCAAGGGTATGGCGGATGGAAGCTCCCCGCGTTGGACCTAACAGCTTGGCGCAACGCGTGCGCTCCGATTTTACATTTTGAGGTAGCGAGTTCGATGCCCGCAAGCGGCAGTTTTTTTGTTTTTCTGGAAAATACCGACTTTTTTTCGACAAACTAGCTGATTAGCATCATTTTAGCACTCTAGTATGATTTGTTACATCATAATAGACCAGTATCAAAATTTGTTCTAGAAGAAAAAAATCGAAAAAAATGTCAAAAAAATGGATAATACCAAAAATTTCAGTACTAAAAAAATGGTGCGCGGCGCGCCACCTTTTCCGTCATAACTTTTTTCATCCTCAATCTTTTTTGAAAAACTAAACGGTTCTGAGTTTTGAATCGAAACAGCTATCGAACCATACAAAGCTCAATGCTGAAAAAAATTTTTTGAAAATTCGTCTGCGGTCCCTAAGCCTTATGATTTCCAATTTTTCTGTTCAGATCATCTTAAGCGACGATAAGAAGTTCAACCTTGATGGGCCAGATGGGTACGCTCACTACTGGAGAGATTTGAGGAAAGATCCGATGTGCTTCTCCAAGAGAAACTTCGGCGGCGGCAGCCTCATGGTCTGGGCGGCTTTCTGCGGCAACGGGACGGTAGCTCTTTCTTTTATTGGGACCAGAACGAATCAGCAAGACTACCAGCAACTGCTTGCCCAGCATCTCCTGCCCTATCTCCGTCGCCGACGACGTGCTAATATGATTTACCAACAAGACAATACATCTGTTCACGCGAGCAACTACACATTGGCTTGGTTTGCGGCCAATAACGTGGTTCTTCTGGACTGGCCCGCGTGCACTCCTGACCTGAACCCTGTAGAGAATTTATGGTCAGTCCTTGTACGAAGGGTCTACGCAAATGCCAAGCAGTATACAACGGTCAAAGATCTGAAAAGAGCGATTCGTGCCGAGTGGGATGGTTTGGACAAGTCACTGCTGCAATCACTCGTTGGCAGCATGCCGAACAGGATTTTCGAAGTCGCTCAGAAACAAGGAGGCATCACACATTATTAATTAATCTTTTTTGTTATACTTTGTTGACTTTGTGAAATGAATTTTTGTTGATTACTTATAGTGGGTCTATAATTCTGGGTCGGTCAAAAAAATCAGATTTTTCTCGTATCTTGAAAAAAACTTTTTCAACTGGGTGATTGATAATTATGATATGATTATGTTCCTTATCAACAAGGTTTATCACAAAAAAAGTTTGGTGGCTCAAAGTTTTTCAATCTTTCTTAAAATCGCAGAAATTAGGGTGGGTCTATAATTATGGGTCGCAGTGTATGGGCAAGAAAAGTGGTTCCTATAGGTTTTCAGGATCTGACCCCTATGACCCTAGAGCTTAAGTGTCCTCTATAGGGGTTTTTCAACTTAATTTTAAAACACTTCTTTATTTAATGTTCCACATGGAGGTGCTTTTTCGCATAGAACACATAAGAATTGTCGACTAGCTTGTCCCCTATAGGGACCACTAACTAAATCCCTATAGGGACAACTTTTGCAACCTTGAGTGACTCCTATAAGGGTTGGTAAAGTGGTCCCTAGAGGGGATCCTTCGAGAGACCTGAGATTTAGGAAAAAGGGAACTACAGTAACCTACGCCCTATCCAATGAATCACGTTTGAAAAGAGAGATAAAAATTGATCTTTTGGATTCTTTTCCATTTTTTTCTAAATTATTTGAGAATTCTTATTTTCCTTGGGTAATGATCGCTTAGACATCATTGTTGGGTTGATTGAACGAGGAAAAAGTCAAGAAGATTTTGAAAGTGATGGTCTTTTCATTCCCTAAAAACTAAATTTATCATGTTTGTTGAAAGAAAGTCTGTAAGTGGTCCCTTAAGGCAATATTATAGACCTGTGTCTGGTTCCTGAGTGATCTCTGAAATAGACGAAAACATGTTTTGTTACTCTAACTCTGAAACATTTCTCTACAGATCGTCGCGGTGTTGGTTCTGGGCCTGGAGAACATCTACTGCATGCATCTGCGGAAACCTCTGCAGAAGCTCGACCCGAGGGGCTGGTGTGGAATCATCAGCATGGTGGGCACATCTAGACGTAGACTACAATGGATCCAAAAGAGCAACCGAAAAGATGATGATAAACGGAGAGAAAAAAGGGCAACGGAGATGTTTTTCTGTGGGATTTCCCCGTGAAAAAGTGGGTCGGTCGCCGGTTGGACTCTCTTTCGACGTCACGCAATTTGATCTGTTTTGAGATCAGCATTAACTACGGAGCTTGACAAGTTTTCCGACGAGATCACGTGGCGTTCCGAAAAAAAAAAGACCCGCCGAACAAACAATCGTGGTGACGAAACAGGCTTTGGCTAGCATGAAAAGTGATCCGTAGATGCGATACTGTAACTACTCGGTTGACTTTGAGTCATTAAGTGATCACTAAAGTGATATGAGGGCCTTCTTTAGGTCGAATCGACTTCTTAAGCGCGAGTGGAGTCAACTTGAAGTTGAAGAAACCGAATTTTTCGAGAAAAGGAAAGTTGGAATCTTGCGAGAAAACTCTACAATAGATAACTCGCTTCTAGTGCCCTAAGAAAACTTTTTCAGTGGAAATGAGAAAAAAACTGCAAAAACACGAAACTTGGCAAGGCTTTTAGATGTAAGACGCTCGTTAATTTGAAAATATATACCCAGCTTTGATTTTTCAAAAAGTCTGAGATTCAAAAGAAATGAAAAATTCATAATAGAAAAGGTTTCTATATTCCAGACAAAAATAATTTTTTTCAATTTTTTTCTATACCAAAAAAACAATTTCTAACCTCATTTTTTTGACTTCTATACTTATCTCACATATTTAATTCGGCCAAAGAGCTTTTCATGAGAAATAACTTGAAATTTCAAACTTTGAAAGTTAAACTCCAAAAAATATTATCGAATGTTTTGAATCAGGCAGGATATCGTCTTGAAATCAGCCACTTTCTAAAAAAATGAACTCAATGACTTTCCAGGCAATGGGCAACTCCCTGTCTTTCCCTGAAGCAGTGGGTCGAGTTCAAGAGTGGCGATCCAGAACTCAGTCTCTGGCCAGCAACACTTCACCTCAGGCGAAACGACGCTCTTTCAGCATGTAATTTGAACACAAAATAATACATTTTTATATGAACTTTTCCAGAAAAAGGCTATCCATGTCGACGAAGCCGCCGACGACGTCTACAAACTCGAAAAAGAACCAATTTTTGGAAGTTGAAACGAATATTTGACTCGATGGAATGTAGATAGATCTGAGAATTATGTTCATGGTCTTTGAAAAAAAAAATTTCCAGGTTTATGAAAAATTTTTCAACCTTTCTCAAAGAAAAAACTCAAATTTATCATGGTTGGGACTGAAAAAAATGTTGGAGTGGAACTTCATATATTGAGAGGGAAAAGAACTGAAAAATTAAGAACCGTTTTAAGCCCATTTTCTTTTTTTTTCCAATTTATTGTATGAAAAACTCTTTGTTGGAGTTTTCGATGCCGAAAGCCCCAGGTATTCTTAATTTCGTTGTGGGACCCCTTTCTATATAAATTTATGCAAGAAAAAAAAATAATACCTCTGGGAAGCCATAGTAATACGGGAACTTTGCGACTTCAAAAAAGGCCAACAGAATTTCTAGATAGCTCATAAAAAGGTTTCGTCGATTTGGCGCCGATTAGACGCATTCAACGAATTTCCAAGATTTCTATCCTACCTGTTCTTCGAAGAATACAGTAACCATGTATGATTACGGTAGGTGAGATGAAAAACAAAAGAGCAAAAGATGAAGGAGGGAATACAGGGGGTTGATCTCTAGAACCCAGCGTGAGAGCGCGCAATTGGTTCCGCGCTGGCCTCAGCATTAATCGGCTTGAGCCGCACCCCGTCCCCTTGCTATTTAACCATTCCCAGAGTCATAGCAAAACCGAAATTCTCCTCGGCTCGACTTAATTACAACTATGATTTCTTCTTCCTCAACTATCTCCATTGTTATCATCACCGTCTGCTTGGTTTCTTTGTCCCGATGCAGAGTGTTCACGGAAGAATGCGTGGCTAGGGTAATCGAAGGCTTGAAAGTTTGGGAACCATCCTAGTTTTTGAAGGCGGACTTCAATTCGTGTGCCCGCTTCAATTCCTGCTGCGATTCGCTCTGTGGCGAGGCGCCGACGATGAGATCGACCTGCACCCTTGACGGAGCCAAAATCAACGCCCTGTACACTGTTTGCATGTGGTGAGCTTCTTTCACATGTGTTTTTCGAGTGGTTTATTACTTCATAAATGCAATCGAAGCATTAGTTCTAGTTTTTCCCAAAAGAATTTTCGAATAATTATTAGAATATACGATTTTGAGCTTTTTTTTTGACTAGGGAATTTTCATTGATTTCACAGTAGGGATGTCGTGTTTCTTTAAAAGTTCAACGGCATTTTTAACTTTTTGCTGATTCGATTATCCTTTTTTCTATTTCTTATCAAGCCTTATGCAGTGTTTTCTGGCTTACCCTCAATTTCGATCATAAAATTGTACGTTTATATATTGACAAAGTCGGAAAGGGTGGAAAAAGGCTCCCTAGAAAATTTTCTTTTAGTCCTTTTTTGCTGCCTTTTTGGACCATTTTTTCGGCCCTTATTCCCCATTTTTGCTGCCTCTCCCTTTTTCCACCATTTCTCGAGCCTTGGAAATGCCAGAAAAATGGAAGGCTCGATAAAGGGAGTCTCTTTGCTGCCTTCTTGCGGCCTTTTTTGAGCCTCTCCGCGACCATTATCCACCATTCCGACTTCACTAGTTTTTCAATTGTTTCTCCGATTTTATGTCGAAATCAGCGTTATTTTTTTTAAAAGCCGGAATTACAGCACGAAATCGCCATCGACAGCCGACCAGCTTCCTCACGAATCCGAAGAATCTGAACGAAAACGAAGCAAAATGTCCCGTCTCGACATAATCGCGACCATCGTCTTCTTCTTCATCGTCGATATGTTGGTCCTCAGCTTCACTTTCTAATCTCTAATCGATTCCCCAACTCCAACTGTACATTATAACTGATCTCGACCTCCGAACGTCCAAGTGGACAGCCCGAAATCGTTGAATTTCGCAAAAGTATTTCATATTGAAACTTGCAACCTTGGAAAATGAAGTCTTTTATTTACAACTGTAAAAATTTTTTCTTCCTATCCAAACATTTCAACAAGAAAATGAACTGAATCAGCCCGGGGATTAGAAAAAAACCGTGAAAAAAAATATCACAGTTAAATTTATCAAAGTTCAAAGTAAAAGTTAGAATCTTCTAAGAAGAAAAAAAGTGAGAAAGAACATCAGACGACAAGAAAAAAATTGAAAAAAATTCAGATCATTTGCAGTAGATAGTTATTTTTGAGTATATTTTATGAAATATTATTGGTTATTTGAGAAAGTTCAGAGTTCGAAACTAGAGCGCTCCATGGACATTCTTAACGCGTTTTGGTAAAAATTTCTATTGTTTGGGAAACCTTTAGTATTTCATTTTCTTGACTGGGGAGCAAAAACAGTTCAATGAATGAACGGAAATGTTCAAAATCAAAAAAAAAACTTTTTTTGAACTTTCTATTGCAATAAATTTTCCTTATTTTATCAGGAGTATGAAAATATGGAAACTGTCCGTAGAGCGACTTTACTGTAGCTAAGTGGGGTTATTTTTGTTAACACGATTAATTTGCTGAGGTAGAGCTTCCTTGAGGAGTCTGAGATTTGGCTGCTCGGAACATGTCCAAAAGGAACTGCGGCACTTCAGCGTTGTTTTTCAATAGGAACTGAATCATTGAATTATATCGGATGAAAGCTGAAGGAATCCTACACGGCCCAAGTTGCGGGCATGTTTCACGTCGTGTTCGACGTCGACCATGATGTGGAGCTTGAGATTGAGCATGTTGCGGGAAACGAGCTTCCTCAGGGTGTCTTCGTAGATCACGCCGAAGAACCCCTCATCCGGCTGGTCCATTAGAACCACCTACAAATTACCAGGTCTATATTATCCGAAATTCAGAAGATCTCTAGAAAGATAACAGATAAACCTGTTTTCGTTGTTTTCAACTTTTTTTTTCTCGTTCTGGTCTCTGTTTGAACTTCTCTTCCTCTCTCTCACAACTCAACGGTAACATTTTTCAAACTTTTGAGCAATTGAAGCATATTCCGAAAAGTTCATTTATTTTTGACGTCACTCATTTCGATGATTAGCTTTTTCTTGATTGAGAAGAATAATGAAATTGAAGAAGGTTTTTAAAATATTGCTTGGTGTGCTACTGAAATTGACGTGAGCCGTAAAGGATATTGAAACTTTACCTGCTAGACATTTGTTTTTTCAGAACACAAATGTCCGATTAGCAAAAACTTGGCACCCTGGTTTCAATGAAAAACGCTTTATCCGTTATCAAAACTGTTTTTCCTTTTTAAAAAGAATCCCTGGAACACCTCTTCAGCTTTTCCCTAACCGATTGCTCACAGAAAAGGCTTCAAAATAATCAATTTAAAATTTTCTACCGAAATTTCGTTGGATCTTTCAATCTTAATCAAGACACGAATCATGAACCTGTTGTTTCTTTTCTTCTTTGATTTCTCTGTTTCTCTTGTTTTAAAGGTGAAAATTTCTTTTTCTACCGAGATTCTTTCTGAGAAAAGCTGAAACGAACAGTATCGACGATGCCCCTCTGAATATCCGGCAAAGATGCATAGTCCGTGACGAGAACGTCGATCGCTTCGTTGCGGAATCCGTGGTTGAGCTCCTCCACCTTGTCTTCCGTCGTGTCGCTTCAAAACCCCAGTTTCATTTTTTGTTTTTATTGCAGCTTTATTCGAGCTTAATAAGCTTTGGTCGCGCTTAGAATGGCTCGACTGCAAAATACTTACAAGGCCTGAAAACTTCTGGTTGAGAGCTTTTTGTAAACCCGTTGGAAGGTGCTTTAGGACACCAAATCTTTTGGATTAAACCCAAACGCCTCGAGCCATTCCAAATGCGGCCAGAGAGCTACCAGCCGATGTTTTTTATCACCTCGTCAAGACTTCGATGTTTTTTTTGAACCAACTTTTCCGTATTTTCATGAACGCGTGGGTAGCCTCGGCTTCTCGCGAGGTTCCGGCGACGACCAGAACTTTTTCGGCTCGAAATTTCCCTAGGAGACGAGAAAGTTTTCGATTTCAATTCATCTTCAACTAACTATCCCGGTTTGGGAAGAAGGATCTATTCTTTTCGGATCGGAGTGTGTCCACTTGGGAGATGATGGCCGACAGGAGTCTCAGCTTTTGGATCGTCTTGTTTTCGAGCACCTTGGAAAATATTGCTAAGAATTCAAAAAAAAAAGCGTCTCGACTCCTACTTTACTGGATGATGCACTTAACCAGCCATGGACCATATGAAATGAACCCATCCACTTCATTTCACAATTTCTAAGCAAAAAATGCCTCCACGCCTTAAGTTTTGCCTGTACTCATCTGGACACTCAAACAAAGCCTAGCTTGAAAATCTTCACTAAACCTTTTTTGTTGGGTCAAAAATACGACTTTTTCGAAGACGAAAAACGAACCTCTCTCTCCACGTCGTCGATCGCGGAAAACCTTTCCAAATGGAAACTTTTGCCGGTGCTCTGCAAACGCCGCAACATCGCAAACTCCAATTTTTCTTGGCGGACGCCGGGTGGCAAAATGTCGTGTAGTTTTATGTATTCAAAAATGCTTGCTCTGAGAGTTTAAAATGAGAAGGTTTTTTTGAAAGAGAAAGAAAAAACCTCAAAGGTGCGAGGACGTAACAAATTTTGCGAGAAAACAAGCCGGAGACAAAGACTCTGGATGGTGTTAAGTCAGTAAAGGCGTCGGCGAACATCATCGCACAGGCCATTGAACCTTCCTCAAAGAGGACAGTTTTTATTTTATAGCCCAGTTCGCGCCAGCTTGTCACGATTTTCCTTTTCCTCTGAGCTACAGAACGCTTCCCTTCGATGCGCGTGGTATTATCTCTGTCTGCGCCTTTAATATAACGGGAATAATAGGCCATATAAAAAGCATGCAGAGAACATCCCGCGCGCTTGGAACGGAATGACTGTCTAGCTCGGAGGGAAACAAAAATCGTGGAATGGCCTCAAAATATTCTGAATTTTGATAGCCATCTGTATTTGGAAGAAAAGAAAAATCGAGAAACTAACTCTAGAGAGGGCGCGTTTATTTACAAAAAAGCTGAAAACTACTTTAAGGAACACGGAAAATAGAATTATTTTTTTGAAATTTTTCCAAACCAAGGTAGCTTTAATCTAAATAAACTTTTCGATTTTTCATCTTTCAAATACTGCTAGATTCCCTATAATCAATTATATCCTGATAAAACATATAACCCTTTTTCAAAAAAATTTCAACCCATGTTTTTTTCCGCGTAACCCTGTTAAAGACTTATTATGCAACCCGGAAAGTCGCAGAGAATTTCGAACTCCCCGAAATTAATTTGAGCGCGGAATGATAAAATTACGATCAAAAATCATAAAATTATCAAATCTAGCCTTGAATAAAATATATGATATTCGAGTTAAAAACTTCTTGTCGCATGTGGAATGGCTCAGAGCGACGCGTTGCAACAGGGATTTCGCTTACAAAAAAAGATCGTTAACGGATAAAACTCTGACATCATCTCGCGCAAGTCGAATTCGGTCAGGCGCATTTGAAATAAATCGCACGCTGGACCAATTTTCGTTCGACTATGGGATTTCAAATCTGTTAAAAATGGAGCAGCTTTAAAATTTAAAATTTCAATCAAAATCAAAAAAAAAAACACGGATAGAAAGGAAAAATAAAACTTTTCTGTTATTTCATAAGGTTATCACATTCTGTTGATCGTCTACTTGAAACTTTAATTCTTTTTCATGAAACCTGAACAAAAAAACTGAATTTTTGGAATGTCCCAATAAATATTTAGCTGTTCCCAAATAACTGAAAAAAATGTCAAAATGCCCTGAAAATTTTCTAAATAATCCCGAAATATTCATGAACTCTTCTGTGTCCATGAAAATTTAGAATCCAGCCAATTATAATAAAAAAATGTGAAGCTAACCTCTGAAAATTTGAAATCCAGCCAGTTATAATAAAGAAAATGTGAAGCTAACCTCTGAAATCAAATTTGTCCTGAAAATTGTCTCGACGTCAGTCGAAAATTCGTTAGCACCGTCAAGAAATTGGGCTTCTTCGATAACAACATACCGCATTTCCATTTGAAACAAAGTCCTCTGAAAATTGGGAAATATCAAAACTATGGAAAAAATAGTCCTCACATCTGAGATCCTCAGTTTCAGATATTTCAGGACCTCGGTTGAAGTGCCAATGACAATGTCCACCTGGAATGGATGAATGAAAAGTTTTTTTTTTCATACTTACAGTGAAATATTGAGATTCTGGGGACATTTTGCGGAGTTTTCGTTGGGAATGAAGCTTGAAATTGAATGAAAGTCCATGATTTTTGTAAATAGAAAATTGAAATTCGCGTAAAAGTTTTTAGCACAGGAAAATGTGTACAGTTTTTCTAATTATCATCAAAATATAGATTTCAATGATTGGAGGTTTCAATGACAGAGTATCATATGAGGGGAAAAAAGGCAAAAAATGACTATTTTCCATGGAGAAACTTTGCCGCAAAACGCCTTTTCGGTAACACTCTTTAGGAGCTCAAGAGTGGTCCCTATAGGAGCAACCTAGGGCTTTTGGAGGGTCCTCTCTAGGGACCACTAGACATTGCAAAAGTGGTCCCTATAGTGACCTCTATAGGGGACATGTTAGTCGATGTTTTATGAACTCTAAGCGAAGAAGCATTTCCACGGAAAAAAAAACAATGAATAAGCGTTTTCTGAATGAAATTGAAATTGAAAAACACCTATAGGGTCCACTTGAGCTTTAGGGCTAAGGAGTCTGAGACTAGACCCCTATAGGGACCAACTTAATTTTATCCCTAAAGGACCACTTTTTCGGCTCCTATAGTGGTTGTTTTCCTCCCTAACCTTATTCACTAAGAATAACTGCCGAGATAAACGCGAGACACTGGCGGTACATTGACGAGCTCGCAAACATCTCGCTTTTTTTTCTCGCGCCGGTCTCGCATTTTTCTGGGCGCAAGCTCGCATTTTTCTAGGCGCGAGCTCGCGATTCTTTCGCAATTTGAAAATTTCCGACATGCGAGATAAATGCGAGATGGCGCCAAGAAAAATGCGAGGTCGCGCCGAGAGAAATGCGAGAGCGCGCCTAGAAAAAAGCGAGATGTTTGCGAGTTCGTCAATGTACCGCCACCGACCTCGCGTTTATCTCGTCAGTTATTCTTAGTGTATAGGGATCGGAATTCCTGAGCTCGATTAAACTTTCTTCAAAAGTAAGAGCTTTCAAACAGAATGAAACGACCAACATGATAGAAAATTGGAAATGGATATTCCATTGGAAATGAAATATCCGACCTCCTTTATTACTGATTGAACTCAAATACACGTTCAAAATCTGTCAAAAGCTCACCTTACCCTGATGAAACTGGACGTTCTCTTGGAATATTGCAGGGTCGACTGAAAACTTTCATTTCTTTTTCAGGCGGACTCCCCAATGTCCTACCTTCTTCAGGCAGGAGACCGTCATCGAAAAGCTTCAAGATCGTCACTTTGTTCTTGCAGTCCCCAAGGGAGTCGCGCACTTCGTGGAAAGCCTTTTTGGCGAATTCTCTCGTTTTCGTGACGATTATGATCAAGGGCGCCCTTCTCTGTTCAAAAATATGGAGGGTTTTAAAAGGTTCCGGGGGATTTCAGAACCTCGACCCTCGGCGTGAACAATTTGTGTAGAAGGAAGGAGGCGAGGGGCGGCATGTAGAGCCAGGCCGCACTTTTGTGGCTTGAGAGGCCGCAGAACAAGTGGTCGAGCCCTAAGAGATAGTTAACTTATCACGAAAGCGTCTTTTAATTGGAATTTTCAGGTTTTACAAGACTTCTTTAAACAATGTTTCGAAGACTCACGAAGATCTCTTTTTAAACTGTTACATGGACTTGGGGGTTCAGCGTAATGTATAAATTTCCTGAAAGATCCTTTTCCTTGAAAATGAGGCAGTAGGAATTTCATTTAGGAAAAAAAATTAGAGCCACGAGTTTGTCAAACCTTTCCTTTTTTTCGAACTTCCGGTTATAAATGAATATTTTCAACAGAAAGAAGCCTTTTCGAGCTATATTTCTCATTTTTCTTGAGCTACATGAAGGTTTATTTTCCACCCCAATCAACCCCAAAACTCTTTTCCAAACTGACCATCCCAACAAAGAACGTAGGAAGCTATAATTTTCTGTATAGTGCTGCATTCTTTGGACAAAGCGTCGTTGGAAAGGTCCGGAAAACGCCGCTTTTGGATTTCTTTCATACTACATCTGCAAATGAGCAGAAAATGAAGAGAATGGATAACTAGGGACTTGCATTTGAATATCTGGATTATAAACTTTGACCTCATTTATCGAGAACGACACTTCGGCCTTCTCATTATATTTAACCACTGAAAAAAAAAAGTTTTCGGCCAAAATTTATTCGAAACGAACGGTCTCGGTATGACTCCTCGCCGCCATTGGCACGTTTGAACTGAAAATTCATTTAAATAAGCTCTTTAAAAAAAAAACAACCGCTTCATACAAAAAATCATCAATCGTAACGTCCGACTCTATCTTCAACCGATCTATCGAAATCACTCCTCAAAATAATTATAAGCACCTAATAACTTGATGACAAAAAAAAACCTGGATTATGTGCATCTAATCTCTGCATAGCGATATAAATCTCAAAAAATCAAACACATTGATTTCAGGTTATCGACTTGCAAGGTGGAACCAGTCTGAAAATTGGAAAACCTAGTTGAGGGGAAATTTTAATACAGAAAACTTCCGTTTAACGATACCAAACAGAGTTTCAGATAAGCGTTTGACGCACTATTTTATTACTTTCATATCAAAAAAAATGTTTCTTATACAAACAGGAACGATGACTGAATACCCAAACATGAAAGTTACGTCGCTAGAAAAAAAAAGAAACTGAGGTTGAAATGGGAAGTTTTTTTTGGTAAAATTTTGAACTTTTTGAAGGCGAAAAAAAAAATCGACCGTGACATTTCCAGCATCTCCACTATTATGAGAAACCTGGTGGAACAAGAAAATCATAACTAGCAGAAAGCTGAGTTTGATATATATTTATTTAATGACTTATTTCCTTTGAGGAAAACTTTTCACATTAGACTCAATTCTTTTCTTGTGAAATTCGTTTTTTTCAACATGAAAACAATAAAAACAATAAAGAAACGCCGAAAAGGAATAAAAAGAGATATTTTTTTAAAACCTTGAGGCTACAAGACGATTTCGCAATATCCGTAAAGCAATTTGTAGAAAAAAATAAGATGAATTCTCTCAAATGAGCTTCGAAACCAAGCTTGGAAACGGCATTGAATCAAGATATACAGAAATAATTAGTTTTTAAAATAAACTTTCAATTTCAACTTTTTTTAAACATTGCGCCCCTTGATGGAGAAAAGTGCGCGCCTTTTTGCACTTCAGTTGACTCAAAGCACTGCGGGCTTTTCGGGGGGCACTTTCAATAGAAGATTTTGTTCGTTCAATGAAGAAAACGAGTACTTCTTTAAACCAAGTTTTTTTGTGTTCAATGGATTAAACCAACAAGATAATAGTCTGTGTTTCCCATTATTTCTCTTAAATTTCGAAATGAGAATGACTTCTCTTATAAGATTATTCAATTTTTTATTGTTTCATTATTTATATTTATTTTTTGTTTCATTCTTCGAAATACTTTCTATTCAAAACGCAGAAGCTGAGAAATAGAAAATGTTTCCTTCGAAGTGTTTCGTCAAACTTTAAGACCTACATTTTTAAATTTTTTTTTTCAAAGAATGTTTATTGAGATCATGAAAGAAATGAGATACCCATAAGATAAAATGAACTAGAAAGTGAAACTCAATATCAACATGTCTACAACAAAAAGGAATAAAATTCCAGCGATGAGGTCGAGTCGCGACAATTTGTTGCGTTTTTGAGGATGTGCCTCCGGAGTGAATGGATTAGTGCTGTAATAAAGGTTTGCTGATGGAAGAAAGGATCTGTTGACTCACCAAAAACATTCAGTCTGTCTCGTATTGATGCCAGTGGCGTTCAAAGTGCACGTCGAACGTTTCAATCGGGCTCTGCCACACCGGAAATCGCAGCAGGAGTTGAAGACGCTACAAGAAGAGTGGTGGGCCTGTCGAAAAAGGTTATTGGGATGGATGAGCCAATGAGATTCTCACCCTTTCGACGCATTCTTCCGTGAATTCCCGGCTTTGAATCAGCGGAACCACCGCCGCACAGCAAACTAACGTTGCCGTGAAGTACGAGACCCGCATTTTCGCTCTGAAACTCTCAAATTGATTCAGATTAAGGAGAAATACACTAGAAGATATCGAAAAAAGAGCTCTCTGAATACTGTAGTTCCTATCGAAATTCCAGAGGTTTTGATATTGGAAATAATGAACTTCATTAAAATTAATAATATTTCTAAAACGATGTTCAGATTGATTTTTTTAAGCAGAAGTTTTTGAAATTTTCTTCGTTTTAAAAGTCTTAGGTAAACAATTCAATTCTTGAACATCATATTTTTTTCGACTTGAGTCTGAATTTTTTTATCGTAAAATCAAAAGTAAAAAGTTTGAAATAAGAAATCTTGAAAAATGATCGTAATAATTTTAAATGAGAAAAGTCTTTTTTTCTACAAGTTTGGCTTTATCTGCTCAATGAATTTAGATTAGTCTTAAGGTAGCCATTTTTTTATATTTAATTTATAGAAGACTTTGATCAGAAAAAAAGAGAAATTAGTGAATTCCCAAGTTTCAAGTTTCATTTAACACCGGTATAATGTGAAAAATTGATATCTAAACATTTTACTGATTCATCAATTATCTCATTTCATCACTCAAGTAAGAAAACTTGATATAAAAAACCTAGAAAGAGATTTTTTTCAAATCTTAAAATTTGAAGAATCACTGACTTTATCCTTGAATTTTCTCTTACTCGATCCCAAAATACAAAGATCAGTCCTACAGATTGTAAAGTATTGACCTAGTGAACCGAGTAGAAAAAAAGGAGAGAGAAGGTGAAAAATCAGCGGAACACGGGAAGTTGGCAAGATTAATAGAACGGGAACAAAAAATGATGAATTTTGACAGTTCGCCGCGTGTTTGCCGTGGGAATCAGAGTTAAAAGCCGGAAAATCCGGGTCTTTTTGTCCTATCAAATTCAACAAACTCAGCGCTTTTCTCGATCAAAACAAGATTATATAGAGTTCAAACCATTCGGATGAGGGCCTTTTAATGTCCTTTTGGGACGAAATAAAAGATAAGAGTGTTGAGATAAGTTGTTTTGTACATTTTAAACGAAGATCGTCAGAAAAGGGCAAATTTTGAATAGAATTTGAAGAGCCAAACGCAAATTTTTGGTTCCATTGGCAGGGTAACCGGTTATTTCGAATGGCGAACGATAGGGAAAGTCTTCACTTTTTCTGGCCATCTGTTTTTTGTTTGGCTGCCTAACTCAAAACGTTGTAATGAAACCGGCTCGTGCATTTTTAAATGTTAAATAGTCTCATTTTATTTGATTTCAAAAAATAGGGTTTTTCAATTTTTTTTTAAATCATCCTAATTTTCACAATTTTTTCAGCTGGTCTAGTGTACTCGATAGGCCAACGATTATTCTAGGAAATGTTTGCTTATATTTTAAAGGGGCATAGGCAAAAATTTGAAAAAAGTCTCAAAGCAAAGAGCCGTTTTCAACTTTTTGCAGGCTTTTTTTTTGAATAAAACATATAGGAGCCCTTCATAAGGAAAAAAATTATTTTTAATCGAAATCAAGTATTGGGGCTTTTTCTCATTTTTTTTTTTTGAAAAATATCCTTTTTCGGTATGTTCGCAGCCTCGGATATCGAATGAATTCGAAAAAAGTCTTGTATTCAAACCATTGCATGATATCAACCGACCAAAAAGCATATTTTCAGAAGAAATATCAAGAACGAAACTGTTTTTGTCTGTTGAGGAAAAGTGGCACAAAACAACAAAAAAAGGTGGGGGAGTGGCCCATTTTACGAGAGATGACGTTTTGAATTGCTTATTTAACAGTGCTTATGAAAATTCTTAGTTTTTTTGTAGTTTGAACTGATCTCATGAATCAACAGGCGGACAAGGCCACGCCTTTTTCTGGCAAGAAATTTGAAAAAAACAATTTTTTTCAGGAAAATTTCAAATTTTTTTCAGATTTGATATTCAAATCGGTAGATTCTTTGTGTAGATTCGAAAAAATTTGCTTCTTTTTGAATTCAAAACCTTGGAGTTTGAAATTTTTATTCATGTTTCGAAACGTTGAAAAATCCTTTTCATTATACGAAAACTTCTTCATGACGTTGTTGAATACTTCTTTCTCGAAAAAAATTAAGAAAAAAAGCGTTCTGATCCGTGCCGACAAATCGTACGCGACGTCTATCATTCTCATTTTTTTTCTCTTCACGTTTTCAAAGAACCAGAACAAAATTATTCTACTTTGGTCGAACGATAAGGGCCACGTGACGTAAAACTTGAATCGAAAAAGGCGATAAAACATGTGTTTGTGTCTGATATGCTAATCCTACCATTGGAAATTCGTAAACCTTGGTCAAAGTGCAAAATTTATCACAACTAGGGAATGCCATTCTGTTTGTCTGGGAAGAAAAGATTAAAAGATTAAAATGTTGATCCCAATGGAAGAAAGGTAACTTTCAAAAGGTAAGGGAAGCCTATGAAGCTTGTTCCGAAAAGTTTTTGTAGTCGTTTTCGAGTGTTTTTTTCACGAGTACAACGCTCTTCGATGCTTTTTTCTCCATATATGTATATAAAACTTCTGTTTATTGATTTTGGTAGCTTTTTTCATGTTTAGGAGTTAGTGTGGAATATAATTTCTACATTTCTGACTTCAAAAAAAAGCTTTCGAGAAATGTTACAAAACTAAAACAAGATGTTAACGACTGACAACGTGATAAAGAATCATTCTTAATGTCAAACCATTTTTTTCGCTCCAATCTTTGCTCTACCATTTTTAAAACGAGTGAGGTTGATATGAACGGAAGAAGGGGTTTCATTTTGAAAACAATATCAGAAAAAAAAATTGGAAAAGGAAAACAAATACAATTTTTTTCGGGTCTGATGCAGTAGCGCATTTATTTGAAAAAACAGGACCTTGAGAATTTTGTAATTTTGGCCTACGGTTCTTGCTCCAGAAAACTTCTGAAACTTGCTGGACTAGCAATGAATCTTTTTTGACCTTGAAATGAGTAGCTGGAGCGAAAATATTTGACTAAGCCTGATAATTTCGAAATTTTGTTGTAAGATAAAAGAAAAACGAAGTACAACGAAGAGAAACTATCAACAAAAAGGCGTTTCGTGTGACAGAAGGCAGGGAAACAAAGAGAAGGTCGATTTTGTTGGCCTCGGCCCTTTTGTATGACCCTCGACCGTGGCCTTCAGGAACATTTCTCAGTTATCAGTTAACTAGGCACACATATTCTATTAGAAGAGGACGAAGGTGTTGAGAATCAACACGGACTGGCACCGAGTGGTCTCGTTTTGGTATGATGAAGATGGTTGGATCAGTTCGAATGACATTGAGAACATTTTATTATGTTCAGTTATTCGATTAGCATCGAATAAGGATGGACGGCTGAGCAGTGAAAAAGTTACATTTGAGACGCGCCGGACCAAAAACGACTTGCGCGTTGGGAAGCTTCAAGACGGTTTTTTGTAGTCGTGCTTCTAACCGAAACGCTATGAGCCATTTCAAAAGCGACTCGTCTTTGAATTTAAAAACATTGAGAAAGCAAGAAATTTCTATAAAAACACCTAGCAACCGGTTATTTATTGTTTCGTTCTCGAAAATTCTCAATCATGTACGTTGCTCGAGGCAGAGGGTATTCCGTGTAAAATCTTCACTCGAAGTGGTCGCTCTCATTCTGAGGCTTCCAGCTTGAGCACGGTCTCCGGGCTCCAGCTACACCATCCACTACATTCTGAGCTCGTCAAGGCGAAACTGGATGGACTACGCGCAGAAGAACGGGGCAAAGAAGCGTAAGACCATGCTTTCAACTCTTTCGACTACACGTTCGGACTTCTAGTTCGCCAAAGGCGGTTGTTCGTTATAGCTTTCGAAGTTCTTGTTCACCGCCTAGTCGATTACATCAGACTAGAACAACAAAATAAATGATTTGATTCGATTTTATTTGGTTTTTTACTGTGTTTTGAAGCTTCATTTGACAAGAAATTTTCAAAATGCGACGGCTCTTAATAACGTAAAGAAGGGAGCAAAAAGAACATTTTAATTATTCGTTCAAAAATTACGTAGTATGAAAAAACACCAACGAGCATATTTAAAGATGCTAAAAAGGGAATGTGAACATAGTTCCCTCACACTTTTTGAAATATCTTGGAAAGTCGTATACCTGCGAGAACCAAAAGAAAACCTTGATCTAATCTATCGACGTGTTCCCCTAGGTTAAGTTGTAAAATGACGTGAAGCCCGTCGACATTTCTAAAGCTGCACTGCGGTGCGAAACGATGTCTACGAAAATCAAGCAACTTACACCGGGAAAGGTCCCTTCTTTTCATTTTTCGACCCATTTAAAATCTTCAGTAAAATACGGGGTCTACTTTTTTCCTTCCGAGTCTTAATGAATTCAAATCGAGATCACTTGTTTCAGGACAACAAACAATTTTTACGCTTATCAATCACCTCATTTTCCAAAATTTCTGTGAACAAATCTCTCCTAATCTGATTATTTACTGCATTTTCTCTTTGAAAAAAAGGGAGCTTTTAGACGGTAGCCGGCCGGTGGACGATCCAGAAGCTTTTGGGAAAAGGTTCATGTGGCGTCGTTTTCCAGGTCGTCGACTCGAAACGAAAAGGATACTGTGCTGCGATGAAGGTTGAAAAATCAATAACTAGTGAAACTAAAGTTCTGAATACATCAATTGAGAAACAATTCTAATGAAATATAACCTTGTCAAAATTAAAAAAGTTCATTCCTCTACAAGAAAAAAAATGCGATCAGGACAAAAAAGTGGGAAAAAATAATCGCGACTGGCGATCACTTATGAATATTTAATCGATATTCGAATTTGCTGCTCTGTCAGTTTTGAAACTTTCAATACTTTCGAAACGGGTCAGGATGCCCAAAAATGTACGAAATAAACACTTTGATAGTCTCAACTTTCCCAATCTCCTAGTTTTCGAGAAGTAAGGAACTGAATCCTCAAAATCGCCCACTCTATTCCTTTTTGATGCCTTTTTCCGAAATTAAGAGTCCAAAATAAGGATTTCTGTAAGTTGAGACTTCTAAATTTTTATTTTTGTACATCTATACAAATCCTGGCCAATTTTCAGAAAATCCCCAAACGCGAAATTAAATTTTTTTCAGCACCCTAAATTGTGTAGAGGGACTCAAAAAATCAATTTTATCTTAAAATGATCATTCCAGGTCGAATACTTGAGTCCCGAATACGATCCGACGCTGAAACTCGAAGTCGGGGTCTTGAAGAAGCTGAACGGATCTCGTGACGTCATGAAACTGATTGACTTCGGGAAAAGATCAAATTATGCGTAGGTGGACGTTCTGAAGAGAGAGAAGAGTGTTGGACTTGTGGAGGTACATGGTGACGACGCTGTTCGGAATGGACTTGATCTCCTTGAGAACGAAGATCAAACGCGGGTTTAATGACGCCTCCGTCCTGAGGGTCGCCGTGTTTGTTCTCTCGGCCATCAAACAGGTGCAAAATTTAACCTGTAGTGTGTCTATTTTCAGAGGCTCACGTTTCAAAAGCACAGTAGGGGGAAAAGCTACCGTAAATAGAACTTTTTTTGCAAGATTACTCTAAAAACTGCTTAAAAAACAGCAAAGAACAAATTTTTTGAAGCAAAATGAAAAGAAATTTTATCTAGTTTGGCATAGATTCCGTGTATTTTCTTCATTCCGTGTATTTTCTTCATTCCGTGTATTTTCTTCATTCCGTGTATTTTCTTCATTCCGTGTATTTTCTTCACTCGAAGTGGTAGCTTTCTCAATCGGCCGAGGCTACCCTAGAGTGTACACGGAGTCCGTGCCCGAGCCCCACCATCATCGCCGTGCCCGTACCCGCGAAACTGAGGGATCTACTTGTGGAAGAACGAGGCGAAGGACCGTAAGACCATGATTTCAATCCAATCGACTACACGTTTTGACTTCTTTTTCGCCAAAGGCGGTGTTAGTGCCGCTCAAAAGAGCAATTTTTTCACCGCCTAGTCGATTTCATCTGACTAAAAAGGAGAAAAAATAAATAAGCTGGAATGGGCTATAAAAACTCTTGGGCTGTTATAAATAAGCGTTGTTATTAGTTAATGATCACTATAGCGTTTTATATAGTCTGTGCGCTACGACTTGGAATTTCACGAAACGACATTCCGCTGTGCCGCTGCGTGCCTTTGCGATCCTTGGTCGCGCTTTTACTTTTTTTTTTTTTTCATCAATGTACTCTACTTTCATGTCTCATAGCAATAAACATCAATTGAAAGCGTGCCCTAGATTCGAAAGACGCTTCGCGAACGCACGCAGCGGAACAGCGGAATGTCGTTCGGCGAAATTTCAAGTCGTGGTACACAGACTATAACAACGAAATGTCTCAAAATTATCTTCCATTTGCATCTATGACTTGTCCCCAACTTCCATCTGAGAATGAATGTCCGAGCTTTCGAATGGAATACAACTAGATGAACCCAACTCTCTAACAATAATGTTTTCTGGGGTTGAAGCTCCACGAAGTCGGCTATGTTCACCGTGACATAAAACCTGGAAACGTCATGACGGCTGGAGCGACCGGCCGCGACTCCCGAACCTTTTGCGTCATCGATTTCGGTTCATTCTATTTTATATTCTGCCATCTTATCTGAACTTGACAATTTTCGTGGTCTAAAAACATATTTAAAAGAATTTTTCAAGCGCCAACTTTCATTGATCCAAGCGTAATGACTTTTTTTTCCTTTTTCCTCTGACTGAAAATTTCAAAAAGCATATAACTAGGGAACCTTCTTTTTACAGGAGATAAGCAAGAGAAGAAAATTCTCTTTTTCTCTGGCCTCTCTTTGCGACTTTGTTTTTATCTTTCCTCAACTTAACAGAGACCGACTTTTTCAGTCATTTTCTTTTTTATGTTAAAAATAAATGGTAGAACGATCACTAGAAAAAAATCACAAATATCCTGTTTTTGCCGATTTTCGAATTATCATTCCAAGGAATGGCTCGAGCCTACGTTGTCGAAAGCAAAGGCAAACGGAAACTCCGACCAAGAAGGGCGTCAATTTTGCTCCGTGGCACAGTACGGTACTGTTCGCTGAGTGTTCATGCCAGGAACGAGCAGGTGCGAAGGTCCAAGTGGACCTCTTTCTGAGATCCCTGTTTCAGAGTAGAGCAGATGACCTCGTGGCGATGATGTATATGCTGGTGGAGATCACGTTAGGAGTTCCTTGGCGAGACGCCAAAGATGAGCAGATCGTCATCAAAATGAAGAAGGAAACGTCGATTGACGAACTGTTCGCGGCCCGTTTTTTTTTTCTTTTTTTGTTGGAAAGGAAAATTATTAATGAACAGAAAGCTAAGGAAAGAAAGTTGAAGTTCTCGAACAGGGAAACTTTTCCTAAGGTTGATTCGTTTTGCAGAAAAATTTTGAGCTGAAACCGAAATCGCATAAATTCGTGTCCCCAAAAATTATCAAAAAAAAATCATAATACCTTTGATCATATTTTTTGAAAATTTCGACGCTCGTGGCCCTGAAAATCTCTGACTGCAAGCATTATTAACTTAGCAGTATTTATATTTTCTCGATTTTCAGGATCTACCGGAGGAGTTGAAGACAATTTATAACTACTTGCAATCGCTTCGATATCAAGACAGACCAGATTATTTCAAAGTTTATGACTTGGTCAGTCTTTTTTTCTACTGGGTTGTTCATTGCACTCTAAATTTTTAGATTTTTCCGAATATTTTTTCAAAAAATCTTTTGATTTTTCAAAGTTTGAAACTTTAAAGGTCATTTTTAGACGTCTTGTGGAAAAAACGAGGCTTTGATGCTGTTTTTCTAGAAATAAGGGGCTCTTAAAATGGTAATTGGTAGGGTATTCATCTGATACTTCAAGGCCAAATTTCAAAATTCCGAAGATCGAAAATGACGAACTTCTGCCGTTACAGTTGATGCAGGCCATGAAACGACTACAGATCAATTTTCTCGACCCGTACGAGTGGGAAGACGCCGAAATGGAGCGGGACTCGAACGAGTCGGGCAATCCGGAGGAGAAGAACTTGCCGGTCGAGACGCCGTTGACGTCTCCAGTCACGATTTCTCCTTTGGTGACGCCTTCTACGCCTTCTGCGCCGTCGTCCGCCCCGAAGCCCGCCGAAATCGGGCCGCCCGTCGAGGAAATCAACACGGCCGTCGACTACGACCCCAAGGAGTTGCAGACCAAAAAACCGTTATCAAGTTAGTTTTCTGTTTCAAAAATGGTTGCTGTGATGTTTGGAAAGGTATAGGCGGGTTTGAAGAAGGTCTTTCAGCGAAGAGCCCTTTTTATTGTTCTTTCAAAACAAAATATAACAGAAACTCTAAAAATGGCTGCGCGATGGCTTCAGTTGTGAAGAAAAATCAAGTCAAGTTTGAAAAAATCTTCAATTATTTTTTATATCCATTTCAAAGGACTTTTCCAGGAGAAGAACTACAATTCCTCTACTTTCCTGAATTGCGCGAGAAAAAATTCCGTGAGGTGCTTTTAGAAATCTGACCATTTAGGTTCTAATAATAAAAATTGCCGTGTTTATCAGTCAAAAACTTCTTTTTCATCCATAAAAAATACAAAAGGTTATTTATCGTCAACCTCTTTTCTACAGGTTCATGAATATGTACATACAAGGGAAAAGCCAATTTTTGAAGTCAAGAAGGGATTTTCTTATTCTTGACCATTTGGTATTGATCCGGGGCAGTTTGTTCCTTGGTCTGCATGTGAGTGTAGGACGGATACTCGTGGAAGGCATCGGAAGTCGGAATCAACGAGGTTGGTCGACCCCAGGTCATGTCGTTGAACTGGATCAGATCGTCGACTGCAACGAGTTCAATGTGAAATGGTCGAACTTTGTTGGGTCTACAGTTGCGTGAGAAAAGGAAACCTACTTTGATCAGAACTTTTTTGCACATTTCTATCTTTCTGAAACTTCTTGCAGCTTTCTAACATTTCGAAAAGCTCGTAGAAATTCCAGGAAAACTCAGCTTCAGATGTTTTCCCAAAGATTGAGCTCCACACAAGAAATTCGGGATCGACACGTCTTTTCATCTCTTCTGGCGCAACTATACGCCTGAATCTACAAGCCTCCAATCTTCGAGAAAGATATTTTTCCTTCCTAACGTTATTTTTTTCACCAGTAAAGATTCACACGTGGACTCCTTGAAGACCCTTTACCATGACTCCAGGTGCTGAAGACGTAGTCGGCTTCCTTCATATTGTCGCTGTTCATCTGACTGAGAAGGGTGCTGTAGGTCGGACCGTTGCAAGGCTTCGGCAACGGATGAGTTCCGCAGTTGAGCGTGTTGGCGCCGCAGCTGTCGCCAGGGAAGAAGCCGTTCTGAAAAGAGTTGAAATTTTGAAGGTAAAAAGCTTTCACAGCTCGGATATTCTTTCAACAATCTTTCTTTTGAATTCAAAGTCTTCAAATAGAGCAGAGTTTTGATCTGAGATCTAAAGTAGGTGATATAATATTCGATGCAAGCTTGAAAATTTAAAAAAAAACACTATATCAACGCCTAAACCTTTCTTTTTGACATTGCTTCACAATCATTGTAAAATTGGTCTTTTTCAGAGTTTCAAGAAGAGAAAATATGGAAAAGCAATTTTCCAAGTCCTGGCTTGCTTTTCAGAATTTTTTCCTTGAGCTTCACATGTCCAGTCTCAGAAATTCAGGCCGCATTTCGTAGTTCACCAATATATCTGAACCTGTTTGTTGCAAGTCTTCTCCACATGCTCCACTCCTTGACAGTTGCACAGTCCGAAGTTCGCCCCAGCGATTCCGACGAAAACCTGAGAATAATCTAATTATTTACGTACGATTTCAATCGCACCTCGACATTTCGGTTGATCGGCTTGCCGAGGTCACAGTTGCCGTCGGCGGCATTGACAGAGCCGCCCTTGACGATTTTTCGTCCCAAAGTCACTCCCATACTGTGGGAAACGATGGAGAGTTTGCTGGAGCCCGTGTAGGCGAGCACGGCTTCCAGGAACCGGCGAAGTCGGAGCAGGTCGCGACAGTTGTGGGTTCTGAAGACTTGAGAAATGATAGGCCTTCTGTTTTTCAGGTCATGACTTGGTTCAATTTATTCAAACTGATGCGAGCGAGTTTTTTGATGATAAACATATCATCTTCCGGTGAGGTCCAAACTTTTGTGGAAGTTTTTTTTTTGATAGGAGTTCGAAATAACTCGAAAATAACTTGTGATGGCGAGGTAAACCAAGAAATAACGAGACCTTAATTTTTTTATTTCTGAAAAAAAGTTGAGACCAGAACTACGACGTACTCTCAGATACTTTCATAATTCTAAATTCTTGAAAATATGCATACCTAAGTGACGCCTTTAGGAAATTGGTATCTTGCCAGGAAGTCGCATAGAGCTCGGCGGTTGTGTAGCCTTGGCTAAGAAAGTACTGAAAAGGATATCCCATTTATTATCAAAGATATAAATACCTCTACAGAGTTGGACCAGCCGGTAGCGAAAGAACTTGTCTGCAGAGCGCTGTCCGAGTTTCCGTGGATGAAAACGACGGGGACATTTTTCACAATTTTGCTCGTATTCGTGAAGCCGCCGTAACTTCCTTGAGTTCCTTGGTCACTCCGTACGAAATCGTCTTTTTCATAGCCGTGGCTAAAAGGTTTCAATTTTATGAGTGACAAGGCGCCTGGAATGAGCTGTTTTTTGTTGAAAAAAATTTATTTCATTATTCATCCAAAAGTTGCGCCTGACAAGAAAATGTCAAAGCACGCAAGTCATTTTCGTCGCAGCGAAAACAAAGTTTTTTTAAAGAATAGTTTCCTTTTTATGTAACCGCGACGCGTTGAGCCATTCTGCGTGCGACCAGAAAAGTTCAAATCGTGAGTCACAACTTTTTAACAGGTTTTCCTTAAAGATTATCTTTTTCATCAGAATACCTTAACACACGTTCTCCGAGATTTTTCGATTAACCGTTGGTACAAAAAAATTTCATCTTAGTTCCTGAGAGCTCTCCTTGCTATCATAGATAGTGAACAACCTCTTGAACATTTAGAACCAGGTTTTTATAAGGCTCCGCCCACTTTTTAGGCTTACTGTAGAAAAAAACACCGTAAAAAAACCAAACTTTTTTTCCTAGTGGAGCAAATTGGTTCAAACTAATTTTTAAAAACAAAAATATGTTTTTCTTTTGACCATTTATAGTTATAGAACTGACCCGGAAAAAAATTTTTTTCTTTCAGAAGAAAAAAATTCAAGTTTTTTTGAAAAAAATGACGATTTTTCGCAGTCTTTGAGTCATAACTAGTACTAGAACCCCCGAATGCCTGGATTTTTTTATTTTTTTCAATCGACGCGTTAGGGTCTTGTGAGTAGAGGAAAAATGCCTAGAAACTCTGAATCCGGGTGATCCAGTTGACCTCCATCTCGAAGAACGCGGCCAACTTGAAAATCGCAAAACCTTTGAAAATTTCTATTTTTTGTGAAAGCCGGATACTGTCTTGTTTCTTATTTTGTTCAACATAACACAGCCTGCTGCAAAATTGCAGCTCAAAAGTAGCGAGCTGGAACCCTTTGAAAAAAAATTTCTGACGTTTTTCTGATTTTTCGTTTTTTCGGCATTTTCAAACTTTTCGCTCTAACTAGTACTAGAACCCCCGAATGCCTGGATTTTTATTTCTTTAATTGACGCATTAAGGTCTTGTGAGTAGAGAAAAAATGTCTAGAAACTCTGAATCCGGGTGATCCAGTTGACCTCCATCTCGGAGAACGCGGCCAACTTGAAAGTGACTAAATTTTTAAAAATCAGTTACTTTCTTGGGAGCAGGATTTTTCCCTCACTTCTTTTTTGCCAATCAGACACAATTCACTCAACACAAAAATTGGAACAAAAAAATTATGACTCTCAAGCATGACGAAATTTTTCCAATTTTTTTCACTTTCTTGGATTCATTTTTTTTTTCTGTCCTTTCCAATTATTGAGCTCTAATGGATTAGGATACCAGGAATGCTTTGAGTTTGGGGGGTATTGCTGGGGCTGCCTCTTGCCGAAAATTTTAAAAAATTCTGACAAAAATAGAAATGAGCTAAAAATAAAAATTGACGCCAGCAATTGGTGGAAACTACACTGAAAACCCCCCAGATGATGAGAACTACTGGTTAGGAAGCAAAAAAACGGTTTGGAAAATTTTTTTAATTTTGCTCGAATTCGGGGTCGACCGCTTTGGTTGCTTGGAGGTCAACTGGATCACCCGGAAACAGAGCCTGGGAATATTTTTAAAGAACTTGGGAAGATGTAACGGATCAGTACAACGGAGGAGAGCTCTCAGGAACTAAGATGAAATTTTTGTACCAAACTTTTTCGCATTTGTTCGATTTTCTGGGAGAATGCGTGTTAAACAAAAACCTAATATCGAATTTGGTTAAACTACTCTTAACTATTTCATAGTGTAAAATTTTTCACCTGACGAGCCAATTCTGAAAATCTGGAGTGAGTGGACCGGAAACAGCCGCCGAAGAGTAACTTATCAAAAAAGCATATCCGAAATACAAAATAAAGCTCTTTTTGGATAATATTAGCGAGTTCATTTAGTAAGCGAACGAGGTAGACGGAAAATGATAAGACTTTTCTCGCCTCCATTTATTTGCAATCAAAAATTGCTTGGTCGCTCAATAAGCTCTACGTGCTTTTGGAGCAAGATCTGTTTGTTTGAATTGAAGCCACGTGTCTTTTGTTTGAAGATTGAAAATGGAAAATGGAAAGGGACTTCCTGACGTCCTGTCAATGATATGGAGATTATGTCTCGGACATTTTTTTTTTGGTTGGTTTTTGTAGTTTCTTCGACGGAAACTTATTTTAACCTCAATTGGAATATTCGAAGTTGAAGCTTCGATAATCTACCTGTGAATTGGATGAAGAAGAAGAAATATCTTCTCGGAAAAGAAAAGGACTCTCGCCGTTTTTGGGCCAAATTCAAGAATCAGATTTTTTTTAAAATCAGGCACCACTTAGCGTAGGTGGTTTTTTATGACCTTAAAAAACTGTAATTTTTTAATAGATTCTGAAAAGTTCAGGTCCAATAAACCGAATTTCATCCCCTTTCTCTACTTTGAATAATTTTTCCGTTTTTCACCCCCTTTATCAGCTCTAGAAGCTACAAACTTCTTTCCACACTTATCTTAAGAGTTGTTTTCTTCTCGAGTTATCTTTTCCTGCTCGTCCAATGGATTCTAACCTCATCGTCTTGTGTCTGTCCTTATCGCGCAAATTAACGACCTCGTGACTGTTTCAAAAGTTAACAAAAAGAAAGTGATGCTGGAGAGTTTGGTCGGAAGCTTGAGTAAAAGCCCACAGGTCTATGACGATGTTTGTTTTCAGCCTGATTAGATAACAGAAACAACGATGTTTTATTGGGTTCGGAAGCGAAAAACTGTTGGGAAAATTCTTAGTGACCACTTTAGTGTCCTCGCCAAGGACTACTTGGCGAGGACACTAAAGCGGCCACTGAGCCCACTAGGGGCCACTCTAGAGATTCTCTATTTAGTGGCCAATTCAGTAGATTTTTTTTCCAGTATTCCTTCCAGTGACTCTTATAACTTCAAAACAAACAGATCGGACCAGTTATGTTGATCCATTGACCCCTAAAGAGGCCACTAAAATTTGAAAATTTATTAGACGTTTCGAAATGCTCTCATGATTTGCGTCAAGCAGAGAATTTTTGTATACCTTGTGACTTCAAAAATTTTCTATTCACTTCTCAGGAATTTTAGAGTGGCCCCTATAAAGATTAGGGGAAAAACAGCTTCTATGTGGGGACCGAAAAAGTGGTCTCTATAGGGGTAAAATCAAAATTCTCCCGATAGGGGTTTAAGGTCTGACCCATTAACCCCTAAAGCTTAAGTGATCGTTCAATTTTAATCAAAAAAAAATTTTTTTTTCATTGTTTTGCATAGGAGTGGTTCTTCGCATAGAGTTCATGAAAATTATTGACTTTTCCTGAGAATTTCTAGTGATTACTTAAGAGTGCGGACGCCGCTTAAGGGGTCACTAGAAATGATCAGAAACGTCGCCTGGTTTGCGCTAACGAAGTCTGAATTTCTTGTTCAAGACTGATAGTTTCCTCTAATTTTGAACATCAAGTTGTCACTCAGCCTCCCAGTTGCGCGATAAACCAATCAGAGAGCGAGCCATCCGCAGAGCGTTTTCGAATGAAATCTGAACAAACTACAGAGCGAAATTCTACGGGAGACAAGGTGTGTAACAAGTTTGAACGTTCATTGCGTCGGATCAAGAGGAGTGACAGTAACACTTAAGTAGGTAAGGTCGACCAGAGTCGGCACTAAAGGGCTGGTCGGAGTGTCGATGAACTGATAGGTTGGTTGTGTCAGACTGCAACTGAAATTGACATCAGCGTATTCTCCGGTTGGTATTCCAAGCACGGGGTAGTAAGGAACGGTGTTGTTTCGGTCTAACTGCAAGAAATACATTGAAACATGGTAGAAACGGAAATTATCTTACATAGAAGACAACCGTTTTAGTTTTATTGTATGGAGTGAATCTTAAGCGATATATGCAACCATTAGACTTCAACCCGAATTGGAGCACATCGAACTGAACTTAGAGCATTACTTCAAGCTTTTTTGCGACAAACGATCAAATCTTTGGTGTTGGCCACCTGTTGACTTAGTACGTCACACAAGCAAGGTTCTGAACATATTCAGTTTAGAAATTCGAAAAAATAAAGTTGAAACAAAAATAAACCGAGGGGGGGTGCAGGTGTTGTTATTGGCGGCGTGGACGGTAGCCGTTTACAGGGAGAGATTGACCCGGGGAAAACCAGCAGAAAAGTCAGGAAAACGTTGATTTTCAACATTCTAAACAGGTTGAAAATCGAATTACAAAAAAACTCACCCAGCACTGCTCGTGAGACTCGGACAGCTTTGAAAGAAACCGTCTTTTCCCAAGAATTGTCACTTTTTATAGGCATTCAAACGTTCTCATGATTTGCATCCAGAAGAGAAATCATATGTTAATTATTCGACTGAATCGAAATTCTTTGTATTCTTTGTAAGCCTCAAAAATTTTTAAAAGGCCTGATGGTTAATGAAATGTGCAAGAATTTATATTTAGACAGCTTTTTTTTGTTTTTGCACTTTGGTTCATTGATAATCGGCTTAAAAACTGACAAATTCACCAGGAGAAATAATTTGAAGCGGCTATTCATTACGTCAAAACGACGCTTTATCTAGAAATCTGTAAAGTGGAATTTTTTTGACGATTTCTTGGAATTTTTTTCAGTTAAATGAAAATGAAATTTTTTTAAAGAAGGAGTATGTTTTTCCGAGAAAATGGCCATCACAGGGTTATTTTTTTATCGAAAAAAAGAGATATTTTTTTAGTAATCTAAAAATTTTTTTATCGACGGTTTTGGTCGTTTTTTTTTTCTGAAACATTCCATTGCAAGATTTTTCGCTCATAATTGCTTTATATACAAAAAAATAAATAGCAAAAAAAACAACAGTGTACATTTGAAGTAACATATTTATAGTTATGTATACACTTATGAATGTTGAGATTATTGGGGGACGATTTTGTTCTTGACCATTGTGAACTGATCTTCGGCCGTCAACTCCTTGGTCTCCATGTGAGTGTAGGTCAGGTAGACCTTCTTGCCGTCGGAGTTCGGGATCAACGACGTCGGCTTGCCCCAAGTCATGTCGTTGTACTCGATCACGTTGTCGCCTGAATCCATTTTTGTCCTATTTTTGCGGAGCTCCTATAAGAAACTATTTTCTTTGTAATTCAATGAAACTCGGCTAATCGGATCTTAGATTTACCACATAAAAATCCGTCAGTTTATTAGATTAGAAGCTTTGAAATTCGAATTCAATTTCACATAGTCATAGAAAACTTTTGTCTGAAAAAGCCTGGAAAATAATCAGGTATACATATACCGTATAAGTATAAGATTAGTAAAGATGAGTGGTCACTAGAGGAGTAACCTTAGGAACAACTGTAGGTTATCCTTTAGGGACCACCTTACCTTCTTCTAGGAGTCGCTAGGGGTCGCTAAAGCTTGCGAAATTGGTCACTCTAGGGTTTTTAGTAAGTGGCCAATCTAGGGAAGAATGCTAGTGGCTGCTATACGACTTTTTAATACACTCAATCAGTTTCTAAATCAGAGAAAAAAAATAAAAGGCCCTTATGCGCAACGAAGGAAACACTGTCTCGTCCACTACAGGGGCCTCTTAACCCCTCTAGTGGCCACTCAAGTATAGCAAATAATAGACAGAAAAGTTTTCTGAGAAAACTGAAAAATAATCAGATGTTACCGCAAAGTTTCTATGATGTCGTTGTTGAAAGAAATTGAAGTAAAAAAATATTTTTGAATTTTGCATCACTCGTCATTTTTAAAGTTGAAGTTTTATGAAGGTACTATATTTAGAACTAACTATGGCTCCAGGCGCTGAAGACGTGGTCGGCCTCCTTGATGTTGTCGGTGTTCATCGTGGTCAAGAAGGAAGAGTAGGTGACGCTGCTGCAGGGATATAAAAGCGGGTTGAGGCCACACGTCAGGTAGTTGAATCCGCAGGAGTCGCCAGGCCACAAACCATTCTAAACATAAAAATCGGTTGAAGATACGAAAAAAAAAAAGGAAGAAAAGTCATGGGAAGAAGCCGCAGCGACGGCAAAATTGCTCTAGGGCCAAAAATCGTGGCATATAAAGTCGTTTTTTTTTTGTGTGATTCTGTCTTTTTTTTCGAAAACGAAAAAAAGTCCGTAACCTATTTTCTATCTTTATCTTCGCTTGATTTCAGGACCAATTGGAACCAAATCTGCTGATAAATCTATGAAGAATCAAGCTAGTGTCGAACAACCTGTACAGGGAGAAGCAAACCTTTCTTTTTCTCAATTTGACTTTAAAGCGCATTTCTTCCAGGTTTAAAGGTTTTCTACGTTTTGCAAACTCTTGACCAGTCTTACCTCCCGATTGCAAGTTTTCTCCAAAGTCGCACTGCCTCCTTCACAGTTACAAAGACCGTAGTTGGCCCCGGCCAGTCCCAAGAAAACCTCGATTTTGTCGTTTATCGTCGGCCCCAAGTCACAGTTTCCTGAAAACGGAATCATTGTCTCTAAGCTTTTCCTGTTTCAGACCATCCGAGGCTTTGACGGTGCCTCCCTTGATAATCTTCCGGCCCAAGGTGACTCCCATACTGTGAGTGATCAGAGAGATCTTCGGCGCTTTGGTGTAAGAAAGCACGGCTTCAAGGAATCGCCGGAGCCGGGTCAGGTCGAAGCAGTTGTGAGTTCTGAATCAAGAGAGAGTGAGTCAAATTTTGGTCGGGAATTAGGCACAGATACGAACAAGAAAGGGCGTTTTTTTTTTCTCATATTTCAAACCTAGTCGACGCCTTGAGAACGTTGGTGTCCTGCCAGGAAGTCGCGTACAGCTCGGCGTTGGTGTAGCCTTTGCTTAGGAAATATTCCACTGAGTTCGACCATCCCGTGGCGGTTGAAGAGTATTTCAAGGCGGCGTCCGAGTTTCCGTGGATAAATACAACTGGAGTATTCACCGCCTGAAAATTCTTTTTTTTTCTTTACGTTTCTCAGAAGAACCTTGTTGGAACTGGCATCGAAGCCGCCGTAACTTCCTTGTGTACCATAGTCCGACCTCACAAAGTTGTCAGTATCGTAGCCGTTGCTGGAAATCATATGATTTGATTACTTTAATGACCTTCACACCTCTTGAGCCAAGTTTGGAAGTCCTGCGAAAGAGGTCCGGCGATTCCGTTGCTGTGGACGGCCACAACGCTCAGGGCGAAAATCAGCAGAGTCGTTCTGACCATTCCCGAATGGAAAGAACTTTTTCCCTCAGAATCTGCTTATCATCTCTAATTTCGATTATTTATCGGCAACGTGCTCGGTTATCAGTAGCGTGGAGGGGCTGGCTGAAATGACGGTACCGGTTTTTGAGATTGAAACGTGCTCAGAAAAATAAACTATGAAGCTCTTGAAAAATTGATCCTCGTTATGCAATGCATTAACAAAAATAAATGAGCCTATTAAAACAAAATATCAATACAAAAAAGGCTTGCACAAATCGTATAACGTATAACGTCAAATTGTATAAAGTTTTCTTTTTAACACCGTTAATTTCAATGGGATTAATCGAAATCAGAAGCAATTTTCAGGAATCAATACGAAGGGGGAGAATCCCATTGGTGATGATTTTTATTAAATCGAGTACTGTGAAATGAAAAAGTGTAATCACGCTGAGGTCTGCAATTTGGCGTAGGTAGTTTTACGCTCTAGTTTTTTGAAAATGGAATGTTTCTTTTTTCTTTTTTTCTAGTTTTTTGAATTTCAGAATTTTGCTTTTTGCAAGAAAATTCGAGTTCAGCGCTAAATGGAGGATTTAGAAGACATCTTTCTGTTCTGTTTGCGATGGTCAAAAAAACTGCGACGTTATTTCGGATTTGGTAGGTTTTGGTTTTTTTCCTATTTATTGTTTTTTTAATTTTTTTCAAAAAAACTTTTTTTACAATGAATTGAAGTAATCATTGAAATTGAGTGGTTATTACTAGAAAACAACTTGATTGTTAAGAAGAAGAATTAATCAGAAAGCTCGAGTCCTCCCAATTAGTCATATATGTTTTTATATTGAGTTAATTAAAAAGACGATAAATCTTCTCATTTTTCTGCAAGAACTTTTTGCAAAGAGCCAAGTCGCAACTCAAAGTGGAGAGATTACCATAAATGATGAACCATGTCGAGGGCCGCGTTTCCGGCAAAATTTCCTGTCGAACGCCTTCCTCCCGACATTTCTGCCCTTTTTTCTTCTCTTTTCACCCATCATACATCTCTCTTGAATCATTTTTCTGTTCATTTCCAACTGGTCAGCATCCGGGTAGAAGTAATGTTTGTAAAATATGACAAGAAGACAGATGTTCGTTTTTGTTTAAAACAAACGGATGGGGAGAGAAAAAAACGGCGTTCAAGCCTGCAAATGTCACGTCGTGACAGATGGACGGAGACAGAGGCTGGGAACTTTTCATTTTTTAATTTCTTGCGGCTAACCATCAAAAAGTTGATTGCAAGAATATGAAAGATCGCCTCTATAGCTTTTTCTGTAGTACTTGTCAAGGATGTTAAAAATTAGTTGTTTTTTTTCAAATCGCCTAATTTTGAATACTTTTTTATATTCCTGCCCAAATAGTTTAAAGAAAAAAAAGGCTAGTTTAGAATATTTTTTTCATTTAAAAGTTTTTGCAGAGTACTTTCTCATTAGCAAGATTACGTGATGCATGAAGAGAAGTGTTCCCTTCTTCTGAATTAACGAAATAATAGTTATTTGATTTTTGCTTTTTTTTTCCAGCACTGTCTATTTTTCAAGCCTCCCAACCCGTTATTTTTGGGGTTCCTTACTAGATATCCGAATCGTTTTTAAGTTTCCATGTTATTTTGAGAAAATCATGTAGGTTAATGTTTCCGTCTTGAACTACTAATCACTGTTTTTAATTCCTAGTTCCGTGGGAAAGTTTATGTAGTTCTTTTTTGGACAGAAAATTCAGCAGGTGTTTCATCAAAAACTTCATAGCCTTATTTTATTCTCCAGCTCAAGATATAAATTTTGCAAGTAATTGGAATTAGAATAATATTAACCTCTTCTTGCACAGTTTTAACAAGCATTTCAGACCGAATCCGGCAAATTTTTGTGACCTTCTACAAATATTTTGAAGCTAACTGTGTATAAACAGTGGACAGTATTGTGTTCAAGAATGCTCTAACATGAGCCATTTTCTACTTCATAAAAAAAAGTTGGCATGCTTCCACCAACAGTTTCAAGGTTTTCTTTGAGCCTTCACTCACCCTTTCAAATCGTGAGTATAACTTAACCGGTCCCTCCAACAAGCCTCGTTTGTTCTATCCATAGTCACTACGACCCGGAGAATAAATTATTTCCAAGAATCAAAAGAGGCAGAATCCACACACTCACGCACAGACAGAAGCTCGAGGTCGCTCAAAAAGAAGCTCACACGAGTTGGCTCACGATTGTGCCCTCAGGGCGAGAAGCTCACGGCGACGCCGGCGGCTGCGACAGCCTGGCCGCATCGATTCGTCTGCCTGTCTGCCGCCCTCCGGCTCTCTCGTCGGCTCTCCTGAAGACTACTACGAGCATTTTCTGTTTCGCTTTTCTCAGCAACGCTTACACCCCTGTCCGACGGCACCTTCCTTGTCGACTGTCTCATTTGGTGTTGCTCATGTTAGAGCGAGGACGGTCTCCGCGATTTTTGGTCCTAGAGATAGACCTTAATGTGCTGCTGACCCAAAATTTCTTGTTTCATGTTCTCACCCAAGCCTCCCTTGTCGTTGATGTCATCGGAGTTGCTCATTCAGAAGTTTCGTGAATATTGGCTTGTCACATTTGTCTTCGTATTGATTATTCCTTTCAAGCAACGCTCAGAATCCGACTTTTTTGGTTATCCAAAATTAACGTGTTGCCTAACTAGAGCAAAGTTCCTGGCAACTCTGGCATTGGTCTTAGATTTCCTGCTTGAATTTTTTTAGCAGTGTCTAAATTCAAGATTGAACCTTCTCTCGTCCGTTTTTTACGTGTATTGCTTATATTAGTACAACTCCTTGTCTTATTCTGGTAATTTTTCATCCTTTTTCAGGACTCCCTTTAGGCGGTACTAAACTTTTTACAAAAAGCATTGAAATTGTAATGAATCAAGGTCTCTCTGGAACAGCTTTTAGGTGCTTAAAACGATCCTTTTTTGAAATTCACCAGTGACATTTGTTATTTGGTGACAAGATAGGGACGAATGAATATTTTCGTAGTGAGATTGAACAACTGGCTTTTTTGTTTTGGTCATGTTCGTTCGTACTTATTTATCGGCAGAATTTCGGTCTTGGAATACTAAAATCTTTGTCTGAAAAATATTTTGAATCCAAATCTTCATTTTTCACCTTTTTATAGCAGTAGTTTTATCATTTTTTTTTTCTTTCAGCTGTTCTCTCTGGAACAGCTTTTATGGCTTCAGAAGCCGTAAATAGAATTTATAAGATTAAAGTTAGTTTTCAATCTTTTCATTCTAGAAATTCAGCAACTTTTTTCCAATTTTTTGGCTCCCTATTTATTGAAAAACTTTTCGGCGTTGCTTTTGAGGAAAAGTTATGTTTTTTTTCATTCGTAATTGAGTATTTGTGCTCCGTAGTTCTATACCCTTTCAAAGCGTTCACTTGAATGGAAAACATCTTTTTTTACTTCTATTTGACATTCAAGCCGTGAAAAATGTTGTTTTCATCGATAAATCTTCTCCCCAAGTCGAATGATTTATAATGTTTTCGAGTTTCATCTTCCCTCGCTGAATATTCTCAATGATTTATTTCGGTTTTTGTTGAAAAACCTTCATTTTCTACTCAAGAAAAGAGTTAATCTTTTAAAAGATGTTTTAAATTTATCTAACAGATACTCAGTAAGAAAAACAGGATTTTTTTCTAATTTAAAAAAATTGTTGGACATTTTTTTCAAAGGTTGAATTAGGTTTGGTTGTTGAAATTTTTAGATTTTTATTCCATATTTTTGAAAAATATCGATGTTTGATTTCACCGTTTTCTTTTTTTAAAAAAAGCTCGAAAAAGACGAGATAATTTCCGGACCTAAAGCGTCGGCCGAGCAAAAACGAAACTTGCAGAGAAAATTGTCCACACGGATCGTATTTCCACTTTGTCGACTTTCCCACAACGCTTCCCATAATTAGTTTTGTTATTTTTTGCTTCTTTTCGGCCAGAACTTGTTGTCTTGGCTTTCTATACGAACTATTCCATTTCTTGAGAAAGTTTGAATCAAATGTAGAGTTTCTCGGGAAACGATATTAAACTAGTAGAGCTGAAAAGTCTGTGTTTCCCTTTTCGAGCTTAAAAATATCCTTTAATAATGATTCATCATATCATCGTTGAAAAATCAGGAAAGAAATATCCTTTTGAAGATAAATTTGCAAAATTTTCTTTCTCTCCTATGTTTCGTCACCTCAAACTGCGAAAGTTTGAATTTTGAAAGTTTTCTCCTTTTTTGTGCTTTGTTCCAGAGTTTCTTGACGAGAAAGCGTCTTGCGACAATTACCTGCGCGGCTCTTTCTTTTCCTTCTTTTTTTTTTCTTCTTTGGTTTTCGCAAAATACTTCCTTTCCTATGTTTTTTTTTCTCTTGCTCCACTGAGCGCTCTCAGAAAAAAGTTTCATGTCCTTTTTTTGTTCTTGCATTTCCAAAAGGTTCAAGACGGGTAAGGCTGATTTTTGAAACCTCAACAAGAGTATTGGTTTGAAAAAGCGACATGAGAGTTTATAAAGAAAAATTTCGCAAAATTTTCGAAGCTTGAAAAAGAAAAAAAAGGAGGATCCATTTTCAGGTTTACTTGTAATGAAAGATGTAGGAAGAAGCTGATTTATAGCTTTTAAAATAAATGTTATAAATCAAATGCTGATTATTGGGAAAAATCGTGAGGCATTCTAATAAAGTATAGACCTTTTTGTAATATTTAAAGATCTTTACGCAAAGAAAAATGGCTCGAAGCCTTTTTTTCTTCGTCTTGTTCTTGTTTTCACGAGTTTTGAGTCGAGATAACAATGGGAGCCGTGGAATAATTCAGGTGGCTTTTGGGGGCCTACCAGTCGGATAAATTGGCAACTTGACACCGTCCCGTTGCTCAGTTTACTTGCAATTCCCTTCAAGCACAATTGTACTTGTTCTTTTTTCTGACAAAGGTTGTTTTCTGGAGGAAAAATCTTTCTCAAAATCTAGCTGAAATCTAGAAAGTTCTTTCTGAAAATATTGTATTTTAGAAAATTTTTTGGAGGCTCTGAATATCGCAGCTATTGGGAGAAAGAGAATTTTGACTTCAAATTAATTGGGTCGTTACGCCGGAGAATATTAAAATTTTCCTTTTTTTTTCATCGTTATAAAATAAATGAATCGGTAAAGCTATCGTTAATATTCGAAATTTTTCATTTTTAGAGTCGCTTCAAACTTCAGAAGCCTTTCACCTCAAATAGACCTGTGAAGAATAAATCCGAGAACATTCGCAACATTTTTTTTATTTGTCTAGGCTCCGTCATCGCATCAGCTGTAATTAAGCGTCTTTCCAGCCCGTTTCTTTTCTTTTTTCTTGTCTGTTTTTTTCATTTTGTATATCCAGAAAATGGGCAGCTCATTCGATGGATAAAAAGCCACTAGACGCGCATTTTCAATTGCAAAATTGCAATCCGATTGAATATCGTCAACCATCGCAACACGTTTATTTCGTTTTTTTTCGGGCTACGTGAATTTTGTATTTATTTTCGAGTGAATTGGTTGTTTTGTAGGGATTTTTGGAATGTTTATCCCTAATTGAAAAATTATGTAGCTCTTTTTCTATGCAGGGAGACTGGATTTATATATTCAGAAGGGATTTTTAAATTTGAGTTCCATTTGTTTTTCATTTCTTCTAGCTTCGGTAAACGGATAATTCTTCAAACATAGTTTTCTAAACTTTTTTTAGAGCTTCTCAGTAATCTTTTTGTGACCCAAAAAAATTCCGTTATTCTGTTTTTTTGGGATTTTTTCTTTTCTGCCTTTTTTCAGTTCTTTTTTTTTAAATGTTAGATGATTAAAATGCAACCAACAAGTTTTGGATTAGTCGCTACGGCTTTTTTGATCTTCAGAAAAAAAGTTCTCTGTCGTTTTTTTTTTTTGAAAACTAAATCAGGTACCAAATGTTTCGATCTTTTTGGAATTTATTTTTTGTTCTCTTTTTGAGGTCCTTCGTGGCTCAAAATTGTTTCATCTATAGTGCAAAGACTGCAATTTCCTTGACAAATCTCCAATTCTTTATAAGCCTCGTCGAAAAAATGTTGTATTTCTTCTTTCACTTGTCCGCCTCATCATCTTTTGCCGTTTCATCCATTTCGGATGCTTTCTTCATGAAAAAGCGACGTTTTTCCCCAGGATCGGCTCATTTTTTACGACGTGTCTCTTCATTCCAACCATCTTCTAGAGCTAAAAGCGAAAAATAACGTCATAACCAACCTGGAAATTACTATTTTCCTCTTTTCCGAGTAGAAATTTGTCGGAATATCAAAAGTCGCAACGGCTGTGGAAGTTCATTTCCTGCATAAAGGGTCCCGCCCACTCCGATGGCGGTTCTCTCTTTTAATCGACTCTTTTTTTCTTTTTTTTTTCAACCAGATTCCCTTCCCATTCTTTTTTCTTTTTTTGGCTTTCGCCTTGTTACTGAGGTTCTCTGCTCGCAGCGTTTCGCGATCTTTGATCTGCCTTCAAATATTTTAGTAGCTTTTTATCAAATAGTGTTTCATGCTTGGGTTTTGAAAATTAGAAGGTCTAAAAAAATAATCAATATCTTGGAAATGAAATTCTCAAATATTTTTACGATATGATCCTCAAACGATTATATTTCAGGCTCCAAGCATTCAAAATCTTCGAGCCTTTTTCTTTTCTATTTACGCCTTGTTGAAGTTTATTTTATAGATATTGCTCAAAAAAATGATTCGAAACGAATTGCCAACCATGAAGGAAAAACATTCTTCCAATATCTTCATTATCAATTTATTTTTCGCATAAGTCGATTTTTTTCAACCCTCTCGGGCTCTTCGGAAGAATGATGGTTCTGAACAGCTGTGCTGAAGAATTTTTTGATGTTCGTTAAATTTTTATTTGGTTGGGAAACAGCTTGGCGGCAGCCGATTGGCTTTCTTATAGGCGAAATTTGAAAAATAGCTGAAATTTGGATATTTTCATTTTTTCTAAATTTCTTTGTTTAACCGTTTCGGCGAATCCTTTGTTCGTGACCATAAATCAAAGTAAAAAGACCGCAATTCAAAGTGAGAAGCCTGTATAAAAAATTTTTAGAAGTTGGAAGATTGTTTAAGGAATTGAATGCACTTTTTTTTGGACGAAATTCACAAATTTTTTCTCTTTATCTTCTGTTTTGAAAATATTTTTATCATCTATCCCCTACTTGTTTCTATTTCGACCTGAATTCGTCGAGTTGTCTCGAAGTCTCACCAGAAAGTCTTCAGAGACGTCGTCGTCCGGAGGCGACGCCGAGGAGCGAACGGCGGCGACAAGCGCGACGAGACGTGCTCCGCGTCACGCAGATTCACGCCGAGCTGGGGCTCATCGCGTATGTCCCGAGCGGCGCGACTTCCCACTCGCAGCCCGATCGTCGGCCTTTTCCAGCTCATCGTCTTCCTCGCCGCCAACATGCCTGGTACGTCTTCAGATAACAGTTGATATCAATATAGGAAATTGTCTAGTTACAAGTTTTCCGCAAGTTCCCTTCCGTCTGCTATAGTCTGTCCGCCGCGACTTGACGGTTCTCGGGTGTCTGCGTTTCTCTGTTCCCTCACCGGCGAGGTCGCAGAAACGCGAAAATAGCGCGTCAACAAGAGAGGGTCTTCGAGAGACGAGGAGGGCGCAGAGAAGTCCCGTCCTTCCAAGTCGCGAAAAACGTACTGTAACTTTCCGGCGGGCATACATTGGCAGACTATTTTTAAAGACCGTTTCCAAAGGCTTTCTTCATTTTTAGATATTAGAGAGTCTACAGTGAAAAAAAAAATGGATGACATCAACTGAAACATAGTTGTTATTTTAAATGGGGTATCATTACGACCTCAAAAGATATGTAGTTTCATCTTTTTTCGCCCTTCAGAAACATATTTGAAGTGGTCGTTTGTCAAATTTAAAACTCGCAATTAGGAAGAGAGGAAACGAACAACTGCAACAATAAAACAAAAACTTTCGAGCTTGACTTTTGAATAGGAATAGGTTTGAAGCGAGTATGGACTGTTAAATGGACCGTTCACTTTTTGGTGTTTTGGTCTCAAAAAACAAAAGCTGTTTCTATAGAATTTTCGAGGAAGAGGAATTGAAAATTTATGTGATTTGCTAGAAAAGAAGAAAATTGGAAAAAAAGGATTGTTTCACGTTTTTCGAATTTATATTTCAAGCCATCGACAATAAAACTCACGTTTCTAACCAGAATCTTTACAGAAGCTGTCCAGAGAAAGATAGGCTTCAAATTTTTAGTTCAAAAAAAGTTTGAAATAGGTATTTGTAGGCGGGTCCGATACTTTGTGTGTTCGAATATTGTTTGGTCTTGTTTTTTTCAGAATCATTCTTTGTTTTTCATAATAGTTATGGTGGTCTAATTATTTCAAGTGGTCTTTTTAATCTTTTTTTGTTCAGATTTAAAAAAATTGAAAAAGACAAATTTAATAAAACTTGATCTATAAATCCTCTATTGATTTTTTTCCTTAAAAAGTTTTTCGCATGGAAATGCTTCTTCTCAGGGTGTTGACAACAATATTCGACATCATGCCCCTATGTTTGCAAGATTTAGTGCCCCTATAGAGGGAGGTAAGGTAGTTTCTGGAGGAAGAATTTCATGTGCCCTTAAAGTTGCCCCTCTAGGGACCAATCTGGCATTTCTAAGATTCTTTACGTCTCTTCCCATCAATAAATATCGATACGAATTTGCAGGTACAAGTGCAATTGGCTGCTTCGTTTGCAGCTCGTTTGACGGCGACAACAAAGCTTGCGAGGATCCCTTCAATTCCACAATGGACGCCTCAATGCGGGTACCTTTTTCCATATTTCGTGGTGAGAACCCCAAGAATGTAGCTCAACCCAAGTCTCGTGTAGTTTTTTTCATAATAAATAAGGAGTTTTTAAAAATAGACATTTTTTTGTTTTTTTGTATTCATCGTATAGGTCTTACTTAGCTGAAAAAAATTCCAGATTTCTCATTATTTGTATCGATACGGAAATTTTTCTTTTTTCTGATTTTTGTCAGTAATTATTATTTGAAATAATTAATCAATGTGCGGAGATAAAAAAAATGGTTGGTTTTTTCTGAAGAACAGCTTTTTTTATATCTTTATTCCTGGGATTGCCGAGCCTATTTTTTCGGGTTTTCGAGCTCTTTTTGGTGGAATAGTAACCGCCTTTTTTTAAGGCACCTAGTTTATTTTTCAAGTTAATTAAATTGAAAGAGAATGAATTTTTTTAAAAAAACTTCCGTCTTCTTGAAAAATACCCAGGAGCTTGTTGTTTTTAAAAAAAATTTATATGAATGTAACAATGTAAAATAAATTTTGAAACAAAAATTGGATAATACACGTCAAAAAAATGAAGAATATACAAGAAATTCCAACAATTTGATTATTTCATTGAATCAGGAACGAGAATCGTCCTCGGTGCCCAACTACAACCATCCGTGTTGGGCCCACAAAAAAGGCCGAAATGGACTTTTCCCGGCGGATCACTGCATCAAAATCATCGGCTACCGGTGTAAGTCATTTTTGAGATGGCTCTCTGCCGACTTGCTGACGTAGGCAAATGACGCAGATCATTTGGAGGAAAAGGAAGCGAAATTGCTGGGTTTGGATGATTGCCAACCTCATTCTTCTCTTTTTTCTTTCCTGCTCTCATTTTGACACTCGTTGGGGGAAATGGCTTGTTGCCATGATTTGGAATGCATTCGAAACGGGGAAAGATGAAGAGTTGCAGCGGACAACGAGTCGAAGACGTTGGTGATCAGAACTTGCGCCCTCGATTCGGGTACCCTCACCGCAGACACGGGTCAGTTTCCGGAATCAAAGGGGTCTTTGAAAAAAAAAAGTAGCTCAAAATGGTCTTAACAAAAATTAATTAGGAAGGTCATTTTTCTGTTTCCAAAGATCGAGTTGCCAGATAGAAGTCCTAAAAGTCTCAACCTGCACAAATTCCCAGTTTTTGAGTACCTCAAAGTCAAAGAGAACCGTCAAATTAGGCTATTTCGCGGCTTTGATCCCTAATTTTTTTGTTGAATTTTGAAACTTTCAGACCTTCATCTGTTAAAGAGTGTTCTAGCCAATTTTCAGGAAATTCTAAATCATAAGTTAAAATGATCTTCTTTGGGAATCGTCAGGAGGAGCTGAAGAGGTTCCGCTAAAAAGCTAATAAAATAATAGAAATAGCTTTTTTTCGAAGCTTTAGAGGATCTTTTTCGAATTTTTTTGGAATATTTTTTTAGTTGCATGCTAACATCTTTTTTTATCGAAGGAACGAAGTAGGCTTGAAAAAAAGACATATTCAGTTCAAAAACTTATCTAATTCCATCTGAACGACTTTTCTAAAAATCACATATTAAATGGTTCGACTGTGTTGCGCTGTTCCTTAAGTTGCGAAAAAAAACGGCTATCGAGCTTAGGCATTCAAAAGAGAAAATTTTCTTTGAGCCATTTTGGGCGACTATGGGTTTAGGCCTAGACATGAAAAGTTTGTGCAAGATATTATTTGGACAGGCGCAAAAAAATACGAGCGATGCCTAAGCAGAAAGCAAAGAACTGATTTGCAGGATGCAAGAAGATTTTTTTTTTTATTGAATGTCAATGCAAACTGCATTATTTCGTAAGAGTAATTTACCTCAACTGAAACACTAATTTTTCCAGAGATCGTGAGGATTTCGCACTGCGGCAGCTTCAAGTACGAGGGCCATCAGTACAAGGGATGCGTGCAGTCGTGCGACTCCGACGGCTGCAACCGCGCCCCGAACGTCAGTCCCATCGGCTTCCTTCTCGCCGTCTTCGCCTTCATCTGCACTTTACGGTTACCGGTCTAGGCTCACCCCCACTTTCACTGTTTTTCTTATTTTCATGTACCTCTGTTTTTCATATAGATCCCCTTCCAGTTTCCCGTCAACAGATTTTCGCACCCAAGATTTTTGATCCCTAATCTGTTATTTCCAATTTTTCTCACACCTTTCTAATTGAGACGCGAGATTTTAGTAATCAAAAATAGTAGGCCTTTTTTTTTAGAAAAAAAGGTTGAATACAAAAAGTTAGACATCAAAAAAATCTTCAATGCGTCAGAAACTTAGATAATTTTTCTTTCTTACTAATTATCGAAAAAAATTGAACGTATTGAAACGAGCTTTTAAGACATAAAAAATGTAGATTTTCCCTTCCGAACTCAAAATTCTGAGAAAAAAAGGTGGATACAAAAACTGGGAATCAGAAATCTTCGGTGCTGGATAAACTGGCCAATTTTTTTCCTTTTTATTTTAATTCACCGAGCTTTTCACTGTCTCTCACTTGGCACTTGGGATTTCGAGGGTTTATCGAGTTTGAATAATAATTCAACTTCAACTTTTTCTTTTTTTCACTTCTACAGTTTTTCTAATCGAAATTATTCGACAAAAACTGTAGTTTTGAAGAAATACTCCATTTTTTTTCCACCGAAACTTGTATGCTCCCGGTAGATTTTGCTAAGAAGGTTGTATGAAACTTGAGCTGTGCTGTATTTTCTCCAAATTATTCCCAAAATGCTATAGCATTGCTCCTTAATCATCACGAGCAATAATCTTTCTTCAAATGAAATTGAATAATCCAATACTTTCACTCATATCTTTTTGAGAACAAACACTTTTTGGAAATTTCATTCAATCCCCTGATAGTTGAGAATAATGCTGATTTGTACAAGAGTCGGGTTCTGTGATACGTTTCATTTCGATTTTATAATGTTCCATCCTTTTTTTTTCTTCTATTCAATATCCATCATTCTTTTGTTCCGATATCCGAAATGTTATAATTGAATGATTCAAAGCTCAATCACTATTCTATTTCCCGTTCCTTGAGTCCATTCCTTATCAATCAATAATTTGAAGCTTTTCCCTGTTGTATTAAATTTTTATTTTATTGCTTCTCTCGAAAATGTATCCCAGTTTTTCTATTGATGGAAATAAACAGTTTTCCTTTATTAAAAAACAACTTTTTGAATAGTTTCTTTGTGTCGTCGCTTCAAAAAAGAAAATACTTGAATTTTTGTTTTTGGTTCGGGTAGTTCACGCTTCGGGAACTTATTGCACAAAATATGAACTTAATAGTTTGCCTTGATATTTGATTATCTACTAGTGCCAATTTTCAAATTTTTTTTCAATTCAAGGGAAAAACTGAACTGCCATCAAGGATGAAAGATTAGCTTTAGAGCTTTCCCGTCATTTTTTCGAACTGACTTTTCAAAAATAGGTTCAACTCTTGCTCTTGATGCTATTTCTGACGCTTTGATTTCACTGAAAATGATAAAGTATAGCCGAAATAAAGAAAAAATGGAACCAAAAAGTCCTACTTTCACTGAAAAAATGTGAGAATTTCTTTTCATTTCAAAATATTTTCAAGCACGGGAAAACTACTTCAAAAAAATGAAAAAGAATTTTTATTTATGAAAAATTCCTGAAGAGCAAAGTTTTTTTGCGTTTTTGGTGTTCGGTCCTTTATCAGCCTTCCTCATATTTTTATGAAAGAAAACTTTAAAAGTATTAAAAAATAGATCAAATTTCTCGAATCGAAAAACAACTTTTTATATATCTCTGACCGAGATTCTCGGTTTTTATTTGTGTGCAACAAGTGCAGATATCGACGTTCTGAAATGAGTAAACAACTTTCATGTGATGTTTTTCTCGTCGGCCCTCCGTTTTTTTTCTGCCTCTTTTCCTTTTTTCGAAAATTTTCCTTATTGCGGCTCAAAATATTGATTATCTCCTGCAAAATATTCGAGTAGAAGCTCCAAGATAGATATTTTTCTTCTGATAATCATGGTATTTCACCTCTGATTTGAGACGATATGAGAGTCTCCACACGATTGACAAAAAAGTGTGGGAAAATAAGAAATTTAGAAGCCCTGTAGTATTTCTTGTCCCAAGCTAGCGGTGAATGAAGTAAAATTGGGGTTTGAGAGACTTTTTCGAGTTTGTTTTTTGGTTTAACAATGGCAACAGAGGAAAGAAATTTTTCTCATTTTTTGAACTATCTTTTCATTCTCTAGCTTCGTCTGAAAGATTTAGACTGAAAATAATTGAAAATTCACCATAATAATACGTTTTTCAAACCTATAAAACAAAAAAATTTGACTTCACTTCAACTTTGCGGTGGGTTTATGACTCTGATTTTATTTTACTTCTCCATGATCGTATTGGGGGATTCATCAAAAATAATTCCCAGGTTTCGGATGAATCACCGAAAGTATTTATGAAAAAAAAAATGTTGAAACAGTTGATCAACTCTTTTTGCTTCATTTTTGAAATTCTTGATTCGATTCCTTTTTTTCAACATTCGCTTTCTTGTTTTATATGATTCATAACAGCATTTCTTCGCCTTTTGAGGACGAAATTCATAAATTTTTCGGGCTTTTCTCATAGTCTGTTCAAAAATTCTTGCTGGTTCTTCTCTGGGAGGTTTTAAATCAACAGCCTAAACTACCTTTCCTTTCCAATCCTTTGTTTTTATGATCCTTTCAACTAACCAGCAGTTTTCAAAATTTCTTTTTTGTATTTTTCAGTTCTGACCCTTTTTACTCATATTAAGAGCTGAACTTTTGAAGAATGACCACTGCGATGGGCCTATCAGTCCATCAAAACTTGCTGAAACTCGTCAACAGCATGGACGCCTCGACTGACATCAGCGTCAACTACGTCCTTCTCGACGAACATCGCCGAGACACTCCCCCGAGACATCCGACTTACCTGGAGATGATCAAGGTTCAAAAGATTGAAGAGATTTGGAAATGGGAAAGCTTCCAGACGGCCATCGAGACGCTGAACAGGAACAGCAACAAGAGAGGCATCTCCAAAGCCGACATCCTCAAGTACATCGCCCAGAACTATCAACTCGGAGAGAGCATGCCTGAGGTAATTCTTGTTTTAGAGAATTAATAAGTATGGTTTGTAAATTTTTGAAAAAAAATATCATTTTTAACAGAGTTTTGGCTTGAAAAAGTCTGGAATCATTAATTATTTCCGGAAATACCTGGAAAAATTTTTAGTGGCCACTATAGAGTTTTGACATTTTGATGGCGACTATAGTAGTCAAATTAAGGGCCACTTGAGGGGTTAAAAATTAGTGGCCACTTTAGAGGTCAATGGATCAACATGACTGGTCCAATCTGTTAGTTTTAAAATTATCAGAGTTACTGGAAGGAATACTGGATGAAAAACTACTGAAGTGGCCACTAAATAGAGAACCTCTTAGTGGCTAATAAAACGGAAAATAGTGGCCACTATAGAGGTGGGTTTAGTGGCCACTTTAATGTCCTCTCCAAGTAGTCCCTGGCGAGCCTCTATAGTGGCAACTAAAAATTTTCCCAGACAGAGAAAAAAAGAAGCTACAAGACTTATTTTTACCCCGTTTCAGTTACTTGAAGTCAATCGAATGGGACTCAAATTTAACTCTGTCTTCTGAAAAATCTTTGAAAATTGAAAAGCTTTCATGTCCTTCAAACACAACTCAAAGCAAATCTGGGTTAAAGAACCTCGGCAAACGCGCCACACTTCAAAATTAAAATAAAATGATTCCCCAACATTCGCTAAAGCCTTCAAAACTCGTAGAGGAGTTTGTTTCCTTTTCCAGCCCTGAGGATTCAAAAAAGAAAAAAACGCGTATCTCTTCGAAAAGATTTGGTAGGTTTTTTACAGGTAAACGGGTTAGTCCGTGACGTTCTTAACGAGTCCCTGGAGACTGGCGAAATCGTACAGATTCGCCGTAATGCTTCCTGGTGCCAAGCACCGCTCTTTTGCACTTCTGAGATTGAGAACGTGAGGCGTTTTTTGTTGATTTTGTGTGGTTTGTCTTGTGAAATGCATTTTTTGTGTGTTGAGATGGTAAATTCATAGTTGAGAAATAAAATAAGTAACATTTCAAGTGAGCAAGGCGATTTTTGAAAGACCTTTTTGAGCCCATTCTTCGTCAGTTAGTTCTTTAATCTTTTGTCTTTTTCTTCTCATATTAATATTTCTCAAATCATGAAAGAAAAGAGCCGCCACTAAATCATGCAACTGAGGTGTCAAAAATAACCCAAAAAAGTGTCAGGAAAAAATTATCACTTCAACTTTTTTTTCACAGTATTTATGAGAACCATCAAGTATCTGTGAAACTTTCCGACTTTGCCTATGGGATTTTCGTCACCTGCGAAAAAATATAACACCTTCGTGTCTACAATGTGTGTCTCAGTTAATCAGAAGGTGTTTATTGGTTCTCAAAAATGCCATTACAGAGGCGAAAGGTGAGAATCCCTGAAACTGAGGCCGATATGGAGCGCAAGAAGAGCCTCCAACTCCAAATTCCCATTGAGATTCCTCTCTTGAAGAAAATCGTCAATGAGGAAGTTACCACTGCTAAACGCAACATCGGAACGAAAAAGACTCAGGTAAAGGCGTTATTTGAAAAAGGACCGGTGAAAAAAAAAATGGTTTTTCTGTTTTGCCAATGAACAAAGCAGTATTGAAGTTGACGTATTTTTTTTTTTCAAAATTTAGCTGTTTATAAATATCCAATCATTTTTGATAACCTTTATTTTTGAGTTCAAAAACTATTTCAAATGTTTACTGTGTCTAGTAGAGCTTTTGAGCGACTTAATTGTTAGTTAAGACGGCTCTTCGCTTCGAAAAATTCCTGAAAAACTGCTTTAAAAACCTTGGCCAGCATTTTTGAATAGACATTCTAAATTTTTTTGAATTCCTAGAAGACTTCGAGCCTTTGACCCATTTCGGACAAACCTTAGCCGTTAATTCTTATGCATTCGCGTATTAATTTACGAGAGTCGATTCAGAAGAAAACTGGGCCCAAGAAACGTCCGGCGATCACCAAAAAACGCTCCCAGCCGACGAAGAAAGCGCCTAACGCCAAGAGGGCCAAGAAATCTTCGACCAAGGTCCCGCCTCCGACGAAAATGATCCTCCGCAGTACCTTCCGCTCGTAGACAGCCCAGTTTACAGCGTAAATTTGCTCTCATTTGTAATATTTCCCCGTTCTCTTTGATCGACATTCGATTTCCACGTCCTCAATGTATATTACTCTCACTTATTTAACTAGAGTTTGTATAACAGTATTATAGCTGTTCCTCGAGCTTTTCATCATGTATTTATTTTCGTTTGGTTGAAACTTGTAAAAGCATGTACATAATAAAGTTTAATATTTTTCTGAATCTTATTCATCGATCACAGTTGTCCTAATCATTTCAATCAGTATCTCTAGTAATTTCACAACTTCTCAACGCAGTGAACTCTCCAATCGATTCAGTGTAACCAGTCCCTGGCGAAGAACTATTTACACATGTCAGCTGACACTTTTCTCTCTTTTTCGTTAGAGTACGCAGCGTTCTTGCTCTGAAGCGCTTTCATTCATGATTCAAGCGGAGTTCGAAATGTTTCTATTAACTCTATTAACTCGTTTAAAATTGAAATTTTTGCAAACTAAAGATTATCTATAATAAGCGAAAGGAATCTTTCAAATGTATTTAAATCGATGATAAAAAAAGCCCCGTTTCAGTAACATCTTATAGTCATTAAAATCATCTAGCTCCGAGCTTCACTACTGATTGTCTGAGATAAATTCGAAATTCAATCAAAAAAAAAAAAAGAAACAAAATTTTTTGAAAAAAGTTTTGGCAGAGTATCAAACGCGCTCCAGGGAAAATATCGATCGATGGGCGGGGTCGCCGCGTCGCCGCCGAACGGCAATTTCACAAAAACGCTAGCGTGAATCAGATTTTCTTCTCCGTTCTCTCTCATTTATCGTTTTCCTTTCCATCGCGTCCCGTTTTGCTTCGGCTCCAAATTTAGTTTTCCTTGAACCATGAAATTATTTCGTTCCGTGTTCTATGTAGGCGAAATATTTCGAAATAAAGCGTTTTAGATAACGCAAAAAGTGAAGCTTTTTATAATCGTAAGAAGAGAGGAGATTTTAGAGCTTAACAGTCTTTATATGTAATTTATAGTAGGAAAACTTATTTCAGAAAGTAAAATTTGCAAGAAGTTAAACTTGAACTCATTTTTCGATCACAGTAGTCATTATAGGGATTATATAGTTGATTCGAAAAAGATTACTGTGATTTTCGAATGCACTCCTAGATAGAGAAAAAAAAAATAATAAGGTGTGAAGATTTTTTCTGTGAGCCACGCCCATTCTCTGCGAGTTTTAGCACTTCATTAACTTTTTTTGACGAGAACCTATTTTTGCCAAGAAGCATCATTCCCCATTTGCCTCATGTTTTGAGAAGTCGCTCCTTCCGCTTTTCTTCGTTTTTTTTTTTCGCTCGTTTTTTTTTACAAAAGTTTAAACATGAAGTGCTCCAATTGCAGTAGAACTTGAATCGAGATGTCTGACAACAAGGTCAACATGTCTCTTGACGACATCATCAGCTTGAACAAGAAGAAGCGACCGGCAAAAACCAATGGAGCAAAGCCTGGATTCAAGCATGGACTTTCCGTTAGTTTTCCCGAATAATTTAAAGTCAATTTCAAATAATTACAGGGACGTGGTGGCGGCGCCCGTCGTGGACGTGGCAAGGCCACGGTGGCCGGTAACAACCGCGGAGCTCTTCGATCAGCTGCTCTGCTGAAAAAGAAGGCTCTGAAACGTGTTGGCGGCCCGGCTAACACCGTACAACCGGGTGTCAACCAGGCCACCAAAAAACTGGTGCAGCAGCTCGTCAACGTTCGTAATTATTTTATAATGAGACCTGAAGATCAAGCGTTTCCATATACCACTAGTCAATAATAATTCATTCGCATGTGCTTTTTTCCGTGGGTTTTTTTTTCGAAGCAAAGAGCCGTTTCAGTGACAAGTACTGAGATATGTGGAAAAGTTTGAAAATGCCTATCAAAATCAACTCCCGAAAAAATATTCAATGTAGATTTTACAGAAAGCACTGAGAAACACAAGGACTGCACCGAATGTTCGCCCGAGAGTGATTCGCCGCCGCGGCGTACGTTTTCACTATCTTGCTCACTGGGCGACGTGAGGCTCCTGAGTCAGAAGAACCGGAAATTGGCCACAAAATCATCGAAAAATCGTCACCAACTGTAGTTCCTGAATGAGAGACGGACACAGCGTGGATGACGCTTCCATTTTTCGGTGGCTGAAAACTTCTCGAGCTACCAACATCAGCGAGAAAAGCCAACAAGGCCCATGTCCATCATCATACGAATCAAATTTTGACCCTCCGTTCTTCCTTCAAATCAGCCTTTACTTGGAACCGATAATAGTTGCATTTCTCCTGGGACGTTTTCGGTGTTGGCGGAAGGTTGTTGCAATCCATCCACCACGGCGGAATTCTCCGGCGACTCACCGAGCCCCCTTGCCGTCTCCGGATGAGCAAGGTAAGAATCATGGAAATTTGTAGGGTCTGGCCGCTAGCAACGTTGGTCTCCGCGCAAACGCCCTCAACAGAATCCTGCCCCGCTCGAAGACGATCGTCCGTCGGGAGATCGTTCCCGTCACTCGCAGAGTTCCAATTGTGAATACTTCAGACTTTTCTAGGAAGATTAGGGACTCAATAACCTCAAAGCTTCGATTTTTAGTCAGTTAGATAGACACTTTAGAAAAGAAGTTTTCTTTTTTTTTAACGTAGGGTAAAAAAAAAAAATTTAAAAGAGGAGGCAGGGAAAAAGAATTTTCAGTTGACTTTTTCCTTGTATTTTCTGAATGTCCTTATTCATCATTGATCTTTGTGAAATTTGGAAAATAGATTTCTTTCAGCGCGCTCGGCCGGCGTTCAGAGAAGTCGAGTACGAGGAGGAGCCGGAAGAAGAATAGTTTGTGCAGCCTTGCGAGTGTTTATTCAATGTCTCGATTTTGTAGCATCGAGGAGGTCGCTGGACCATCCCGCAGACTGATCACTCAAGTGCCCCGGACCCGCGTCGCGCAGCCAGTTCGTCAGCCGGTCGTCATCCAACGCGTCATTCAACGAGCTCCGCGTCAGCAGCAGCAGATTATTCGCCGTCAAGTTCCAGTCCAGCAAGTCATTCAGCGTGTCCAGCGTCAGCCACAGGTCCGCACATGCTTGAAAAAGAAAAAAAAAAGAAACAAAGGGTAAAGCAAGTTGCGAAAATGGTCTTCGAGCGATTATTCTATGATAAGACGTTTTTAGATACAATATCTCTAAAATCTTTTTTTATTTTTATTCTTTTTTACTTGACATAGCTTTTTTTAAATGATAAAGTTGTAAACTAATTGAATTTTTTCAGAGAGCCGGAAGAGTTGTTCAATGGTCTTCAGCGCAGAGAGGTTTCCCGGCTCGCCGTGGAAATAACAATCGCCAGTTCGTGGAGGTTACCCGCAAAAACGACCGTTTCCGTGAGGCTATGGGACTTTCTGGACCCCGCAGACAGACCAGAGTTGTCCATGAGGTTCGGTTATTATTTTTTTCCTCGAAAATCATTTTCCATCTTTCAGGTTCAAAGATTCGAGCCCGTTTACGCTACTGAAAGAATCACGCGCCGAGGCCGTGGTTTCATCGATTATCAATGAATTCTCCCATGATCTTTTTTTCCATTCCTCAAGTTATTTTTGTACATTAAACCTTGCCTTGCGTGTTTGTTTTACTTTGAATCTAATAAACTATTGCGATGAAAACTGAGTTGGCTTGAATAAAAAAATAAACAAAAACTGGAATCGTGCGTTTTGATCGAAACTTTATTTGATGTTTGAAAAAATGAAAGGAGATTCGACTTTTAGGTTTTGTTTATATGAAAATAAGTCGCTAAAAAAATATGAGCGACAACGGGGATCGGAGGCCTCTGATGCCTCGTCTGCACTTTGATAGGCGTTCCAGAACTTTTTCACTCAACAGGTTGAAGGAAAGGAACAAAATTATGAACTTTGAAGTTTCTTTAAGTATCGATCCTCATGAAGATCCGGTGAGCGGCCTCGAGAGGGTCATGTCCAATTCGAATCTTGAACGTGAGGCTCGTCGGAGGAGAAGACAAGTTGTTGGTTTTGAGTTTAAAAGGGACAAATGATCATGGGTTTCCAAATTTTCAAGCAAAATATTCAAGTTGGAACTTGTAATAAAGAAATTTCAGAATTTATTAAACAGAAAGTATCAAAAAATATGTGTTCGAGATTGGCAAGAAAGTTTGTAGAAGAAAGAAAGAAAGTTCCAAAAAAAAAAACTGTAGCTGAATAGCTTTTTTTTTATTATTTTCTCTTTTACAATTAATATTCGTTCATGAAGCTTCAAAATAAAGGGAAATATCATTGAAGGCCGAGGATCAACGACTGACGTTGATTCGACAAAGATCGGCGGCTCCCGGAAATCAACACTTCGAAACGGCTCTCTCTGCCCAGTACGAAAGCCTCGACTATGAAATTTCCGAAAACAAGCTATATCGGGACTCGGAGAACAAACCGACGCATCAGGTTTCTTCTTTTTGTTTTATTTTCTTGAGAAGTTTGATAATCAAAATGCTAAAGAAAAAATCAAATTTTTTTCATTTCTAATTACTTTGAACACGGCATTAAACTTCTAAATTGATGGAATAAATGTGGGAAGTGGTGAAAATATGCTCGGACAACTCTTTGTTAAAATTTAGGATAATCGAAAAAAAGTTAGGACAATTTTTTTAACAGAATAGTAATCTCTCTTGTTTTTCGCTAAAACACAGGGTATCTTATTTCGAAAGTTTTTTCCTTTCCTTTTTTTTCAAGTTTCATCTTTTCTTTTCAACACAAGATAAAAAATGATAGGAGGTTCATTTCAAAAACGAGAAATAGAAGTAAAGGAAAATATTGGTTTTTAATTATTTTTATGACTCAAATTACATTACATGGTCTCTGTTGTCGAAAATTAGGAGCAATTCGTTATTTTGTACTCATATTTCTGCTCAATAATGCCACATTGTTCATATTTCCGTCAATTCCGGGCGGCTTTATATAATTAGGATCATTTTAATTGTTGTTTCTAGGGGGCTCGTTCCAGCCTTTATTTAAATGTGGTTTCAGGACGCTTTTTTTCTTTTTAAGCCAAAAAATGGTCTTCAGAACTCCCTGTGGGTACAGTCGCGGAACCGATGGGTCGCCTGTTTTTTCATCGGCGTTATAACTGCCCTTGTCGCCGCTTTCGTCGATATCATGGTGCACCTGAGCAAAGAGTGGAAGTTCAACGTCATCCTCAAATACAGTGTGTTTTCATTCGCTTTGAAACAGAAAACAATATTTGTTTCGAAATCGCTGTTCGCAATTTGATGCTTTACGGTTCGTTAGAAGTACGTTCAAGGGGATTTGAAGCTTAAATTGTTGAATTTCCTCAATTTTATAAAGCTTTTTTTTGAACTACTGAAGAAGATTCTTTCACCTGATAAGTCCCAACAATAGGTAAAATTAAAAAATTGAATCATCATATGTGTTCCTGAGCCAGCTAATCGATAAGTAAAAGGTAAAATAAAGGTTAGATGAATTTCGATCTATTTCGGAACCGTTAAGTATGTGAAGGTAAAACTTAATCGTTCAAATTTGAATCTAAGGTATAATTTTTAAAAAGAAAAAAAAGGCAATTTTTCAGAAATTCATTTTTTTGTTCGAGAAATAGTAAGTAATTAGGAGGAGGTTTTTTTCAAAAAGATAGTTATGAAGAAAAAGTGAATTTTTTTTTTGGGCTTTTTTAGCTCTTTTTTTCGACATTTTCAGTGAAAAGCATCGATTTTTGAAAATTTGTCGAAAGAATGAAAGAATGATGACTTTTTGTTCTTTTTTTTTCATATCGAAAGCTTCCGATGAGATTGAAAATATGTTCGTTTGAGTGCTATCAAAGTGCAATGTGGAACAACGCGGCACGGCTTCGGGCTGCATGTGGGAGACGATGATCACCTGGATCCTCTACAATTGTACTTTGGTCTCTGTTGCCGCTTCCCTTGTAGGCCTCCCCATCCAATTCAATCGTATCACCTGTACTTCTAGGTAATTTTCGTTTCACCGATCGCCGGAGGCTCCGGCATCCCACAAATCAAGTGTTATTTGAACGGAATCGCTGTTCCGCAGGTTCTTAGGCGATTTGTTTAGCAAGAAAAGGGGAATTATTCAGGTAGTCCGACTGAAAACTTTGCTTGCGAAGGCCATCGGCGTGGCTTGCGCAGTGAGTGGCGGACTGGCGGCTGGAAAAGTCCGATTTTCGAACCAAAATTTCAACAGATTTCCATTTTTAGGAAGGTCCCATGATACACTCTGGAGCCGTGGTTGGTGCGGGAGTTTCGCAGGGCCGAAGTCGCTCCTTGGGAATCGATTTTGGGTTCTTCAAGGCTTTCCGCAATGATCGGTTGGTACAGAAAAACAAATAGTTGAAACAGAACGAATAATAGAAATTTTTTTCTGTAGGTTAGAAAAAGAGGAAATTGAGTGAGAATAATTTACTTTCAAAAAAAAAAAAAATTCGTCTACCGTTCCTATTCTTATCGTCCTTTGTAAAAAAAAATGTCTCTGAGAAGGTTTAGTATAGATTCACCGTGTTTCATGATCTCCGATTTTTTAGCGAATTTTCTAGCTTTTTGTGAAAATTTTACCATTTTATAGAAAATAAATGAGAAGCTGGAAAAAAATAGAAATTAAGAAGGACTTTCCCTATTCAGACTAATATTTCATCAAACTATTCGGATTTGTATCGCAGGTGAAACAGGAAAAAGAAGAAATTTGCCAAAAAATGAGCAGTGTTTAGTAATAGTATTTTTCGATTGAAACACAATTTTATAAAACTTTCACATTAGGTTGGGAATTTCGCATTCATTTTAATGACACCTTCCAAAAAAATTCAAACGTAGGAATATAATTTTTCAAAACGGGACCCCGGAAAAGATATGAAAAAGCACCTCATATTAAAAAAGCAGTAAAAAATAGTGTAAAGAATATTTTTTTGAACGAAGTTCTTGTGGTCATTTTATCTAGGTCATGTTGGTCCTGATGATCACGAAAAGGTTGCACAAATAAATAAAAATTCGAAAAACTAACGACAATTTTGATGAGTTAATTCCAGAGAAAGACGCGATTTCGTGTCGGCGGGTGCAGCCGCGGGAGTCGCCGCCGCTTTCGGCGCTCCAATCGGCGGAGTTCTTTTCTCCCTGGAGGAGGGCGCGAGTTTCTGGAACCAGAACCTTACGTGGAGAATGGTTTCCAAAGCATTCTTTCTCTCAAAATTGTCGGATCATTCAGTTCTTCACTGCAATGATCTCCTCATTCACCGTCAGTTCGATCCTCAGTTGGTTCAATGGCAGAAGTGGCTGGCTCTCCTGGACAGGCCTTGCCAATTTCGGGGTCTTCGAGGTTCCAAGAGATAGATTTTCGAAATCTACCTACTCATTGTAGAACAAGGACTACAACATTTGGGAGATTCCGATCTTCCTTTTGATTGGCGTTTTTGGAGGAATCACCGGCGCCCTGTTCAACTACTTGAACGTTAAGATTAGTTGCTTCCGGAAAAAGTAAGCTGTTCTGAAAATAGTGTTTTTAATTAGTGACTGAATCATCGCGGAATATATTTTCGAACTTTTTCTAATCTTTTGTGACCTTCCGAAAACGATTGTGAGATGGAAAGGTTGCATTTGGTATAGCTTTTTTGCTAAGAAGTTAAAGCTCAGTTTAATTTTTGGTTTGGCCTATTTACTATTACCACATATGGACCAACTTCAAATCAAATTTTTCAGTTTCTTTCTATTATTTTGAAAAGCTAAACTCACTGGCCATTAACTAACTTTATTTGAGAAAGAGAAATTCGAAGCATAAATTGCGAATCGAAATAAAAATAAAAAAAGAGGGGATCAGTGACTCTATATCTTTATAACTTTAACTATTTGAAATGAAAATGAGGTCTTCCTCCCTCATAAAAAATTTTAAAAATTATTATATTTTTTAAAATTGGATCTCAACAAGATCAAGGGGGGTTTTTTTGTTTTTAATTCGGTGAACTTCAACTCATTGATTTCAACTGTTCAAATTTTTTCGTGATCCAGATACGTTTCGACCAAGTTTTCTCGCTTCTTCGAATGTCTCCTGGTGGCTGCCGTTTCGGCTTTCCTGGGCTTTGTGACGATTTTCCTTGTCGACGACTGTCAGCCCGTCGGCGTCAATCCCAACACAACCCAAGTCAATCAGGTTCAAACTACGAACAGTTCTGGTGAACCTCAAGTGTGATCTTCCAGATGTGGTGCAAAAAAGGCGAATACTCGGCGGTGGCGAGTCTTTTCTTCCAAAATCCCGAAGAAAGTGTGAAAAGCCTGTTTCACAGCCCAATGAGTACGACCTCAAAAAAAATATTTCTCGTCTAGTCAAGGTTTTCAGATTCATTCCGGGCTACCACGTTGGTTATTTTCGCTGTCGAGTACTTTTTGCTGACCTTGTGGACTTTCGGAATCGCGGTGCCTTCCGGGGTGTTTATTCCGGCCCTTTTGACCGGCGCAGCTTGGGGCCGACTTTTCGGCATTTTCGTTGAACAATTGTTCCCCAGCGTTGTGAGTTTCGAAGGGGTTTTCTTTGTGAAAAAGTGGATTTGTACTTTGAAAAAAAAACTAGAGAACATTTCAGAAAAATTTATCTTCTGAATGAAGAGACAAGGTTAGAAAGGGGGATTGATAAAAATAAAAAACGGCGGATAAAACGGGAGGCATTAGAAAACTATGCTCTCTGTAGACAGCTAACCGGGAAGCTTTGCGTTTGCGATTTTTCTAGAAATCGATCAGAAATCGTTTTTTTTTTTTCAATGCTCTAAAATGGCTCAGAAACGTCCGGGCGCGTCAGGTTCCCATTGAAAAAAAAAATCCGGTCTATCTATCAAGATTTTCTAACTGTATAACCCAATATTCCAGACTGGAATAGATCCTGGAAAGTACGCTCTGGCCGGCGCTGCGGCTCAACTCGGCGGAATCGTACGGATGACCATTTCTCTCACTGCCATCATCATGGAAGCGACCAAAGTGAAAACAAAAAAAAATTTAAGAAAAATAACCAGGAGTCTTTTCTAGAATATCACTTTCGGCCTGCCCATCATGTTGGTCCTAATGATCACGAAATGGGTTGGAGACATTTTCAACGAAGGTCTCTATGACACCCATATTGATCTCGCCGAAGTTCCTATCCTCGGCTGGAATCCGCCCAAAATGAGCCGGAATATTTTGGCAGAGTGAGATATTTCCTGTTTTCAGAGGGATCATGGAAATCCTTTCGTTCCTATGAATGAAGAGAACATTTTTAAAAGTTGATGATTACTTCAAAAGTTTTTGTATTGAACTTTTAGCCACATCCATGTAGATAATGAAATTTTTCTTCTTCGAGCTTAAAATTTAGAGCTTTGTCACCAAAACGTTAATTTTCGAATCTGAAGGTTTTCAATGCAAATTATTCCTCTTTTCGTGTTTCTATGATCCTTCTCGGCTTGATTTTCCCTTTTTTTTGCTTTCACAGATATATTTTGTGTTCAGAAAAGTGATGCGATCCGATGTAGTCGCCTTGGAGCTTCGTGAAAGAGTTTCGCGCATCGTAGAGGTCAGAATTATCAGAAAATACGCACGACTTCATACTACTTGCGCCTCCAATAAAATTAATTCATCTTGAAAATATTTCCACTCAATTCTGAAGCCTTTGAAGCGAGTTATTCAATCTTAAAAAACTTGGAATCGCTCCAACAGCTGCGAAGCGCTTAGCGCCCGATCTAGAGCCATTCCAAACGCGACCAGAAAATTTGAAGACATGAAGAATGAAATCTACAGATATCTCGAAAAAAGAAAATATTTTAACAAAACCTTCAAAAACTGTGGATAATATAAGAAAAGTCGGTACTTGAAAACGACAGAAACATAATTTTTCTCCAAAACTCCTCATTTCAGATCCTTCGAGCGACTGCTCACCACGGATTTCCTATCGTTGACCGCATCGAAGAGTCTCCGACTCAAAGTTTGCCGGATTACGGTAAACTCAAAGGCGTCATATTACGGTCACAGTTGATGAAGCTTCTAGAGAACAGGGTTGATTCAAATAGTTAGAAGAATGATAAAATTTCATTTGAAGATTCTCGAGAACGATCGAGGATCCATCTATGGCCCCGTGGACTTGGCCGAGCTCCAAGGAGATGAGTTAGTGACAAATAAAGTGGTATTTGTAAGAAAGAAGTTCCAGCCAAGACCTGACTGTAGAGCAACTGAGACTGAGCCAGGAGGAAAAAGCCTGCTGGCTGAATCTCGAGCCTTTCATGCACCCTCATCCGCATCGGTTTTCCCATTTTTGGAGGTCTTTTGAAAGATATCCAATGATTTTTAGTGTGCCTCTCAACACCTCCCTGCCCTTCATTTTCCGACTTTTCAGAGGTCTCGGCTTGCGTTATCTGTTCGTCGTCAACGATGACAATAAGGTGAGGGGTCGAAGCAGCAAGAAAATATCAAAGTTTGAGAATCAAAACAGAGATAGGTTACAACTGACTTCACATTTGAATAAGAAAATATTTTTCAAGTCAGAAGTCCATAAAAAGTTTCAAAATATTCGGAAATTATCTGGGAACAAGCTTTCCAGGACTTTCACGATAGGAAACCAAATTTTCAAGTTTTTAGATTTTATTTCCCGGTCGGGTAGCTATCAGTCAAAATAAAGCTTATTGTTTTCTAGGTTTTCCAATTAACGGTTAAATATGATTTCAGTTAGTCTAAACATCTTCGACTTCGGCTCAGAAATTTATGGCCCAAAAAGTCTATGTTAAAAGTAGTTAAAATCTTAGCACTTACCTGGTGACTGCGCCCGACTTTAACTGACTTTCTTTCCGTGATAAAATACGTTTCAGCGCGCACAAAATTCACCATGTTGGAATCGTTATTGAAAACGAATTTTCCATAATACTGTGCTGTTTCTTTTTTCGATACATCGATTTCCGATAAGCTTGATAGAACTCTCAAACTTTTCAGCTTCGCGGTGTCATCACTCGAAAAGACGTTGCGAGGTTCCGCGAACGCCGCCACAATAACCAGTACCTCGTCGACGAGCTCTACATCGCCGAGGATCGTTCCAACTGATCCACGTATATCACATCACAGCTTTAGAATATTCCAATTCCCTTTTACAGTGCAATTCCCACTTTGTAGCATTTTTTTCTTGTATTTTACTCATCTTGTTCCATTCACTTGTCTAACTTGTCTCATTTTCACACACTTATCTCGTCGTGGGATCTGTTTTTCTGTACATCGGGATCGAGATTTTCACGTGTAGAGTTTTCATTCTTATCAGCCAGACATTCCAGTTTCGTGTGAGTCGTTTCCAACCGGTTTCAACCTTTGCTTGTGCAATTCATCGTTAAAACGTTGCCACATAAAAGTTTATTTTTTGATTCATCACTTTTTAAATAGCCAATCCGTTTCTGTACACGTTTACTTTGGTTATGAAGTCCGTATTTATGCAGTTTTGATGGATTTTTGAAGCTCAAAAATTGTTTTTCCGAAAGTTTTTGAATTAATAATTTAGTTTGGTAGTTTGATTAACATGAATACGACGTCAGAAAGAAAAAAAAAAGTTAAGAAGTTAAAAATTTTGAACAGGCGGGAAGATGAACTATGCCGACGTTGAATATTTCTGGAATTGGTTGATTTTTCCAAATATTCCAGTTTTCAGAAGCAACCTCGAGCGTCTTGGAAGTTCTCGTGATGTTGGTGAAGGCCTGCGGCTTATCCGTGGCCATCGGAATGAATAAGGCGCTCACCTGAAAGGTTTTTCTTGATTTGTTTTGAAATAGTTTCAGTACTGTGAAATTTATTTATTTTTAAATATTAATTTGGAAGGTTTGATTAACTTCGGCAAGAATTTAGAAATTTCTATGGTTTAGAAAGTCTGCTAAATAGTAAAGTTTCAGAAAAATGAACAAAAAATGTCCGAGTTTGAACAAAAAAAAAAATTAAATATTAGTGCGATTCCCTTTGGAAAATGCCAAATGAAAATTTTTTATAGTTACTTGATGGTCAGTAAACCTGCTAAACATTGTAAAAAAAGGTCGTGATAAAATCTCACATGTTTCGAAGAAACGAAGAACTCTAACACAGTTTATTTCTCTTCCACAACTTGTTCTTCACCAAAATCCTTCTCTTCAAACTTACCACTATCAATATGATCCCGTTGACGATGTAGACGTAGCCCCATTGTTGATGACTTTCTTCGTCGCTCACGAAAACGGCGACCATCGCAGGCGCGACAAACAACGCGATGCACTTCATGAACTGGATCATCGCCAGGACGAAATGCGCGTATTGCCTGTTTTTGTCGTATTTATTCGCCCTTTTCAATATATATTTGTAGTGAGCCTATAGCTGATTCACGGCTGGCCATCGAAAAATGGGTCCTGCCACGATAAGAAAAGAGACAGGACATGGAGAGCCCAGACAGGCCACACCCCAATAGTGTCCCAAGCCGTGAATCGACTATAACAGCTGATACGAGAAATCTATTCACCTTCAATTTCGAAAAATAAGTCAGTTCTCACAGAAATAGCCAAACAGGGTCATCTCACTTTGTAGTTGGGAATTTCTTCAAAATAGGCATTCATTGATGAACCGAAAGGAGATTCTGGAAGTTTCAAACCGCTCAACTTCTTAGTTTTTCGGAAAAGACGCCTCAAACTCCGTGAAAATAGGCTATTTTTGAAATTTAAGCCCTCATTTCTCGGAAACTGGGAATTTGTGCAGGTGGAGACGTTCAGAAACTTCATCTGGAACATTGAGGAGTGTTCTGGCGTATTTTCAGAAAAATCCGAACCACAAAATAAAATGACCTTCCTTGTAGGGATCAACGTTCTTCTAGTGAATTCAAATGAAAGCAATTTCCAGAATTTGTTTTTACGTAATAAGGCAAACACTACTTATCATAGATGGCAGGAAAAAATTAGCATGAACAAAAATTTTTCTAAAAAAAAATTATCTCTAGCCGAAAAATCTAATTTTTCGTGCCAAGACCCTAAGCTAGCGATGAAAGGAGTTATTTCCTCACCGTGAAGCTAAAGTCCCGCATTTGTAGAATCCGCCGCAGTTTGTTCCCATCAAACCGTAGATTATCGCGAAAAATCGCCACGCCTGTCAATTGAAATTTGAAAAAAAGAACAGATTTTTTTCAAAAAAAGAAAGAAGAAATTTTTATTTTTATGATTTTTTTCATGCTGGAAAGAACTGAAACCAACTGGTATATTTGTACTCTGCCGGAACGAAAGCGATGGCGAAGCAAAAAACGCCACACAAACCAACGGAAGTAGTATTGAACAGCCACATGCGATACTTCTCGTCCCAACTTAATTATTGAGAATTTTATCAAAAAAAGGTTTTTTTGCAAACGTGAGTTTGTCGGAAAGAAATCCGGCGCCCCATTTCACTGGAATGTGTACGGCCGCGCTCAATGATACCATGATTCCTGAATAGTTTTTTTTTAGAAAATCCATTCCGTTCTGGAGTGTTTAGAAGAGTAGAAATCTTTCATGATTAAAAATTGAGCTTTTAGTTTGGGAATATAATTTTTGATTCTGTTCAACCCGAAAATTGATGAAATTTTGAAAATTCGCCTCTTTGAGCTCAGCGACTAGGAGGACCTTGGGCTTGGTTGAGATCATGGAAAGTTCAAAACTCTCTCTCAAAAAACCTCCCTCGTCATCAAGAATTTTAGATAACCATTATAAACTTTACCTGTTTCCACGATGCTAAACTGAAGAACTTTGCGAAAGTACAATGGCGAATAAGTTAGGAGAACCGTCACGGAGACCATTTCGGAGAAGGCGTTTGCCCAAACAGTCAGGATCACCTTGTTCTTGATGATCTCCTGGAAAACCAAGATTTTTGTGAAAGGATAAAAATTTTCAAACCCAATAAGGGACAAAGCTGTCTCTTTCTATGTGAGCCTGTGTTTTGTCTTTTTGTATCTTGGCCAACTCTTTATCGGACACGCTTTTGTGGACCTGAAATTTTACTTTAAAATTTTTATCCGAACTGATAAAATATTCATTTTTAGATAAGTTATCCCTTTGAAAATTCAAACTCAAAATGTACGATGAAAAAAATGACACTGTCGCTGAAAATTTTTTTAAAATTTGAAGCTCTTCTTTTTTCTTTGGTTTGACCTTTGGATGTGTTCCATTTTCCTCACGTGGATTATATTCTTTAAACTCCTTGAAATTTAAAAGAATTTTGGGAAAAATCGACAGTTTTTTAATCCTTACAAGTTGAATCACCTATCCTTTACCTGAGGATCATCGTGATAAAAAGTGATCCATAGAACGAAGGCAACAAGACTGATTGAGGCGTGGATGTAGTAGGAAGATCTCCAGCCCAAAGAGGAGCTGCACAACTGAAACATGTTTGCTTTCCATGATACTATTTTAGCTTTGGAACCCCTTTTTGGACTAACTATCGATTTAATTTACTCACCCAACCGGTGGCAGCATTGCTAACAGCCGTCGCAACCGGAGTGAAACTGGTCAAGACGGCTATAAATAGGCCGGTCTGACTCAGCGGCGCCCATCTCACACACATGATTCCGATGGCGGCAAAGTCGGCGGCGTAGGCGAGACCCTGCAGAGTTTAGAAACGGTATAGTCAGATTTTTCTCACGAGAAAGGCGATGGACGCATTTTTACAGTAGCTATTTGTCGCTGTAGCGATGCGGAAATACAAACTCCAAAGAGAGCCTCCGTTTCAACTACTCAATTTTCTTTTTTTTTACAATTTCTTGATAGCTTTTGAATGAACACACGGGAACATCTTTCACCCAATTTTTTCAAAACGTTTCTGGCGAAAATTCAGAAGTTATCCTTTTAGTTGATCTCTCTTTTTCGATGATTAACTCCATCAATTTGACAAAAACAAAACAAAAAATTTTTAAAGGAATTTTATGTGAAATAAGTTATACTTGTGGAAACGTAGACCAAGTTAAAAAAACGCGGAGATTTTTTTAATTCGCGTCAAAAAAATGCGTCTCGTTTGGCGTGCCTCGTCTTTTCCAGCCGAGGGAAATGGAATATGATGCAATGAGGAATACCTGAGCGAAACGGAGAACAAGTAGGAAAGGTAGACCCGACGACGCCGCCACCGGAGTGAGAAATGTGGCCGTGACTGAGGTAATGCCGGCGATAAAAAATGGCCATCTGAAGTTGTGTTGAAGGGTCTTCCTAAGCGTTTTTGATAATTGAACCGTGCTCCGAAACGGATGTAGCCGTAGTTGATTGGACCTGTGCCGAGGATCGTGCCGGCGGCCACCGCCCACACGATCCAACTTTTCTCGGTGACACTGTAGTCAAACTTGTTGTGGTAAGTCTGGAACAAAATGAAACTGTGATCAGAAACGTGGGAAAGCCTCGACGATCTCTTTTTTGCGAAAAATCTTTCGAATAATTTTTTTAATTCACGACTTTTTGGAAACTTTCTTTAGCATTCCTTTATGACTAAATTCTGAGTACAAACCCCATTTCCAAGGTCGACGAGGCCACTTGGATCGTCTTTCATGCAAATGAAGGTGAAGTTAATGATGATGTAGTTGGAGAGGACTGACGTCAGGCAAACGAAACAGATTCCCAAGAGCAAGAACCGAAACTTGTCGAAGAACATTTTGGTCGTGCTTTAAAAAATTCTGAAAATTGTTTCACGTTTTCTTTTGATCGATTCGAATCGCGTCAGCTTTATTCATTTTTATGCCGTAAAAGTGTTTCCGCGAATTTCAAGAATTTTGGAGATTCAGAGATAATTTTGAATACGACTTTTTTTTAAAATTTCTCAAGAAAAATACAGAAGTTCTATTCAATTGAAACAGTTTCAGGAAAATTAGGAGTATGAAGAGAACGTTACTTTCAATTGAAACTTTCCAAAAATAGGATAAAACTGGAAAAAAGGTTACAAATAAAAGGACGGGAAGTTCGTCGAACATTTGGAGTAAACAACTATTAAAAAGAATCGATTCTCTTCCACAAAAATACGTTCTCTGATCTTGAACTTTTATAAAAACCGATGAAATTGCTTGAGAAATGTATTTTATGTTTAAAACAATGTTTAGAAACGCAAATGGTTGCGTAGGTTAAAAGGTTGAAAATTTGAATAATTTGAATGAAAGAATGCAAATCGGCAGCACGTGCGTTGAAGATAGGAACCGATTAAGTATGGAAAAAAAGACTAGAAAACGGCGTTCATTGATCGGTTTGTTGGTGGATGATAGAACTGGCTATAAGTGATTGGAGACAAAAAATTTTGTCTCTAATCAAAAGTGAATGGAGAATCTCGATTTGATTTTTGGCCTTCAAGGAGACATTTTCTGGGAGTAGTGTCAGATTTCCGCAAGATTCACTTTTGAACCTCGACTGACGGAAAATGGAACTTTCAAAAGTTATTTGGATCACCCAATGCAGTTTTTCAAGCTGATTTCGAATCTTTGCTTCGAAACCGCCATACTTTCATGCTGAATAAGTTATAGCCTTTCAAAGTTGAAAAGAAAGGAATTACTTCGTTTTTTAAGAGAAAAGAAGCGGTTTTTTCGAAACTTCGGGCAATTTTATTCAAAAAAAGCATTTTTATCTTGAAAAAGAAGTTTTTTTTTTGATTTTTCGGCAAGCTTTAAAAGCTTTCAAAGCGAATGAATGAGAAAATTTTTAAGTGGAAAATTTTTTTACGTCCAAAGTTAAAGTCTGAAAAGGAACATGATACAGGATAATAATCAAACACACCGAAAGCAAGAAATTTCGGGGTTTTGCCCGGGAGGACCGGTCATTTTCAACAAACATTAAGCCGTTCGACACAAAGATTAATCAGAAAAATCAACAAACAAAGAAAATTTCATTTATTATGTTTATTTACACTTTTCAAAAACATTATTGCAGATCTATCTTGATATCGTCGGTGAAGATGAATCTTTTCGCCTCGAGGTATTTCTCGGCAGATCTGGCGATGTTCTTCCATTGGGCCTCGTACAAGATCTGAAATCAGGATGGTCAGTTTCCATCGGAGCTTCTGAGAAAGGTCATTCAACTTTGTAAATTCTGAAAATTCGGCTTAAATGCTGTCTGTTGTACTAGTACAAGAATGTTGGAAACCCCTAAATTTTGAAAAATAAAGACCTGAGTCGAGTAAAGCCATTTTTAAACCCAAATTTCGCCATTTGACAATTTCGAGTCTTTTTTTTTCAAAAAATAAAGAGTTGTACACATTGAGACTTTTAGGGGCCTCTTTTGGAAGTTTTTCAGAAGTTTGAAAAATTTCAGAACTTCACTTAGTTTTTCCTCATTCTAATGAATTTCTTCGATAAAAAAATATTTTCCGATTTTTTTGATCCAAGGAAAACCTATGTAAAAAGAGATTAAGACTTCCTGAAATTTCGATAAGTATCCAAAAAGTTAAAAAAATGAGATACCTGATGAGCGTCGGCGACGAGGCTGACCACTTGATCGGGGATCGGATGCTCTCCCAAAGATCTCTTGGGTCGGAAACGTTTCTTGAGTTTTGGAAGGTCTGGGGTCAGAGTTGAAGTCGAAATCGTCTCCGTTGTCAGCTTAAAACAAAGGAAAAACATGAGAATTATTTCATACAGAGAGAGGTTTTCTTGGAGATTTAGCATTGGAAAAAAGTTTGAGGTGACTCTAGTGCAGGCCTTATTTGGCCTAGAAGCTGAGTTTGCACATTACTCAAAATGGCCTCAATTGTAATATTAGGTCCTAAAAACACAATGAAACCTGTTTGAACTCTTTATCTCTTTATTTTTCTCTTTTGATTTTTGAAATTAAACAGTCCTTTTTTCGTTTTGACTTTTCATATAATAAAACTGGACAGAACTTTCGTATTCAGTTGCGGTTGCATTCGATCATCAGAAACACTTTTTCACAACCCCAAAAAAATTTGAAAATGATTGAATTAAATACAAAAAAGTTAAGTTTCGTATCTTTTTGCACGGTACTGTACTTCAACCACCGCAACTGAGTTATTTGTCTTTGCCCTCTTATCTCTCTCACCGAGAGAAGCCAACTATTTCGATTAAGTCAAAGGAAATCAGAAGTCTTTACCTCAGTAGTTGGTGAAGAAGTGGAGCCATCGGAAGGTGTCGTCTAAAGAATGAGAAATTTGCGCATTTTTAATGATTTAGAGCTTGCAGAAACTTCTTTTGTAGTTATATAGTTTGAAACTTCAATATATGAACAAAAAAGCGAAATTTGAGGTTTCCTCCGTGTTTTTGTGGATATCTGAACTAAAAACTGTTGATTGAAAGAAAAATCAAAAATCAGAAAAAAAAAGGTTTATACAGACAATGATTCTGAAAACATTATTGGAGCTCAAAACGCGATTTTTCAAGTTCTCTTGATCGAAATGCATAGAATTCTGACCTTAGTGCCGGGAGAAGCAGTTGATCCCTTTGGGAGGCGAAGTCTGAAATTTTATTTCAAAAATTGAGTTTTTTGTAAGTTTCTTCAAATGTAAACAGTCTTGCTCAAAAATTTTTAAGTACCAAAAAAGCTTGAAAAGCGCAACAAAGAGATATGTGAGGTCAGAGAAAGAGAGATCACGTGCTTCTCTGTCCTCTCTTCAAGTCGCCTCATCTCTCGCTTCCGCTTTTAGCGCTTTCTTCTTATGAAATTCGCAAATAAAAAAATACTTTTTTTAACTCTAAAAGCTCCTAATCAACATACTGGACCACCGGGACCGTCTTCTTCGCACTCGTATAGGATCACACCTGAAAAGTTTGAATTCAATACGTTTACGATTATTTGAAATACCATCTTCAGCGATGAAATCTCCAGCCTTTTCACATTTTCCAGAGGAAGAAAGGGGAAATTGCGGAGGAGTGTAGGAAATCTCGACGGAGGCTGCTGCGAGAAGAGATATTTGATTTTCCTTCAGAGCAGCTTTTATCTGAAATTTTTCTTGTCAAAAATAAATGAATTAATTTTTGAGCATGAACATTTATTTTTGCTCAGTTTTAAAGCATTTTTTTTTTTTGAGTTTTCACTGACCCACTGAACATTTCCACATGAATGAGGGATTCACAATAACTAGAATAATACTTTTACGTATTTTTGAGGAAAAAAAAAATCTGAAATACATTTTGAGCGAAAAACGTCTTGTTTGGCAAAACATATGATGAAGCTCACAGCCTCGTTGATGGCGTTGTTCATGTTTCTAGAAGCTTCTGCCGGCGAAGAAGCCTGTCGACCGCCGGCCGCGCGGATCCGACGATTCCTCGCAGCGAGAGACCTCCCGAATGTCATTTCGACGGGCGGGAAGAAGGATATTGTGACTTTTGCCTTGCTCGCCGATTTTCCTGCATTTCGAGAGGTTTTTCATACTTTTGAATGTTTCCTTTTGTTCATTAATGTATAGTTTTTTGCTTTTCTAGAAAAGTTTAGGATGTTTCTGTTGTCTCTCTAGGAGGTTTAAAGGAAATGGTTTCTAAATGATTCAATTTGCTCGGAAAAAGGCTTCAAACTATTTGTGACTTTTTCAATTCTTTCAAAATACTTTTGGAGTTCAATAGGTTATGAAAATGTCGCGTACTGAAATTCGAAACGTCTTTTTTTTCAGGAAAAAAAATTTTTACAATCCACAAAATTTCTTTTCGTTGGCTTTTTTTTTTTGAAATACTCATTTTTTTCTACCTTGTAGCACTTTAACTTGACCTTTTCTTGGGAAGAAGGATCCCAACCGATTGAATTATGATTTTGAAAATTGTTTTATCAAACCTGATAGGTCAGCCCCGCAAGAGAAGACGCTTCCCAAAACCATCGAAAAGATTACAGATTTTAATAATAAAGACATTTTTTTTTTGAAAAAATACTCAGTAGAAGCCAAAAAAGTGCTGATTTCAAACACCTCTTGACTTTTAAGCATTGCTGAGGCTGTAAAAGGGCCGCACCTTGTCGGAAAACGCAAAATCAACAAGTTTTTTATATTTTGGCTCGCAAAAAGTCTTTCTTTGTTGCCTTTTGCTTCTGATTATTCACGCCAGTGATAAAAACTTTTTTTCCGTTTATCAGGTTGAAATTTGAAAGTTCCTTTCTTTTTTTCAATTTTTTTTCAGCCTGAGTTTCTTTTTTGATCAGAAATCTGAAAAAAAAAACGATTTTTTGTAACTAAAAACATGTTTCAGTTGAGATTTATTCGAAACGGTAACAAAAATTGAAGAGGAATCAGTTTGAGACTGTAATGCGGGGATCCACGAGCTTGGATCCTTTTTTAGTCATTTCTGTTGAGATTTGCGCAGCCAAAAACTTCCACTGACTCTCGAAAATTGGCTGAAACGAATAATCGTAATATCGAAAAGTGAAGAAAAGATATTACAATAGGAGAAGTGATAGTGACGTCGAAAGGGAGTGAATATGCATCAGCGATGCTATTTTTGCCGCATTTCGACTGGACAGTTCCTGAGAAAACGAGCTTGTTCACACAGTTGGGTTGAAAACTGCATTTCTTCTTTCTCATAACTTGAATTTGTCTGATTTGTCTGCACCCTCTTTTCTCTAACCGAAGAGCTCATCGACACCCGAAAACAGCTACATGAAAAAGCCAGTGAGGGAAAAGAGAGCGCAGAGAAAACAAACGGTTTCAATTTTTGGCGAACACAGAGGGGATCAAAGCCAGTTAGATTTCGCGAAAATTCAAAACTTTCTTACTTTATGTAGAATAAGGTCAGAAAGTCAACTCTAAACTATCAAAAAAAAAAGAAATTAACCCAAAGAAGAGCTGAGATTAGGATGAATTAAACGGACTAAAAGCGAACAGCGTTCTTCACCACGTGTTTTGGTTAGTATTAAGAATAAATATTATTTTTTCTATAACTTTCACTTTTTCTTTATTGCACTGGAAATGTTTATTCGGAATCATTCTCTTGATTTTAAGTTACATCGACCTTTGGTTATCTCACTATTTTTGACTCCCCCTGTAGAATATAATTCGCTCACCTTCCGTGACTATGTATAAAATCACAGCCGTCCCTGCTGCGTTTGCGTCACAATTAACAGTTGGGGCTATGAGTGGAAGCATAGGTGGTGTGTAAGTAACCTGAAGGTTATATAGAAAATACGAACACTTTTTTGTTAGAAGAATGGACTATTTCCTTTTTTTTTTCTGATTTTTCAATGTGAAAAATAAAACTAACCCCGACGGTGACCCCATTTGGAGGCAGGTTATTTTTTCTCAGCGTTTGAAAAACCTGAAAAATAGATGAAATTATGCTTTGCACTTTTTTTTTCTTGTTTCTGGTTCTTTTTTTTGCCTCGAAAAAACCCGAAAAAAACTATATCAAAGCGCCCCCCCCCCTTTCCCTCGAAAAACTCGCCGCATCTTCGGTGTCCTGTTGAATGGATATTCTGGCGTAAGACTCGCTGATTTGCCCCTGGGTCACGTTATTTGAGTAGGTGTACCTTACAGCTGGAGCCATAATGTACTTGATGACTGCCGTCCTGCCCACGTTGCCTTGAAACATGCAATCTTCATGAAAAAGTTGACCAGAAATGTCTTTTTTCATCTCATCTGGTTGCGAAGCGTCACAATTTTCTGGAGACTAACCAGAAAGTTCGAACTTTTCCCCCAGGAGTTCTAGAGATTCCTAACTTGACTATTGGTCCCATTTTCAAAATTTTTCCAACTCCAAGTGAATTTATCTCGTTTTTGAAAGAAACAGTTACTTCTAATTTTTCTCAAAAAAAGAAGCATTGGACTTTTGGAGCTTTCCGAAAATTCGATTTTTTTTCAAAAAGAAGTCTTCAAAAACTGTACCTGTTCCGGCCTGACAGGTGAGAACAATTAATGGAAGTGAGGCTGCGAAGAAAAACGCGGGCAAAGACATTTTTGGCGGTTGACTTGTTCTACTGGCTCTTTCTCATTTCTCACTTTTATACAGGGAAAATAGCGAATGAAACCGTTTCACTCTAATAATCATACCCCTTTTTTCAATTTGAATACGTTTTGTAGCCGTTTCGAAATGCTTTCTTTATCATTTTTTGTTGCGTTTCGCTGCCCGCCGACTTTTTCACGACTTGAAAAATACATTGTGAGTGAGCTGTATTCAATCGGAAAGTGGCATGTCTTTTTTTAGAAACAGAGTTTCTGTCGCGAAACGATGAATAACTAGAAGAAATAAATGGCTAGACAATTTACGATATCAAAAAATAGAAGGGTATGCAGAACCTCTTTTTTGACGACGAGTTCAGTAAGGAAATTCACAAAAGGGTTTTTTCTTCAGAAATATCTGCAACCATCGATCACTGAAACTGGTTTCTCAAATTTCCAAACGATTTTCGAAAAATGTCAGTGTAAATCTAGTAAATCCATTAATTAAGCAAAATCATTCGAGTTTTTAAAAGAAAGTTTCATTTCTTTGTAGCCTATAGGAGTCCGACCCAAAACGACTTTCGCGCAAAGCCATTTAGCCGTTGAATTTAAAAAGGTAGTTGGGCTTTGACCAATCTCCTTCGTGATGATAAAGTTTCGAAAGAAACCGACTTTTCATGCACTTAAAAATAATTACGACTCCAAAAACCATCTTCCTCAATGAATTAGAATAATTTTTCCAATTTTTATTTTTTGTACTTCGCTGTGGATTCATGATGAGATGCTTCATTTGCTTCAAAATCGAACACGAAAAAAGAAAAAAAAAAGAATTTAGTTGGTTACTGAAACACTGGTGCTCTGGAACTTGGATCCTTTGGCTTCCAATTTCGACACGATCTGCAGACCCAGCTCTCTCCACTGACTTTCGTAGATTGGCTGCAAATTCATATTCACAACCATTTTAAATTTCTGATTTGCTAGTCGAAAAATCCATATTTCTCTAGTACCTGAGAGGCAGTGACAGTGACGTCGTCCTCAATGGTGAATGATGTCAAACTTCCTTCTAGACACTTGTAGAGGACAGCTCCTGAGATCATGATAAAGCATGCTGAGATACTTTATAGAATTACCGTCAATGACTTGATAAAGAGCGGCGGTGACTGTAGCGTCACAAGGGTCATTTGGAGCCAGAAGAGGTGTATTGGGTGGGGTGAAGTCGACCTTCAATTTTCAAATGACAATCATGGATCAACGGCGTCTGACAGGAGAAATAATCAAGATCATAGCTTCCAAATGTTTCTTTGTGGCTTGGCTCAAGCGCTTTTTGCTGAGCTGGACAAGTTTCAATCTTTCAAATTTTATTTCACAGTTCAATAAAGAAACATTTCTAATGTTTTTTTTCTCAAAAAGTTGGAAGCTCTGCAGGGTATTCATTAATAACATCAATAATTGATTAAGCCAAATTTTTAGAACTTTTTCCCAAATTATCAAAGAAATGTACTTCTTTGCGTCAGAACGTTAGAAAAAAATGAACTTTGCAAAAAAAGCTAATTTTATGCTCCTATGTATAGTTAAAAAAATGATTAACCAGAGTCGTTCTGAAAAACAGCAATAATTGAATATATTCCCTAGGAGAATTTCACAACGCTTCAGAACTTTTTCAAGAGATCCGAAAGAGATGGAAAACATTTAGAAATATATCAATAAAATAAGAAATTGAAGGAAAAAATCCCTTGAGGCGAAATCCTTCCCGAACTTTTCTTTTTAGTTTTAAGCTCGAATTTTTCTGTAAGCATTGCTAACCTTGATCTCAACGTCATTAGTTGGCAGGCTGTTTTCTCTCAAGACTTCGTAGATCTGAAAAACTTCAAGATTTAGCTTGGAAAATGTTTTTCCTCATTAAACTATCAAAAATAGCCCATTTTATTATATGAAATTATTTTTCATTATCGAAAAAGATCCAGAAGCTGTTATTCCTGACACTGGAAAAAAAGCTTCGAAAAACTTCAAAAAAATGTTTACTCTTGTGTTCTGGTCTAAAATTGTTGAGAGTCGAGTTTAAGTAGGTTTAAATCTTCAAAAGTCTTCACATTCTATGAAGAATTTCGGTTACTAAAGAAATAATAACGAACCGCATTTCGAGCGTCTCTCTCGGCGGAGCTTTTGGCATAAGCTTCGCTGATTTGCCCCTGAGAAATATTAGCGGAAAAGGTGTACCCAACAGCTGGCGATACACTGAACTTGAAGACGCCAGTTTTACCCAAAGAACCTGAAAAATCCATTTTCAGAAAATTATTTATCCATTCGGAAGCAAGATGAAAGAGAGCAGTTCAATAAAACTAATCATATACCTGTTCCGGCCTGACAGGTGAGAACTACGAGGGGAAGAGCCAGAAGGATGAGAACTGTGGCTGAGGACATGGTTCAGTCAGATGTGCTCTTATCAGTCCTCAGATTCTCTTTTATACCAGTACCTTTGACACCAATGTGACGGGGTTCCATTCAAGTTACAACTTCCACGACGTTTTTTTCAGAGCAAATAGTGCTTTTTCTGCAAAAACGAACAAACTGAAAAAAGAGCATTCGCAAGTCTTACAGTATCTTTCCAAGTTTCTGCTGAAAAATTCTATTTTCCGCCGACCCCTTTGAGACAGTTTCTCTCAGAGTTGACAGAGTTCAGAATGTCGGTAGAACTGATAGATAGATAAATGTAACACAATATGAACAAGGCTTTAAAAAAATGGTACTTGAAAAAAAATATTTTACTTGCACACTGTGAAGCCCCCCGCCTTTAAAAACTAAAATTTTTATTTCATTCAACATTTCTCAAAGTCTTTGAGAGTTGTTATTTTGATTATAATAAGCTATGCGACGACTATTGTGTTCAAACGCCATTTTACGACTTTAATCAGCCAACCAATATGAAAGTCCCAATAACATGCTTATTGCGAGGAAAAAGGCATTCGTCTAACCCAATGTTCGACAAATAGAGTAAATTCCATTCTATTCAGACAAGCCAGGTGGTTTTCTGGTCTTGTTAAGTATTATTCGGTCCCATTTTTCCTGAAGCTTTTCCTTCAATCCGATCAGTTCTATTCAAACATGGCGACATCGCAAATGATCTTCGTCGCGTTCCACAGCACGATGTCGCTGACCGGCATGATTCTCAACGGAACCCTGATCTATTTGACACTTTTCCATTCCCCAACTGCTATCAAAAATTATTCGACTTTGATTCTCAATTTTGCTTTCATCGACTTTTCCGCTTGCATAGCCGATTTTTTTGTCCAACAAAGGTTGAGTTCGGGAATTTTGATGAAGTTATTTGATTCGCTTTTTGTTATTTCCGTCATGAAAGGTTGTAAATATGCAAGAATTTGTCCTTTTTTCAAAAAACAAGGGAATTTATACTAATCTCTTTCGAATTCAAGTTTGAAACTACACAAAATAATAGAAGAAAAAAGGATATGTTGAAGTCTTCTCCATACATTTTTTCCTTTTCTGGGAGGTTAATGAAGTAATTTTTGAAAGTATTAGCCGAAAAGTTCATTTTACAAGGGCGGTCATTTTACTTTGCGGTTGCGAATTTTCTGAAAATTGGTCGAACACATCTTGATGAGTCAGATGAATACGCTGAAAGTCTTAACCTGCATAACTTCCTAGTTTTTGAGAAAGGACACCTTAACGTCGAAGAAAACACTGAATATCCCTTAAAATAGGCCATTTTGAGGCTCTGAGCGCTCATTTCTCGAAAACTAAGAAGTTGTGCAGGTTGAGGCTTGCAGATTTTTCTTCTGGTACATCAAGAAGTTCTGGCCGATTTTCAGGGAGTTCCCAACCGCAAGTAAGATGACCTCTCTTGTTGGGCACGATTTTGGCCAGTTCGAAAGAAGCTTGATGTTTTCGTCCCTGAACTCCTATTTTCAGGTTGATACCGTCCGGATGGTCTCTTATATACATGTCGAGTGGACGTTGTCGGTTTTTCGGCCCAAAAGCTTGCTATATTGGGTTAGGATTCACTATGAATTTGAAATATTGGAAGTAATACATATAAAAATGTATAAAAGCAAAAAAGATATCATACTTTCCGCGAAAAAAAAAAAGTCTTGATCCAATTTTCCTTGCCGTTGCAGGTACAGCGTCATGTTGCACTTCTTCGCCCACTCTCTCTGGTGTCTGCTGATTTCATTTTCCTACCGCTATTATGTTCTGACGAGACCGGCCCCATCGACCAGGTCTCTCATGACTTTGCTATTCATCGTTTATATACCGTCTTTCGTTCAAATGGTGAGAAAGCTCGAAAATTTAAGGAAAAAGTGTTTTCGAACTGAGAAAGTGCAAAAGCTAGCTAGCCAAAAGGCGTGTGAACTCGAGCTCTATGGACTGGAGTTGATTCATTCAGGGATACTTATGAAGAATTAATATTTCATACTTGTGTTAAGCTTTTGATAAAAATATATTTCCTTTTTGGGGTTTTCACGGGACAATAAAATCCAAAATGAGCTCAAGTTCGAATTATTTCTTCTCAGACCTTGGTAACGCCGGCCGCAAGTCAAACGTGCATTTCCAGTGACTACTTAAGTAGCGTCAGCACTTTTAAGTGATCCCTATAATCGATCAGTAACGTCCGAAGCGCGTCCGGTTTCCGTTACCGCTCTGAGTTGCCCACTTTTTTCAAAATTAATTTTCTCAATGGAGCGCAATGGTCTCAAAATAGTTTTTATTTCCGCATTTTAATCCCGATTTCAAATTAACTCTCCAGGTAACCTTCATATTCGCACAAGATCCTTCGGAAGAACTCGTCAAGATTCTGAAAGAGAGATTTCCAACTTACGAGATAGAAGGGACGATGGTCACAGGAACCCTGGACCTCAGCTCCTTCTTCTGCTTATTCACTCTATTTCACATGACTTTGCCTGTCACTCCGATTTACATCACTATTTTGGTCCTTCGTCGGAAAATCATCAATAAGCTGGAATTGAACGCCGAGTACATGCAGAAGGACACCAAAGTCTTGCATCGACAGCTTCTAACAGTTCGTTTTATTCATTCATTTGTAGATTCTGATTCGAGAAGAGGATTTCTACCTAAAAGTAGATCTAGATCATCTGAATAATCCGAACCGCCCGGATTTCGATGAAAAACGAGTGAAAAATATTGATCATCAAAAATCTATCTCCCATTTTTCGCAATAAAATGTTTTCAAGGAGTCGAGTTTGAAATTGTTTTTGTTAAAAAATGACGTCAATCTTGCAATGAACGCAAATATTTGGAAAACTGTAAAAAGCAAGAGGAAAAAATCTAGAAACCCGCAACTTTGATAAGAAGTACAATGAAAAGCCGGATCACTAGCCAAATAGAATTCGCTGAAAAAGGTAACAGAAAAAAGCAAAAAATTATTTTTTTCTGGTTTCAGTTATCTGGGGAAAAGGAGAATACTCCCAAAATTGTTAATGAGCTTTAAATAGAATCAGTTAGTGAGTCTTTGACGTTCTGACTCGGAGATAAAAAGAATGAAATAAAAGTTTCACGTTCAAAATTATTGTTTCAAATTAATGTAGGAAGCTTTCTATGATCTGTTCGAAAATCTTCGTCTTTCAATTTTTGTAGTACCAGAAACATCCTGAGCCTCAAAACCTTCCAGAAATTCATCTTTGCTCCTTTAAACACACCAGAACGTTCTCGCTTAATTTGTCAAACTTTATATGAAAATATAAGAACTTTCGCTCACCGATATCTTCAAGAAGCAGATTTTCCTGATCCACTTTTCAGGCACTGACCTACCAAGCCGTCATTCCGAGCTTCTTCCTTCTGACGGTACTGACCTACGCATTCGGACACATTACCGGCTACCACAGTCCCTGGCTCGAATACGCTACCTTCTCTCTAATCCTCTTCATCCCAGTGCTCTCTCCCATATCTTCTCTCGTCTTTGTCAGATCCTACCGTCATCGAATCCTTCATTCTTTCGGATTCCATTCAAGTCAGCTCAGATCAACTAAAGTGTCCACACCCAATCATTTTTCGCAACGCGAGGAAGCTGCTGTTGCCAATTGATATTATCTTCCTGATCAAATTTCTTCCTATTCTGAAATGTTATAGTTGCACGTGAAATGACTCCATGTTGTTTCTTCCAAAAGTGCCCGACCTGAAACTACTTGCGCCTTTTGAGTTGTTAGAGCCAGCTTTCGATTGTATCCCCCTGTTCAAAAATAACTCTTCAAATGTTTCACTTTTTTCAACGATACGAGTTTTCCCCGACTTTCAAATTCACAGTTGTTCATTATTGTATATGAAGAATAATCAATATATAAATACATAAAAAAAAAACTTTCTTCATACTAGTGAAAATCGAACGGCCGGATTCAAACTGGCATGAATTTTCAAGGAAACTTAAAAAATGGCAGTCGATCCTCGCTTCAAACTTCCAATTTTGCGCTATTCCATGGGCTTTGGTAGCAAAAAACGAAGTAAAAAAGGATTAGAAGGGATCCCTCTTCAATTTAAACCCGCTGCCCTCTAGTCATACTCTTTTTCTTAATTCTTCGATAGACCAAGATAGACCACAGACCGAAAATTCTAATCATTTCATCTCCTAATTCATTCCTAGACAAACGATTATATGAAATAATTTTAAATTTTTTTGAAAATAGTAGATCCCATGTGTAAAGCTTTTTGTTGCGGCTTCTACTTCTAGGTTCTCAGATGACGTTTATCAGACTTTTTCTTTCCCTCGTTTTTTTTTTGTTTCAAAAGGTAGTGACTAGATCCTCGACTTCCTTCTCGATTTATCTTGCCAAAATGATAAAATCCTGGTCTTTTCGTTTGTTTTTTTAGGTTTTTTTCATTCTAATTTCTTATTCAATGAATATTTAAATATAATCCGGGAATTTCGGCTCTTTTTCGAAATATTTAATTGGATCTGAAGGGATGCACGTTAGTGAAAAAAAGGATCCAGTTTTTGTCTATGGAAACGGTTGTTTTGAAAACCACCCAAAAAGCGCCAAATCTATTAATAAAAATGTTTAGTGGTTCAGAAAACAATCTAATTTTCGGATAAAGTGGCTTTTCTAACGTCACCTAGGTCTACCACAGCCAAACTAATGATATAACAGAGATCAGCAGAAAATTCTCCTATTTTTTTCCGCTGTTTTCGAAGAACGGCTTTTACCTAAACTCTTTGTCCGTTTTTGCAAGTTTTCATCTTCCCAAAGGCTTGCAGAAAAGAAAGGCATTGTGACATCTCTTAAAAATGGGCCTTTATCCTCAGATTCCTGTCATCGTCGTTTCAAAGAAAAGATCAAATGATAATGTATAAAACCTTTGATGTCCCTGTACTTCTATCATTTTCAGATGGTCTCCGTTTTGCAGATTATTTTCATATTTTTCCACACGACAGTTGCATTGTCGGGATGTTTCCTGAATGCTCTTCTGTTCTATCTTGCCTTTTTCCATTCTCCGAGTTCGATGAAGTCCTACGCGACGCTCATCATGAACTTCGCCGTCACTGATTTTTTAGCCTGCTTGACCGACGCGTTCACAGAACAACGGTGACTTTTAAAAGAAAGTTTCGAAATAATGAGAAGAAAAGAACTTGTTTTTCCCGAGATTTTCAAAGTTATGCTTTCAAAACTGTGGCTTATGGCTAGAAAAATTTTTGAGTTCAGATAATAAAAATGTTTTAAAATAATTCAAGATTATGACTCTTCAAAAGATCATGAAACAACTTTAATTTTTTTCGCTCTTTTTTCTAAACTTTCTAAAATATAACTTGAATTGCCGGGACGTTATCAGAATGTCTTGAGAAATTTTTTAAATCCTCTGAAAAATTTCAAAGTTTCAGAAATGTTTTTGTGCGATTATAAAACCCATCTAATCGGCAAATATTGACAATTCGAAAAGTTTCAGTCTAATCCCAGCCGACTGGGCCCTTCTCTACTTTTCAAACGGCGTTTGTGGCTTTTTCGGCCCCCGGGCATGCTATATTGGGTAGCGATCCTTATCAGTGATAAATGAAAGCTGAAGTATTCTGTTTGCAGGTACAGCTTGATGCTGCATTTCTTCAGCCATTCCCTTTGGTCTCTACTCGTGTCTTTTGTCTATCGACTGTACATTCTGCACAAACGACCTCCGCACACAAGAACTCTTCTTCTGATAATGCTCCTGGTCTACACCCCATCTCTATTCCAATGCGTAGGTGTTGATGATCCGGACTGACCGTATGAACTAGACAACAGATAACTTTTATGGGCGCTCAAGACCCACAAAAGGAGGTGGAAGCGGCTTTATTCCGGAAATTCCCGTGGTACGAACTAAACGGCGCGACATTGACCGGAACTGTGGATATCCGATCTTTCTCGGCTCTGTTCACAATACTCCACATGACTGTGCCCATCACTCCCGTTTATATCAGCATTCTGGTGATTCGAAGGAAAATCATCAAGAAGCTGTCGAACGCCACCGCAAAGATGGGCAACAAAACGAAAGCCATGCACAAGCAGCTACTGACGGTACGTTTTATATCCTTGAAAAACTGGTCCATTTTTTTCCTAGGCTCTGACGTACCAGGCCGCAATCCCTAGCTTCTTCTGGTTCGCCGTTTTCAGCTATTCCATCGGCCAGTTCGGAATCTACAACCACGAGGCCCTCGAATACGTCGTTTTCTGCAGTGTTGTGATGATTCCAGTGCTCAGCCCCTTGGCCACCCTCGTCTTCGTCCGGCCTTACCGAGAGAAAATCAAGCAATTCTTTTCTAATCGACTCACGAAAAACGCCGACACTTCCCCTACTTCCATTGCTTTCAGTAGCGGATCCAAAATGCCTATCACTACGTAGTTTTCCTCTTCCGGGTAATATGAAACTGCATCTACGCTCCGTAAATGTGTTGTTGTAAGGAGCTTCATGAAGCAAAACCTTCAAAATTCAACCAAAGAAAGTTCAAGTTGTCATTTTTACGTCGAAACTTTATTTGTGGACCACTCTTGTCAAAAGTTATATTCTCTTCGAAAATAAAATTATTTTTCAGAAATAGTTTCAAACATCCTCATTCAAGAAGTTGAAAAAAAGCATGAATAAAGGATCTTTGAACATGAAAGTATATTTTTAATCAGAGCAAGCTCCTTCTCATCGCAACCATTCAAGCAGAAAATACAGCAAAAAAAAAAAAATTCGTTTCATTCGCCCCCGAAAGCATAAGGTACGTCTTATTTCATATTATTTTTTTCTTTAGCCGTTTTTTGCCCAACTTATGGTCTAAATATTAATTTCCGATGTTGCTCATAATGAAGAAGCAATCACAAAAAAGATGAATTCTCGAATCAAATGCGAGAATTTCCAATCAAAGAAGGAATCTAGACATACTGATAAAAAAATTTTTGGTTGTTTTTTTTTAAATTCAGTTCAACTCAATCATTCTCTTGAATCCATCGTTTAGTTTCCATTGGCTTTAAATTCCAACTTCTGGATAATTACAAAGAGATTAATACCGTTTTTTTTTAAATTTCGGATTCCTTCTCAAAGTTTTGTTAACTTCCTTGCAGTTGGAATAATTAAAAGATGAGCTTCGATGTAATCTATTTGTATTATTTTCAGATGACGTCCTGTTTTCAGCTGGTTTTTATGTTCTTCCACACTACAATCGCATTATCGGGCTGTTCCCTCAATGCTATTCTATTTTATCTTGCTTTATTTCATTCGCCAGGGTCTATGAAGTCCTACGCTAGCCTTATCATGAACTTTGCAGTCACTGATTTTTTGGCCTGTTTAACCGATGTCTTTATAGAACAACGGTGAGTTTCGCTCATTTAGGATCACAATGAAAACTTTGGAAAAAAGAAGATGTTCAGTCTTATACCAGCTGGATGGGCGCTGGTGTACTTTTCGAACGGCGTTTGCGGCTTGTTCGGACCTCGAGCATGCTACATCGGGTGATTCTTCCTCCTTCCTTGTTCAATGAAGGCCCGAATCTTCTGTTTGCAGCTACAGCTTGATGCTTCATTTCTTGAGTCATTCACTCTGGTCGCTGCTCGTTTCTTTCGTCTACCGCCTCTATATTTTGCACAAACCACCCCCGCGGACCAGAAGTCTTTTTCTGATAATGTTCGTAGTCTACTCTCCATCTCTTTTCCAATGTGTAGGTGATCATGACTCGATGAATGACCACAAGCATTTGCAGATATCTTTCCTAGAAGCTCAAGATTCGCAGGAAGAAGTGGAGGAAGCTCTGTTCCGCGAATTTCCCAGTTATGAGCTGAATGGCGCGACTTTGAGCGGAACTGTGGATATCCGATCTTTCTCGGCTCTCTTCACAATACTCCACATGACCTTGCCGGTCACTCCCATCTACATCACCATTTTGATAAATCGAGGGAAAATCATCCAAAAGCTGAAGAACTCGGCCGCGCACATGGGAATCAGAACAAAGACCATGCACAAACAGCTTCTGACGGTTTGCAAATTGAAAGTTCTTTCTGGGGTATTCCGAAGAGACACCTCACAGGCTTTGACGTACCAGGCTGTGATTCCGACCTTTTTCTGGATAGGTGTTATGAGCTACGCGACGGGTCAGCTGGGAATCTACAACCACGAGGCTCTCGAATACGTCGTTTTCTCCTGTTTGATGCTGAACCCAGTGCTCAGTCCCCTGGCCACCCTCGTCTTCGTCCGGGCCTTATAGAGAACAAATCAAGTACTTCTTGACGAGCCGATTCGCGAAGAATGTTGATGCTCCCTTGGTTATCACTTTCAGTAACTCTCAACTGAACATCCCTTTTTAATCTCGTCAATTGTTGACTGCTCATAAACAGACGGATAAACTGTTTCAAACATTGAAACTAAAAAATGTACTCAACCATGTTGGAGGGAAAGGTTTAGTCTGTTCAGATTTTGAATGTCAAGTCATTGATCAAACTCCGCCCCTTATGCGTAGATCGAATCAATCTGAGAGCGAGCCATCCACAGAGCGTTGATGGGGGCGGAATTTCTAGCTTGATATTCAGAATTTGAACTTCCAAAAGCGAGGAGAGAGCCACTTTTTTCGTATATATCGTTTTCAAGGTAATATATTTGACTAAATATTAAGAAGTAATTCTGAAGTTTCACTATGGAAATAAGCGATCAAAATGATTTTTGTTCAAATTTCACAGCTTTATCACTCATAATTCTCGAAAAATCTCAAACCCTTTTTTAAAGCAGTCTCGAAGCTATGAAAACTACACCTTTTACTTACTTTTGATCTATATTAAATTTGATAAATTACCCTTAGCCTTCCAAAAAAATAGTTCCCTTTCAGTCAGGCAGGTCATTTGGAACAAGATTTTTAAGAGGTTTCACAGCTGGAAACGTGCATGTGCCAGCGTGCCTAACAAGATTGAGTTTCATAATTCTTTATTTCATGCCTTTCAGGCGTCGTAATGCTGTGTTCAAAGCGGTTCCGCAAATTCCGAGTAGGGTGAAAAAGATGACTGAACTTTGGAGAGTTAGAGACAATTTTGAATTTCGCGGAAATAAATTTGAACACGGCAGATTGGTTTCGAAGTCGTAAAGTAGTTTTCATAAATTGTTACCGGCCAATTTTTGGAGAATTATTAAACTTTAGTTTTACTATCATAAGGCGTCTTTGAAAAGGGAGATTGAGCGGAAAACGAACCATTGTCCAATATCTGTTTATCGATTCTCAAACCTTTTTGTCACGTTTTCCGAAAAGAAACCTTTCTTTGCTGACGTTTGAGAAATATTTTCCATGTTAAAGTTGAGAATCACCTGCTCATTCACAGCAGCTATCCGAATATTCAGAATTCTTTGTTTAGCTCAAAGTTTAAGTGAAAACCATGAATTTCTGTTTGTCTAACCGAAGGCTCCCGTTTTTCTTGTTCATTTTTTTTTCTTCAGAAGAGGTATACGTAGAAAAGTTGTAGAAAAGCTGGAAGTTCCAAATTCAAAATATTTAACTAGTTTCAGCGTTCTAGAAAATCTAGCACTCAAGGTTAAAAATGAAAAAAATTGGCTTTTGTAAATGTCTTGGGTGAATATTAAAGAAATTTTGACGAAACTGCGCTGAAGTGTATTTTAGCCTAAAATACACTTACACAAAAATTTTTTGGGACTCTTGATCGCAGAACAAGGAAATAATTTCTCGCAATAGATCTGGTTTTCGAGTTAAGAGCCTTGAAAAGCTTGAAATATCGCTTTTTTTTTGTCATGATTCGCGAAATTTGAAAACTTTAAAGTTTCAATACTCGAAAACAAGATCTATTGCGAGGAATTTTTTCTTGTTTTGGAATCAGAAGGTCTTTTAGTACTCTTCAGCGAAGCTTCATCAAGAGTTCAACCGAGGGCTCAAAACGTTTCCTAGTAACAATCAAGGTCTGTTCTTTCTGAGGAACGTGATTCCAATTAACGCCCATCTGATATTATTCATTCAAAAGCTTCACAATAGGCGCTAAACTCCGATAATTTCTAATTATTAATGAAAAGGTTATCAATTTTTCTTCCCCTGCTTTGAATCGGCTTTTAAAACTTATGTTCTTTACTTTTTTCCTTGTTTTTAAATATAAGAAATTATAGTTTTCCCTTCTTTACAGAAAAAAAGGAAAGTATAGACACCGACCGAAAAGGTGCATGTTTTTTTCAAAAGATCATCTCTAATCAATTTTATCCGACCCCTCCGGAAACTAATTTATCCTTTTTGCCTTTATATTTTTCAATCAAAACTTGGCAAATGGAAAATCCACCCGCAGTATTATAAATGAAGCTTGAAACCGAAGAAAAGTGCACTATTTTCAATGAAAGCTCATTTTAATTGTTTTCCGTCAAGGCCTCTGGAGACATTCTTTCCACCGCCTTTCCTTTATTAGCCTTTTGTCACTACATTGATCAAAATGTGTTGTTAGATTAACTTTTGTCTGCTTTTTGATACCTAGTGACTTTCAAAAGATTGATTTGCTATATAAGTTTTCAGATGGACTGGCTGCAAGAATCTTTCAAGATATACCACATATCAATGTCGGTATTGGGCATTTTCCTCAATGTTCTTCTGTTTTACATCGCCTGTTACCATTCTCCGAGCACTATGAAGTCCTACGCAATGTTCATCATGAATTTCGCTATCACCGACTTTTTCGCTTGTATACTCGACGTGTTCTGTGAACAGAGGTCATTTTTTATTTCAGCTTAATATTTAAAAAATGAGATTGAAAATGTCTATAAAATCGAAGGTTCGTGAAAGCGTTAATCATAAAATCCGAGATAAGAAAGTTCATTTAATTAAAAAATCTTTTTCTCTCAGACTAACCCCAGGAGGATGGACACTATTCTACTTGTCTTACGGGCCCTGCGGCTATTTCGGACCAAGAGCCTGTTTCATAGCGTAAGACTCCTTGGGCTCAACGTTGAATAGTTTCTGGAAAACTACAGGTACAGCTTGATGCTCCACGTCTACAGTTATTCGTTATTGTGTTTGTTGATTTCGTTCGCCTATCGACTTTATATCTTGTACAGACCGGCGCCAAGCACAAAAAGTGTGCTATCGCTGATTCTGGTGATTTATATGCCTTCATTCATTCAATTCGTAAGATTTTTGTTCTCATTTTCTGTGATTTTAGAAGAAGAGTGTAGACAAATTTTATGCACGGTTTCAAAGAACCGTTTTTTTGCTTTTTTTGGGTCGCCTACGCTTTCAAAACGTCCTTTTTGAGCAGACTGAATACTGAGAAATGTAGCTATCCTTTCACATCTGATTTGAGGCGGACGGAAAGATTTAAAAAATCCCATTTCCTGGCCCCTTAGTTGTTTTCACCTTTCTGGGCCTCTTTCAATAATAAGCTTTCTCAAACTTTTTGTGATCTAATATGTCCCTCCAACCACTAGATCGGCTCAATTAGACTCATTGGTCTTTCCCAGGTGTTTTTCATCGGCACTCAAGACCCGACGGAAGAAGTGGAAGCGGAATTGTACAAAAAGTTCCCCGAGTACAAGCTTGACGGCGCGACTTTGAGTGGAACCGTGGATATTCGGACTTTCAACGTTCTTTTCACTGTATTCTACATGACGCTGCCCGTCACTCCCGTTTACATCTGTATTTTGATCATAAGGAGGAAAATCGTGCAGAAACTTATAAGAGCGAGTATTCATATGCACAGCAGAACCAAGGCCATGCACGACCAGCTTTTGACTGTGAGATTTGAGAAAATGATTTATTTAGCGCTGGCTTGAGAGGAAAAAACACTCAATTTAACAGTTAAACAAAAAAACCATTCTTCAGAAGTAGACAAGTTAAATTGGGGGAGCTTTTGTTGAGTTTTCCCAAGTGAAATGTAGTGTCTTTTGCTTTTTTCTCAAGCCATTCGCAAATGAATTATAAAAGAGATCTAATCGAAAAGCTTTCTTTCCAGGCTCTAACCTATCAAGCTGCGATTCCCAGCTTTTTCTGGTTCGCCGTCTTGAGCTACGTCATCGGCCAACTAGGAATCTACAACCACGCGGCTCTCGAATACGCCGGTTTCACTTTCGTCGTTCTCATTCCAGTGATGAATCCACTGGCAACCCTGATCTTCATCGGACCTTACCGATATCAATTGAAGCGTTTCCTGGGAGGCAAATTCAGCAAAATCGCAAGTGTTACCGCTGGAAACTCACACGGTTATAATGGTACTGATACGAATCCTACATAATCCTCAGTGTGGGCCGTGATTCGCTTTCATTCCTAATAAATTATTTCTTGCTAAATTTGTGAAATTATAAAAATATTGAAATAAAAAGTTTGTAATAATGATGAAACACTGTGAAAAAAAATAAAGAAAAAGCAAGTCCTAAAAAAGGAAGCTTTTTTTTTATTTTTGAGTTCAGGTGGAGAAGCAGCTGATCATCGGAACGCTTGACTCTCGGCTACTACTTTCTCAAGGAAGGCGAGATGATCTTGATCAACGACAGTTCCACGAACCGAAAAAAAATTATCCATGTATCCTATAATTCATCGATCAACTTCTTTGAAGTTGATCGATGAATTATAGGATAGATGATAAATGTGTAAAATTAAATAGATGTGTAAATGTGTAAAATTTATGAATTGAGATTTCATGCTTTAAAAAAAGTTGTCTCAAAAGTGTCATTTAATCTCGATTCTTCTCTAAGTATTTCCTTAGCAAGAATTTCCATTGCTCCAAATATTAATAATTAACAACCTTTTCCAGATTTTTTTGATTCTCTTGCAATCTACTGAAAAAAAGAAAAATTTTTCCTCCCTGGAATTCGATTCCAAAAAGTCAGCTGAAAAAGTGAAGCAGCTGAGAAAAATTGGTAGAGGTGACGAAGAGAATTCAAAACCGAAATTTTTTTATGCTTTATTTTTCTTTTATTTTTATACAGCATTTTTTTGAAGAGCTTTCAAAAAAACTTTTTATTTTTGAAAAGTTAGAAGAAAATCCAGCTGCGAATTTGAAAAAAATAAAAAAATAAGAATCGGACAAAAAAACATTTTTTTCTCGGTTTGAAAGTTCTGATTTTTAATTATTTGTACATGGAACCTCGAAAAGCCGGAAGTCTCCTTTTTAACTTGAATTTTTTTGAGCTTGTAATGTGACTTTTTAAAAAAAATACTATCGTTTGCGTTAAAAAGTTTAAGAGCCGCCTTTTTTTATGGCCTTTTTTTCTTAAAACTACATTTTTAGAACTGGTGATTATGTCCGCCGGAATGACTTATAAAAGTTGAAAAGTCAAAAATTTTCTCGGAAGCTTACTGGTTAGATATTTTAACTTGATGTTAAGTTTCGTGACAAACTTTCATCAACATTTGGTATTTTTATTTCCTTAAATTTGGTGAATGACGAGGTTCTAAAGCAAATAGTTTTTCTCTATTTAATATAAACTTCACTTCTTGCAAGCTTGACACAAAAATCAAAGGTTCGATGAGGTTTTGAGAAAATTTCCTGAAAGCTTCGCCTAACCGTACAGTGACCCAGTTAGTCTACCGAGGAGATATATTTCATGAACTACTGTAAAATCTTTAAACTTCTTTTTTGCGTATTGCTCTGCAAATATCTCAGAAATCGGTTTGAAAAAAATGTATTTTTTAAAAAACCTAGCTCCATCTGGACTTATAAGTACAAAAGACCTTCTAGCCGTTCAATGAGCTTCAGTCTGCAGAATCACTTTTTAATACCATAATAATGTGTGCTTTACACATGATTGAGGAGAAATATAAAAAAATTCTATTCAATGGTTCATGAGGTTGAATGAACCGGAAAATAATATGAAAGTACATTTTTTTAAAGGACATTTCACCCTCCGGAAGTGTCCTGATAACCTAACAGAGATTAGTTTTTGTGACGTCTCCATAACATCCGAGGATGGGATCACTTTTTAGTATATTGAAGAAGAAATTTAATTTTAAAAAAACCAAACTTCCTTTTTTTGTGGACTTTTCAGTTTTTCTTCATCTTTGAGATGTTCTCTATTTGCTCGATCAAGCGTAATCCTAGCACTTCAAAAATTATTCACTACAATATTAGTTCAATTTTTCAATCTCATTAATCAGCGTTCCTTTTATCAAATAAAATTTCCAAGAATTCGACATTCCTCTCGAAAAAAGACCCTACGTATCTTCTTAGTCGAGAAGCAGGTGTATCTTGGTATATCAGAAAAATATAAGATCGGGTTTTTCGGTGACTTCTGATGACATTATACGAAATAACACACCAAAGCTCTTTTCGTTCTTTTTTCCTCCCAGACACCATAACCGGTAACTTTCCTTATTTCACATGGGTTTCTCTACGATGTTTTCATGATTAGTTGGAATAGTCAATAAAAAAATAGGATAAACTGTTCGTCAATATGAATGAGCTTGAGAAATCATTCGAGAATTTAAGATCTCAAAATTAGAAAGCTACTCTGATGAAATAAAAAAAGCAACTTCCGAATTTTTCCCCTAAAATTCAGCTTTCCAGCAATGTTTCTTCCGAAGTTTTTTTCTAAGAAATGTTTTTGTCTTCTCGAAATTTCTTTATTATATTTGCTTCATTCAATTCTCGGCTAAAAAGGTAAATATAGTTAAGTTTCTTTGAATCGGATTATTGGTTTGGCGGAACGCAATTATAACGATACTTTGGGGTCCCACGAGTCAGCTGGGAAACGAGATTATTTTCTCATTTTTTAAGTCACTCTGTGAAGTAGGTCTACTTGAAACTTTTTTTTTTGATTTCAATCGTGAAAACGTCTTTTTTCGATTTTTTCACGCTCATTGATATTTTCTATTTTTTAATTTCAAGTCATCTGATAGTTATTTCTTTCAGCTTTATTTGATCCTAGGTTTGATTTAATTTTGTGTAGCCTTTCTATTGTGTCCGATAATTTCCCAGTAAATTTTTTTAAAATAGAACGTTCTCTCAAATTTTATTTATTTATTTCAGGCTCCGCCAATTCTTTCCTTCTTTTTTTGTACATGTTATTCTGTTCTGCCTGTAAATAAACTATTATAAATTTAAAAAAAAAAAAAAAATGTTTGCTTCCCAGAAAATGAACTGGATCCAAATCCTGGTGATGGCCTTCCACACAACCGTTTCCTTGGCCGGATGTTTGCTCAATCTTCTTCTCATTTACCTCGCCTACTTCCATTCGCCACGGACCATCAGGACCTACTCGATTCTCATCATCAATTTTGCGCTGACCGACTTTGGAGCCTGCTTTTTTGACGCTTTTGTTGAGCAACGGTGAGAATTTCAAAGATTTTAGTTTTCCTTCAGTTTTTGTGTCGAGTTCCATTTGAAATGTAAGATCCCTCTACTCAAAAAATATAGCTAGTTGAGTTTGAAAATTTTTTTTTTTAAAAATTCCTGAAAGCCTCCTGTTGAGCGCAAGCTTCCCATTATTCTCTTGCAAACTTGTGAAGTTTAGAAGAAAGCTCCAAAGCTTCAAAAAAAACTTCCCAAAAATATTCCAAACATCCATGTTTTTGATCGGTCTCGGAAGTAATCTGAACAATTTTCGACTTTTTTCCCAAGGCTTTTACGTAAAAAAGCAGGGGAAATTCACACAATGTGTGGCATTTTCTCTGAAAAAAATTGCTCTGCTAAATCTCCGAAAAATCTGAGCAAATCGTGGACTTTCCCATCTGAGCAAATCGTGGACTTTCACATTATGGCGTCATAGCAGACATTGGACTTTCACCTTTTTTCGAAAGAGGAGGAAATTTTCCTTCGTTGAGAAAGAAACGGAGAAAATTCGAAAGAGGAGGAAATTTTCCTTCGTTGAGAAAGAAACGGAGAAAATTCAAAAACTAAAATTTTGAGCAGTTTTTGAGAGGAAAACAGAGACTAAGATTTTTTATGAGTCGATTTTCTTTGTAAAGAGATGCTTCAAATGCCAAATTAAAATCTATAACTTGAACCGCTGCGTGACCGCAACGCATTGAGCCATTCTGAATGCGAAGTTTTCGCAAATGAACTGTACTATCAAATTATCCGTTTTTCGAATAAAAATTGATCTGTTTCCACTCAGAATCGTTCCAACTGGCTGGACGTTGGCCTATATGTCAAGTGGAATTTGCCGCTTGGTCCCGTCCAGCTGCTATATCAGGTTCCTCTCACTTTAATTAATTATTTATTAACTTTACTTGATTTTAGCTACAGTATCATGCTGCATTTTTACGCCCACGGACTTTGGTCCCTGTTGGTTTCTTTTGCCTACCGGTATTACATCCTGGTGAATACGTCACCTTCTGGCAGAACTGTGATCATAATTCTAGTCATGTTCTACGTTCCTTCCTTCTTCCAATGGGTCCGAATAGGATCAATAAGATTTTATTGATTTTTCGATTCAGATCAGCTTCATATGGGCTCTGGACCCTCCGGAAAAGATCACTCCAATTTTGAAAGAACGATTTCCGACCTATGATTTGTCAGATTCTGTTATAAGCGGAACGGTGGATATTCGGTCATTTTCCGCTTTGTTCACAATTCTTCATATGACCTTACCGGTCACTCCTGTCTACATTTCAATCCTCATATTGAGGAGAAAGATTATTCAAAAATTGATGATTGCCGCGAATCATATGCGAAGAGAGACGAAAGCCTTGCACAAACAGCTTTTGATGGTTAGTTCGGATAGTTCGGCCAGAAAAGCTATCAAACAATATAGTTTTATAATTAATTTATTCTGGAAAATTTATCGAACGGAATTTCATTTTATTTTTTTCTTGAAGCTTGAAAAACGACTTTGATTGTTGACCATGTGAAATAATGAAATAAAGCAATAAATCAGGTTCAAAAACTTAATGGCTTCCGAAGGAACGTTCAAAAAGAACAAAATTGAGAAATATTATAATATAATTCTGATTGAATTTTTCACCTTTTTATCTGTTTTTAAGATGAAAAAAAAATTCGGGTAACAACAAAGAAGAATTGACTTCAAGAAAACTAACGAAATCAAGGAGCTTTGAACAATAATTTTTTTTTTCCATTATTGTTTCGAAAATCAAGTTTTAGGCGCTGACCTGCCAAGCCTGCTTCCCGAGCTTCTTCCTCCTGGCAGTTCTTTGCTACGCAGTTGGCCAGTTGGGCATCTACCAACACCCCGTTTTAGAATATGTTCCATTTTCCGTCGTCCTTTTCATTCCCTTACTATCGCCGTGTGCTTCTCTATTCTTCGTGAAACCGTATCGACTGCAAATTGAAAAGTTCTTGGGAGTTAAATCGGCCTACACGGAGAAGACAATTCGTCTTTCTACTTTCCAGCTCACAAAAGCATCGAGAATCGACTCACATCTCGACCCTCGATCTATCACTATAAATTTTTGAATTGAAACCACTATTTTGTAAATTTCGAATAATAAAATATTCTACTGGTTTTTTTTTGCTGAAAAATTTTGTATTGAAAATGTTCATTTATTCTGAGAAAACGAAGCGTTTCGGAGCAACCCAATGAACAAGATCATTTTGAAAAAAGCTTCGTTTCTCCACTGAAATACGTCTACGAAAAATTTTGAAAAGGTTTAAAATGAAAGTTTTCTAGATTTGCGCGTCAAATATCCTAGTTATGCCAACGTGTCAGCATGACGTACTGACGTAAAAAATTTCTAAATTTCTTCTTTTTTAATTTTTTTTTTTTCCATTTCGAATTATCAACTTATCATTCAATCCTAGAATAATGCACGATTTTTCAAGTTTTTGTTTTTCAAAAATTAACACACACGCCATTCAAAAAACTTCACATCATTCTATTTTTGAAATCCTTCAGAAAACATTGGATTTTTTCAGAGATCAGTTGTTTACGTAAACGTAACTACGTTTTCGACAGCTATTATGGACTAACTTCAACAACCATATGATCTTCAAGTGTCTACTTCACTTTCAAGGTTGAGCTTTTCATTTCAAAACGTTATTTGTGGATATTTTCCCTATTCAAGCCTTTTTTCAGGCTGGAGAATGCGGTAAAATGGACAAAGCAGCGATGAGATATTTTAAAATTTTTTTCAGATTTGCGAAATTTGAGAAATGAGTACTAACCCTGCCTCACGGATGCCAGCAGGGCTTTAGCAGTTGAAAATGGATAAAAGTTGTGAGTTTGCAGTTCAAGACCTGATGGCAGAGTGAAAAAAAAAGTGAGAAAATTTATCGATGAGCAGAAGCTCAGATTACTACTGCAGTAAGTAAGAAGGTTCGAGTTTCTATTGCAGTAAAGAAAAACCACTTTTTTGCTAAATTTTTTTTCCGAATTTAAAAGATCGCTCAAACAGTTTTTATTTTAGGCTGTTCCACTTTTAACTCACTTTTTAACGTTGTTTTAAAAGCGATTATCATTTTTTTGTCCTTCTAAACTCTCAGCGGCATATTTTTCGAGCTAAAACTTACCTCTCTCTTTTCAGCGACCCTTTCAGTCACATATTCTGAATAAAATCCATCCGAAACTCGTTCGAAAACAATTTTTATGAACTGTCAAACCGATTCATTCTGACGTTCACACTCTCGACAAAACGCGGTACAAATGAATCGTCGCGACTGGCATCCATGACGATTACCGATTGGAAACCCGCCAATTTCACTTCGGAGGGTCGCACTTTCGAGTCTGGAATACCAGCTCATTTGATATGAACGGAGAGAGGGCGACGCTCTCGCAACAATTTGACGGCGGGCGGATGGATGCCGGCAGAAGCCGACGTGTCCATGCATTCCCGATGGCACCGTCCCGCCAGCCCTTTGCATTGTTTCTTAAGCTTCTTCTTCCGGAGACAAGTTGCTTCTTCTCCTCCTCGTGTTCCTCGTTTCTTATGTTCATTGGAACGACAGTAACGGTTCTTCCATTCTGTTGGAAAGTCTAATAAAATTCCATTTTCTTCCTTTTTGGGTTTCCTTAATCCTGTGAGACAAAGAAATCTTCTTCATGTTCTGTTTGAAACTGTAAACCATTCTTTTTATGTTTTATTGGTTTGTGTCCAACGCTGGACTAACCCAAAAAAAGACTCTTGACTTTTTCGTCATTTTCTTATAGTTTGGGTCAGCTTCTCCTCCTTTTTCGTTTTTGATGTATAGTGGAACGACATAAAATTCTTCAATTTAGTAATATGGAAGTTAGGCGCAGTTTTGAAAAAATAAGACCTAGACCTTAATTTTTCATATAATTATGCATTTTTTTCGATTTATCAGAATGATTCGAATCAAATGAGGGTATTTTTCTGTGGTTTTATTACCATAGAAAGCCTAGAATGCTTCACTCTGTCACTGCAAGAACTCCTGAAATCACTTCTCGATTCTCTATTTCATTTTTTTCAAGAAAAATTAATATTTCAAAAAAAGTTTTTCCTGCTTGTGTTCGAACTTCATTTTCATGAACTTTCCCCTTTTTTTAAAAATTTAAAATAAGATTTTTTTGGAAGTTATCTTTTGACAGAGTTTTGACATATCAAAACATGAAAAAAATTCCAAGTTATATTTTTAAAAATTAAAATGTTTGTATTTCAAAAAAAACTGTGGCAGAAAAGAAAAAAATAAATTTTTCAGATCTCCATCAAACTAAATGGGTTGGAAACATCCGGCTGAACTCTCGAGCTCTTCATATTTCAAAGTTTTTCGAAAACCCTCGATAAAAACTGAAAAATGTCTTTAAGGGCTGTCTTTCCTTCTTATTAGTGACCCAAATCAGCTGCTCTGCAAAAGATGACCTGGCCTGGTATTCGCCACTCACGAATCCAGGAAATCCCGTCCCAAATCCATCTTTAACGCCAATTATCGCCGAGACGGCTATAAATTACTGTCAGGTGAGTTTTCACCTTCGGTTTAAGTTTGAAAACTAATGCCGTGTAATTTATGCGATTTCAAAATTTGCGCGTTCTCTTTGAAAATAATTTGGCGAAATACGCAAAATTGTAATTTTAGAAAATTTGAAAAGTGGGTCTTACAACGAGATAAGGAATTATATGCGCGGGTTAAGAAAAAGGCTATTTCGCGCGTAAAAGTCGGACCCAATTCCACGACAAGTTTTTTTTTCCAATATCAGGAAATGATTCGTCAATTTTGAAAGCGTCGAAATCACTTCAAACACGTCATAATTAATAAAACACGTAAAGTTGGCCCCGGACGTTGGACCGTGTGATCGTGAACTGATCCGATATTACTACGATCCGGAGAGCGACGAGTGCAAAAAGTTCATTTTTTCGTGAGTCGCTCTGTTGTTGTCTATTTCGGAAACCCATGAAATGCAGCGGATGTGGCGGAAACTCGAACCGATTCATGCGCCGGACCCATTGCCGGAATAGCTGCGTGAAAGGCCATAAAAGGGACGAAGAGCCCGAGGAAATGGCCGAGATGAAGCACAGGAGAACATTGACCACCTCTGCCATTTCGACGCCTTCTCCAGCCCCAGAAGTCGAAACTTCGACCTCCACTACCACTTCTACAACAGTTACTACCACAAAGAACCATTTCGATACTGTGTCGCCTGAAGTTTCGTCCAAGGTCTATATATTTTCGAACGTTGTGGAATAACAATTCGGAGAACTGCGCAAGTCGTTTTTGGTCGGGCGCTTAGAGTAAACCACTTTGAAGCCTGTCAGTTCCAGGGAACCGAGTATAGCTTGTTCAGATTTTGAATGCCAAGTCGTCGCTCAAGCTCCGCCCCTAATGGCGCGATAAACCAATCAGAGCGAGCCATATACAGAGCGTTATCGAGTGACGTCATTGTACTTGACATTCAAAGACTGAACAGATTATAAAAACAATTTCAAAGGAATTTCATTAAATTAATTTTTATTTCAAGTTTTGAGCATTATCATTTTTCAGAAAATTTTGAATTAGAACAACAGATAAACGTGCTCAGTTGTGATAAAAGCTTACGAAATAAAAAAAAAATTAGAAGATCGTTCTTCCAAAAGAAAAAGTTCAGAAATTTTTCGAATGTGGAGACTGCGATCCAATCTATGGGGCCTGTGTGAATGGCGAATGTGGTTGCATTGACGGGTTCAAAAAATTGGGAAGGATCTGCGTTGGTAAGTTTCTTTGGTTGTTCGAACAAAGTCTCGGACCTTGATAACGTAAACCGGACGTGTCTGAGTATTCCTAGTGACCCCTTTAATAGCCCCAGAATTCTTAAGTGATCCCTAGAAATGCTCAGGAAAGTCCGGTTGGTTACCGAGGACCGACTTGGGAAAGAAAGAGTTTAGTTTATCATTAGAGCGCACCTGCACTTAATTTGAAAAAGTTTAAATATTCCGCAGATATTTTTTCTTTTTCCTTGATCATTAGCAAAAGAAAAGTTGATTATTTTTGATAATTCTATTTTTTCAAGACTTTTCTTTCAGGTCAAAAATGGCTAGTTTGGAATAAAAAAACACTCAAAAATCTCTAATTTTCTCTTACAATTGTACATCGTTTTTTGGCAATCGAAACTTTTCTAAAAAAAATGATTTCTGACACGAGATTTCTCTTTGATAATTTTCTGTCCCTAGACATCAATGAATGTGACGATCGCTCGAAATGCCCGAGCCATTCTCGTTGCGTCAATATCGTTGGTTCCTATAAGGTATTATTTTTTTGAATAATAGTTTATGTACATGGTTTGTTCAAACAATCTTTCTGGGAGGTTGAAAGGCGCAAAGGTCTCAAAATAGTCGCCTCGAGACCTTAATATATGTAATTTATGTTCCTTTGAACCCTCCAGCAAGGTTTCTCAAAAAAAAGTTGTTTCTTGAAATTCTTTTTTTTTATCAGTGCGAATGTGATAATGGCTTCTCGGTAAATGGAAGCTGTACCATTAGATCAGGTTCACTTTTTTTCAAATGCATATTAATAAATAATATTTGTTTTTCAGAAGCTTGTGATGACGAGTTCGACGTCAATCTCACTGAGGAGGATTGCAACGATGGACATCAGGAAATAAGGTGGGAAAAAAATAAAAAAATAATTAATTTTTTTCAAATCTTTTTAGATACTATTTTTGATGCTGAAAATGGAGCTTGCAAGCAGTTTTTCTACGGTGGCTGCACGTCTAACTCGAAGAACTTCTTCGCTGACTTGCAGGTTTTTTTAATTCAAAAAGAATCCGTAACATAAATTTAGACCTGCGACTTGTTGTGCTCTTCAAAAGCCGTCAAGAAAAACCAAATCCACGGTCCTTTGCCGGGAATGCCGATAGAAGCCGTTAAAGGTTGTTTTGAGAAGTAAAACCGTAGTAAATTCACTGCTAGCTTAGGGAAATTTGTTCAACCAGGGTCGTGTCTTTATGAGCGAGATAGTGTGCAAGAGGGAGAGATTTAGACTCAGTCTTTTTGTCTTGAGCTGAGTAGAGGGGCCGTAACGATCTGAGAGGTTCTAGAGAAAGAAAGTGTTCTAAATTCTTTGAGGTCTCTTTTTTTCAGTCTTGTCAACCTTTTTTGGGGATTTTGGGTGAGGCTTGAAGCTTGAAATAGAAATTTTTAATATGGTTCATGAAAAATCAGAATTTCTGTTTACTGCTTAGGAACGCCAGAGTGGTTCTCATAGGGGTTAGGAGGAAAAAAGCACTTCAAGGAAAAAGTTGAGACGCACCCTAGAAGAAAGCGAATCCCTTCAACAACATTCATTGCGATATATATTTATTCCAGAACTCCCTCAAGAACAAGAAACTCCGGAAGAGTCTCCTGGAACTACTGTAAATTCCGAAAAACCAACTATCCCAAAACAAAGACTCGATATCAACCTGAACGAAAGCGTCACACCTAGTCATGAAGCGAAAATAGAAGAGGCCGAGAAAGCCGAGTCGATTGTCAAGGAGATCACTCCAGATCACAGTGAATATTGGAAAACGCTTCATTTCATAAAAAGGATGTTAACAGATGCCTGCGAGCAAGAATTCGACGAAGTTTTCCGCGAGGAGTGCTTGTCAGCGACTTGGACCGAGTTCTTCTATTGGAGCTCCGAGTTGATGGTTAGTGAAGGAGTGCAGAGATCTGAAGAGATTCTGGAGAAAAAGAGTGATCTATGACATTTTGGCTTTTATTTCTAGTCTTGACAACACTTTATTAGAAACTTAATTATTTCTATATCTGAGGAAAAAAAAATACTGAAATCCGTCATTCATGACCTCTTACAACAAGTTCGAGTTTTAAAACATTCTTGACGATTTCGAAATGTAAGAAAGGGGATAGTTGTCGGACAGCCAAGGTCAACGCGAAGATTTTCCAGAATTCATATCAAAACTATTTTCGTTCTCAAAGCGCTTCAGAAGGATATAAGTTAAGGATCAGTGGGAAAGTCACCGAACCTCCTAATCGCAGAAAAAGCTTGAGTACATGTCAAAAATGTTTTCCAAACGGAGATCACATTTTTAGCATTTTCTTAGAAACTTACTTTCTGAATTCCGATCCTTCAGGACTGCGACGCATTCTGGTACGACTCCTCTTGTGATCCCCGAGACAGAGTCGGGAGGAACATTTTCGTAAACTATGAGACTTGCAAGCAATCCTGCGACGTCGGCTCTTCCACTCCAACTTCTTCCCATGCCCCCAAAGTAGAAACAAAACCTACTGCTGGAACCGAAGTGGAAAAGACCACGATCCGAGATGCTGACGGATGGTCCCCGGTCAAGCCGACAGTCGTCGGGGAATTCGTCGATTTCGAGCCATCGACCTCGAAAATCCGTGAAGATTTCCCAACCGTTGCTAGCGACGTGGAAAGCTTTCTACCGAATCGAAATGAAGCGACGAATTATTTGGAGGACGAACTCATACCGATGGAGCCTGCCCGAAATATCAGTAGTGTTGACATCAAAACGACTCCGAAGAGGGAGAAAAGCGAGAAGCCGGTGGAAGAAAGGAAAGTCGAAGGTCAGATTTTTGAAGATTGGTTTAGTTTCGAAGAATTTTTAAGTATGAGTGCTCATAAACTTTTCAGTTCGTGGAAAAATGAAGTTTAACAATGGTTTAAAAGTTTTAACTCGATGAAAATTGATGCTTCAAAGACTTCCGTAAAAGATGAGACGGAAAAATAATTATCATCTCTATTTATATTTTTTAAGAGTGTGTGATTTAGATATTCTTTCAAGCGTGATTCGTTATTACTTTGAATTTCAAAAAAATCTAGGATATATTTTGCTTTTTTGAGTCAGTTTTTGACTCCGTCTTCAAGGTTTTCAAATCCAGAAGAAATGTGATTATGACAGCAGAATATGTTTTAGAGACGGACTGCACCAAAGAATTCAATGCACATCTACGGGACGAATGCGAAACGGCTTCCTGGGAAGAGCAGTACTATTGGAACAGCCAGTTCAAGGTTTTCAATTTTGATTAACATTTGAAAATTTAATCAATTTAAAAAACACTTGAGAATTTTCATCTGAAATGTTGAAGCTTGTTTTTGCGCCCTTAAATACCTCTAGCATATTCTTTTTTGTGAAAGATACTTCTAGAATGTTCTTTCAAGGTTTTACCTAAATTTTAAACAATTTCTTCGAAAAATATAAAAAATAATCAAAGGAATCGTTTCTAATGCGTGTAAGTCTGATTCTCATACGAACTTTAGTTGATTAAAACTAAGAATAAAACGAGTTCTGTTTTTTTGAGGATTGCGAAGCGTTCTGGTACGATACTTCCTGCGGCGCTCCCCAGTACAAAGACGAAAATCTCTTCCCAACCTGGACGGAATGCAATGAAAAATGCGGGAAACCCAAACCCCAAGAGATCGTCAAAATGGAAACTTCCACGATTCCAACGACAGAAGCCTCGAAACCCACAAATCCAACTGCCAAGGAAGAAAAAGTGAAAGCCTCGTCGGCTCCGACTTTGGTGCTGAACATGACAGAACTACCGTATGGCATGAAGAACCCACTGAATATCATATTGAAAGGTTAGTTTTCGACTAGAGAGAATGGTTAAGAGTGAGTGGACAGAAATAAGAGAAAAAATGTCTTTTTTTTCAATTTGGTGAGTTTATTTTTAATTTGAAGAGACTTGGAGAAGCCGGAAGCAATCCTATTTTTCGATTTTTCCTTTTATCCGTTGATTTGGAAACAGTAAAGTTGAAAAAAAATAAAATAAAAAACTCAATAAAACGCCAAAAAAAAAGTCAAAGAGAATCTTGGCTTTGGAGGAGGATTAAAGAGAGAAACCTGTATTTTCTGAAGCAATGGAAAAAAGTCTTTAAAAAATTAATTAAAATCCTCTCGATTTTTCGGAAAAATAGTTTTCCAGAAGCTCTGAACCCGAATAAGGAAAGCGCTCTCCCCGAAGTTTTGCCACCAAAACATCGCCAGGAGTTTTCGAATTTCGCGCAAAAGTCGATAAATACAGCGACGACCAAGTTTGACCGACTCAAGTACATGGCAGAGTTCAAGGTTGAACAGAAATTTTTCTCGAAAAATCAATTTTTTGAAGAAAAGACTGATGGAACATCCTGGAGGCTCAACAGCAAGCTTCGAGAAACGGCCGAGGATCGTCTTTACCTTGGCTCCCCACGTTTTCGAAGAAACCACAACGCTCCCAACGACCACAACGACCGAAAAATCCACAACTTCTACCTATAAACCAGAAGATTTTACGATTGAATACATTGAAGCTGAGAAGCAAAAGGTGGAAAAATCATTAATTTTCAAATCATTATATGTTTAGATTGAGCAAACTTTGGCAGATTTGGACAGACCCGCCGATTTTTGCGAAGAACCTCTGCATCCGAAGTTGGAAGAAGATTGTAGCAATGATCATTGGGTTTTTTGATTCAAGAGAGATGATAAGAATGATAGTTTTCAGGAAGTCAAATGGTTCTTCAACGTCGATCGACGCGCTTGCAAGTCGTTTTGGTACGGCGGCTGTAAAGTGGAATCTCGAAATTTCTTCCCAGATCATGCGGTGGGAAATTCAATAACTTTATCGTGCATCCACCAAGAAATCATGAAGAAGGAGCTCATAATCATTCGAAAAAAAATTTGAAATTGCGACCAAAATATTCTAGTTTTTCGCTTTATAGATAAGGTGGAGAAAGTTTGAAGCGTAGGTTGAAATTTTTTTAGGTTTTTTTATTTATTTCAAAAATTATGCTTAGTTTCTTTAAAATTCTTAGTTTAGCATTGATTTTTTTATTTTTTTATTTTTAGAAGTTTCTTTTTTTCAGAACTGTAAAGCGAAATGCGGACACAAATACGAAAAAGACAACATGTCGCAACCGAAATCCTTCGCCCCACCTGGATTGTTCTCAACAGCGCCGACACTTTCCAAAAACCGACTATCGACGAACCTCAAACTGACCTTCCAGAACCCGGAGAACCTTTTCCCGCCCACCGACACTTCAAACATGATTGAGATCGATGCCTCTCTTCCAACCTACCCGGTCATCACAAGAAAAGAGCCCATGACCTCGAAAACCATCCCGAAAACCAAACATGTTGTGACTATGTCCCCGAACAGCAAGGTGGAGCAACACTTCTTCTACGACCATGTGGACAAGGTCTTCACGGACATCAAGACCAAGCATCGGGAGACTGAGGCCGACTATGTCAAGTACGAGGTCTTCAACGAACCTTACGGACTGACAACGAAAAAACCTGATCAAACGTCGGCACTCCCTTCTCTTGAACCTGAAAAAGTTTCTTTTGAAGCTCATGACAGAGCTGTAACTTCCCCAGACTCCAAAAAGGTCGTCCCTAAAGTTTTGGACACTGTACCTTCTCCGGATCCCAATCAAATAGTCCCTTTTACTCCTACAAGCTCAACCAAACTGATGAAGACCACGAAATCAGTGGCCGATCCTTGCGACGACGACTACGACCCGAAATGGGACGAGGACTGTCTTGGAGACCAATGGGTCGTCAGAAGTTATTACGACTCGAAGACGGCTTCTTGCAAGGCGTTTTGGTACGGAGGGTGTATCACGAGTAGCCGCAACTTGTGGTTTGACAAGAAGGTTCGAAAACACAAATGGAAAGACTCAAAAGGAGTGTTTCAGAGCTGTGTAATCTCTTGCGCTCACAAGTTTCCAACCGTTTCGTCGCTTCTCCAAGAAGGTTTGTGAGCACTGTTTTGTGTGTTGGGTGTGTGAAAATACGGCCTTACAAGAGTATAATTAGAGAAAAAATTTTTTAAGTTTGAAAAACGTTGAAATCATGACGCCGAATCTTAGACCAAAGAAAAAGTTTGAAAGTTCAAGCTTTCTAAAATGAATACCATTTTTGCACTCCCTTGTGTTCAATAATCACCTTGAATGCCCTCACAAATTATTATTATTAGAGCACTTTTCTGTTAAAAAGGAAATCTATGAGATCCAGCTCAAAAAAGGAAATAATTGAAAATACGATTAGAAGTTTTATGCGTTTCTTTGATCAATGGCGAAGCGCGCAAATTCGAAATTCCAACTCGGACATTGCTAACGGGAAACGGACTTGCTCCGGACGTTTCTGGGCAATTCTAGGGATAACTTAAGAGTTCTGTAGCTACTAAAGTGGTCACTAGAAATGCCCCGACACGTCCGATTCGCGTCCGGTTCCATTACCAAGGTTTTGTTTATTCCTTTCTCATTTTCATGAAATTATGCACTTTCGCGCTGGAGCACAAAGTCAAAATCATTTGAATTGAAATGACCAGTATCAAACTCATAAATGAATTTTTTTTGTGCTGAGTGTTCATGGCCTTCGTTTTTGTGTGGATGGTTTACGAATCTAAACAAAGTGACACAGCAGGACATGGTGAAAAGCCAGAAGAAGCCACTCAAGGAACCCAACCAACGGAACAACATTCAGCTGAATCCTCCACGTCGCCCCATACGGTATTTGTGGCGTGTGACCTCCGCCAACGTCATCCATTCATTCTGAAAATCAAGGCTCGCACCGAACAACGGTTCCAGTCGGACCTCCAGAGGAAGCTGGCCGACGTGAAGAGGGAGCACGAGGCCCGCCAAGACTTGGATTATTCCAGAAAAGTTGACAGTCCTGTCACCGTCGCAGGTTTCGAGACCAACCTCTCAGAAATTTGAAAAAAGTTGAAAATGTCCAGCCGAGTGTCTACAGTCTTTCGATCTTGGCCTCGCGAAAACTTGTAATGGCGGCAAAAACTGGACCAACAGGTTCGTATCGAAATAAAAACTGATGAAATATTCTTGTACTGATGAGTCCTTATTACCATTTTCTTTAATCTTGAAATCCGTTCTCACTATTTTGTGATGACCTGAAGTTTTTTTCAGCGTATTTTTTGAGAAAACCCTTCTAGAAAAAAAACCATCAGAAACCATAATCGAAAAATTGTCTAGCAATTACTTTGAAATTAGGAATTTCCTGATGAAACACTTATTGATGGACCATAGAAAGATCATCGAAGTCTAAACTTAGCTTTTAAGAAAGAAGAACTCAAAATCAAAGAAATAACCTCCAAGTGAGCACTTTCAAAGATCAAATGTCTGATTTCCGAACTTTCAAACTATAAAGAAAAGCCAATTCTCGAAACTTTACAAGGAAATACGGATGAGGAACTTCCAGAAACTTTCAGTTTTCTTTATGTTTGATTAAAACCCGAATTCTATCGATTTTTTCGATACGGATAGCTTTTTTCAGATTTTACTTCGATCAAAATCTACGCGCTTGTCGGATGTACTGGAACGACGGCTGTTTTTCTTCTTCTCCAAATAATTTCGACGATTTGGAGACCTGCCAATGGAAATGTGAAGGACGGCATCCGAATAGAGCGGGAAGTGAGGAATTGATTAAAAGATTTGGGTTCCAATTCAAATTTTCGATTTGAAAAGGATAAAAAAGCTTGAAAGTTCAAAGAGGGCCCTTTTTTTGGAAAGTGTCCAAATTTAGAATCTTGCCTGGACAAGTTCGACCAAGCCTACATGGAAGACTGTCGCCATGGCGAGTATTCGACGAGATTCTACTTTGATCACGACAGGTTCGTTCCAATTTCTATGTTCAGGAAAACAAAAAACGGCTTTTATAAATTCATCTATTAAGCATCAAAAACCTTCAATTGCCCACTATTTCAGGAAAAAATGCGTCTCATTTTCCTGGGGAGGATGTCAGTCAAAGTCGCAGAACTTCTACACGGACATGGGCTATTGCCAGGAACTCTGCGAATCTCCTTCTAGGGAGTTGACGCGTAGAAAATCCTTCTGAAACTTCAATTCGAACTAATATCTGTAGAGTCCTGCATTCATCCCTTCGACGAGGCCTATTTGAAGAGTTGCGACTTGGAGAACTATCATCAGCAATATTACTACTTTGACATCATCTCCGGAACTTGCAAAATGTTCTGGTAGCGCTTGAAAATTGAACTAACTTCAAAAAACATTCTTGAGGTTTGGAAATTGCCGAGGCGAAAATCCAAACATTTTCCCCTCTCTGGACTCCTGTCAATGGATCTGTGAGAGAAAACGCGAAGAAAAGTCGCCAGGTACGGAATAATCAAGTTGAACCGACTGGGATCTCTACCAAAGTTCACAAAAAAACAGTTAACTTTCCATTTTTTTTTAAAGTCACTTCACAGTTTCTTGGAAACCATTTGGCTGTTTTTTTCGAATAATCCTTTCTGCGCTATCCTTTCTAATCATCATTCCATTTTCTAAAAAATATCCGCACGTTCAAAATTAAATTACGAAATTTACAAAAGTAACTTTGAAAAATGCCTCATTCGTGACTATTTTTTGGTTTGAAATTTTATGTCAAAAAAGCTTTACAGTTTTCACACCTTACAATTATGGTCAGGTGGGAAAATTGAAGCCTAATTGGCCTCAACGATGTCGAATTTCAGCTTACTGTGCTGATAAATTCGATGTTAAGTACATGGAATCATGTGGCGATGGAACATGGTCAGAGAAATGGTTCTTCGAGGTAAGTCTTGAATGTCAGAAGGGGAAAAAAATGTAGCATGAAAGTTGTTTAAAATTTTGATTTTCCATAAGAAAAAGTTCAAACTTTAATGGAATAAAAAATATTTATTCTTCTTCAAAAGGATGAGGAGCACGAAACCGAATCAATAAAAAATAACGGGTTCAATTTTGAGTAGGATCAAAAACAGTAATATTAAAAGACTTCTAATTTTTCGAAGCTGGATTGTTATTTCTAGCAAAACACTGGGGAATGCGTATCTTTCTGGTGGGATGGCTGTACTTCGACGTCGCAGAATATTTTTACCGATGAGAAATCTTGCACAAGTCATTGCCAACATCCAGGTAATTCATTATTTGAGTTTTGGAAGGATAAATGTACTAAACAAAATCTGAAATGAGAGGTTTAGGCTTCGAAATCGCGTCAAGGCTACCCGATCCAGAAACCAAATACCGATGCTTGGAGCCCGTGGAGATGGGTAGTTGCAAGGAAAAGTGAGCTGAAGTGTCGGGGAATAGTGTCGGAATTTTTCTGAAAAATTATTTGAAAAGATCTAATTTGAGCTTTTTTTTTTTTACCTAAAGCGGAAACAATCTGATTTCTCTGCGCTCTCTTATCCCTCGATTGCCCTTTGCGTTGACTCGTTATTAGTTTTTGACAAGTCTGCGCTTGATTGTGTGTAAATTCGGTAGAGATGAATTAAAGATGACATTCATTTGCAAGGTACCTTGAGGGAAAAGAGACGCAGACAGATCAGACTTTTTCGAGTTTCACCTCGTCCTTTTCCAGTTATCCTGCATTTTATTACGACCGCTCCGCGAAAATCTGTCGTCCTTTTGCCTACTCCGGCTGCGGCGGAAATGGAAATCGGTTCATGACCCTTTCCCAGTGCGAGAACCTTTGCTACGCCTTCAACCACATGACTGGTTCATTTTCTCTACATCTTCAAAGACACATTTTCGTTCCAAAAAACAAGAAAAAAAAAATCAATAACAAATAAGAAAAAATGATGAAGAGGAATAGTAAATTGATCAACTACAGACCCTGAAATGGACTGTCATCTGCCGCTGCACATCGGCTACGGCAAGAACGACGAGCAATGCATGCCCCACGCTGGCTTCCGATTCTATTACGATAGAGATTATGGTAGGTTGAAGAGAAAACGGATCAGTGCCCAAAAATGCCTCTGAAAGCATTTTCGACCTGAGAAAATCTGAAAAATAAGCTTGAAAAGATAAGGCGAATTCAGGCCGATGCTCACAGACGTGGTACTTGGGCTGTGGCGGCAACGCCAACAATTTCTTCTCCTTCGAGCTTTGCCAGAGGACCTGCGCTGCAGACTCCAGAACTGGACTCGAAAGGAAGCCTCGAGCGAGTAGCCACGGTAAGTTGAGCATCACGAATGTCCGTGCCAGCCTCCAGTCTGTTTGAACTTTCCCGTTTCTTATTACCCCTTCCAAGGCTTTCAGTACTACTCCTAAAACAATTTTTCTTGTGAATTTTCCAAAAAAAGGACCTTTTTCTCCTCTCACACTACAATTTTACACGTCCTCTTCTCAAAAACCTGCCGAAATTTTCTCCTTCATGTGACATGAATCTGGGATTTTTTCTTGTTTGCTTGATAAGGTCCAAAATTATGATCTCCAATTTGTGTGGTTTTATTTCAACCACTAAATCTTTCATTTTCCGAGTTTTAATTAAACTTTACTCATCACAATCATTGTGCTTTGATAATAAATTCATCCGCGCCTCATTTTGAATCCCCTAATGAACCAAAAGCCATTTCAATGCCGGTAAAAGTCAAAGAAACCCATGTCAAGTTTTTCCCTCAAGCGAGAATATCAGAAATTTTTAAATTTTTATCATTTCAAGTTTCGACAAGCTATATCTTGCCACCATCTCCTAATTGTCTTTTTTTGACAATAAATGTTCTATCCACTTGTTTCTTGAACACAAAAAGGTCAAAAAAAAAAGAAAAAGTGAAGCCTTACAGTGTGCTTCGAGGGACCTGGTGACAAAGGCAAATGTTTCGGGAACTCTTCGCGGCCTGTCCAGCGCTGGACCTACTCTTCGCAGTTCAAATGCGTTCAGTTCAGCTACAGCGGCTGCGGCGGCAACGACAACAGGTCTAGCCGCGAAAAAGTGTGAAGCTTCAAGATCATTTTCGTTAGATTCGCCACTCAAGCCGACTGCGAAGAAACTTGCGATGGCCTCCGCAATAGTTTGGACCCGAGTGAGTAGAAGTTTCAACAGAGTTGTGTTGCGAGATTTAAAACGACGGAAGGCTGCTATTGAGTTTCGCGTACAAGTTCTGTCAATTTTTCCCAGAAACCCAAAGAGATTCGGAGAGTTTGAGAACATATAAAATAGACTGAAAAAATGTTTCAGATAGACCTAATTTTGCTTTATTTTTATTTTTTTTTTTATTTTTGAGCTATGAATGAAATTAGGCCTAAAACAAAAAAAAATCGAAAGTTTCAGTTTTTGCTATAGAATCAATCCGTTCAAAGAGCGCAGGATGTTTCTCTGTACCCGTTTTTTAAAAATGTCCGTTTTATTAAAGACGCATGCAGATATAAATGCCGCGCGCATGGAAGGGAAAGACTTACAGATAAAAAAAAATCATGATAAGTTGGCTCTGAAGAAGCTATATGAATATTTTAATTTCCGCGTGTCATCCGACGTTTTGGTTGCGGCATTGCGTCGATGTGTCGCAAATCATTTTTCAGTCCAAGTTACGAAATTTCGCAAAATTGTGGTGTCAAAAGATGTTTTTTTTTTTCTCAAACAAGACTTTTTCAGATATATGTTCATACCGACCAGATTGGGGATCATGTAACCAACTTCGCTATATGTGGTTCTACAACCAATCTCGTGCAAGTTGCGATCAGTTTCTTTACGGAGGTTTCTAAAGACTCTTGATGTTTTGAGAGGTGTCTTTTTAGGATGCGAAGGGAATCCGAATCGCTTCGAAACTTTCGAAATTTGCCAAAAAACTTGTGAAATTTCCGGAATCGATCCTTGCTTAGAGTCCTTGGATCGAGGCAGTTGGTGCGAGGCCATGTCCAATAGGTTCTTGATTCAATCCTTATTTTTGAAGGTTTTCCAAAAATTATGTTCCAGGTATTATTTCAATAAGCGATCGAGGCAATGCAAAGGTTTCCATTACACGGGGTGCGGTAAAAGTGGAAACAATTTTCTGACAAAGGAGGAATGTCAACAAAAGTGAGTAACTGCTGAGAAGGGATATGTTTGAGAAACCATTTGTTCGATTCAAAAACAAACTGCTAGGTTTTTCGATTTTGTTTTGTATTATGCGATGATTTTTGACCGCAACAACTTTAAGAAATGGGTATGAAAAAAGCGATAGCTGGGTACGTAGGAAAGGAAGTCATTTACGTTAAAAAATAAAACTTTCTTGGATTCTTGAAAATATTGGAATGAAAGAATTAGATTTTTTTCTCAAATAAGAGAATTAAATATTAAAGTTGAACCTTTTTACTTTAGGAAAATCACATTCCTTTAAACTAAATGAAAAAAAATTTAAGATAAATGTTTAATTTTATGAAATGATGTTACTGTCTGCAGATTCCTGTTAACCTTTTCCTGAAAGTTATAAGTAATTTTAGAAATTAAATATTTTCTTTAGAAAGTCGGAATTTTTAAATTCATGTCATTTTGTTCAAAAACGACCTTTCCAGATAGGCTAGACAGACGTTTTTTTCTCCAAAAATGTTTTCTGATGATGAGAAATTATGTTTCGATTTCTCCCGGCTTGCTTTTTTTCTAATTTCTGTCCGTTTTCTTGGCGTTCATTCCGGAAATAAACATTTGAAAGATGCGAGAAACGTCTTCCACGTGCTCTGCCACAGGAAAGGAAGAAAGGAAAGGCCGGAAAAGCGAAGGCGACCGGAGGATGTGAGAAAACTGGAGAACTTCTTCAATTTTCGTGGAAATCTGTTCAGATAAAGGCACAAGACCCGTGGAAAAAGCGCCAATGCTGCGACATGTCCAGTTGAACGGCGCGAATGTCACCTATTTTAAGTCGGATCCGGAATGGATGACTTACGAGTTTTGCACTGGATATAGGTTGGTTTTTGAATGAGAAGGTCATGAAAAGTTGTGATATTCACAGAAAAAATAAATCGAAACGTCCCTATTTATACTCGTTTTTGCTATTATTTTCGAGACTTTAACCTTTTTGTGAAAAAGTTACACAAGTTACTACAGATACAACGTAACTGGACAATATACAGTACTTCACGTTCATTTCTGCTCCATGGACGGCGGACAGAACTGTATCAGCGAGGTTTTCGAAACTTGAAACAAAAAATTCAATCCCTTTCTAGTAAATTTTGAAGTATATTTGAAAAAGAAAAAGCTTTTTTTTAAATAAAAATCGATTAAGTCACGAAAAATAAATAAACATGTTGAGAGACCTTCTTTAGTAAATACCTTAAATGGGCGCTCGGACTTGAAAATAAAAATTCTCAGTATTCAGACTTTTTGAATTTCTTATTCCGGCTCTTTGTTTCATTGTCCGGATGATCTTTCAACTTTTTCCAAGAATTTTTTCGAAGAGAAAAACGTTTCTCAAAAATTGTACTCGAAGCTGTCTTCCAAACTGAGTTTCAGTCCTATGGAACGACATTAGGAGAGGAATTCTGCAACGTGGTCCGACCTTTCCTTCGTGGACAAAACCTTTACTCCTGGTACTTTGGCTTGGATGTCAAGGTTTCCTTTCTATTTGATTTTTGTTCGAGTTCGAACTTTGAGAAGAAAATGTGTTGAAGGTTGAGAATTCGATGATATTTTGCAAAAAAGTATTTCAGAACCTCCTCTTTTGGGACCAATGTAAGCTGGTTGTAGCTATTTTCCCTGAAGATAGGCCGTCTTAAATTTTCATTATTTTTTTATTTTTGAAAAACGACTGTATTCTTTTTTCCTCTCAAATCTAGAACGAAAATCCGATTCCAGGACCCTCCCTACAACGGCGACGGCTCAACCGGAAGAATCCAACGGGCCCAAGAAACGGACGCCTCGATTTTTGTGCTCAAATCCAATAACTGCCACGATATATGCTGATGCTCAGTCATTTCTCTGTGTTTTCATGTGAGTCCGGGATATTTTTCCAGATATTTTGAGTCTCGACATGTTGATTATGATGGCACATATGTGTCTACAGACAAAAATAGCGTTTCTTTCAAGTTTTTTTTTGGCTTTTTTGAGGCGAGGTAAACGTTGTTTTTCTGGGAAATAAGATACCCTTATCATCAATTTCTTTACTTTCGATGCCCAAGCTCAAAATATCTTTTTCCTTTTTAAAAGTCCTTATAACAATTTTCCTTTCATTCATTCCAGCACAAAATAATACAAGTCAAAAATGAGAACTTCAAAGCATGACAAAAAGCAAAAAAGCAGGGAGAAGAACTACAGAGAAAGTTTGAGCAGAGTCGGTTACAGAAGGAAAAGGAGGGATCTCAGTGGTGGTTTTAATGGAGGTGTGAGTCGGTCTAGGCCTATGAGTTCTGGTTTCTGACGTATCTATATGAGGCAAAGGAAATAAGATAGCATTCTTAGGAAGGCCCTGATCGTCCTTAGAAGGAGGTACAATAGGCCTTGAGCTCGAGCCAATGATTATCGGACGACTTGTCGTAGACCTGTTTTCGGTCTCATTAGCGACAGTAGTTGAGTTTTCGACGACTTTCAGAATTTCCTTAACTGCTGCTTCAACTTTGATAATAGCTCCAGGGAGCACTGTAGTCGTTCGAATGTCGCCAGACTCTTCTGTGGTCGATTTTTCTGGCTTCAAAGACGTCGTTTGCTGTGTTGGAGCGTTCGTAGTTGAGTTCTTGATGATTATCAAGATTTCTTTGGCCTGGGTAGTTGATTCAGGTAGTTTTGTAGTCGTTTGAATATTGCTAGAGCCTTTTGTAGACGGAATTTTGGTGGATCCTTCCGGCTTCGAAGACCTCGTTTGCTGTGTTGGAGCGTTCGTAGTTGAGTTCTTGATGATTATCAAGATGTCTTTGGCCTGTGTAGTTGATTCAGGTAGTTTTGTAGTCGTTTGAATATTGCCAGAGCCTTTTGTAGACTGAATTTTTGTGGGTCTTTCTGGCTTCGAAGGCGTAGTTTCCTTTGTCGGAGTAGCGGCTGTAGTTGAGTTCTGGACGACTATCACAAGTTTTTGAGTAGCCTCTTTGGCCTGAGTAGTCGGTTCTGGTAGCTTTGTAGTTGTTTGAAAGTCGCCAGAGCCTTTTTTAGACGGAATTGTGGTGGGTCCTTCTGGCTTCGAAGACGTCGTTTGCTGTGTTTGAGCGTTCGTAGTTGAGTTCTTGACGACTATCAGGATGTTCTGAGTGGCTTTGGCCTGGGTAGTTGATTCAGGTAGTTTCGTGGTCGTTTGAAAGTCGCCAGATTCTCCTGTGCTCGAACGTTTTTGTCGCTTCGAAGACGTCTCTTCCTGTGTCACAGAAGCGTTTTTAGCTGTGTTTTTGACGGCTATCCAGATGTTTGTAACTTCTTTGGCATATGTAGTCGATTCGGGGAGAACTGTAGTCGATCCTTTTGTAGGCGAAAATCGTATAGTGGCTCTTTCTGGCTTTGAAGTCGTTGTTGTCGGTTCTTCTATAACAAGTGGCGGGGTTCTTCTTCTTGAAATCTGAAAAAAGTACTAATGATCGATTGGAGGTTTCCAATTTCGTGCCCTCAGAGTAATCACAGAACAAATATGACCAAGTTGTCTCTTGAGGGCTTTCATTGTAAACATGAACTATTCATACGGCACTAGAGCAATTTTTTTTGTTCAGCTTTCCTTCGATATTCTATGAAAAATGTGAGAAAAGGACCACTCAGGTAATTATTTTTTTCAAAGAAAGAAATGCATTTTTTTAATTTACCTCAGCATACCTAAAACGAAAACTAGTTATATAAAAGTTATACTAATAACTTAACTCAAATAAAACTATCATAAGCATAAGAAAAATTATCAGAAAAAAAGTATAATAAAAAAAGTATTTTTCAGCTTCCTATTTCCCCTACTGTAGTGGTGAAAACAAGGTCTTCTTGATTCTATCATGATTTTTTTATGAGTGAATAGGAAAAATTAAACCCTGGTAAAAATGATAATATTGGCATCCAAAAAAACAGATTCAATAGACTTTCTTTTTCGCCAATTTCGATGTTCCAAAAATAAAAACTAACTATTTTTGCTGGAAGAAAGTTGAAGATGAACCAAGAAAAAAAGAATATTAAAATTTGTTTCATCTTTTTATTCGAGACGTCGCCCAACTGAAACAAGAATAATTTGAAATATATACAGAATTTTTAAGCACGAAATAACCGAAAACTATTTCAAGAAAACAAAAATAAAATTTTTCGAAAAAAATGCGTCATTTTTTTCCGATGATATCTATCAGAACCTTCCCTCCCGACGGACGCTTATAAACGTACCAAAAATATATTTTTGTTCTTCCGAATCGGGAAAAGAGCAACATTTTTCGATTTTTCATCATCTTCGCCCACGCCGCGTCACTAATTCCGAGTCGAGTGATGCATCTGGAATTTTTGTATATAGTTCAAATAATCAAAAAAACAAAATATGACTGGGAATATTCACAGAAAACAAATGGTTTTTTTCCAAAATTGCCTCAGAAACTTAAAATTAATACTAATAATTGATTTTTTTGCGTCGAGAGCTGCATTTAATTGACTTTTTTTAATCAGTATAACTAGATTTTTTTGGACAGATTTTTTTAAAATTATAATGCATTGAATAATGATATCGTTTCATAGAAGAGAAAAGGAAAATGTTTTTGAGAAATAGTTTCTTTTTCTTCGTTTTTGCGTTTCTCTCAATTTCAACAAATTTTTTTGGCTCAACCATCTGCCTTACGAGGACGGTAGTTCTACTTTTATTTTCTTGAAAATAGGCGATAAAATTCCCTGGTGTACCAGATAAAGATCCTGAAAGCTTCAACCTGCACAACTTTTTGAGCCTCGAAATCCTTCAGAATTGGCTACTAAACCTTATTCTCGAAAACCAGAAAGTTGTGAAGGTTAAGATTTTCATATTCTTTTTATGTTAAGAAGAAATATTTTTGGCCGAGTTTCATAAAATTCCTAGCTGGCAATGGATGCAAACATCGGAATTGTCCAGTTTGGTTTATATTTATATTTTTTTGGTGATTCGATAGGTTGAGGATGAAATTTCATACAGCTTCAAGAAAGTAATAAAAAAATTTCGGATTAAAAAAATTCTCAATAGTTAATGCTGGAAAAAGACCTGCTTTGTAATATTTGATAACAAAATGACAAATGTTAACTAAAAGCCTTGAAACAATTTTTTCTTGCGTTTGAAGTTTGTTTTTTTGATTGGATATTTGGTCTTATTCGAATTTCCAACGAGCCATTCCGAAGCAAAACATTATTTTTGATATTCATCTTAAAGAAAATAAATTGAAATTTTAAATTTCTCTCACAAAAAAATGCCCAAAAAAACTTTCTTTTTCTTGCCAATCTCACAGTTTTAATCAAATAACGGATTCATTTCACGAAAAACATCGTACAGTTCAAATGAAAAAGACATACACATGCGCGTTGGATATGAACAATATCGAACATTGGTCGGTAAAAAAAAGACTCTTTGAGAAAATTACACGTCATTCGAGCAAAGCAAACTATTTGGGGGATAAAATAAATAAATATATGGGTGTTGGAAAGGTACAGTTCTGAGAAGATTCAAAATAAATGGATGAAAAAAAAACAACCTGTAACACGAATTTGTAGAAAAACGACGTCTTTTCCAGTACATTTTTCAATAATTTTAAAACTTCATAAAGCATAGAGATATGCCGATAATTGATTGTATATCACAAGGGCACAGACACGTTTTAAAAACAAAAAATATTAAAGACATCAAAATTAAAACAAGTTCTAATTTGAAGCAACAGCTAGAAATGGATCCGAGGTACAAAAAGGGGAATCAAAATGTTGATTAACAAGAAGAGAAGCGAATTTTTCGGAGCTAAGATCCCAGTTTTATCAGAATCCATCGTCGACATCGGCTTCCATTTCCAAGCCAGCGTCTTCTTCTCCCTGAAAGTTTGCACATGAAATTCACTTGTTTTTATCGATTTTTAGTAGGAAAAAGTAAAAAAATATCAAGATGGAGATTTAAATATTAAAAAAAGGGATTTCTGAATTTTTTGAGAACGACTGTAAAATGGAGCGAGTCTAATTCGATTTATCAAAAAACGTGAATCCAACAGCTTTTTTTGAGGTCTAAATATTCACTGCTTTATTTTCAAAAAGAAAGTCGCATCCCTAATGCCGCTAGCCGGCCGCAATTATCCAAACGGAAGATTTGATTGGGAAAAAGACGCGAAAGAGACAAAGAGGGACCTCGTCCTTGAGCCAACGCGTCATTTCGTCCTCGACGGAACTGGCGGCAGCGACGGCCTCGTCGTCGTCGAACGGCTCGTCTTCCTCCTCGGCGCCGTTCGAAGAGCCGCTCCCGGCGCTCGTCCGCTCTTTGTTCTTCCGCAAGGCTCTCAGGTACTCGTCGATGCCGGCAATCGAGCTCGTCGCTTCTCCGCCGCAAAGGTCGACACTGAAATCGAAGTTGATAAATATAAGGTTTCAAGGAAGAAATTTCGAGCTCTTTTTGAACCCCCCCTCCTAGTCTTCCTGAACTGAAGTCAGTACTATCTTCTTAAATCAAAAAATAATTTTCCAATTACTTTTGTAAAACAAATCCTCCTCCTGGGTTAATTGAGTTCTGTCTATGTAGGAATAACTTTCTCAGAAATCAATAAAATAAGTTTTCAGAGTAGTAGTTCAGTTGAAAAAATCCCTAAAAAATGGTTTTTTTTTCAAATCGTGACTAACACTCACTATCACTCACGAAAATTCTCGATTTGTTATTTTCATAATTTTTTTGGATCAAAAAAATCTTTGCAAAAAGTTATCTTGAAGTACGTAATAAAAAACCGTTATTTTTCACAAAACTGCAGGTCGAAATATGCATTGGAAAAATGAAAGAGATCGTGGCAATTTTCTCAATTTCACTCTGAAAAAAACGAACATCTTCTTGACGTCGGATTCACTGGGCAGGGGCATGTCGATGAAGTAGGCCGGATAGCACTCCTGGATCATTTGCTTGATGCCGGCGGCGTGCTTCAGACGGTTGTCGATGCAGCGGTCGCCCTGGTTGGGGTGCGACTCGCGCATGTGCTTCATCACCGTGTCGCGGCAATGGTGACCCTTGTACTGAAATTACAAATTTGAAACTTCTTGACGTTCTTCGAAACTGATAATTTTCACCCTGTCTATAGCTGTTTCACGGCTGGCCTGAGCCATTGGTAAAAAGGTCTTGACACGATTAATTTTTTTGATTTTTTCGAAACATTTTCAAGAAAGTCAGTTTAAAATTCTTATATTCTACTTATTGCTAGAGTAGGGCCTTCTTAATGAGAACCGATATCTTCATTATTCACGCTATATCTGAAACAGAAAGCAGTACTGACAGCATCGCAGCAGGGGCACAGGAAGAGGGGCTCGTCCATGTGCGAGTAGGCGTGTTCGGACATCCGCGAGTTGGTCAGCTTGCCGCATTTCTCGCAGTAGGCCTGCTCGTTGACCTTCTTCCGGTAGTACTGAGCTCCGCCGAGGAGCATCGAGATGTTCCGCAGGGCGGCCATTTCTTCCTTCTTTCCTCGCGACTTCTTCGGTCTGATTCCGAAGCGCGCGAAGGAACGGCGTTTGCGTTTCGTGCTCGCCGTGTCCTTCTCCTGAAAAAAAAAAGCCCATTAATTTCGATTTTTAGAAGCATTCAGGTTAATTCACGAAGAAATCAGTTCTAAGGAATGTTCCAAATCGATTCTAAGAGACTATTTTTTGAAATTTTCGAAATATCTTGATCAATCAAATCAAAGTTCAACTGAAAAACTAAGAAATGAAAATTAATAGCACCGGATAAATGGAAAAGTTACCCAGAGCCAGTTTTTCAGTTTCAAGAGTAAAAAGATCTGTGTTTTGATAATATCAAAAGTTTTATCCGTGAAGCAAACTTTCCGTGGAACTTCACGCCAAAAAAAATCATGAACTTATTTCTCTGATTTTTCGCGAATAAATCTGTTTTCGGTAAATCGAAGTTATGGGAATGATCGAAAAAGGAAAAATTCAAGTGTTGACTGTTAAAAAAACATCTGTGACATATGAAAACGTAAAAACAAATTTTCGCTTTGATACCTTTTTGGGAATTCGCCTATGCTCCTTTAAAGGCGTCAGCAAGCTTTTCAAATAAATTATAGTTTTTTTTTAACGAATGAGCTGAATCTGGATAAAATCTACTTTTGTCTTCAATTTGCAATTCAGTGCTGCCGCTGACCTCATCCTGCTCCTCGTCGTTCTCCTGTTCGGGATCGTTTTCCTGCTCCTCGACGTCCTCCTCCTCGTCCTCGCCGCCAACGAGGTCCTTCAGATCTTCGATGCCGTCGTCGGAACTCGAGCCTCCGAGGTCTCCAGACGCGGCGTCGTCCAACTCGTTGGTCGGAGACACGTCTCCAAGGATCAACGCCGTCGTCTCATCGTACTTCTTGTCTTTCTGGAAAAGAAGAAAATAAGAAAAAGCTGGGAAGATGGATGACGAACAGGAATAGCAGCCGGGATCTTGCTGCGTCTTCGGTTGTCCTGGGCGAAGAGGGCCTGGAATCCGAAGCACGCTTCAGACATCTCCTTGACGTCGTCTTGGTATTCCTGAAGAAGTTCGAAAATATTGACTGTACTTTCTGCTCGTAAATTTGAAATCTACTTTTCGAAACTATTTTACACCTACAGAATAGTTGAACTTCTAACTGGTAAGACTGTAAAAATTTTGTCATAACGAATTTTTCCGAAGGAAAGCTTATCTATGTGTCCATGTGTGTCAGTTTCAAGCCAAACTTTTCATTTTCTTCCAAAACGAACCGCGATGCGATCCTCGACGTTGTCCTCCGAGTTGTGCTCTTTCTTGCCATGTGTCTGAACCGACTGGCTGCGGTCGTGTCCGAAGTCGCAGTACTTGCAAGTGTACCGGTTGATTCCCTTGTCCTTGGCCATGTGCCACAGGATGTGGAAACCGCGGATCTTAACAGCAAAAGGTGAGAAACTCCAATTTCGATGAGGTCCAACCCTATTTTGCATGGTCTTGCCGCAAAGTCGGCACTGGAGAGGATGTTCGTCGTCGGGAGTCGCGCGGGCGTTGCTCAGACTTCCGGCGACGGCGGCGGTAGGAGATCGGGCGACAGTCGGATTGTTGCCTGACGTCGTGCTACCATTGGTCCCTTTGGACTTGTTCGACTAAAGAAACACAAGCTTGTTTAATGACAAAAAGCCAAACGACAGCAGAAGAACCAATCCAACACCATTAGTAAAGGTTTCGCATACCCCAGGTCTGGTCAGAAAAATCAAACCATGAGCATTCCCATGTCAGTTTTTGTTTTTGTTTGAGCTACCCGAAAAATGAGCCCATAATTATACAGCCGAAAACTCGCCAAAAATTGCGCTTTAGTGAGAAAATGTTTCTCGCAAAAGTTGCCCTGACTAAGCGCTCTTCTGAATTATTGGAGAAACTTCAAAAACTTTTTTTTCAGAACTTGTCCGTAGAGCAAACTTTTACATAAATTTTGAGCTAAATTATTCAGAACTCATAAAAAAGAAGCATTTTACAACGTGAAAAGTATCCACTTCAAGGCATTTTTTCTGCAGTACCCAAAATTAACAGCAACTAAAAAAGGTATTGATGAACTGGAGGCCGAAAAATTGCCTGAATCTACGCTCTATGGATAAGTTAGACTAGAAATATTGTACAGAAGTCCTACTTATATAGAGCTCTCTTCCCGGGTACCCTTTTTTCAAATTAATGGAAAAAAAAAACCCATAACGCAATCCGAAAAAGAAAGAAAAACGTTGCAGTTATGAGGCGAGTCGCAGGAGGATGAGAAGAAGAAGAGTTAGTCGAAAAACTTACGCGATCCTTCTGAGCAGCGAGTTGGGCCTGATATGCGATCTCGGCCCGAGCGGCAGTTGGGCCGGGCGTGCTGCCGCTTTTCGTCCCAAGCAACTCCATGGACAGGTCCTGAATCACAAGTCAAATGGGTCCAAGGCACACGGCAAAAAGGAAGGGAAAAGCCCAAAAAGTCGAAAAATCAGCACTCCTTGCTTATTAGTTCTCGTTCAAAGAGTAAGAGCGGGAAATTGGGGAGAAACAACACAGCATCACGGTTTCAAGGTTCGGAAGAGATAGACGTGGAGAAGGGCATGCACAAAGCGTAGCATTACCAGGTCAGACTGAATGATTCAGAGGTGAAAAATGAAAATAGGTTCAAAACGGTATGATTGAATTTTGTCAATGGGGCGCAAAAACCCTCAAACCAGACCTATTTTCACGGCAGTTTTCTCTCAATTATTCAGCTCGATTAGTAGAAGCAAGACATGCAAGACCAACACAAACACAGGCACATTACAGAACGGATTTACAACACGAACCTGGGAATCGGCCTGGCCTTTGGAGCCGGCGCGATGGGCGACGAACAATTCGTGGTTGAGTTCCTGCAACCGACGAACACGATACCGACAACCACAATTTCATCGTTTTTTTTCTCTTAAGTCTCCTTCCTGTTTCCATCCTAGCCAGAGTGCAACATTTCTCCAGATGTACAACGGATTTACAGCGAGTTGCTTGTGCGTCACAAATAACGGTATATACAACATCCAACGTCTGGCCAAACGAGCAGAATTTTATTCCACTTTTTCATCGAGTAGTCGAACAATAGTGTCGAGTTATTCTTTTTAGTTGACTTCTTTTTGTTTCTCTCTATTGTTCGATATGCTTGCTTTTTTGTTGGTGTATGAAAAAACAGATAGGGGAAAAATGTGAAATTTGAGCTCTTATTGTAAGCCAAATTTCCGGTTTATAAATTGTGAAAGACGTTTAAAAAAAAGCTAAAAACTAAGAAACGATAAAAAGTGTGCTCCAGTGATAAAATCGCAAAAATTTGTTCAATTTTCCGTTTTTTAAAGCTCCAAATTTCAATAGCAGCTCTTAGAATTAACTGGAGAGACTAAAAAAACGATTCCAAACAAATTATTTCTCAGTTTACGAGAGTTTTATCGATGGAGCACATTTGCACGTCGAGCTCAACTTTCCACCTTATTTTTCCTCATTCTCTGAATTTTCATACACCACTTTCCCTACACTAAATTATTCAAATTCGATAAGCATTATAAAAATTAATAAGGCGTAATGAGGATCCGCGTTATTGGCAACAAACAAATGATTCGATAAAGTATGGAAAAAAACGTTGTGTGAGTGCACAAATTGACAAAAATATATATGTATGACTATAATATGAATGTGATTAGGGTGCAGGCAAAAATGAAAGAAAATGAAAGAAACATGAACCATCACCTTACAAACCGACTAGCGATGAATAACCGACAAGAGTTGAAATGGTTGGAACGAGAAAAAGGCAATAAATGAGGCATATTGATAACGAGATAAAAAAGGAGGAAGGAAAATCGGATTTATTCAAAAAGCTCAAGCATTCGAACCTGGCACTTTTGGAAAAGCTCCAAAGATCGGTCTTCCATCATTTCGGCGTCGATTTTTCCGTGCGCTTTGGACTGGTGATTTTCCATTTGGTCTTTTCGGTAGTGCTCTACGGCACAGCCGGGGAACTTGCAACGGAACCGGAAAATCTGTAATTTTCCTGTTTTCTGGGCTTCTTGGTACTGGGATAAGCTCAAAATTTATTTTCTTCACAAAATGGTTTTTTTTTTCTCACTCCTTTGGGAATTTTGCCTTTAGATTCAGTCCACTCCGACTCAGGGTCAGATTTTTCGCTCCAAAAAATTATCACTTGGAACAAACTCACTCTCAAATTTCAGTTCATGTTGTTTCAAGCCTGTATTATGTTCTTTCTAGAAGCTCTAGATTCAAGTGAACTCTTTAGGGTTAACAAATTACAAATATTATCGAAAAAAGGCAGAAGCTCACGCTTTCGTCCTTGGCCAAATGGAAGAACATGTGCATCTGACGAGCCCCAGCGGTCACGGGCTTCTGACATTTGCTGCACTCTCCGAGGACCCGCTTCTTCGAGATACTAGAAAAATTCGAGATATTCCCTCCAAAAGTCACTTTTCGACTCACTTTGAGCCTTTGATGCCCTTTCCAGAAGATGAAAAATCATCCAAAGACCTGTCCGCGTTTCCGAAAAGAGCCGCGACGTTGTCAAGAACGGAGCTGGAAATCAAGATTCAGTTTGAAAAACTTCAATTTTTTGGAAACTTTGAAAAATTAAAAAAAAAAATCTGGGACATGAGGAGTCATAACGTTGCCATCGAAGAAAATTATAAATTTCAGAACGTGAAGTTATAAAACTTTGAAAAGTATGGTCTTGGTTTGAAAGGTTATTTTAAAAAGACGAACATGTTTCACTCTCTAGATCAACAGTTAGAGCTTCGTAATGAAAGAATAATTCAAGACATCCCATTCTGAATCGACTTCAGTCCCGAACTCACATCGGATTGAGCGAATCGAGAACACTCTCGTCGGTCTGATCGTCGTCCAGGGCCGACCCGTCGCCGTCGTCATAGTCGTTCTTGGCTCTCTTCGCGCCCGCAAACAGGTTGACCAAGGCGCTGCTGGCGCCTTCCAAGGAGAAGTCGTCGAGGTTCAACTGCGGCTGCTCCTCTTCCTCGTTCTGGGCGGCGGCGCGGCTGATGCTCGCCAGGAGACTGTCCGTGTTGGTGGCGACGAGATCTCCGTTGCGGTCATTGTTCGAGGTCGAGGCGTGGGATCTCTTCCGCGAGGTCGACGTCGATGGAGCTGGAGCAGGTTTGCTCGACGCTGAAGTTCCGTTGAGGTTCAGCTGTCCATCGGCGGAGAAATCGAGAAGTTGGAACAACTGAAATCTTCATTTTGGCTTTTGTTTGATGAATGGTGGGATACATCGTTGGCGGTAGACGCTAGTTTTTCTTTCTGGGCGGAAGTACTGGAATCCTTGTTGGAACGGGAGGAGTTCCGGACAGAGGGAGACGAGAGAGTTCCGTTCATTGACGAGGTGGCTGCACCTACTCTCCTCGTCACAGACAGGGAAAGAGCCTGGAAAACTTTTTTATTATCCTCCTGAAACGAAAAAGAAGGTTTGAAGGTAACTTTTCATAGAAGTTGAAGCGTACCGGATTTCCCAAAACTATCAAATTTTTGACCAAAAAGCCTTAAACTCAACTTCCTAACCCGAATATTCTCCCTCTCCGTAGATTCATCTAACAAAAAATGTTCACCTTGTCCATGAGAATCTGAAGTTGTCGCTTGGCCGTGACGTTGTCCACGTAGATGAACTGAAAATCTCGGATTTCATTACAAGCCTTCTTTTGAAATCAACCTTGTTCATGTTCTTGTTGTGGTAGGAGTGCAAATGTTCGCGCATTTGGGCGTCGGAAGCCCGTTCGGTGAGGCAGATCGGGCATTGGAAGGGCAGCCAGTTGAGGTGTTCCATTTTGATGTGAACCTGGGTAATTGGGGGCTGGGTGAGGTGTTCTTTCAGGTAGAAAGGAACCTCCATGTCTTCGGAATTGCCTTTGGTGATTCCGCACTCGATACAGCTCAGCTGCATGCTCGGGGTGTTGTTGCTGATCTGCAGGGGTTCTGTCGGAAGCGACCGGTTTGAGGAAGAATCCGTCTGGAATGCTTACTCATTGATTCGACGATGTGAACTTGGAGATGTAACTATTATAAAAGCTGCCTTTTTTCAAAATGCTTGAAAAGTTGAAAAATTTTCCTTTTTTTTAAGCCTTCTTGTCCACAGGAATATCCTGTTTGAGGAAAAGAAATCGATCAAAACAAAGCTTCAACTAGACTTTTTTTAAAATTAAAAAAATTACTTTTTCAATCAAGAATTTATAACAGAGTCAAAAATTATTTCGCAAATTCAAAACCATGAAAAATGAACGTATGCTAAAGTGATCACTTCAATGATTTTTTTGTTTAATTTTTTTTTTTCGAGTTTCGACATATACTTTAATTTATTCCTTTATGTAAAGCTTCCGAAATTTCTCACAAGTACAAATCTAAACTATTATTTTCACATATTTCCAACCACTTTTCAAAAAAAAAAAAACCAACCTGGCTACTGTAACCGTTTCCATTGTGCCGATTGCTCAGTCGATTCGCGATATCCTCGATACAACTTTTGGTCGGCAGAGACGATATAGAAGACGGGGTTGAATTTCCGTTCAACATTCCTGTAAGAATTCGGATTTTTGATCTTTTTCCCATGTTTCAGAGCTAATTTATCTCTTTCTAAAATTTTAAAAATCGATTTCAAGAAATTAAACTTCAACTTAATGAGATGCACTTATTCAAAATCGATTTAAAAAAAGAAATTCAAAAATTTTGAAGAATATAAATTGCATCTTTCAAGGAATCTTATGCCGTGTTCATAGTGATTCCGCGAAATGCAAAATGGTCGTCAGAGAAAAAAAAAGATAACTGATTTTTGGAGAGTCAGAGATAATTTTGCATTTCGCGAAAATTACTTTGAACACGGCATTACAAAAAGGTAAGGCGAACTCGGAAAAAATATGAAAGATAGTATTTTTCTTTCCTGTCATAAATATTGCTATAAAAGCCGATGTTATTTTTCGAAAAAAAAAACCTGCAGTAGTGAGCAGTTGTTGCATAAAAGCCTGCTGAAGGTCGTGAAAACCAGCAATTTACAGGGAAAAGGAGGCTTCAGAATAAATTCTTCTAGAAACGATGATGTGGAATCAGTTTCGCATAGCAGATAACGATTCTGGAAAAAAAATGGTTCATAGACAGATTAAAAATTTCGTGACGTGAAAAAAAAAAGAACTGCCGCGACACGTGCGATTGAGAAATCGAAATAAACGAAAAAACGAAAAATTATAGACATTATAAATACCGTGTTCAAATTAATTTCCGCGAAAGGCAAAACTATCTCTGACTCTCCAAAATTTGGTTATCTTTTCCTTTCTCTGATGGCTGTTTTGAGTTTCGCGGAATCATTTTGAACACGGCAAAAGAAAATTTGGGAGAAAAAAAGTTAAGCACCCGCGTTGATATGAAGAAAAAACGGGAAATGAAATTATATTTGAAAAAAAGTTCGTTTTCAAACTTTCAAGATCTAAAATGAAAGCAGATATAAACCGCGACGAGATAAAAACAAGGAAACGAGAGAGAAATTGAAAATTCAGAAAAAAGGATTATCCGAGAATCTTCGGGGTACCAAGCAAGGGACAACTTGAGGGATTTTGGAATCCTCAAAGCCGATTTTGCGAGAAAACTTCGAATCAGTAGGAAATGTTCAAATTTGATCAAAAATGGTTCAGTATTAATAAAAAAAATCAGCGAATCAATAACGCACTTCAAAAAAAGTATTTTATTAATTTTGTTTCATTTTCAAAAATTGTCAGATCATATTTATTCTCCATTTTAGAACAGGGTAAATACTTCAAAATCGTGTTCCAAATGCTGAAAAACTTGAAATTCTACAAGAATAGATCAGTTCTTCCTCAAACTTTGATACCAATACATCAAAAGGTGTTACATGAGAAGAGAAACAAATGAGCAGGAGAGAAAAAAAGTTCGCATCCGAGTGTGGGAATGCGAACAAAAGGCGTCGGAATGTGCCACGATGACAGACGGACGTCGAGGCCGCACGAAATGAGAAGGAAGAAGAAGAAGAGGCGGAGGAGAAGAGCATCATCAGTTTCGGAGCCGAAAACGACACGAATTCAACAAGGGGAAATGAGAAGGAGACAAGATCTATGAATCGACGAAAAATTGGATGAAGATAGATTTATGGGACCAGATGATGAGAACAGCTTATATTTGGTGCAAGGGATGGACTGTTAAAAGCATCGGTTTGAAAATATTTCGCTCAAAAACAGAGAAAGCTTGGATTTAAATTTAGATCAATCAATAAAAAATTTGAACCTTATCACTCAAATCATGATCCGAAAACAAAAAAGGAAAATTGAAGCAAGTTATCATTAATGATCGGAGCGACTTCGTGATAAGAACATGATGCTTGAACAGAAAAAAAGTATCGAAACCTTAAGAAAAAAAACAGAAGCAAAAAAAGTAGAAGAAGAAGAGATGGCGGCCGGAAATCGGGCAGAGGCATCTGTGTGTGTGTGAGGAGCGGCGCCGTGTTGGTTCAGTTGTGAGTAACTGAGCGGGGCCTCCGTCGGCGCCGATTCCACCGTCGCAGCCGCCAACGCGGAGGCAAATCGAGGAGGCGATTCGGGGCCCAGAGAGACACACAGACGAATCCGACGAAGTGCACAGCACAGGTGTGGAGGCACGAAGGCCACGGGGGGCGGGACCGGCCGACGGATGGGATGGACTCGACGTCTGCCAGAAGTGTCGTCGGCTGGCGTCTTCTCAGATGACCATTCTAGTCTGACAGGTGAGCTCAAGGCGTTGTTGAACTGGTGTGAACGATGCGAACAGAAGTTGAAGTAGAGTAAAGACATCTTCAGAAAAAAGGTTGAAACTACAATTATGAGGCCCCAGCACGTCTCTCTGAAGCTTGACTTTGCGAGTCCGGCTCGAAAATGAGAAAAAACTTGACAAAGAGTGAGAAGTGTCAGGAGAAAGCTCAAATCTGACTGATTAGCAGTTAGCTTCGAAAATAATCATCTTGATGCTGATTCCTATTTATCTTTTATTTTATCTCATCCGAAAGAAAACGTATGGTAGATAAGGCATTAATACTTCTCGAACAGCAAAATGAGACCTTATTCAGGAGAAGTAAAAGCTGATGTTAGCGAGAACCAAAAGCCGAACTACAAAAAAAAGCCAGATTTCGGACTGTTTAGAGGAATCGAGGTCGTTTTTTCTCAAGAAGATAAGGAAGTTGCAAAAAGACTAATGGTCGTTTCTTTTGCAGCTGTAGTTAGGAACTGATAACCAGAAGATTTTGAGAGAAGCTCACGATCATGATGAATCCGCGTTTTTTCTAACAAGACAGAATGATAAAGAACCGGCAAAAATTCAAACTCTACAGAACTTCGACTTGAGGAATATCTGCTGAAAACGAACAAATGGAGAACAGAAACAGCAAGGCAGCGAATAGAGTGCTCTCGGGGACCCAAGTGCACACAACTGGAATATTTGCAGTGCTCTCCGTCTCTCCTGTCGACGGCGACGACGACTTTGACGTCGGCGGCGGCGATGATTCAGAAGTGGGCGAGGTGTTAACGTCTTCTGTCTCTCTTTCTTCCCGTGGGATACGACAACACCTAATTAGAGAAGCAGGTCGACATTATCCTCCTCGCACCTTTTTTGCTTGACGAAGAGGTGACTGCTTGTGAAAGTCCTGCAGATCAAAAACGTCAATCAATATTCAATTTTTGACAGGTTCTCTAGTGAGAAACTAAGGAGGCAAACCAAAATTCTTTCACTTTTGAGGCCACTAACACTACGCAAGTGATAGGCAATTAACGAAGAATCAAAAAACTTCTTTCGCCGAATTCCGCAACTTTTGGTTTTTGCTATCCATTGTTTCTTTGGAAAAATTCAAAAATAACAATAAGTGTTATCTGGAAGACTTAATAGAAAACAATAACTATTTTGCTTCTTTGGGACTTGACAGAAAGTCAGAAGAATTGACGAAAAAATGACGAAGGACACGGCGACGTTATCCCTGAACCTCGGCGTCCACCTCTTCTTCTTCCTCCTCCTCCTCTTCGACGGCCTCTCGTTTCTTGAAGGCCGAATTGGCGAAACGACGACATCTGGCCTTCTTTCCACTTCTTTCTCGACGTCGCCCGGGAAGAGAGACGGACGCCGTTCGCCTTCCCCGAAACAAACGTGTTAAGGTCGTCGGACGCCGATATTTCCTTGGGTTTCCCGATTGTTTCTGTTGCTAAACGAGGGTTCTGCTGAGAGCAACAGATAAACTCTCAGATAAGCAGTCAACAAGCGAAGGCGTAGACAAATTGAAGCAGGAGAATGGCTCTGCAGAGATAATTGTTGGGTACGACAGCCGGAGGAGCGGCAGACAGGTGCTCCTCGCATGTCAGCAAAGGTGGAGGCAGTTAGTTCCGAAAAAGGTCCAGTGGAAATGGTTTGAGAAATTGCGGCTTTCTGTTGATGCTTTAAAAAAACCTTCTTTTTCGAATTTGAACTAAAAAAAGGAAAAATTTCAGAATTCAGTAGTTGAAAAATTGAAACCTCAAAAACTAACGGAAGGTAAACTGTTCAGAAATCAAGAAAATTCGGAAAAAATGTTATTTTCTCAAGCATGCCATATGAAAAAAAAATCGATATGGTTAACATACCTGCAGTACAGAAGTGTCTACTTTGACAGATATCTTGTAACTCTGACCCCAATTCCCCAAAAAACACCCTCCTTGTCGTTCCTAAGTCCGAAAAGCCAAAGTCTGCCTTAGTCCGGCATCAAGCTAATTAGATGAATTGAGACTTGAAAACGACGTCTTCAAAGGCGTCGGGCCATCGTTAGGAATCAAGAAACAGCCGCAGACGACGTTGGGGTCGGTATGAAGGAAGGCATCGGAGAGGTTGAGGGGACGAACGATGCAAGTCTGCGATAAGAGCGGCCGAAGACGACACAGAACAGAACGTCAGGCGAGGCCGCCGCCGCGACGAAGCAACCCAAAGCGAAATTGCGCGGAGAATCTGTCGGCGTCGTGACGTGGAAGCCTCGGCGACGAAGACGGACGAAGGAAAAAGAGGAGTGGAGATTGATAAAACGGCGAAGCGCCGGCCGAGTCGGTGCTGCTGTCAAAATGCGGCGAGTCGGAGCAGATAAGGTAAGAATTCTGGCGAATGATAGCAGCCGTCAACGTAATCAAGCGCGACGACGACGTCGAGCTACAGTAAAAAGTCATTTCACATTGATTTTCTCGTTGAAGAAGTTGCGATGATAAGGTGGAGCTGAGACTTCGGTGATCAGAAGATTGAGTGTCAAACGTTTGAATTAAAATCTTTCGTTTGGAAGAAGTTGGAAAAAGTGGATAGCCCTTTTGTCTCTAGTATGATTATTTCAAAATAACGCGAACATGTCTTTAAAAAATTGAGCTCGAACTGACTGGAATCTGAGATTCAAAGCCTAAGCAAGACTAGGAAAATTTTTGCAATTAAAAATAAAAACTTTTTTTGAGCTTTTCAAGTTTTTTTTAATGGAATCTATACATTAATTATTATAAATTCAACTGAAATCATGTATTTCATTTTAAGCTTTGAAAAACCTCTGAAAAAAATCCTAGAAAAAAACAAAAAAATTTGAGAAAAAGTAAAAAAAGAAAGTATCAGCTGAACTTGAAATAAAAAGTACAGATCTATATTCTAAATTTAATTTCAAAATTGTTTTTTTCGCCTTCAATACTTGAACACACAGCTTCAAAACGCAAATCATAGCTTTCGAAATCAAATGAAGTGACCAAAAATTGATCAGACCAAACAAAAAAAAAATTGAAAACATAAATCTATGAACTTACGAGAAAAAAAAACACTGTTGAATGGAAGGATGAGTTTTTACTGTCGAATTTAAACTGAATAAAGTGAGAGGGAAATGAAAAAGGTAACAGAACCGCGAAGAGTCGAAGGAAGAGGTTTGCCGCCAAGATTATGTTATTGAAAAGAGGAATCGCGACGTCATCAGAAGGGGCACATACACAAGTGAGGTGATAACGAGGGCGGCTCCGCACCTCGTTTCCTCTCCTTCTGATATTCACTTCCAACAGTTATGACTACACGGGTTCCATGCATGTCCAACAGAAATTATGAAAAAAAACCTCCACTCGTAACCTGACGCTCCACAACGCCTCTTCTTCCTGGAAATAAACAAATTCAAATTCAATATTGTACCCAAAAGACGATAACCAAACGAAAATGAACGCGTAAGGGGAAATTAAAGCGAGCAAATTCAAATGAGGAGCCAGCAAATGCAGAAGGAAGGGCAGAAGACGTGCGGCGACGAATGGAATCGACGCCAAGAAGCCTCGAGAGGCTTCGACGGCCAAACATATTCATGACGGCCTACGTTCTCGCCGTCAAAAGAATAGAGAAAGAAGCCAGAAATGCTATCCCGGTCGCCAAGTGAGAAGAAAGGCATTTCGAAACAAAATCGAAAAGAATTTATTGAAAGTTAGCGATGTAGTTTTTTTATTCTACAAATTTTTTTGCTTAATTTCTTATCACTAATGAAGCTCTAGTTTTTTTGACGAAAAAAATGGAAAAATGTACTTTAAACGAGGGAAAACTTAAAAAAATGTAGGAAAAAAATGAAAAAAAAGGCGACGGCGTGAAAATAAAAAAAGTTACGGTCTGCTGTTGGCGTGCCAAGTTTTTTTGTGATTACGTCAATGAAGACTACAGTAAAAAAAAGGAAAGTTTTCGGGAGCGCAGAAGTTGAATTGGAAATGATAGAATTATAGTGATCCGGTGATTTTTCTATCCTCAAAAATAATTTAGCCTGTTTTTAAAAAACTAAATCTGCTTCGAATATTATTAACTTTCAGGACGTTCTCAGCGGATCATTAATTTTTTCAATCGTCACTGAAGTCATCTCGTGAGCCTTTCTTGCTCTTCTCAAAAGAACTGTTATGAATCAACTCGGATGGAATATAAGAGATGCACATTTAATCAGCGAGCAGAGCTCCAGGAGAAGTGAAAGCAGAAGAGAATGGGAGAAGACGAAGGGCTTTACGAGGTGAAAGCAAAGATGACGGGACGCCTCGTCGCGAATGTAAGACAACAGGTGTCGTCGGCTGGGGCGAAAAAGACGTCAGATGAGCTGCAGGAGCATAGAATCTCGCACAATCGGCTCTTCGACCCATGGAGGAGGCAAAGAATCCCCGAACGCACGCAAATCGGTGCCGGTAATTCCCACGCAGAGGCAGGTGCGGATCGCGCCAAATTAACGCTTTTTCACTCACTAACCAACAGAATCCCAGGTATACTTCGTTTGCCATGTATTGAAAGGCCGTGGAATATGTGGTCGGGAGGCTTTTTCGTGTGATATCAAACATATTTTATCATTTTGCTTACATCTAAAAAGTGCTTTAAAAATGAATTTTGAAGGTAAAGAAAAATTTGGAAGTTAGGTGTTATTAAAGGCAAGCCTTGGGGGCTTTGAACTAGATGGTCTTCCATAATAATAATGTTTATATAACTAATAGTTATATACAGGTATAACAAAACAAGCTCAATTTGAAAAGCGAACTTGATTTTTTGAACTTTGATTGGCGAATTGCCTTCCTTAGTTTTTTTTCTAGTTCATGAAATCTTTTTGGGATTCTCCGGAAGTAATGCGACACATTTTTGAATTGAAGCTTCAAAGTAAGTCAGAACATCGTGGAGACCGAAGTATAACACGAAGAAGTTAAGAAGGGAAGGCTTACAGTTACAAAAATAAATATTCGCGGCGACGGTAGCTCTCCTCGGAGCAGACTGTTTGTCTTGCTTCGACGACTTCGCCTTTCTCTCACTCACTAACTTTTTTGAATAGTTTTCCCTTCTTTCCTGGGAATCGCATCAATACAAGTGTAAACAGGGCAACAAAACCGAAACGTCAGCACAAAGTGTCATGGCACAATTTGGTGAGGCGAGGGAAGATAAGACGTGCTGTTCGTTTGGTTGAGCGATTCAGAATCATCGATTGACAGGAGGCGCGTCAGTTATTGACTCTGATTTTGGAGTGAGGTGAGGGGAAAAGCTAAAAGAAGTAAAAGTAGAAGAAGAAGAAGAAGAAGGGGGAAAACAATGTGGATCAGCGACGAAAGCAGCCGAGGGCCGAGGCTAAACAAAGCGAAAAGGACGACGGAGGGAGTGGAGTGGCGGGTGACGCCGTTTGTTCCTCTCACTGACGCCGCTCCGACCCACCGACAGCACGCCTCCGTCCTTCTCGCCGCACGATCACTCGTCTAGAAACCATCCGAGCAGCCTTCCTTCCGATGCTCTCGTGGCGACGATCAGAACGATGTGGTCAAAGAGTCTCAACAATTCAAATCTGCCCTAAAGTGGCTTCTTTTAAATTGGTTTCGTCGGAGTTTTTGAAGTTTCATTCGGGGAACGAGAAGTTGGAATCCAGGCTGATTTTGTCAGTTAGAGAGATTCAAAAACTTTCTTTTATTTTGGAAAAAAATCTTTTTTTTTCTTACCAATTGGATGAATCGAAGTGACGTTGAAAGGAGGAAAGGTTCAATCATTATGAAATGACAGAACAGATACACGGAAACACACAAACAGAACTCTCAAATTTCTCGATTAAAAAAACATTTTTTTACATCATTTTTCTTCTTCTCTGGACATTGAATATGTCAAAAAAATAAGATGGTCAACTTCAAATTTGAGCAAAAAAACTGTGTTTTGAAAATCTTTATAAACCATAAGGGTTTGAAGTAGCCGTAAAATGTCATCGAGATCTTAATTTTGTTGAAATTCCTTTTTTTTTGTGATACAAAAAAGTGGTTCAAAAAAACCATTTTCAAGCTTTTTCAATTTTCAAAGAAATCAGTGTCAGAAAATAAGGTAACTCCGCCCCTTTTGCGCTAAGAAATTTTCCAATTTTTGTTTGAAAAAAATGTACTTTAATCGGTTTTTTGTATTATAACTTCAGTATTCGATTACACCGAAAACTTCAGTTTTTTTTCCATATTTCTTTGAACCTTATGGGAATTGTGCTGTTCAGGAAGATAGTTGTGGAAAGAAGGTCCACTTATCACCAAAGTTCCCGATTAGACCTTCTCAATATCGGCAAAGGAGCCAGCCAGCTAGAGGCGTTGCTCCGAAGAACGAAGACCACTAATCCTTTCTCTGGGCAATCTTCTCGGGGAAGCCATTCACTCGACGTCTTCATCCGACGCAGATGCTCGTCGGACATGCATACACGAAGCCTTCAGACGGCCTCTGCTCTCTCTTCTGATGGCGTCGTGACGTGTATTCTGCACAATGGCCGAGGCGAGACAGTGGGCCGAACGCGGAGGGCGTCTGAGATAACCGGGCGCTCTAGAGGCACAGCGCGTCAGATGACATTCGACTGTGTGCTGACTCGCGTCCCACACTCCCGCAATACAACAGCCAGCCGAGCCCTCCGTCCGATTCCAACCGAGCAATCGATTCGGTCGATGGCTCCCCGTCGGATCCGTCCGACGTGACCTCTGGCAGATGCGAGACACGTCTGCTTCTTTTTTTTTTCTTCTCCTTCGACGTGGAGTCGTTGAAGAGGAATGAATCGAGTGAAGATGCAGTGGAGGGAAGAACGACCTTTGAAAGGGCCGTGTTGGCATGATTCTCGAAAATATTCTTCTTTTTTCGGTCGAGGAAAAGATATTTGATCTGAATTGACTTAGAAAAAAGCCTTCAAAAGGAAAAAACTGTCTTTTTTCAAGGTAGATATGATGACTAGAGTATGAATCAAGGGTGATAAGCCTTATTATCAGATAAGGTACTCTACTACGATTTTCAATTGGGTTGAGCTTCAGAAGGGAATTATTAGAATGATTCATGTCAGTTATTAAATTGTGATAGTGCAGATCAGAAGGAAAAATCTGTAAAAAAAAGCAATGAAAATGAGGAGCAAGTCAAAAAAGGAGATGATGGAAAACTGTCCTGTTTCAAAAACTTTTTTCAAAGGTCTCGGAAAAATGAGTTTTCATGCAGTGATCCTTTTGAGCACCTGGTTTTTTTTTCTATCATGATAGTGAACTATAAAAGAAGGCTAGAGCTGTGATTCAGTCACCCCTAGCTATAAAAAGAGGTTCTTATGCTGACTAAATTAAAAAAAAAATGAACAAGCCGAATGAATTTTATTTCCAATAATCACAGTCCGAAAAAGAAAAAAAGTTTATTTTTATTTTTTCGAGTTCCCTGATCTTAAATAAAACTTCTCAATACTCCCAAGCTCTCAGAAACGATCGAATTAGCATGAAACGAAGAGGAAGAACAAACTTATCAGCGAGAAACTTTCCCACGAGATACGACGACGGAAGAGCCAACCAACGTGGGCAACGTCATGCGACGGAGGCCGATTTTTTCGCGTCAACAACTCGCCGACGACAACGCCGACGACGACGACGATGCCGCGGCGAACGAAGGAGAGAAGGGGAAAAACGCGTGTGCAAACACACAGACACGGCCATCGTGGCGCTGAACCCCCGGGGTCAACAGATTCCTGGATTTCCAGAGGGATATTGTCGCTTGGGAAGTCTACTTTTTGGGATTCTAAATTATTTGATCTTCTTCTTTAAAAACTTCCGGAGAATATTGGTTCATCATTTATAACGGATCAAAATGTTACAGTTCAAGCCTTCAATTTTAAGCTGGCTTAGGAGTAAAAAAATAACTCAGATTTACATGAACCTCCAAGTTCTGAGAATTACTAGTGAATCATTTCGAAAAAAATTTGAGTTTTTGCTTGGTGGAAAAAAATCCAAAAGTTAAAAAAATTTATAGGGTTTGTCAGTTTTTTATCATCATCCGTTTTTTTAATTGTCTTTCTGACTGTAATTTTTTTATACAGTAAAAAAAGGTGATAAGAGTTGAATTTAAAAATGATTGATTTTGAATTTGCTACAAATGGGCTGGGAAAATTTTTAGTGGCCACTTTAGGGGTCAGTGGATCAACATAACTGGTTCAATCTGTTTTTTTTTTGAAACTATCAAAGTTACTGGAAGGAATACTGGATGAAAAACTACTGAAGTGGCCACTAAAACGCAAAATAGTGACCACTATAGAGTAGGGTTTAGACTAAATCGTTTAGTGGCCACTTTAGTGTCCTCTCCAATTAGTTCTTGGCCAGCCTCTATAGTGGCCACTAAAAACTTTCCCAGGCGCCTAAAATTGGCTTGATTATTTGCTTTGCAAAAAATCTTTCTTTTAAGATATCCTCTTCATCAATTCAGTTATTCATTTAATTTTGGTCTGTGCCTTTTTGGCTAACATGGTAAATGGAAATATCCGAATATCTCAGAACTATATTTGCCATTTTAAGTCATCATTCATCCAGGCTTCCAAACAGAACAAGGAGTTTTTCGAAAAGAAAAAAAAAACAGAAAAGCATCTGGAAAGAAGGGCAAATGAGGCGAAGTGGCGGAGGCACTCGAGAGGCGATAACGGCAAGTGCTTCCTGGAGCGGCCGAGAGGCGGCCTCTGCGACGTCAACGGCTTATATCGAACTTATCGGCCTCGAAATCGGCGGCTTCTGGGAAATAAAAAATGGCAAGCTTCTTCTTTCGCTTCGCCATGGCAACGGCGGGCACAGAATCCTCGCCGACGCCAGATAATTCCAGAGTCGCTTCGTTGGTCGGCTCCGACGCGAATGAAGGAAGGCAGGAAGGATTCGCGCGAGCCGTCGGCCACTCTCTCTACACACACCCTCGTGTTGACGGCGAGGAATTCAGATGGCTCCGCAGGCCCTTTTTTACACAGCGTCGCGTCGTCTTGCCGACAGCTTTTTCGCTGACTCGGCCCCGAAACCACCCGACACGCGTCTCATCGACTTCTCAGAGCAGCCTCGGGGCTCCTGGAGTCGCGAGCGAAGGCTTCTCAGACTTGCTGAGGAGGTTGGGGGAATCAGGGAGGGGAGTGTTGGTTCCAAATAAGGTAGAGGTTACCATTTACAGGAAAAACAATGTGTCCTAGCTAGAGGCCGGAATCGAAAAATGCTTTGAAGAAAAGCGTGTTTCTCTTCATCATCCAATCTTCGGAAAAAAAAAATTCCGGGAAAAGTTGCACTGGAAAGATTCGAACTCGCGTCATTGGTTCCGTACGCTAACTTGCTTACCGCTAGACCATACTCCACTAATTGAAATTAGGGAAAAAATCTGAATCCTTAACCTTTTCAAAAACCAAAGTTTGCACAATGGTTAGATACAGTAAGATTGGTAAATTCCAAGCAGAAAAGAAAAATGAAAAAAACTACTTCCTGTTGGAGAAAAATTGCTTTGTGAATTTTAAAAATCAGGTGTCGACATTTGTGAGCTTGCAAATGGGATATATCTGAAGCTTTCATTACCAACTAATTGAAAAAGTTGGAATTTAAAAAAGGGAATGCATTTTCTACATCAACAAACTCGCTGATGACTTTTTGAAGAAGTCGAGGTTCAAAGAAGCCTGTACACGTTGGAAGTGAAAGACTGACGGTCTTCGCTTCGATTGTCTCGCTCGCACGCTTATTTGCATTCTCGAACGACCTGAGAAGCCAATTCTGCAAACTCTGCGTGCTTCGAGTGCAAGAAGAAGCTCTTTTCGACCCAGTTGACGATGGAAACTCAACTTTTCTCTGCATTTTTCTGCGAAATCAAGCAAATAAGTCATTTTTCAGTGTTAATTCTAGATCGAGAAGAAGAAGAATAATAATTTGAAGTTAATTTCAGATTGCCTTCTGTTTTCTTTAAGACTCTTTACCTTTAAAACCACTCTAGTGATCACTTACAAAAAGAGGCTGAAATTCCAAAGTTGATGAAGGCAAAAACAGGAAAAAGACACCATTTTTCTCTTTTGATGGATTCAAAAAGTCGAAGAGTTCCCCCTCTCTCTCGGCGGGACATCTGTCCGTTGTTCCTCAGGCGGCGACTGGTTTTCCTTGAAGACGTCGGCGGCTCGACGTCTTCTCCTTCTGCGACGTCTTCGGCCGTCGTCACTTCAGACCAGTCGCCGTTACTCGACGATCCGGCCGACCGACGAATCGATACGCTCTATAATTCGCCGCGAATGGAGTCCCATGCAACATTTTCGACGATTCGACGAGGGAAATTCTAGATTTCGGGGTGGAAGTCAATGAGAAGGGGTCGGAAAGGGAAAAAAAAAAATCAAAACGCAGCAAAACTTCATCAGTCAGGAGTTGAATGATCTTTTCTGAAAATAATAGTCGTGGAAGAGAAAAAGATCTAATTAGAAGTTTCATAAATGTCTCTTATTGATCAGAATTTTATTTTTTGTCCAGCTCCGAAAAAATTTTTCCAATGGGTAAAGTCAAAAACTCGAGATTTTCAAAATTCGATTCTTTTTTCTCAATTTGCGGTGCCTTCCCAATGCTTTTATTCCACTCTTCATAACCTTGGAAGCAGAGGTCGCAAGATGCGCCCGACCTGAAGCGACTTGCGCTTTCCTGAAACTTGTGACCTTATTAAAGTGAATTCTGTGTCAGCCGAAAAGTTTCTCTAGACAAAACAAGCTTAAAAATAAGATTTTCGGGCAATTTTTGTGAACACAAAAAGGTAAGAAAACAAAAATAACATTAGGAAAAATCAAAGTCGCTTTTTTCCCGCTTCTAGGGGAGTTATCTGTCCATGACATCAAGAATTTGCGTCACAATCTTCCTACAGTCTTTCCTCAAGAAAACCCTTCAGTTCTTATTATCAAAGGACACTTGAGGGGCCAGAAGTGTGGAGAGGGCCGTCCGTCGGTTACACATCAGATGAACAGATGTGCGTCGGACGACACACGAGGTGTGCATCTGGGGAGAGGAAAAGGAGACACGGTGCGGCGGAGGGCGCCCGACGTCGAAACGGATTCCGCCGCCAGAGGAAACGAGACGAATTCAGTCGCTCCGTGCACCTGAACGCCATGGGGATATCTGTCCGACGTGCTCTGACGTCATTGATAATTCGGGGTTGCTCGAGTTTTGCGTTGAAGAGAATGTTAGAATCAGAGAACTTGGAAAAATGTTATATCTCCAATTATTTTTCTTTGTTCAATCCGTTAAAAAAATCGCTTTAATAACACAACTTTTTAATAAAGTCCTCGAGGTGATAATTTATTTTCAGTGTTAACTTCCGGTTTGCAACCTTAACAGAAAAAAATATTTTTTTACCCAGAAAAAAATAAATAATAAGCCTCGGACGAGGTCAAAAGTTGCACTGTTGGACTTGAGAAGCAACTGGAAAATGCTACGTTATGTTATTTGTATGTAGTTGGGTGGAGCTTTAACTGTCAATTTACAAAAACTCAGCAAGCTTTTTTTTCAATTCAAGCTCTCATTTGAAGTAGAAATCTTCGCGAACGTTGAAAAAAAAAATCCGAAAAGTGATTTTTCACAAAATCCACGGTCGTTCTTCTCTGAAAAAATCAAAAAACGTTTTTTTTACGGTTTTTGAAGGTCTTTGAAGATTTTTCAAATGGAAGCTTCAAAATTGGTGTTTTTCATGAGTTATTCGTAGGATATTTTTTTGCTTTCAATATTACATTTGGTGTTTTATTCGCCCTTTCTGGCTGTCCAGCGCAAGTCTTGCATGACTTAATAACAGGGAAAATGACTCTTCGTCTCGAGACCTCTGAATGTACCTTGTGCTCCTTCAAAAGCTTTCTGAGAATTTTTAAACTGTGAGAACTAGAATCATTTTCCTTCAACCTTGCGTAAAAGAAGCTTCTGATGACTTTTTTTTACCTGTGAACCCTAACTTCCCTTCAGACACCGTCTCCGATTCGGAGCCACAAACGACAGAAACTGACTTTCGAGCGATATATCCGAACAATGGCGTTTAGCTCTCGTTCCTCGGGGCTCCACAAATAAACCAATCTCCTCACTCGACGTCGGGATTCCCTCCACGACAACGCCTGTCTGTGTACACATCGGCAGCCGTCGCACGGCGACTGAATCCAGTCTCCGCTGAATGCGAAACGGGGTGCTGAAGAAAAGGAGCTCCATTATGGGGAGCTGCTTGTGGCCCGGAATCGAATATTGAGGGCTGGAAATGTGTTTCTAACTTTGAAGTTTGTGTTTGGCGATTGAAGCTGAAAACTGGAGAAATTGAGAAGATTCCTCTATGTTGGTTTTGGAAAAACGTTTCAGTGATTTCTCAGATTGGGAAAAGTTCGTAGCTTCAAATTTTGATTTCTGTCATTTTAGACAAGAGGGAATTCCCATTTTTCAACAGGTTTCACGACGAGAAACCCTTTTCTGACAAGAGATTTGACATTGCAGTTGGGATTTTTTTTCTGAAAATTGGCCAGAACGCTCCTTGATGTACCAGTAGAAGTTTCTGAAAGTCTCAACCTGCATAAACTCCTCGTTTTTGAGAAGCGACGCATTAAAGTCAAAGAAAACCTATAAAAATATGGTATTTTGGGGCTTTAGGCCCTTATTTCTCGAAAACTGGGAAGCTTTGCAGGTTGAGACTTTCAGATTTTTCTTCTAGTACATCAAAAAGGGTTTTGGCTAATTTTCAGGTAATTCCCAATCGCAAATTAAAACTATCTCTCTTGTGAGTAAATTGAAGATAACTCCGACTGATGAGCTTTAAAAACCCCATGATCCTGTTTGAATCTAATAGAATCCTAAAAACTTTTTCTTTTCTAATAATTCTTGCCAATCGTGACCAGACTCTCTCTACAATGGTCTCAAACGAGCGGCAAACGAACCAAAATGCCAAACCCCTCGAGTGAGCACTTGGAGAGACGCTGTAGCTCTTCCGATAATCGATAGCCGTGCAACGGAATGGAGCACGACGGCGTTTGTCGTCCTGCGACTGTGCAAACTATTCGCTTGTTCTAGGCTCTCTGGCGCCCTCCTCGCTTCACGCGCTCTCTCTCCCCCGAGGACTTCACCTAATACGGTCGCCGTTCATCAACGTCGACGTCGTCACAGCGAAGGTCGATGCGAAATAAATAGGGGACCAGATCGTTTTCCACCGAAAAAACATCGGCTCCCGTGCGAAATCGGGGTTTTCGAGAAGGGATGTTGAGCTGACCCAGAAGGTTTCGAATGTGAAACTTTTTAAATCTTATTTATTTGTTGACAAATGATTTGTTTCCGCACAAAAGAGCTGAAAATCAGATTAGAATTTTTAAAGTCCGCAAAATTTAAGAAGTCAACATTAAAGTTGAACTAGAAAAGAAATTTTTATAAAAATTATCTTTTCACTCAAAAGCGGAAGAACTAATGAAAAATTGTGAAATCTGTTGGACCGTTTAAGGAAATGTAATGAAAGAATGATTAAAATAAATATTAAAGCTCACAGAAATTGAAATCTAACTAAAATAAATATAAACTGAATACAATAAAGGATACCCAGAGAGCTCGAAAAATGAGAATTTCAAAATGCCAGGTTCATACTTTGAACATAAACAATACATGCTTTGAAAAGAAACGAAGATTTCATGTTTTTCTTCTAAACAATCAAAATCCAGCTTCAATTTGAAAGCTCCAACTTCGTCCTCTTCAAACTTTTCTTTTTTCTTGAACTTCTGTCCAAGATTCAGACTCTACACCTAGACTACACGACAGCTTTATCCCGTCGGACACTGCTCCGAAACTTGGAAGCGCTTCTCCAAACTGGAAAGTGCTCATCTGCTGGCTGCAGGTGTGCACTCGGCGGCGCCCTCTGACGCCTTTCTGACTGATTACATCGGCGGAGCTTATCAGCGACGGAGAGAGCACGGCAAACGTGGAGAGGACGCTTCGCAGAAGTCGTTGTCAATAAAACAAGAATGCGGGCCTGAGGCGATCGAAATCTCTGCAGCCGCCAGGAGCTTTTGAATTCTGGGAGGCTCGGGGGCTTTTCTACCTGTTAAGGGAGAACCGAAGCAATCAAAAAATTATGAAAAACTGGTCTAGAAATCTATTCTCAAAAAATGAGCTCAGCGTAATTTTTGGATTTTGACAGCCTCAAAATTTTTCACAGGTCTTGGAGGGCAACTTTTGAACACAGGTTTGGAATCGGCATGAAAATTTCATCCATTCTCTCAACAATAAGTTATAGCTATACTAAAGAACTCCTGATTGTAGTTTTTTGAAGATTTTGGTTCACGGTACCAAAAAAACCTCCCCTTAAAAGAACTTTTTCGGCTCAATTTCAAGATCCGAACAATTTATTACAAAATAATACAAAACCTTGCGTTTTCTTTAATCTGAATACTGGACGTCCCATTCAAAAGGACAAAAGTCGGGGTCGTTGACCGGTTCTCCAGCGAAGCCACGTCCGAGCAAGCGGCATCTGACAAAGAAAACTTATTGAGCTTAGGGTTTTCTCGGAATCGGTCATAACATTCTCCGATGTCCCGGGACAAGTCTTTTGAAGTTCCAACTTGCTAAACTTCTAGGTTTTGAATACGTATTTTTCCTCAAATTAACCAAAAATTAAAACAATTTCTACACAAAAGGTTCAATTTTTTTTAAGATCACATTGAAAGTAGACTTCATTCAATTTGGAGCACAGAATTAAACATTAGGTTTTTTCGGTATTTTCGCTACCGTAACCCTAAAATTTCTTATGCGAAGCTTCCAGAGTCTTGTGCGGTTATTTTAACCACAAATCAGAAGACTCAATCTAAAAATCTCGTAGCAAGGGTTCTTCGCGTTTCTGGGAAAACGTGTGTTAAATTGAACAGTCTAGGGGTCTGATACCTAATGGTACCACGAGGGTACCTTGCCAAATTTTATAAAAATGTGATAAACTAACGGAATACCATTCCACGCTTTCGGTACGTACCGAGAACGATAAGCACAACTACACTTGAAATAAATGAATTTTACATTATCATAATCCAGGTATGTGCTCGGTATTCTTTCAATACCTGTCCCCGATACGTCTTTCCAGGGTAAAAAAAAAATGAATCTGAACCTCATTTCGTGAAGTCTAGGCCAGGCGGCGTCGGCCGAAGTCGTCTGCTTGGGATCAGACCAAAGCCGTTCCGCGACGGCGGAAGCCCGAGGCCAGAGACGCTGAATGAGGTTGGTACTGTCGACGAACTCGCCCCAAAGCGCCGCTTCTCCTCCCAACACGCGGTCCTTCAAATTTTTTTTTATATTTTATTCTTTTTTTTTTGAGGAGCCTGACCAGCTTCTGATGTTTATTGTCTCGTCGCCTAGCGTATGCAAATTATAATTGCAATTTGAAAAATACCCTTTGGAACTATCTATTTTTATCTTTTTACAATGTAATAAACTTGAAAAACTCTTCTTATTTCTAACCCGGAAGCGATTATAAGAACTGACAGTTTCTACGAAGAAATGAATAAGAAAACTACTGGAAACGGAGATTTTGTTGTTTTATCGGGATTAACTCCTGGATAACAAGCTTTGAGGAACCTTCTGCGCCTGGGTTCCGGTGAAGTTCTGCGGATCGCACTGATAATACATTCCACGGTCCCTCATGTTCTGTTCGTTGACGTAGCCCCAGTCGGCCCCATATTTTATGTAGTTGAGGTACCTGTAAAAGCACGGGACTAGTTCTTAGAATTGAGAATATCAATGGAAATAAAGTGCCAAATATCTCTTAATGTGAAGAGAAACGTTTAAAAAAGCGAAAAACATGAAAATTGAAAAAAAAAAACCAAATATTCCTCCTCAAAAGCTTCAAAGTTTCTTTATTCTATTTCTTTATTCCCCTTTTGAATGTTTTTATGACCACTGGCTCAAAAAATTATTGAAAATGCTTATAAGTTTATATATTTCACGGGTTTTGCTCATAATAGACGAATCTCTCAAACTCTCCTGATAAACTTTAACCTTTTTGGCTATTCAAAAAATGATGGGATCTTCATGAAATTTGTAGGAATTTTTATCAAAATTCGATCCTTTTTTTAACTCTCAGTCATTAGCTTCCTATATGGTCCGTTCGCTGTGACTTGAAATTTTTCGAGTGTCTGCGTCTCTATTCTCTCTCCGGTCAGAGAAACACGAAAAGAGCACGTCAAAAGGAGAGCGTTGACTAGAGATGAGGAGGACGCAGAGAAGTCATGTCCGAGTCATTGAAGAGGAATGCATTTTTATATTTGCTTATAACTTTGAATAGAGTCTGTTCGGATTCTTACCAGCAACTCGACAAAATCGCCTTGTGGTTCATCGTAACGCTGGCCATCTCCTGCATAACTTCGTCGAGAGTGTCTCCTTTCCAGACGTGGGCGATCGAGTCAGTTGCCTCAAAACATCTTCTTCATTTATTAAGGACGTTAATTTCAAACCGGAACATTCATGTCCAAAACTTCTTGCCAAACGACCTTCTTAGTGCCAGCTCTCGCTTTATCAATGATACCGAAAAGCCTGAAAAAATACAAGAAAACAAAAAATTATTTTAGGAACGTTAGAGTGGTCCCTATAGGGGCCCTTGAAGGTTCTCTCTAGGTATCACTTTACCTCCCTTATAGGGGGAGTTGAAAGTCGCAAAAGTGGCTCTCATCAATTTTTTTATCGAATACGTCTTTTTCAGATTTGTAAAAATTAAAGGTCACTATAGGTATCCCTTAAGTCAGATCTTGAGCCCCCAATAAAGACCACCTGAATTTTATCCCTATAGAGAGCCTTTTTTGCCCCTTTCACAGGCTTTTTTTAAACCTTTGACCAAATTCTTTCAGGAAAAATTCAGGAAAAAATGAAAAAAAAAATTTTTTCTCCGTGGAGCACTCTTGACAACGATTTCAGAGCCTAAACAATTTTTGGCAGTTTTTGTCGAATTTTCATTGGATCATTTTCACAAATTAATTCTTTTAAAGCCCACTTTTTCCAGTAATAATTGAGCAAGGCGGAAGTATCAGACCCCAGGCCCATGTCCGACATTCTTTTGCGAACATCTTGATTGTTATACCTCAAATTTCCCAACTTTGAATTTTAATCTCTAAAAAATATATATTACCAGCATTCCCTCATGTCGTAGGCCACCTCATCGCCACCGAAATGCATGTAATTGTCTTTGAAAAGGGCCAGAGCTTCCTGGAAGCCATTCGGAATGAATCTCTACATGATTTTTATGGAAACCGTGAAGAAGTTTGAGAGGAAATCATAATTGGCCGGGATGGTGGCGTCGATGATGTTGGACATTTCGGAAATGGCTCCATTCGAGTTGTAACATTTGCTGGCGAGGTTCGGAATCGAATAACTCCACGAGCCGGTGTGGCCTGAAACCGTCCCGAAATAGAAGAAAAAGTTGATTGTATTTAGAAATATCGATATAAATAAATTGCCTCGGACCACAAACGACTTGCGCGGCGTGAAATCTATGGATCGGCAACATTTCGAAAGTCCCAAATTTTCAACCGAAACGCGTTAAGCCATTCTACGTGCGACCAGGATTTTTCTATTTGAAGTCGAAAATTGGAAGCTTGCTGGGAAAATTTTTAGTGGCCATTATAGGGATTTGACGTTTAGTGGCCACTAAAGTAGTCAAATTAGTGGTCACTATAGAGGGCTAAGTGCTTCTAATACACCACAAGACATTTTAGTGGCCACTTTAGGGGTCAATGGATCAACATAACTGGTCCAATTTGATTATTTTGAAATTATCAGAGTTACTGGAAGGAATACTGGATGAGAAACTACTGAAGTGGACACTAAATAGCGAACCTCTATAGTGGTCACTAAAAAAATTTTTCCCAGTATCGAAACTATTCAGAACAAAGAAACTAAGACATTAAAAAAAATTATTTTTCATTTTTTTCACAGATCGTTCGCATTCTTTTTGAATAACTTTCCACCGCATGGGACACTTCATTTTCTGAATGAAACAGTACTCTTAGCTAAAGTTTCTATTTTGGTAGTGTAGGCCATGAACAAGTTGATAGCAAAAGAAAAAAAAGTGAATTACAAAATTCTGAATTATAAAAAAACTTCAATTCTCAGTTTTTCTGAAATGAAAAAAACGTCGAAAAATAAATCTCTGTAAATTGGAACTAGCTTTCACATTCCTCTTGACCAAAAAAAAGTTTTGAACTTTTTTTTCGCGCATTTCAAATTCGAACTTGAGTTTTTTTTTATCCTTCTGAACATTCAAAACAGTTTTTTTAAAGCTCTCAACTTATTCAAAAAAATTGAAAAAAATCGTTTGTGTGAACTTTTGATTCACAAAAGAAAACCTGGGGTGTCAAACTCTGGAACGACTCGAACTCCTCGAAGTCTGGCGAAATCGATGACGTTTTTTTCATATCAGCGACAGAATACACATGTCTTGGAGAATAGGCGCCCTCAAAATTCAATTTTCATGTTTAAAAAAGAATTTATTCAATAACTTTCTGTGAAAGCTGGGGATAAACTGTAGAAGTGTAGGGGAAAGCCTCGGAGTCGACCAAATGCCAGTGCAAAACGTTCATCTTGTTCATCGCCATGATTTCCTGAAATAAAATCCTTTCTTTAGAATATTCCAAGACTAACGATATTCTGAAGGATCACGCCGACGGGGAGAAAATGCCTCGACGAATCTATCATAATGCCTCGATGCGGAAACCGCGGCGAGTCGGCGATTGAGGCAGCGCGGACTCGGAACTGAACGTGCAAATTTTCATTCAAAGGATTCTTGAAAGCATGTTTATCATGTCAATAAAGGTAATACTTTCTGAAAACTAAGTCTTTAAAAAAATTAAAAATTTAATAAAAAACCGAAGAAGTTAGGGGAAGATCAAACCAGTGGTAAGAAGAATTGAGGCTCGAGGAGATCTTTTTGCATTTTTAGAGTATTTTGAGAAAAAAAAAAGCCTGCTATAGTCTCTCATACTGAAATTTGCTATATTTCCATGAAAATAACCTTGTTGTCGTCGGGCAAATAAATCAACTGGCTGAAGGATTCGAGGCCTCGAAGAGCGCCCCAAACTTGGTTCGCAGTGAGAGTTGCGATCGCTTTTCCTTGGGTGACAGAAAGCTGGTCTGAAGAACTCTTTTAGTTAACAAGACATGAAAAGACATTTTGATAATTTTATAGATTGATCAAAAGCTCCAAAACTATCAAGAAATTGAAGTTCAAAGCTCTCTTCAACTTCAATCTTATTAAAAAATTTGCTTATTTTTGAGTTCTTGTTCTTATTTCAATTCTAACTTTCCACCCAATATATTCCGGGTTTCCGTTTAACATCATTTCACTTCAAAACCCACAACTTTCGTCCATTTCCAACTGCGGATAGCCCTGATCGCATCCTTGAGCCACGGTTATCACCAAACTCGTCAAAGTCGCCGGCTGATCCGAATAAGAAGCGGCCTTATAACGAGGAAAAAGGAACTTTTTCAGATATCTGGCTGTCGCTTTGTCAATCACGTCGCATGCGCCGACCTTCAAGTTTTATTTTTAAACATTGCGCCAAAGTTCAAAAAAAAAAAAGACAACCTTTGAGGTGAAGTAAAAGCTAGCTGGGTTGATCGTGTGGTTGTACGAATCGTAGGAAATCGTCCATGGCAGCGGCCAAACACCACCTCTGAAAAAAATAATAGAAGAAAAATACGAAAAAAAGAAGTAGTACTTCAAAATAACGACACAAGATTATCAAGAAAGCTTAAATTTCAATTATGCCTAAATTTGGAAAAAAGTCTAACTGGTAAGATTTTTAACGTAGAAAAATATATTTTTAACGTTTCTTTCATTGAAACTAATCATTTATAGTAACTAAGCAGAAGCTTAATATTTTAAAACAACTGATTGAACACAATTATTGATTTAGAAACATGCAAATGATTTTTTTTCTTTCCGAATTGCGCACAAAATTATTGAAAACTATCTCTTGTCGTTTTACGAAATCCGTTAAGTCTACACGCAGGCGTAAGTGCGTACTTTGACGCCCAACTTTTCAAAAAGTTTTTTTTTTGGAAAATATTCTAATTTTTTTGGTATATCTCTTGTCTATTTTATATTAACCAGTTTATCCACAACCTCATTGAGAAGCCTATCATCCGTCTTTGCCTTTTTCTTGTTATTCTTTTTTATTTCTGATCAAAAATTACTCTAATTAAAAGTGGAGTTTAAAATTTTACGTTGTGCTGGAGCCCGGATCAGGTCGTCCATAGTACCAGCCGTTGACGACGACGGTCAAAGCAGCGAGGAAAACCAACTTCATGCTTCAAAACTGCCAGAAACACTTGTCGTTATCAAAATTGGCAATAAATGATAAGCCTGGATTGCAGCGTGTTCGCTACCAAACAGGACTCGTGGAGTGCTTTCGACCTTTGATGTGTGATTTTGATGTAGCAAAATTTTTTGAAAATGAAATTTCAAGCGAAAAAAGGCGTTTTTAAAAAAAATGCACTAAAAATTTGCCTACCTTTGTATTGGACAGAAAGAACACTTTTCGATTAAAGTTTTATGTACATTTGTTAACAATATCAAGCAGTAGTTTTTATTTTGGAACACGTACGACAGCAAATATCTTGAAAATGCTTCGAATTGCAGTAGTGTTTCAATTTCGACTTGGAATATCGAGAACAAGTCTTGGCGTTCAGATCCTTGCAGTCTGAAATCAAAAACTTTTATTTTTCAAATTATTCGGATTATACCTATCCATTTCTTCGGGTTCTCAATGCATTCCCCAGCGATGCACCACTGAAACGTTTTTTCCTTTATCAAAAAAAGGAGAGAAAATGAACCATATTCCTCGCACATTCGGTTCCATCAAAAGCGGGGAAATAAGTGAGAGTTTGGCAAGGCTCCGATCTTTTCAGTCGACGGTCTTTACACCAGATTCGTTTACAAATGGGTCGACCGTGGTAGTACTCGTTATTCTAGAAAGGAAAAAGTTCAAGAGTTTCATGAAACATTTATCAGCGTATACTAAATAAGTCGGATCTACCTATCTCGCCTTTCAAGTCGGGAAGGAGGATCGACTATATAAAAAAGAAACTTTTCAATATTTTTTCTCAATTATCTTAACCCTCTACTAGAAAACCAGTGAAAAACAACCCACAGGACACGCTCCAAAGTTCGGTCCAAAGGCAATTTGACATTGCTGATGCAGGGAAACCATTTCACCCGGTTTTCTGAAAGATTAAGTATTGTCTAATTGTTACGGTTCTCAATTTAGTTGCAAAAAAAACGAGAGTAAATCTGATAATTCATGATTTCGAAAATGCAAAAATAAAAGACACACTTGGCAAAATCAGTGTGGACCTGGGACCGATTATTCTGCGAGACAGGCTTCCATTTTCGGATGCAGTTGACAGTTGGCTTGCTGTAAAATTCAATGAACAATTTTATCATGAAACACAAAAAAATCACATTTATATTTTCCCTCGTTAAATAGAGTTTTTGTGTATTTCTCTTCAGTTTCATCATTTCTTTCTTAAAATTCAAATTTTTTATAATCTGATTTGTGAATTAAACAGTCTACGTGAAGTAAAAACACGATTATCTCATTTCAAAACTCCTCCTGAAGTAGGAATGGTCGTTCCGAGGCCTACGGCAGAGAAGAAGCTCGGTCATAGCAACGAGGAGGACAAGAAAAAGGTGCCGTTCTTCTCGAAATTTGCTTATACGAAGACTTTCCAAGGTTCAACGATGGCTGGAGGCGATTATATTCCGTTATTTCCACATTTGGACGCCAATCAACTGTCAGGGAATGATCAAATCTTATGAAATCGCAGAACTTTGTCTCCGAGCTCGAGAGTTCTTCTGGATGAATCGGCTTTACAGAGAGGTATACTTCCTTCTCAGTGGTTCCTGCTTGGTTAGGGCTTTCTATTTCCAGGTAGACGTCCCAGTGAAGATAGTCGGGGACATTCACGGGCAATTCGAAGACCTCCGACACATGTTCAACATGAACGGCTGGCCGTTCAGTGAAGATGAGATCAAGGAGATGGGCAAGAATCATTACGGAAGAGTGAAGCTCGTCGACAAACACGTCACCAAGACGTCTTTCATTGGTTCTGGTTATTTTGAGATCATGAAGCTTCAGGTTCCGACTTCCGATTCAGTATGGATCGCCTGATCGACACCCTGGCCCCAGTCACTATCTCTTCCTGGGAGATTATGTCGATCGTGGGACTTTTTCTCTGGACGTCGTTGTTTTGCTGTTCGCTCTACAGGTTTTCTGAATGAAATTTTTTTATAATATTTATTTTGCCTCCTCAAAAGGGACTTTTAAATTCTGTCGTTTCCGTTTCATTTTTGTAATCTCTCAGGACCTTTAGACACTTGAAAACCCTTGAAAAATCTCTGAAGTCTCTTCCAGCTCCGCTACCCAGAACGAATCACACTCTTACGAGGCAACCACGAGTCTCGGGCCGTCAACAAGCAGTACGGCTTCTACAACGAAGTGATGCGACGCTACAGCGAACACATCTACGAGATCTGCCAGTTGCCCTTCTACACGATGCCTCTCACAGCCATCGTCAACAAGCGGATCATGTGCATGCACGGCGGCATTTCTGAAACCCTGCACGACTTCAAGCAGGTCAGCACTGTCAGATAAGCCTGGGAACTTGATCAACTTCAGCTCGACAACGTCATGCGACCTTTCGACATCCCTGACGTCGGAATCATAGCCGATTTGACTTGGGCGGATCCAGATCCCAGCGTCGACCGATATCAGGACTCGCCTCGCGGCGCTGCCAAAATCTTTGGCGTCAAGGCGGTTGAAGAATTCTGCTCCCATTTCGATCTCGACCTCATTGTTCGAGCTCATCAGGTCAGTACTCTCACCAGGATCTGTATTAAAACGGACTTGAGTGAAACGAAGTTTGTTTCAGGTAGTACAAGACGGTTACGAGTTCTTCGCAAACCGACGTCTTGTCACAATTTTTTCCGCGCCTTACTACTGTAGCCAGACTTTTAACGTTGCTGCCGTACTTCATATATCCAAAGACATGGTGAGAGAATCAGAAACATTTGCGTCCCTGGATCGAACTCCTGAATAATGACTAGGTCGGCTCGTTCTCCCTGATGAAGCCTGTCCAAGAGCTCAACTCTCATAGCAAACGGCAGCAAAAGAAGACGGCCAACGTCGGTCCCACCGCTCCGACGCCCATCGCGACGACGCCTGTCGACAAGGACAACGACAAGAAGACGACCGGAGACGGCGACGGCAAGTCCGAGGAGGAGCACTAGAGCAGCCATTTTCCCGTTCAATTGTTTTGTCACAATATTACTTTCTGTTTGTAGTAACTAATTTGACTGATGTCGGATAAAGGTCTCCTCAATTTTCCCTTTCAAACTAAATCTCAGACGATTGCGATCTTTTTTGTTCTGTGAAATTGGTAACTTGTCTCTCAAATTCAAAAGCATGTCCTCTAAATATTCACTTGTTTCGTTAGCGCGCGTTTACTTGCCGACTTTCTGCCTAAAACTACCTACCACAGAAGTTTGGACCAAGCTGGCGTTTTTCACTTGAGACACTCCCCTCTTCAGTAAAACCCAGGAATTCCTACTTGAAGTTGTTCAAGATGGCGTTCACGCTGCAAGGACTCATGGTCCGACTGTTGGCGAAGAGTTGAGGCCGGTCACTCCCAGAGACCGCCGAAGCCATGAGGAAGTTGTCGTTGGAGTCGCAGTCGGGAGCCTCGCCGGCGCCGTCGTGCACAGCTCCGAGGCTGAAGTTTCCGTTTTGAATGGATCTGGACTTATCAGTTACGAGTGTCCGAGCTCGTGAGCTGCAATAAGAGCCGTGGCAGAAGCGCCAATGTCCTCTACGACAGAACTCGAGTCGCCGAGCTGGCAGATGTTGCCGACGTAGGCCATTCCCTGCGTCGCCGAGTGGCCATTTGGCGCCAAAAGGTCGAACCTTCAAGTTTATAATATCTTTTTAGAGTTCTCCAAAAAGCTCCATTTAGAAAAAAAAAGAAGACTAAAATTAAATGAAAAAAACGGGAATTTTTGAGTGTAGAAGGCACAGAAGGACTATTCGGAGAGGACACTAAAGCGGCCACTAAAACCACCGGTCACTACTTTGCGTCTTAGTGGCCACTATAGTAGTTTTAGGGGTTTATAGTACTACTCATAATTTTATAAAGGCCACTAATCTTTAGCCACTTAATTGAGCAGTAGTCAAACTACTATAGTGGCCACTAACTACCCTAAAAAATGCCCCAGTTTGTTCAAAAAATAATGTATGAATCCCCCACTTTCAAGTTCAAGGTACTGACCTTACATTTTGAAATTACTCTTTGCAGACTTATCAAAATCCTTAACTCAATCAATTTTTTTTGCAAAAGTCAATACCCTACTTAGTAATCAAAATGGCGTGGTCATGTTTCGGCAAATATCCCGCATGTAGTTTGATCCATGACGTCAGTCGGTCAATCGCTTCTTTCGAGTCCATCGAGAGGGTCATGCTGAAGAATGTTTGTCAGTTCTAGCCTAAAAGAGTGTCAAAACTGAAAAATTGAAATTTTCGCGCTTCTCCCAGGGGTCTTTTGAACTCATAACTCACTCGGTGTTGTTGAAGTTGCTCTCCAAATCTTCCAATGTAGAGGTCTGGACGACGGTTTCGTTGCCATACAAGGTGTCTGTCGAGTTGAAAGTTTCGTTGGAGTTCGACAAGGAGTCCAGATCGATTCCGGCCACGGAACTCCATAGAGGACAGTCTTCTTCTCTGAACTTAGGGAACTTTGGGAAAATCGCTAAACGGTCAGTTATTCGAAATTTTGCACAGTATACTGTCATCGTTTCAACTTTTGACACCGTGGTCGCACTTGGAATGGCTAGAAGCGTAGCTGTTTTAACAGACTGATCTGATACTTAGGAATTTAAGATCGGTCCCTATAGGGGTAAAATCAAGGTGGTCCCTATAAGGGTTTAGGGTCTGACCTCTCAGTCCCCAAAGCTCAAACAGTCCCTATAGAGGTCTTTTAATCTCATTCCAAAAACGTTCATTTAGTTTTTTCACTGTAAACTACTTTTCGTTTATTTAGTTTTTTCACTGTAAACTACTTTTCAACCAACCTATAAGCGATCAATGTCCCTGCCAGCGATAACTTTAGAATCTCCTTCCCAAATTTGATATTTTTCATAGAATATTTTTCATCTGTAAAAAAATTCTTCATTTGCATCCTAAACCAAAAAAACCTGCTCGAAAAATATTTGTCAAATATTGGGGAGCAAAATGCTGAGCTGAGACTTCATCCCCCTTCGCCATTTTCGATAAAAAGCTGAAAAATAATGATAATAAACTTATTTTTCAGCATAAAAACCCTCATAGGTTGAAAAATCTGCAATCATTAGAATATCCAGCGAAAGTTCAGCTCGTAATTTCGACCTCAGTGGCGGCAAAGAATTGTTTGTATATTTTTGAGTCTGAAAACGACTTTCCAGCTTCAAAATTCTCTGCAAGTTTACCCTTATGAATGAAATCTTGCCTTCGTGTGATTTCTTGCTAAACTTTAGTTTACTGGAGGCTGAAAACGAAAAAATTGAAAAGAAACAGAAACGGAGGAAAAACTCACTTGATGTGAAAAGGATAAAACATGTCAAGAGTTTTGTGATTTTTACAAACGACATTTGCGTTTTTCTGAAAAAAAAAGATAGGTTAAAGTTCGAAAACTTTTTTTTAAAATTAAAAAAGTGGTGTTGAAAAAAACAGAATTTGGAGATTTCCATCATTTCTCATCCTACTAGACGTTAGAAAATCAAAAAACACAGAAAAAATCAAAAGTTTGAAGAAAGAAAGTGGAAAAATGAGCCCCACACCACCACATGTGAGCAATTAACGCGGTGATTAGTCCTGAAACAAGCAATAAACGGGCCGACCGGAATGAGCCTCCGTCCAACGGCAGATTACACCCAGGCAGTGTCCATCCGCCGGCCATCCGTCCATCACTCAGCGCTTCTCATCTAATTTCCTCGTTTAATCTTTTCCAAACTGCCCTTTTTATTACATTTTTTTCATTTGCGGCTTCAACAATTGCTGATTGGATGCAGGTATCGCCGATCCCAAAGTTCAAGGGCGACATCCTGATCAAACTGATACGATTTCGTTTTCTGAAACTAACTATACATTGAAAAATTGAATGAAAACAAGATAAATGATATTTAAAAAAATGCGCGTTTGAGAACAGAATATTTTTGGAAATTCCAGTTTACTGTAGTCGGAACTTTGCGCGACACCGTGACGGTATCCGACATTTTTTGATCAAAAAAAAATTGAAAATGCTCAAAATTGTAATTTTTTTATTTGTACTTTTTGTACTTTTCGTTGGTTTTTTTAACTTGAGGATTTGTCGGAGTTGTTATGATACTTTAAGTGTATTTATTTAACTCTCCATTATAATCTCCTCGCGTCTCATCAATACTTCCTTTTTTTCATAAGCCTTACTTTCCTGGTATTTATCGATTTCTCAAGGTTTCAGTGAGGTGAACTTCCGTAATGCAGCACTGTTAATGCATATCAGTTGACAAACAACAGCTGGAAGGTAACTAGGTAGGACAATGTCAGAAATGTTCTTTCAAGTCTTCTCAAGTTTCAGTTTCGGTCGATTTCTTGACGGTTTGAAAGATTTATTCGGAAGATTTAAGCCGACAAGTTTTGGAAACCGGTACGTTTATTTCTCAGAAATTTTAACGAAAAGTTGTATTTTCACAAAAATTCAAAAAGACGATTTTCAATTCAAAAAGACGAATTTCAATAGCCGACAAGTTTTGGAAACCGGTGCGTTTTCAAAATAACCGTTTTCGTAAATAGGAAAGAAGAAGAAGCCATCTTTTTCACGTTTCCATTGGGTTTTCTGGAGCCAATATTTCTTTATGCGAAAATACCAGTCTGGATGCACATAATTCAATATCGGCCGTAGTTATTATACTCAATAATTTGGTGCCGCCCAATACCAGACGCTTCTTCTTCGTTTTCCTTTCCATCGTCTCAACCAGCTACTTTTTTCTATTTATATTCATGTTCATTGGGTATTGGTTGTCAAAAATGTTTATTAGAAATTGGAGGACATGTTTTGTGAAATGAAAAATCGTTGAGGTTTTTTTAGGTATTGATTCACTTATCTTTTTCAAACAGACCTCAAATTCCTGTTGTTTCAAACAATGTGTTCCTTTAACAGTTTGAAACTGAATATTCGCGAAACTCCGTTATTCTGAGGTTTTTTTTTCGTTGACTTCAGGAATTCCAAAGTGGTTCCTACAAAAGCAACCTTCGAAGCCCTTGAAGGATCCCCACTAGGGAACACTTCAGATACCCCCAAAGGGGGTACTAAAATTATCAAAAGTGGTCCCTACTGGGGGCATGTCAGCCGATTATTGTTATGAACTTCATGATAAGAAGCATTTTCATGCAAAAAACAAGATAAATCAACTTTATTCGAATGAAATATATCAACAGAGGACGATTTATCAATCTTATTTTTTTTTTAATTTTCAAATCTTATTTTCTTTCATTTAGCTTCTCCGATTTCTTTAAAACCAAAACGATTTTGAAAACCTGAAAAAATAAACATTCTGTGTATAATTTGTTTTCTCCAAGATCCCCCTAGTCTTTGAAACCAAAAGGCCTAATTTGTAAAGCCTGCGACAAAGGTAATAAAAAGAGGGGCGGGACGGAAAACGGGCATGTTTGGCGGTTGATGTATGCGGCAAAGGGAACGACTCCTTGGGGAGGACTTCTGGAGGCTCCGCCCCTCGTCTGAAATGGCCGGCGCTGCTCTTCCTGTTGCCAATCCGGCTTGAGCCAGTTTTTGCTTTTTGGTTGATTCGTTCTCGGGATTTGTATCTTTCTTGCAAGTTGGTATGAACGAAGCTAGAAAATTTGTTAGATAAGTTTGAACTTTCGTTTTTGAGCTTCGAAAATCGGAGATGAAAAATTTCCATGATAATTTTGGCTATGCGCCTTTAAACTACTCAGTAAGGCTTTTTTTTTTTGGTAATAAATGACTTTTTCTAAAAATAAACTCTTTTAGTTTTGATAATACTCGATTTTTCAGACCATATCTCATCTAGACCTAGAAAAAGATCAATTTTTTAGCACTTCGAACCCATAAACTCTCCTTTTTTGGGTTCTTTCCCCTCCAAACCAGCCCGAACAAAGTTATACGCATTTATACTGTGTAATCAGTCAAGCAGTCATGTTTTTCCCGGAACCTCTCTTTTTTTTCGCAAGTCGCAAGCATTAGTTTGGATTTGAAGCCGAGCCAAACATAAATATTCGACGAGCCTCCTCTCTTTTGTTTTTCTCCGTTGGATAATGTTGCAGTTTTTCGTGTTTATTTCCTTGTCCCTGTCCAGTAGGCCTTCCAAATATAGAAATAATTCTTTTCCCTGAAGTTGTTTGAAAAATGTCCTGTGAAGATAATTGCCCTGGTTGTCACGTTTCAAACGCCCCTCAGACTGCCGAAAATGGGATTCCTAAGATTTTTATTCTATGATATTATTTTATGGTTGAGCATATGAGATTTTTGAACGACTTTTTTCGTTGCATAATGAGAAGAAATTTAAAAAAAAATTTTTTTTTTGCTGGTGTTAAAATTTTTTTGATTTTTTAGCTTTTTGAGCTTTTGACCGAGAATCTTAATCGAAAACTCAACCAAAAAAGAGTTCCTTGTTGGGAACCATTGTAAGCCTCGTCATTTGTTTACGAAGACTGGCAACTCTTTTTTGTGTCTTTTCGCAAATTGCAACAAAGTTGAAGAAGGGATGTTTATAGCAGTTTTGAGCTAAAATTTCTACGCTTCCTGTCACAAAATTTGAGTTTTAGAATGGTCCGGTAAGTGGTTTTACGATTTTGCTTATGAAAAAAACCATGAAGAAGCTGAGGAAAAATGAAGAACACAAAGTTTTTGCGCGAAAATCTTATGTTCTATGCATGAGAGTTGCCGTTCCATAAATGTGACACCGGAAATGGGCTTATGAACTTGGATCTTTCTTTTCAAACGTTTACTTCCGAACATATTGAAGTAATTCTTGTTTATTGGTAGAATTAAAAGATGTTGCTCACTCAGACGGGAGATTATTTAGGAATCAAAACGTCTTTTACGTACCGATTTCCGAAAAGTAAAGGAGTTTCAAATTTCTCAAATATCAAGTTTTTCTTGCGACAATGAGTACTCGCATACTTGTAGTTTGGATTAAAAAAATTAGCTTCAGATTTTATCAAGTATTTTTTGGTTTGAAGAAGATAGAAAGATTCTGCGCATCTTTTTTTGAAGGTAGCAAGCTTTGAAGATTCTCTGTACCACCAGAAAAGCTGGAAGAAACTTCGAAAATCTTCATTTTTAAAACGAAGAGTTTATGTAAGTTTGAACCTCGAAAAAAATCTCGAGTTTTTTTCGTTTTTTTATACATGAATTACTTTAGTTTTTAAATAATATATCGTGATATTTCTAGGCGAGGGTTGAAAAAAAGAAACGTCAAAAAAATCTTTATCAAGACTGAGATTTTTCAGAGAAGTCTCTTGAAAACTGAAATTTTTTTTCAAAAGAATTATTCAGAAACTATACATGTTTCTATTTTTTTCTGGAATACATTAAGCTTCTATATTTTTAACAAAACCGGAATAATGAAGAAAGGTGTGTGAAGGTGGCACCCCCGTTGAGGATTAAGGATTAACAAGTTAATGGCATCCAATTTATGAACCTGCAACCTTTAAGCCAACGCCTTCAGAAGCTAATTTTTTGAAGGAACTTGGAGAAAAACGGAGAAATGAGAAGAAATTAAACAATGGACTACTAACGAGTGTAGTGGTCAGTTTCTGGGTGTTGGGCGCTCCCAGAATCGATTGTGTTTCTGGTGGATGTGTGTGGTGGTGAGCGTGTGTGTCCCGGCAGAGGGTGTCTGAGTGTCCACCTTCGCCTCCACCAGAAGAAAAAGCCGCTGGTATCCATCACCAATCATCTATTTTAACTCATTTCATTTGTTCATCTTGGAATTTTCACCTTTTTCTGGTCAAAGTTGTTCGTTTTTGTGATTCTACTTTTTTCCCAGGTTCCGGTTTATGTGTTTTTCAGAAATTTTGAACTGAATCTTCGAATAGGACACAAAGACAATGTCATGTCCAAATGAAAAGGATGACATTTTCCTTGTTCTTTCCCCAGATTTTTGAACTTTCTAAAGTTGAATGTTTTGAAAAAACCTTCTTGAATCACCAAAACCTTTTCTTTTATTTGAAGAGGTCGGGAAGAGAATTTTTTGTCATTTTCAAATGGAGTAGATTGGAAGAAATGGAGTTTCGGCAGCGTTTTCCAGATCTTCTAATTCTTCATATCTCATTTCAGTGAGGTTCTTTGTAAGTGTACTCTTTAAAATAAGTTGTTAAAATAAGGAGTTGATTAATTCAGTGAGCTGTTTGAACGTCAGAGGGACGTGTTTTTTTCTTTTTTTTTTCTGAAGTTTCCAAATTTGAGATAATTTATAATTTCTGGAATCACTTTTTGTCGTTTTTTCAACTCTTGGATCAAATGTTTGGAAAAAAAAGTGTTGAGACTTCTAAAATTCATTCCTGCCCCAGATACTTTGAAATTATTCATAAGGTTCGTGACATTCTTAGATTCATTCCGGAGACGTATTTATTTTTTTAGTTCTCGATATTTTTTTCGTGAAAATTTGGATTAAATTTTTGGTGTTTTTTTGAAAAGGGAAAGGAAAGAAAAATTGATTAAAGTTTGAAGATCTTTTTATAGCTTTCTCATTTTTTTTCAAATCAAAGCATCCAGACTGATTAAAAAAATGCGGAAATACTCTCAAGTTTAAGTCGTTTTTATTTTAACACTTTCTTCATCTTTCCATTGAAAAAATCCCTACCATTTTCCACGACGAACCTCCCGTTCCTCTTGTTTTGAGCTCATGGAAATGGCCGAAAAATGGGAGGAAGAAGGTGTCGGATTACCTGGCAAACTGATCCATACGATAGCGAGTTATGAGCCGCGGCCGGTGGAAGATGAATATTTGAACGGCTTCTTCATTTACATTGACGACGTTTTTCAAGAGTGACGGCGGCACGGCTCGCAGAAATTCGAGCCGATTCCGAAGGGCCAGCGGCCGGTCCACTACTTCCCTTACTCGCTAGGGTTCTCATTTGGAAACCAGTTTTAATTTTGTCGGGGTTCGAAACTTTTTGAGGTACTGAGAAGGTCATTTTTGAACAGTTCAGACGAAAAACTTTAAAGTGAAGATCTTCGAGGCTCGGTTGGGAAAATTTTTAGTGGCCACTATAGAGGCTCGCCAAGGACTACTTGGAGAGGACACTAAGATGGCCACTAAACCCACCTTTATAGTGGCCACAATTTCCCGTTTTAGTGGCCACTATAGTAGTTTTTCATCCAGTGATCCTTCCAGTAACTCTGATAATTTCAAAACAAACAGATTGGACCAGTTAGGTTGATCAAGTGACCCCTAAAGTGGCCACTAAAGTTTTTAGTGGTCTAGTAGCAGCACTTAGACCTCTAAAGTAGCTACTAAATTTTAACCTCTTAAGTGGCCACTAATTTTACTGCTATAGTGGCCACTAAAACGTCAAAACCCTTCAGTGGGCACTTCTGAAAATTTTCCCAGAATGATGATTTTTTAAATACTATGGTTAAAAAGGTCGAATTTTGCTGGTTCGCCTTGAAATCATTTTTTTTTTGAGACAAAAATTATTTCTAGCTGCTTTTACGGTTTATAATTTGTAAGTTCATTCCGTGTATTTTCTTCACTCGAAGTGGTAGCTCTCTCAATCGGCCGAGACTACCCTAGAGTGTACACGGCGTCCGTGCGCGATCCCCACCATCACCGCCGTGCCCGTACCCGCGGAACTGAGGGATCTACTTGTGGAAGAGCGAGGAGAAGGACCGTAAGACTATGATTTCAATCCAATCGACTACACGTTTTGACTTCTTTTTCGTCAAAGGCGGTGTTAGTGCCGCTCAAAAGAGCAATTTTTTCACCGCCTAGTCAATTCCACCTGACTAAAACAACCAATAAATATTGATTGATTGATTGATTACAACTTTGGAATTTATATAAGATTATCACGAATCTACGTCAAATTGTTCCAAACCGGCATTGTGTCTTTGAAGTGATGAATAAAATTTCGAAAGTCCACTTTCTTTGCAAATGTCACCACGCGTTAACAGTGGGAAACTTTAATAATTTACACCTTTTCAACGGAAAGTTTACTCAGAACGACCATGTTGGTTTGGTCTTCTGGAGGTTTTTTGAAAAGTGTTTGAAAGTGATAAGAAAATGATCTTACTTTTTAAAAGGAATCAATGAGAAAAGCTAAACTTTGGCTTTAGAGAAGAATATAGTGGTTTTTCTTCAAGTGAACCTAAAAATTAAAATTGAAATTTTTAGGAGATTCAGGGTCGGGGCCAAAAGAGCAACTGTTTTTCACACGGTTTTTGAAAGATCATGCCAAAATCAACCAAAAAGCTTCATGATTTCGCACATTTTTGAATTTTTCACGTGGCGGTTAGAATATTTTCTGCCACAGTCACAGTTTTTTACAAGTTTCATCTTTTGAACAATGTTTGTCCATCATTTTTCTGCAGTTTGTTTGGATGTATCCCAACGTCCAAAGATCTTTTCCTGTGAAAAATGATATTATTAGCACTGCGTCTGCACTGGAGTTTTTGTGGAACCCGTAAAACTTCCGCCGGCGTTCCCCTGCAGTAATATCTTTTCCTCACCCCAACTTGACAAATTCTCGTTCCGAGCTGCCGCCGTTCGTCTGTTCCTCTCCAATATTATCTTTTCCAATTTCTGGTAGCTTTTTAGGTTGTTTGTACGGAGTAAATTTGAAAAATTTAGAGACGAACAGGAAAGATTATTTTTTAGAAGTTTGTAAGAACGTAGGATCGAGATCAGGATTTCAGTCTGCTACTTGATTATTATCAGAAATAGTAGTGTGGTATTGAAAGTCTGTATTGACGGGGGTCCTTCATGGAGAAGGACAAGTCTGGCGAGCTCATTGTTGTTTTTTTTGAACGGGTTTTTTTAAAACTCAGCTTAAGACGAAGTTCTAACCAGAGAGGCTCAACCCTGCCTTTTTTGCTAAGGTTCTAAAATTCTGTTTTTATGATAGTTGAAAAACATCCTATTCAGCGCTCGGAAACCTTGTAGCAAGCAAAGTAATTCTGGCAAATTTGAGAGATATAAAGATTCCGCCGGCTCATTACAACATGTGCGACCGTTGATTTAGTACCTCTCACCATTCTTTTCTTTCTGAGTTTTGAACTCGTGGAAATTAATTAAATGAGGCGAGTTTTGAGAAAAGACTTAAAATTTTCTGTGAACTTATTTTTGAGACTTGACAAGAAATTAGAGAAACGTCTTGTAGCTGACTCAATACAGCACTTTTTGCTGTCGATTCTGAATAAGAATGTTGGAATTATATATATCGAAAAAAATTGAAAAATGGGCTAGATGAACTGGTTTTTTTAGATGAAACTTCTATGAATCTTCTTCCCTTTTTTTTAAAGGTTTTTCTTTTAATTTTTCTCGAGGGAGGGGTAGTTCGGAATTTTTGTGCAGGTAGCTCGAAAATAAAGCTTCTTCGCGCCTTATATTTGAAACTTGAAGGAGTAACGTTTGGCGAAAAGGTGGAATTTTATTTTCGGAAGGAAGAATGACTATGATTTCATGCTGTAAGCTAGTTACTTCCTCTCATGTTTTACACTCGCCCTTCAAATCCCGAGCAAATTAATTATCGTCGACGGAACGCTTTGCGAAGCAGAAGAGTCGACGTCGATCCAGCCCGATGAGAAGAACGAATCGGAAGAACAATGACGGAGTCGTGTATATGCCATTTGCACTCGGCTTTTGGGACCGCTGTTTCCACCCGATTTGGCTTCCAGACGACTCGCCAACATGTTTTCTCCCCCCTCTCCTCCTCCTCCCATTTTTGGCCAATGCACGCTTTTTGTCCTCAGGGCTTTGCTTTCCTTTTTTCTGCTATTTTCCAGCCCAAACTTTAGTTCATCCATAAATTCTGGTTCTTTTGCTCCGTTTCGGCCTTTCGGACGATAAATTAAAGTTAGGCTTCGAAATGGCCTTGTTTGAACAATTGGCGGCTTCCTGTTTTTTTTTTTGCTGGTGATTTATGAATTTTAGAAACCATGTGTGACACACGTAGGTTTGAACTTTAACGGCTGAAGTAACAAAAAGATTCTCTTTGGTAGGATACTTTCCGTTTTTGGTTTTTTTTTCCTATTAGTTGACCAATCTAACCATTTTTCTTGAGTTCATTTTATTTTAATCTTTTGAAAATATTTTTTTTTCTCATGTTGATCACAACTTTCAATTTTTTTTATTGTGCCATTCTTTTTTTCTTTTTCGAGATATGATTTTTTTCAAATCTACCATGATTCAGCAAAGCCTTTTTGATTTCTCTGATGTCTGAATAAATGAATAAATGAAGGAATGATATGATTAGCTTTTTGAATTTTTTTGTTCAAAAATTCAAATTTTTGATCACTTTCTTGTACTTTTTTTCGATGCGTGAAAAAAATGGAAATATTTCAAAAAAATTGGGAATTTTTTTAAAGTTTTTCCCATCGAATTTTTTTCGAAAGAACCTTTTTTTCCATTGAAGACCATTTTCGCATTTTACAAATCAATCCATGTTTTTTGAAATCTTTGTATATTTTTCTGATGAAATCATTTCTAAAATTCATTCGTCTCAAATTCCTTCACTCGAATCCTTCATTTTTTTGCAGTTTTTCTCTTTCCTCGAGGACTGTAACTTTCTATAAATATTTATTTATCAATTTCTACCTTATGAACATTTTGTAAGCAGTTTTTCGATTGTAAACATAGCTAGCTTCCATTTCAAGTCAAATTTTCACTCTGAAACATTTTTCCACAGTAACGATCGCATCTCTGACCTCGGATACGAGAAATAAACGGTCACTACTTTTTCCGGCATAATGGCCGCGCCATTTTTCAAGAAGCTCAAAAGGCCGACGCTGAAAAGTCGAGTTTCTGTGTGCGACGGCGGCGGATGCCACTCCAATTTAGCGACGCCGCCCCAGCTCGTTTAAAGAAAAGCAGTGTGTGTGTGTGTGTGTGTATTTGGTGAACGCAAGTTGTCCCTTCCTTCTCTTAAAAGGAGAAAAGGAAGTCCGACTAGCCCAGTCGGAGATTGGAGTTTTGACGAAGAAGAAGAAGAAGAAGATCCGAAACCGCGTTCCTTCGGATGGGGTGTTGCTCAGAGCAAGTCCCTAGCGGCTTCTCCTATCTTTCTTCTTCTTGCTCGCTTCTTTTCTTGCTTCTTTTTCTTCTTCTTCGGTCCTCTTATAAGTGCAGCAACATCTTTATTGGGCTTTATTTGCTTGTGAGAAGGATTAATAGTTTCAATGTATGATTTATGTCATTATTAGAAAAAAAAACGAAGCTCCACTTTACAACCTTCCGCTGTAATGATGATTCATTCTCGACTTTTGTTACTTTTTGAAATATTTGAAAAAAAGCGTTTTTCTGACTACATACCAAAAATTAATCAGAAACAAGCCTTCTCAATTTTTTTTTATGCTCAAGTTCTATATCTTCTTTCAACTCATAGAAAACTTTCTTTTTTCGTATTTTATTTCCCTTATTTATGCGAGAACCAGGCTCCATTCTAAAGCCATTTGTTCTTTTTCTTCGGCTTTGTCTTTTTCCCGTTTTTTTTTTCCGGCTTCGCAACTGTTTCAGACTAAACATTCCAAAGTATCGAACAGCCTGAGAACCGAGAGAACTATAAACATCATTCGCCTTTATTCTCCAATTCTCCAAAATTGTATCCCTCTCCATAGATGGCCCAACTCGGCAAAAGTTCTCCTTTTCAAACGTAAATTGGTCGGACCAAAACAAGACCAGAAAAAAAAGATGAAGAAGCCTGAATTCATTGGCTCCGAACCGCCATTTCTCAGAGCCACTTTTGTTTTTTGGAAGCCAAAAGAGCCCATTTCAACTTTGGCCTTCTCCAGTCGTTTTTTGCATTGTTCCTCGTTCCGTTCATTGTTTTTAGCCACTGGAACGGCTGCCTTAAAAGGCCTCGCTTCCTGTTCGCTTCCTTCCTTTCCTTCGTTGCAACTTTCAAGAGCCTTCTTCGTTCAGGATTGAGCTCCGATGAAGAAGTTCTTCACGCGGAAGAAGCTCCGAAAATCCAAATCTGATTTTTCGTCGGAGAAAATCGAGCAGAATGGAACTGTAACCGCGGCGGCGGAGCCTATCCCGACTTCGAAATCAACTAATATCGTCAAGTTAGTCTTTTTTTCCTTTTTAGGTCCCATTAGATTTAGGCATAGGAGTTTTATAATTTTAAGCATAGGTTTTTAGATTTTTGAGATATGAGAAAATTATTTTCCTGTTGTGACCAAGCGTTTTTCCGTTAGATTATATATAGATCTTCGTGGGATTCAGTATAGTCACTTCTGGGTTATTTGCGAAAGAAATATTAGAAAGAGTAGTTCGAGAATTGACTCTATGGATTTTCTTTGTTACAAGAGGCGGTCTGAACGATTTGTAAATTAGAAAAATTAAATTTGAAACGTATAAAATTCTTCTACGATTGAGTGAATTGACTCTAGATTTCAACTACAACTTGCCCATAATTTTAGGATGAGAAATTTGAAGCCGTTTTTTATTTATATTTCTCTCTTTTCTATCTTATTTCTCAGAATGTTGTAAAACTCCCAAGAGATTAGTCCTAATAATAGTCTAATATTTAATATTTTTATTTGAGTATTTTGATGCTTTTGATGGAATTGAGAAAATTAGTAAATTTAAAAAAAAAAGGAGTAAGCTGTTTTTTGTCTCACAGGAGAGATCTTCCCGATTTTTGTAAGCAGTTTGTCTTTTCTTAAAAATTGGTTCAATATTTCCCATGAGGTCAACAATTTTTAAGCTATGAAAACTTTCAATCAATTTCACCTCCTAAGAAAAACGGAAAGAAAGAGTTTTCCAGCAACGTGGCGAGCTCATCGGACGACTGGGAGGCGGTCTGTTCCTCTCATGGCGACGAAAGTCGGAAGAATTTCGACGCCCAACTCGACAAACACATGATGCAGACCATCACCGACGTCAAGTACATGATCAAGAAGAGCAAGTACACGGCCCTCAGTCAGTCTTCCATCCCTTCCAGTCGAATGATCCGATAAAAACTCTCTCAAAAGCTTTTGATGTCGTTTTTCCCAGCAACTGTTGTCATTATAAGTATCAAGTATTCCAAATCCAACGAGGACAGCTGATTAGGCAATATCGCAAGGTATAGTGAATGATAGGTGATAAACGTAGTTTTTGAGAAACAAGGTCGAATCTAGGTTTCAAGAGAACAGCTGAATCAATGTGCGCTCAATAGTCACCAATTTCAACCGGACAATAAAAAAGCTCGTTCAATCTTTTTTCAACAGTTGACCCGGTTTCAAACATTCTCAACAGTTGATTTTCAACCGGTCAATCGTTAAAAGCATTTTTTGAGTCGAACTTCAAACATTTTGATATAGATTTTTCAAAAGCAACGTTTGAAATCAAAATGTTAAAATGGTTCAACGTTAGATTTTGACGGCTATAACATCAGAGCTCAAAAGAACTAATTCTTTCGATATTTCGATACCCTTTCAAAATTTTCCCACTATTAATTTTTCAGGTGAGGTCAATTTCCAAAGAGCTTGTCTAGATGCACACAACGAGGTCCGGCAAAGGTTTTTTTTCTTCACTCGCTGTAATAATTCCTTTTTTTGCAGGTACGGTAGCGAAAACCTTGTTTGGTCAACAGAACTGGCGGAAATGGCCCATGCTTGGTCTGTGAAATTAGCCGACAGGGGTCGGTTACTGTATCCTGAGCTTCCCGGTGAGTTTCAAAATAGACTTTTCAGTAAATAAGATAATTTTTTTTTTCTCTAGAATCATTTAGGGCGTTTTTTCCTTCTTTTTTTTTTCTCAGTTGCCATCCGAAAAGCTGTTCTAAAAATTAATTTTTTTCGATATTTTTATGAAGATTTGTTCACTTTGAACCGCATGATGATTTTTCAAAAAGTTCGAGAATTTCCCATTTTTTAATGATCTTCACTTCAGTGTGTTTAATCAATATGAAGGGTGAGAAAGTAAATATGAAGAGGTCATTATTATGACAAGGATTTCAGGATTTCTGAAATTTCTTAGAGGAAAAAGGGTTTAAAGATGAGAATATTTTATATCGCGCAGCCTTTTCGGGTCCTTTTTTTGTAGAGAGGTTTTTTTCATTAGATTTTTCTTTTCATTTGGATTCATTCTGAAAAAAAAATTACGGCTTTGTATAATTTAAAACTACCTGTTGACTTCCAATAAACGCTTCACAGAGTCCCGCTTTTACTTATTCCATTTCAAAAGATCATAATTATCTGATTGACGAGATTGAATCGAATGTGTGGATCTATAAAATCGAAAAAAGAGTCCTAAAATCTGAAAAAAACATTTCCGTAAACCAGCTCAAAGTGCACTTCTCTAAACGGCTCGTTTCCGTCGAGGATCATCGAATTGACCGGATAAATTGTAGGGATAGGGGAGAACATCATTTTGCACGAGGCGGACGAACAATCGCATTTGCCGACGGGCGCCGAAGTTCTGGCCGAGTGGGAAAAGGAGTCGCAGTTCTTCGACTTCGAACGGCCCAAGTGGAATCCCAGTGGGTGTCTTTAGATTGTTCGATGGTGCAAAAAAAAATGAGTGACAAGAAAAAAACGCGATTCTGTACTGGGTTATATCAACCTTGTCGGAAAATTCCGTCTTAAGCTACCTTTTCTAGTTAGTTTTTGTGAAAATGAAGGTTCTTAGCTTTAGAAATTTGAATTTCAAGGCTCACCAAAAGTGACCTTTCTCAGGGCCTTAATGTACTGATTTTGGCTTTTGTAGACTCAAAAAAAGCCATATTAATGCTACCGGTCTTAACTGTAGACTTGGAAGAATTTCAAAAATTTCAATTATTTCTCTACCTTCAAAAAAAATAATCATCGCTCTAGTTTTCCTCTTACTTAATTTTTTTATTTTATTTCAGTCCATAGGAAAATTAAAAAAATAATGGAAAGGGCTTCTTGTCCCTTTTTTTCAAGAATTTTGAAAAAAATGTATAATTCCCACTTTCCAAGAGGTTATCCGTTATAAATTATTAAATAATCAAAAAGCTTATAAAAAATGAATTTTTCTGCTTTAATCGTCTTTTGGAAACGATCTCACGGTTTCTGATCATAGATGGGCAAGTACAGAGCTTAGTCAGGCCTGCGAAATCTTGGTCAATGCTTCAGTTTTTCCGAACCAAAAAAAATATAAAGCTAGACCTAACTCTCCGAAGGTTTCTAGCATTCGTAGCTGCCTTCCAAGAAAAAAAAGATGTTTCAGAATGTCAGAGGTTCTCACAAGTCGTGTGGAAAGATACGACGGAACTGGGAGCCGCCCGATATTGGAACACTGCCAACAACTGCGTCGCCGTCGTCTGTTTCTACAGGCCCAATGGGAATTCCAATGCGCCCGGTAAATTGAAACTTCTCTGGAGAAATGTAGACTACCAAAATATTTGTTTTCAACAAAATGGTTCAGTTTTTTGACTATAGTTGTGCGTGTCAAAATAACAGTCAGAGAAAAAAAAGATGCTAGGTTTTGGAGTACGAGATAAATTTGCCTTCTACAGAAACTACTCTGAAGGCGGTATAAAGCTCACTATAGGGAAAATTAAAAAAACATCCATATAGGGGGCGAAAAAGTGGTCCCTATGGGGGTTAATTTTAGGTGGTCCTTATAGGGGTTTAGGGTCTGAGCCCTTAGCCTCTAAAGCTCAAGTGGTCCCTATAGAAGTTTAGGTAAAAAACTAGTCCCTAAGGTTGCCCCTACAGGGATCACTCTGGGGTCCCTAACTAGAGAACTACTCGGACTCGGGTACCCGTTTCGAGTTGAAACTTGGGTGGCTTATAGACCCGGGTAAGAGAACTTGGGAACAAGAGAGATTATCTGCTAAATCCCATAGGCTTCTGAGAAAAAAATCTTTTTCGAAAAATGTATTAAAAATTTTTTTGTATTAGAATATAAAACAATTGTATTAAAATATAAAACAAGGTAAAAAAACAGTATTCTGAAAAAAATTTCAGGCCTAATTTTTCCCATTTTTCTACTAATTTTTTTCTCAGTTCTCTATGGGGATTAGCAGATATTCTCTCTTGTTTTTCAAGTAATCTGACTTGGGTCTATAAACAACTTAAGTTTCAACTCGAAACCCGTACCCTGAGTCCGAGTAGTTCCCTAGTAAGTATGGTTTTGAAAAATAGTTTAAAAAAATTATGGTAAATTCGTAGATTTATTAACCTTCCTAGTGAGAAAAAATAGTTCTGTTAGAAGACCTGACCGGAAAAGTTGCTTTTAAGAGAATAAATAAATGAAATTTTCAAACCAAAATTCATGAAGCTGAATGAAAAAGCTGTTTGAGGCGAGTTCGCGTCGAACGTGCCGAGTCGCGACTGCTCGATGTCGCCGGCGAGGTCGCTCTCCACACAAGTCAAACGTTGCGTCACCATCTCGACCCCCGAACACAAAACCCCCAAGTGATCACTCCCCCGTCACCCAACGCAGCTTTCCTAGGCTTTTGAAATTCTTCAAACAGTTACGGGTTCCTTCGAATCATAATATTATTTATTGTCCATTTATAGTCAACCTGATTAGAGGGAATATCCTCGTGCCGCTTCCTTTGTTTCCGGTTTTTATCGCTTCTACATTTTTTCCCTGTCTTCTCTGATCTCCGTTGCTTTCCCATTACCATTGCCAATTGCTCTTTTTCATTGCCTTTGATGAGCGAGAATTTGCACAAAAAAAGACGTTATTTAATTTATATCCACAAAAAACAAAGAAAATATCCAATTTTATTGAATTCGCCTGAACAAGAGCACCGTATGGAAACGGTAGTGTGAGACCCGTAAGACGACTTTTTCGTATACGTATAATTAGTAAATTTGACATCGATTGAACTCATAGAGGATCGATGAGTACGAATCTCCAAAAAAGGGAAACGAATGACAGAAAAAAAAGGCAACCCCGTCGTTGTGAATAATTAGCTCCCACAGTTCTGTAGGCAACAACAAAAAATGTGACAAAGTATGAATTTTTGAAAGCTACCAGCAGAGGAATAAAATCAGAAAGTTCAAATAGACAAAAAAAAATTGAAGAAAGAAGAGGTAGAAATAAGGAAACAAAAAGACAATCAGTTATTAAAAAATAGGATTTTTTTGAGAGGCTTTTTTACAATAGGAGATTTTAATGAACATTACTAGGTGCCTGAAAAACCGGCTCTAAAATGAAAACATTTATTGATGGAGCGCGTTTGTTTTAGCTAATTTTTTGCCTCGTTCTTCATTCAGAGTATATTTGCAGCAGGATTCTTGATTTTAACCAGGATCCCTCAAAATCCGAAATTCCTCGAGATCTTTGTAAGCCTACATGCAAAAAAGTTCTTTCCTTAATTTTAAAAAAAAACCGCTAGACTAGCTCTTCATCAATTTTCCTTGAAAATCACGCGTGTTCCGAGTTTTTTCCCATTTTCTCAGCCTTCTCAGGTACCCACAGAAATCTCAAATGTTCTTGAAATGCTGCTCTTTGATTTTGCCGTTGAGCGCGGGCGGCGCGACAGAACTCGTCGAATCCAGAAGCCGCGACGTTTCGTCAGTCGCGTCGCTGTCGTCGGCTCCATTCAGCAGTCGCGTCGACGTCGGCATCGGCGACGCCGCGAACGATGAAGACGGCATCGGCGAGCACGGCGTCATCGACATCGGCGTCAAGTCCGTGCTGGTCCGCCGCACTTGCGACCCAAAAACCTGAAAATCCACTGCTCTGCCATCATCTTTTCTTCGACATCAGTTATACTTTACAGTAATGAAAAAATCTGCGGGCAAGTCTAAATTTCAAGATTGCAGGTTCGCAAAGGTGATCTCTATAGTGGTGAAATGAAGGTGGTCCCTATAGGGGTTTAGCGTCTGACCGGTTGGCCCCTAAAGCTCAAGTGGTCCCTACAGGGATGTTTCAACTTTATTCAAAAACGCTTGATTATTTAGTTTTTCGCATGGAAATGCTTCTTCGCCCAGAGTTTATAACATTTATCGACCTCCATGTTCCCTATAGGGACCACTCTGCAAGTTTTAGTGGCTCCTATAGGGTTGGTAAAGTGTTCCCTAGAGGGGACTCTAAGAGAAGTTTCTCAGAAAATCGAGGAATTCAGTTGAAAATAAATGAACAAATGAGCAAAAATATGAACTTTGGAGTATCAATTTTTTTTAGCTAGTTTTTTCCAAAGCTTCTTCGTTCGCACTCACATTGATAGACGTTGACCGGTCCGTGTCAATGATCGAAGCCCCATTGCAATGTGTTTCCAAAGGCCTTAGGTATGACATTTTGGTGCTGTAGGCGTCGGAATGCCGTCGAATCGAAGCCGAACCTTTTCTGGAGCACTGGATACCCGACGGGATGAATACTCGTCGAAACTCCTGGAGGATTTGGTTTTTGAAAATTATCCATCAAAAAATCAGAAAAAAATTGATACGGAAACAAATGAAATCAGCACAGAAAAATCTAGTCGAAAAAATTTACCCTTTTGAATTTTTTATAATAGAGTGTAAATGCATGGAAAGCGAAAAACTTCAAAAAACAATTCTACATTTTGGAAAAAAGACAAACATTATAAAAGTTCCAAAACTTTTTCGCACTGGTTTTTGTCAAGTACTACTCCACAGGCTTGAATTGCAAATCCAACTGACGTTTCTGAACTGGCCGCTCATGGAGCAGTAAATGATGAACGAGCAGCAGGCGCCGCACAACGACAGCAAGTCGAGCAGGTCGCCCAGGTTGTTGTAGATGTTGTGTCGGAACTCGGCCGATAGCATTCCTGGAATTTTGATGTCCTTGAGTCAAAGCAATCAATAAAAAAGATACTATATTTTCAATGACCTTTCTTTTCAAGTCCTGTGCTTCTTCAAGTACAAGCTAAAGCTGTTTCAAAAGCGTTTAATGAAAAATAAACTCTACAGAATGTTTGGTAAGGACCAAAAGTTTCGAACACGCATTTTCCTACACTTATTCTGTAAACTTCAGTACTTGTGTGTGAGAAATGGACGAACCTGACAGGACGGCCATGATCCCTTGGGGGATTTCCGTGACCAACATCACAGCCACGATCGCCAGAAGCATGTGAGTCGTCCTGTCGACTTTTTCGCCTCGCGCTCTGCAAAAATGAAAGTTAATTTTAAAGAAATAATGTCAATCGATTGTTATTTCATCTCTGGTGAACTTTTAAAGCTGAATCATTTATTCAGGGTAAAGTTTAAAACTTCTTATAAGAGCGTTTCAGTGAAGCGGATGGAGAGATTTTTGAACTGTTGAACTTTGAATATTTTGCAACGGTTAGTCATATCTCCAAAAATGCGAATATGAAAAATCTGAGGAAACTTTATAATGACCTACTCAGAGTACTGTACGTTTATAAAAATTTTCAACCCCGCCTCCCTTCTAAATTGCACCTAAAGGTCAAGAAATCATTTGAAATCATTTGAATATCATTTGAATATCTAGAGCTTCCTCCTTGATTAAAATACTAGATGAGAGGTTCTCCAGAATACCTGAGGCTCCCGTTTCGCGTCAACTTCTCGTTGGTCCCTGTCGTGAGACTCAGCCGACCATTTCTCGTGTTGACGGGCGTCGGCGTGTGTCGAGACGTTTTCAATAATCTTTGGCGATTTTCTCTGACCTTAAAATATTTTCATAGAGCAAATTGTTGGAAGACGATTTTTTTTTAAATGATAACAGTTCAGAAAAAAGGAAAAATTTGTTGGAAATGAGAAAAAAAATGAGATAACGAGGCCTTAAAAACCCGGTCAAAAACTTTGATTTATCCAATTTTTTACAAAATGTCCTTATTTGGAAGCCAGTTTTCATCACTAACAATAACTCTTCGGGCTTGAACTGTAGCAAGAATGGAACGTGTAGCTCTTACCATACAACAATGTATTCACGGCCAGCTTGGGACGCTAAGGGGGCGTGTCCTGTCTGCGCTTTCCACGAGCCAGGCGTTATCTCGTGCATAATCGTGTCAGGACCCTTTTTTCGATGGCTCAAGCCAGCCGTGAATCAGCTATACATGAACTGTACTACGGCCCCGAAGTCATATTACCGTTTTTCGATTAAAACAAAAGTTCAAAATAAATCAGAAATTTCATTGCGTCCCCGGCAGGATTATTTACAAACAGAGCTTGAAAAAAAAATCAAGTTCAACTGTTTCACACGGAAAATAATGTCTCGAAATTATCTTTTGACAAATAAAGAAACATTAAAAGTATCACTTTTCGGCTCACCTCTCTCAATATCCTCAGCAATAACCAGACGAAGAGGGAAAGCAAAGCGCAAGGCAACATTTTGAACACCAGACCCGAAATCCAGAAAGCTAAGCGGAACACCTTGAAATCATCGAAATATTGAAAATTTATTAGAAAAGTTCAAAAACCAAGCAATGTCTGGCTTTGGCAATATCAGCGATTCCAGGCAAATAGGCAGGCGCGTTGTTGTAATGAGGATCCAAGACGGCACAAGTTTCATTTAACCTGAACATTTTCCCTCTTTTTCGAATAAATATTGTGGATTATCAACCTCCGCTCGTTGATTTTATAATTGAGAAAATTCGGGGCGTTTAATAACGCGACGACGGAAATCGTCGCGGCGATCGCGATATAAGAATGTCGGAGAGTGACCTGTAAACAGAAAATTTCAATTTTTCGAATAAAATTGAAACGAAAACCTGCATTCCGCCCATATTTCCACGACTACGCAGCGTCATGTATCTCACCAACGCCAGCATCACTGCAAAATCCACAATATTAACTTTCAAGTTTGAAGTATGTTCAAATTACAACAAAAATATGAATAACTTTTTTAAAAACTTCTGAAACAGAAAACTTTTTTTTTTACGAAACCCAAACTTTTCAATTTTTTCGTATTTTTTCAACTAAGAAATTAGGTTCAAAAATATATATTTGTGGAGAATAACCCAAGAAAAAAATTAGCACTATTCCCAGGTTTGAAAGATACGAAACACAAAAATGACTCGGACATTGGTAACGCAAATCGGTCTTGTCTAGTGACTACTTTAGTATCTTCAGCACTCTTAAGTGATCCCTAGAATAGCTCAAAATAGTCCGGAGCAAGTCCTGTTTTCGTTATCGAGGTCTGAGGAGCTACCTAACTTATCTATGGAGTGAGTGCAACTTCTGGGATGGGTTACTTCTTACAAAGCTATATTTCCAAGTACCCAAGAGAGAATTTATTTTTCAAAAAAGTTGAATAGCCACCAGAGAGCCAGACGGAGGAGCTGTGGGCGACGAGCGAGAGATGAGCGTGGGCGATGAGGAAAAGGGCCCAAGCGTAGGACCAATGCTTGGGATGGCAGTGTTGGAAGGCGACGAAGGAGTAGTGGGTCGTGTAGATGAGGTTCGAGAAGAGGACCACCGTGTCGCAACTCGCCATCGCCGTCAGAATCATGTTCACCGGCGTCCGCATTGTTCGCCTGCAAGAACTTCACGTTTTTCTTTCCGCTACAAACAACAGTATACCAGTTTTTTTAAAGTTTTTAAAACGTGGCCGTCTCGCGCAAAACGCACTAGAACTAACCGGATTTAAAATAATATCAAAAAAGGCCGTGTATGAATTCAAAAAAAAAACTATGCGCTCAGAAAAATTAGGAACTTCAGAACCAAATATTCGAAAAACATGAAACAAACCTCGTCAAGACGACAATATTGCAAAAATTGGCAACCGTCCCAAGGATACATAACAAGATGGATAGGTACGCGTGAATCGGCCTGTAGAATGTGTTTATCGACCTGAAATAGTTCAAAAAAATCTATTTAAAAGTGGAAATAAAAAGAAATATTTGTAAAAAAATTTTTATTTTTCAAGAAGGAAAATTTCAAACGACACCATGATTGAACATGAACGCATTACATTACACGAAAAAAAATTTTTTTGGAGAATTGTGAACTTTTTAAAATTGTTTGATCCTTTTCAAACTTATTTTCAAATGAGAAACCCAGCTTTCCACTCGACAAGGGTTTATTTATTATCCCTAGAGAAAGCTTCGAACTACAAACTCCCTCGCGTCATATTTATCTTTCAGTTCCATTTTTTCCTTCTCCTCTCAAGTCCATCTTGAGTGATTCTAACGAAATATGAGGCGAATGGTGTTTCAGACATGTGATTTGTGAAAAACGAAATGAGATTATTGGGTTTAAAATCTTCTAAGCCGTTATTTTCTCAACATCCGACACGATTAACGTCATCAAACATGTTTGTAACCTTTCTTTTTGACACGATTAACTGACAAAATGATGAGTAACTCTTTTTAAAAAAAAAGGTCGAAACTAACTGAAACCAATCGTAGATGAAACTCTGAGCCGGCAAATAAATGAGCTCGGTTTTGCATTCGGCCGCTTCCATTACGATCTATGCGTTCATCTGGAAAAAAATGATGATGAAATATATTATTTTATTGAAATTTTCTAGCTATTGAAAAAAATAGTTGATGTTTTGAAATAAAAAAATAGGGGTATAATGAGAAAAAATGTCTTGGAAAATCGGGAGGGGTACTGAAAAAAATGTACTAATTAATTTCAGTGAAACTCGAAAAACTTTTGGTTGTAAACAATTCTATTTTCTTCAATTTTGATTTTAGAAAAACCGAAAATACGCCTGTCATGAGTTAAATTCATTCGCTTTTGAATTTGAATTTGGCGAAGAGACGCGATGGGAAAAAAATAAGCTTGGAATACGAAAAACAAGGCAGACAAACTGGAGTACAATCTTTGGATTAGCAGCTGTCGATGAAGAAGAAGAAGGAGGAGGAGGGGGAGCTCCATTGAACGGAGAGAATCAAGAAATTAAGGATAAGTGGGAACCAATCATAAGCTCAAGATTCCCGGCAAAGCTTAGAGGATATTTTGATTCTGAAAAGTATCTCTACATGAAAATAATAATTTTTGAATTCGTAAGAAAAATTGAATGGATTTTCGTAAATTTCAACTCTTAGAAAAAACTTTCTCATGACTATTTATAAAGGAAAATGAAGCTTTTTCATTATAGTGTATGATTCAAAATTTTTCAAAAACCTGCGCTGTTTCAATTTTTTGAAACTTCCATATTTCAACTTCAGAAATCCTTCTTTAAACTATGTTCTCCAAACTACACCCAAAAAGCCGAATACTGTTTTCCCAGTACCTATTGAGGCTGCTCCAGTTCTACGAACCAGGCTTGAATCTTTTAAAAAACAAAAAAAAAATTCCCACAAAAGCCAAAAACAAAAAAAAAAGAGCTCTATTCATTCAGTTGAAGCCTTGGCAATTCAGCTTTGAAACCAGTCTTCACTTGATTCAATCCAGAAAAAAAGAAAAACTTGACGAAAAAAAAGAAATCCACAAACACTTGAAATCAACGAAGCGAGAAAAGTTCAACGAGGCTGAAGTGTTACACCGTCGAGTCTAGAACGAAAAAAAGAAGAAAAGCCGAGGAAAAATCGGCAAGTTTGAAATAAAATAATTGTGAGCCTTTTTGATGTTTATAGGCGTGGCTTATTTGTGAGGACCAAGTTCGCCCCAAGGGACAGGAAATTCGTCAACAACTCGTCACAAACATTTCCGTTAAGCACATTTGCGAATTTTTTCAAAGTTTTTTTTTCAAGGCTTTTCAGATGTTCACGGTCAAGGCTTTTTTGTCCGAGTCTGGGCATTGATCAACTCGCTTGTTTAGGTCGAGGCAGACATCCGCGGGATATTTTTAAACTTTTTACGAACGTTTTGAGAGAAAGAGATAAATTTATGACGTTGGGTTACTCATCGAAAAATGACCAGCAAATTCCTTCTTCAATTTGTTTAAATTAAAATAGTCAGAGAACGTCCGAAGGTATAAAATGGATATCTCTTTCCGAAAAAATCTCGTCCTCTCGGTTTTTTAGAACATAAACTCAAGATTTGGACCAAAAAATAAAATTTTCAATTAAAAACAGTAAAAATCTATTTACAAGAAAAAGCAAAAAAATTTCTCCCCGGCCGGGAATTGAACCCGGGTCTCGCATGTGACAGACGCGGATACTCACCACTATACTACCGAGGACGACGGGTACATTCTTCGCCGAATTCAATAGACGTCTCGGCAGGCCGCAGTCATACAATATAAATGAAGGAAAGAATTCTCACACTACTGAAACTTTTATCTTTTGATTCTTAGGAATAGAAAATTCATTTTTTTTTTTCCGTTTCATGGGACTTCCGCCTGTCTAGAGCAAAAAAGAAGAAGAAAGGAAGAGAATTCAAAGCTTGATGGAATGAAATAGAAGATAAATTCTTTGGTTTCCTTCAATGCGATTTGATAAGACGAAGTTGGCGTTTCCTCAATCGAATTTCCGGTGTTAGAAGGCTTTCGAGGAACGGAAAGGACAAATAAGGAAAGATAGAAGCAACAAAAATCTTCCTTTTTTTCTGGAAAATGATGTGTTTTTTTAAACTTTTTTGATATTATTTCTTTTTCTTGTAGTCATTTAAAAAGTTATCATTTTTTTCATAAGCTTCCCAGAACAAAAAGGAAAAACTTAATCAAGATTCATAAAATTATAATTGAAAAAAATAAGAACCTTTAATGATAAACGTTTTGTAGCGAATATTAAGTACAAAGTACGAAATCCCTCCAAAAAATAGAAAGTTTTTCCTAATGCGAACTTTAAAAGAGGTGCAATTTATGAAAAGGAGAACGAAAATACAAGTACAAAAATGTGAGAGTTTGCGTCATTCTTAAAAGGTCAAAAAAGAGAGTTTTTTCAGGCTATATTTAGACATTTTGATGAAATTTCGAGACTCTTCAATAAAAGAAAGGGAAGAATACTTTCCATGTTCTTCCTGAAGATAAAGAAAAAAGAAGGCTTCTCATAATGTTGAAAGATTTCTCGATAATGCGAATGTAGCACTATACAATTTTTGGGAAAAGGCTTCAATTTTTGTCTAGAATTATTCAACAAAACCTTTTCGTTCAAGGTAAAAGCTTCACTTTATCATTATCCATTTTTTTCTTGTTTTTGAAAAATTAGATGTTTTCAAAAAAGTATTCATGTAAGATATAATCGGAATGAAACGCATCGGTATCAAAAAAACTCAAAAAAAGGAAATAGTTAAAATTTTGAGTTTTAGTAACAACCTCAGTGATCATTCAACGACTGCTTTCAAAATTTCAGAAAAATGCGTAAAAGAGAAAAAAATTCCAAGAAAGATGCGAGCTAACAAACTACACAGAAAGGTCTAAAAAAAGAAAATCAAGGGTTCATTCAATTTCAGCCATTGATCAGGAGATAAGAATTCACGAGGAGATTAGGCCGAGAAGTTAGACAATTTCGAAATGATAAAAAAGGTTTACCGCATTTACGAACAATCTTGAAGTTTAATAAAAAAACGAAAAATATAGTTGAACTCAGCTCTAAAAAAATACTTGCTTTTCGGAAAAAAGGTTCAAAATAATTTGCCATGTTTCACAATTTTGCAAGCGCAATGGGGATAGCTCGAGAAAAGTTGAAAAATTGAACCGTTTGAAAATTCAAAAATTCTTGAAAAAACTTAAAACTGTCGCCAAGTGACTTGATAACACTGAGCTTATTATCAAAAATCATCAAAAAAAAAAAAAGAAAATAAGGTTTCACTAGGATTTTTCCGGCGATATTGAGTAAAAAAACGTGAAAATAGATATTTTCTGGCATGAAGGTTCTTTTCCCCATTAGCCTGAATAAATACGGAAAAAGAAGTTTCTTTCGAGAAGGCAAAAAAAAGGTGACACGACGACTTTTTCCGAGTGTAGAAGGACGCGTGCGCCTCGGGTAATTGCTCTAAATTGGAGCTACCGCACAATTTTTCTTGCTTTTTTATTCTCCGATAAACATCGAGGGCAGAGGGAAAAGTGAATGAATGGATTCCGCCCAAAAGTAAGGATTCGAGCACTTTTTTGGAGCTTTTGAGAGGTTTCTGAAAAAAAGAACTGGAAACTTGTATTTTCATTCTTCAAAAAAGTTATAGTTCTGTTTCCTTGACCTAATACGATTTTTCTACTTTTTATATCCAAAAATAGCACCTGCCGACCCGTTCTTTTCCACATTTTCCGGGGAATAATCCGATAAGTCTGGAAAGGGAAAGGAAGTGGTAAAGGATACAAAAAAAAAGGTGTGACAGCTGAAAAATTAAAGATTGAAGAGGAAGATTTGGGTTCAAACTCAACTTTGAGTCAAAATTCTGGGAAAATTTTTAGTGGCCACTGAAGGGTTTTGACGTTTTAGTGGCCACTGTAGAGGTCCAAGTGCTACTAATAGACCACTAAAAATTTTAGTGACCACTTTAGGGGTCAATGGATCAACATAACTGGTCCAATCTATTTGTTTTAAAATTATCAGAGTTACTGGAAGGAAAACTGGATGAAAAACTACTGAAATGGTCACTAAATAGAGAACCGCTATATTGTGAGCTAAAACGGAAAATAGTGGCCACTATAGAGTAGGGTTTAGTGGCCACTTTAGTGTCCACTCCAAGTAGTCCTTGGCGAGCCTCTATAGTGGCCACTAAAAATTTTCGCAATGCTAGCGATTTTTCTCAGAAAAAAGTAAATATTTATCATGATTTCTTGTTCCTAATCTTAAGTAAGATGGTTCTTGAAGGTAATTTATCGAAATGAACCTTTTTTGAGCCTTTTTCAACCACACTACCTCCAAAAAAAGACCCGAAAAATCACAAAAAAAGAGAAAGAAGAGTTATATGCAAATCAAAAGGCAGAAGAGTTGGTTATGGACAAACAACCCAAACTCAGAAGTTTTTTTGGAGTGAGTAGGAGTGAAAAAGAGGAGGGCCATCGAGGCGGAAACACGTGGTTACGGGCAGAATGCTTTGCTGCTAAATTGCCGCTTTTTTGAATATTATCTTCGGGAAACGATGAATAACGACGGAAATCGAAGGCTGAGAGGGGCGTCAGTTGTCGGGCTCCTCGGATTTCAGTTGGCCCAAAAATAAGATACAAGTTTGTGATGATGGATTGATCGACAAGTACAGGTTCCTGGGGGGATTCATGAGAGAATGGGGGCTTTCTTTCGGGAGAAAATCTTCAAAATTTAGACTTTAAAAGAAGTTTTTTCTTCAAATTCGGTGAGATGCTAGAAGCAACATAGGCAGGCAACATTTCTAGATTTTTTCAAGATAATTTCAGCTCTGCGACTTCTGATTTTTGATCATTTGATCAAAAAAACCTCTCAAAATGTGTAGGATTTTTCTAAAGTTTCTGCAAAAAAAGTCTGAAAAAGATGACTCGATGAGAATTTTCATCAAATCTCATTTGAAGAAAAAAAGAAGAAAATCCTAGAAAAAAAGACAGAAAAAAATATTTTATACACGGGCACATTTTATACATTAACAGAAAGGTCTGAA